CCGCCTTCGCTTTAGATGTCGAGGAAATGCCCACTGTCTACACGGTGACGATGGAAATCGACGGTGCCACGAGCTGTTCCTGTGGCGACTTTACACATCGTGGTGGCGCCTGCAAGCACATACGCGCGGCGTTTAAACGTCTGGACGCGTTGCGCTCGCAAGGAAAGAACTTACCGCAGATCCCAATTCCGACCAGCATAGACGCTGCACGCATTCTTGAGGCAACGCGGGTAGCTCGTAGTGTCGAGAAGGCTGTGGCTACAGCTGGCTGTCAGGTTGGACCGGTTATGCGTGCAGTGCAGGTTGTTGAGGACGTTCTTCGCGCTGAAGAGGGTATATATGAGGAGGGAGCCAATGCGGACTCTGAGGAGGACGACGGGCTCGACGATGATCAGGCATCAGATGACGAAAAAGAGGCAGATCGAGCATCACAGCTTACCAGTGAGATGGACATCTCCGAGTACTCCAGCATCGTCGATGAGGTTCACGGTCTCGAGGGGAGTGATATGAGTGACGACGAAGGAGGAGAGAAGCAACAGCAAGGCCGCCTGGGAAGCGAACAAGGTCAGGTCATCGAGCGTGGGAGGGATCAGAAGGCGATGACGGGAGCAGGCGCCGATTCGGGCGCTGCATTCGAGCTGGTGGCAGGGGACGCCAAAGCAGCCGTAAACGCGCAAGCACTCCTGCGAGCGTTTCACGAGCTGGAGAGTCTGGGACCTCGTTTGTCCTCGCTCTCGGAGCAGCTTCAGTACGCCCACCTCACCAAGGACACCACTGAAGATCATAGCCGAGCAGAGAAAGCTTTGACAGCAGTCGAAGCTTTAGCCTTTCAGCTCAAGCGTCTGGTAGCCGGAGGTCGAGATGTACAACAGCCCGACGTCCCACCTAGTTTGTCAGTGGCACGACCTTCTACGCCACCCAGGAAGAGAGCCAAGCGCACGGTGGACTCCGCGGACTTGTCGCAGTCACAGAGAGGCCAGGGTTGGGACGCTAATAGAGGCATTCTCGCAGCAGATACAGAGGTTAAGCAGAAGCGCAAGCAATCGCACGGCATCTTCTAGTTACACGGGAAACGGCATGTATAGAGAGCATTTTTATTTACTTATGTTGAATATCACGACGGGGACTTGGACGGATTTTGCGTCCAAGTCGACGCGCGGCGGAGTTGCGGCCACGTGTGCCACGCCGAGCCGCGTTCGTGGTCCGTTCCCAGAAAGGAAGGTAGCTGGGGCGGCTTCTTCTCCCGTCCTTCGCGGCATTGATGTCCGTGAAAGTTTTTTAATATGTATATACGTATTACGCTGTAGTACTATGATTTAAGCTTGAGGCTTGTGTAGAGAACTTAGCTACTCGCGAGTCTTTTTAGATAGCATTTCTGCGCATTATTCCCTTTCTATGAACATCCAGCCGACCGAGGTACTGGGCCACACGCCGGTCGAGCCGCAAATTCAACGCAAATCAAACTTCCTCATGGTTGAATTCACAAAATCTTACGACACATATGTATATATCTAGCAGTATTAATGATTCTTTCGTACTTATTGTCCTCACTTTGAGCTTGCGATTTGATACAGGCTCTCGCAAACTTGGTTTGACTCTGTGCGCCACTCACGACTTGGCGCAAACTTCGCGTCTCGTCCTGCTGACCGGCTCTGCGGCGCCATCAGCGAAGCCTGTTGCCTTTGCCTCGAGGTCGCCCTTCCTCTGGGCGAATCCCTACGTCACTCTTTGTTCACGCTGCCTAGCCAATGACACCTCTCTCTTTGCATCCGCCTCCAGAACCCCTGCCTCTCTCGTCGTCGTCGTCGCCCTCGTCGACCCAACGTCGACCCCAACTCCTGCGCGTTTGCTTCCGCCCTCTCCGCGACTCCCGCTTTCCCCTGCCGTTTTGGTCCGCGACGGCTCCTTGTCTCTTTCGGCGCCTCCTTCCGTGGTGTTCGTGTCGTAGTCTTTTCCTCTCAGAGGTGGGCACCGTAGGTCGAGATTCGGCGTTGGGAGCCATGCGCAAAGCCACGCGCGGAGGCGGGAAACAAACGAACGAGTCGCGCTATGTGGCGCAGGCGGACATTTTCATCCTTACTAGGAAGAGTCGACGGCTGGGCCTGAGACATCGAATGCGACGGTTGGACCTTCGACTTCGACTACGACGTCTGAACCCTCGACTTCGAACGAGACATGTGCGCCTTCCACCTCGACTGCAAACCATGAATCTTCGACTTCAACTGCCACCACTGAACCCGCGACTTCGACGTCCACAAACACAACCACAGACCCACCATCATCTGCACCCTCCACCTCGACACTTACACCGACATCGACATCGACAACATCAGGCCGTGTCGGAATATTTCCCGCATGGTATTGGGCTGAACTAGAGGAATGGAGGAAAGAGGAGCCCGAACGGCGTCATAATCATTCCACTTCCAATCCCCAGGCGGGACCCTCGCGTACGCACTCACAGTCCCACTCACAGTCGCATCCGCATCCAGAGTCGCGCCCGCATTCGCCTAGGCAATTACAGTGGGAACATGAGACCCCCGAAAGTATGGCGCCACGACGACGACGACCGCGGCCGCCGCGATCGCCATCGCCACCTCCACATGAATCTGCTCGTGTCCTTGACCGTGAAGCCCCTCCGCATTTCCAGTTTCGTGAACAGGCGAGGGCGGCGACGATGGGAAGTTCGAACACGAACGCTCCGGGAGAGGATCTGGCTGGTGGTGTCTCTGTGGGGATTCAAGACAACGACAACAAAGGCGAGGGTGGCGGCGGAGGAGGAGGCGAAGGGAGTCGGCAGACCGTTTCGAGGTGGCGGCTTTGAGGGCTCTTTCGAGATGAATCCTGGTCAATGCAATGCGTGTTCGTGTGGCCACACATGTCATGCTGGTCTCGGTTCGTATCTTGGCTCGGGACGTTTCATACGGGATAAAGCCTGATAAAGCTCTCGGCGCTCGGCTCTTGGGTTCTCGACGACGGACGACGGACAACGCGACAGCTGGCGACGAGTTTCATCCGCGACAGAGACCGATTTCGGATCAGGCTAGGTTGAGCTGGGAAGGGCGGCAAGGGACTCATTGTGACTGAGCTGGGAAGTTCAGCGTTTCAGCGTTTCAGCCTGCGGGTATGAATATGAAGGAAGAAGTCGTGACTCTACTGGGAATCGTCGTCACGGAATGGTATGAATGGAATGGAGACGCTTTACGGTTCCGGGCTTTGGATACCTATCCAATCGTCTGTTTGCTGCATAAACGTTCATCGTTCGACTTTCATCGTTCATCGTTTGAGTAGTACCCGTACTCATGAAGGTGACATTCCTATCCTTGGTCGTGGCTTTTTGTTTGGGAGACGCGTTTATTTAGACGTGTACGCGCGCGTACGGGTCTCGGTTCGCGTAGTACGCGTACACGGGTACTTCGCGACGCGTCGCGTCCCATGCTGTCCGTTACCGGTCAGCGCTTGACTCTCATTTGGGCGGCTCTGTCGCAGGAATGATTTGATGAGTCCTGCCAGCGTGGACATGGACAGGCTCGGAGCACCGAGATCGATGTGGCATCGCCTCGGTGTTTCTGTACTCGTACTGTTGCACGCTCGCTACAGTTGAATGATGCAGAACGGTCCAAAGCACGACAGCTAACGAGTCGCCACATCGATGTCCTCTCGAGTCTTACTAGAGGTTAGAACCGACATCTCTCCGCCTCGTGCTTCGGCCAAGGGAGATGCTCCGGTTCGAGGTCAAAATGGATTCAAAGCGCGTCTCCGTACTGTCTCCGCACTGTGTAATTGCCGCCGCCCGCCCGTCCGGTTGGCTGTGCTGTGCTGGCTTTCGAATCATGATTCGTGGCAACAGCATCGATATCTCCGGTTTACGCGAGCGTTTACGGGATTTATAATTGGCGTAATAAAGGCGGTATGACACAGATCATGGGAAGAAGGTTAACATCCTCGGACCGAGGTACAAATACCGGTCTACAATTGTCAGTCAAAGGAGCAATGGGCTTGCCCTCTCGTCCTTGCCAAAAGCCTGCGGAATCGAATTCAGAGTCAGCCTTTCTCGAATGTCAGGCCACAGGTACACCACCTCGCCTAGGACCATTGAGGTAAAGTTCATTCGCATCGTGTTCACGATCGGTCCTTTCATTTTTTCCAAGTCCGAGTCGTCCCTGCTCCGCTCACACGACTCCCGAATCGAGCCACCACGCGAAACCGCATATGGACTTCTCTGTGCGCATGCTTTGCGCCCCTCCGACACACGATTTGTCGTCGGGAGTCGAGGGCAGGCTAGGGCAGGTGATGCTTTGCGATGAGGTCCATCCTGACGTGTTATCGGCTCCTGAGCCATCTTCCCATCGGGGTTAGCAAAGTAGTCTCTTTCCCAACGAATCATGATGGCGTTGCACGATGATGGTGCTCTTTGTTCATAACGTGAAGATGTCGTCAACATCGGGGTAGGACGTATCTCAAGACCCAATCGCGATAGGGATTTAATTATATTTAGAGGGAATGAATAACGCTTATTCAGGGGCGCTTATGCTGACCATCGCAGATTCTGGCGCCTCCCACCGGTGATGTGGCAAAGGCAGGCAGGTGTGGCCCGACGCTGTGCCCGACATCGACCGAGTCCGCGTCGTGTAGATGAACGACAGAACTTTCGCCTGAGCAAGTTGAACGACGTCGGAATTTATGCAAGTACAAGGATGTGTTTCAGCTCTGCGTGCCTCGTTTATTCGACCGCAGCCGGGACACAGAAGGGGACAAGTGAGGAATTTTGCCGGCGCCAGATCCGGGAAAAGATGGGGGCGGGGACGGGACGTGTGCCGAAGATGGGAACCGCTCTTTTTTCTGGGTGTTTTTGTGTGCGCCAGGAACGGGCGACGGAAGCAAGCGGTCGGCCGTGGCACCGGGCTCGAAGCACGAAATTCGCGAAACACGTCCCGGAAATGGACATGCTGACTAATCAAGCAAGTCATGCCGCGCCAGTCAACTGTCCTCCCGACGCGCCTTCCCACTCTCAGCCTTCTGCCCTCATCCGCGCCCTCTCGCCCCCCAGTCATCCGCGACGACGTCGGTCATCCACGCCCCCGACCAGAAATCGACTTCTTTTGCTGCTAGGAATATTTGCATGGCCACACCGTCGTCTTCGGCGACCACCCCTTCGCCTCCGATGGCCTACTTACAGGCTCAGAACGCGCCCCAGGGCGCGATGCACTCCCTGTCGACTGTGAACATCGCCAATAATTCTAGTTCTCATAGTCAAGAGGATGAGGCGAGGAGACTGGCCGTACAGAAAGTCCTCGCCAGAGCTCATATGTCCGAGGTAGGTCTGAACTATAGGAGGCGTCCAGAGGTATAATCCGATTATTCGGGGTGAGACGCGTCGCGACGTGTTAGAACTCCCACGGTCCGCTCACAACACCGGGTTATAGCTCTGGACGTCTCTATTTTCTTTTTTGTTGTCTGTTCCTGGCCACTAATCACTCGGTTCTTTTTCCTGTCTCGGTGCACGTTCGCGGTGGTATGGTATGCCTTCGACGCGCATGCAGCTTACGCGTGGTTTACGCGCGCGACTCGCGTATGCAAGCTTCAAGGCCACACACAACGTTATTTCAGTATCGCTTCCTGAGCTCGAGTCTCTTCAACTGGGCGAAGCAGCAGCTTATAATCACGCATTCGGCAATCATGCTAACAGCAGCAACTATGCCTACGGAGGACGTTACCATCCTACCGCTACTTCTACCCGCACAAACTACTACGACAACCCAGCCACACAAGGAAATAGCGCCATGATACCTGCCTCGGCGTCTCATTCCTCTCTCACACCACTCGGCGCCACAGGATCTACCGCCACCGCTACTCCGTCCCATCGACGCGGGTCCATGGCTCCGCCTACCGCTATTCCTACCGCTCGTGGCTCTTTCGGTCAGTCTTCTTCGACATCCGGAGGGACTAGCGGGCACCAGAGTCTTTACGCTTCTATTCTCACTCTCCCCCCTGCGAAGCGAGCGCGTACTATACATAATCCTGAAGACCCTCCCGTTCCGGCTCCGAAGAAGATGAACAACGGTGGCGGTGGCGGTCCCGGGACGCCCACTCATCACGGTTCTCAATCTTCTACCTCTAGACATCATCGCCGTAGGGGTTCTGAGCAGGCCACTTCTGGCGCTCCTCTTACGCGTACCGGCTCTGGCTCCGGAGCGTTCTCCAGTGTAGCGGAACGTACTCGAGGCGCTCAATCATCACGTACCAAGCCAGCATCTTCTTCCAACAAGACACCGTCATCTTCGAAGCGCAAGAAAACGTCTTCGTCGTCCACCCACAAAGAATCGTCTTCTCGCAAGTCCAAGGGCAAGGACCGCGAACGCGACCCCCATCACTCCCACTCACGCAAGCGTCAGCGAGCGGAGTACGAGATGGATCTCGGAGGCGACGTTGACACATACGACCCCATGGATCTCGATATGAAGGCCGCCGCTACGCTCACGCATCTCCTACGCAACTCTCGCTCGTCTTTCCAGTCCCAGTCCTCCGTAGGCGCCCCTTCCACCGTAGCCAGTGGAGCGGGAGCACTGTCTCCGCGGTCGAGCATATCAGCCGGCTCTGACGTCGGCTCGAGCATCTCGCAGCACTTCGCGCAGAGCTCGACGAGAACGACCAGTCATCCGAACCCGACGGCCGCTAACGCAGCGGTAGATCCGTCGTCGTCGTCGTTTACTTCTCAGGCTTCGGCCGCGGCTCTCATGCCAGCTACCTCATCCACGAGGCTTCGGACACCTCCGATGGGTAACCAAACCCAAGGGCATACCCAAGCCCATGCCCATGATCATCAGGGCAGCCTTACCCCCAAGGCTTCATCCTCGGTCTCTGTTTCTGCCTCTGCGTCTGCCGCCCACGTTGGCGGCGGAGGTGGAGGCGCAGATGGGAGTGGTGGGACGGATGGGAGAGCACCGTCGTTCCCGCCGGACCAGGTCGACCAGGAGGCCCTTAACCTACTTACCTTTTTCCATACGTCTCCGTCGCCTGCGAGACCAAATACGACGCGGAACAGGGAAACGCAGGATGCGGCGGCGTTTAGGGCGTTCACGCGTTCGATCAGCGGAGGGTCGGGGTCTGGGTCAGAGCTGAGGGCGAAGGGGAGGGTGTTGTTCCCCGAGACGGGCTCCGGTCTGGGTGCGGGTTCGGCGGCGAATATCGGCGAGATCATCGGCGCGAACACTGGTACGAGCAGCGGTGGAGGGACTGGAGGATTGGCGCAGAGGATGTTGGTCAGAGATAATTCGGGTAGTGCTGCGACTTTGGTCGGAGAGAGTATCGGTGGGACGCCAGGGAGGAGTCGTCTGGGGAGTGCGACGATGATCGCGGATGAGACCACTTCGCCCACGAGGGGAGAAGACGGCAGTGAAGGTAAAGTCACGCCCACCCAACTTCTTTACAAGGCGCACTTGAATGCGAAGACTGGTTCGGAGAATGAGAAGTCGCAGTCGCAGCAGGAAGAATCTGCCGTCGCAGCTGTTCTACAAGCGACGCAGCTTCTGCCTCCCCCGCCTTCGCCGTCTCGTGCGTCGCTCGCAGTAGCCCCCCCTTCGCCCTCTCCTTCCGCCGTCGACGTCACCTCTCAGCCTCAAGCCTCTCAAGCGCCTGGAACGCCACCGAAACAGACCGTGGGCGGTATGGGATCCGCGTTTGCTGGAGGCGGGTTCGGGTCGTTCAATATGCACGACTTCATCAATGTGTCACCGAGTCCGGGGTTTGTGGCTAGTTCGAGGTTTGCGCGAACGGGGAGAGAAGGGAGTGTGGGGACTTTGTCGGGGTTGAGGGCGGATGTGGGGAGGAAGTTGTTTGAGGGGTGAAGTGGAGGAGGGCGGTTGGTTGAAGGTGGGATGTAGTATTTGCCATGGTACGCGAGAAGCGCATTGGCTTCGGTCGCTCTTGTCGTCGAATCGCGCTCATAAGAATAGCCAGACTTGCAGATGGTCTGGCGGGCGCTGGTGGCAAGTCGGGATGGGGACGCCACGGAGACAAGGGGGTATCTGTTGCCGCGTAGTGGGGAAATGGGTTTGGCCATTTCTGGTGGGTGAAATGGAGGAAAGCTTCGGGGAGAGGCAGAGTATTTATTGGACTTCAGCGAAGACAGAAGACGGACGCGCACGAAAGCTCATCATCGCAAGTTTTCGCTCTATAGTCTTATCGTTCACGTCGTCGTCGAAGGTCTCAACAACCATTGTAACATCATTCACATCCACGCATAGTCTCCGTGTATCCAATCAACGTCGTCGTCGTCTCGCCCTTGAACTCCTCTATACACGACGCGCGGTCAGCTGGGTCGGATTCTACGCCTAGGACCTGGGAATTACCTGCAGGGTGTTCGTGGGTCTGGGCGGTGTATCCTATCTAGTCACCGGAGGGTTGATGGCGGCATATTTTCTTCATCGATCGATGTATCAATGTCGTTTCCTTTTTCTTTTTAACAATTTTTGCTCCTATTTTTCCCGGTTGCGTTTCCGTTTTGATCTCATTTGCTTGGTTAGTCCCTTCCTTTATTCGGTTACACCACAATTACTGCTCGCTAATCTCTTCCTTTCTCTGCTTTATTTTCGTTTAGGTTGATTCTCTTTCACTTTTCATCACTGGACTAGTGCACGACTGGATGTCTATCCCGTCGTAGCGCTAGTCTATTTTATACATATAATCCACGAGCTTCACATCAAACAGCATACGTCTCGGTTCGCTCGTTCCTCATTTGCTTCGTCACCTTTGTTCTTTCACTTCTCAAACACCCATTTCATGTCCCTTTCTATTCATCTCATTTGTCTCATTCGTCAATGTATATCTAACCTAGGCCGTCCCTTCTTTTCTCCCATTCCCGTCACCTTCACTTGACTTATTCACATCTCGAGTGTTTGTACGTTCTGAGCAATCGTGCTCGTAACCCATATAGATCTCTATCACGCCGTATCCCGTTCGTGCTTGTTTTTTGTCTTTACCCTTCGTATCCTTTTTTTTTTTTTTCATTTTCTGCCTTTATCCCCGCATCTTCGGGTTCGATCTCTACCCTTTATTGTCTCCCCTTCTTGATTATGACTCGCTTCTTCGGTTCGGTTCGGTTCGAAATTTGACGGTTCTCGTTCGCTTGGTTTTTGGTTTTGGTTTTCAGTTGCGGCATGTGGGTGATAATTTGTCGAGGATCGCATTCGTGCGTCGAGCGTTAGGCTCGACTGTGCGGTACGTGAGACGTAGTGAGTATTTTCACCGAGCATCAGGCTGGGTAGGATTTACTGTAGTGTCTGCTGAATCTAATGAGAAGTTGGTTTATCTCTTTTTTTTGTGCGGTGCGTACTACTCTACTCAACCTGCTTTCAGACGAACTTGTCGTAGGAAGGAAGGAAGGAAGGTATATACGCGAGAACGGTTTGGATAGAGTATCTGGTGAAGGATGAACGAGTGTAGGGTATATGAAATAGCAGGACCAAGTTGGACGTAGTTACAGCTTCCAAAGTAAGTTCGAACGATGAACCTTCTCTGGTAGGCTGAGCCACTCGGAGTTTCGGAATGACTCGGATTGGCGGAGGCAAAGCGTAAGGTACGGGGATGGGGACTAAGGATGAACATACGTAGTGTCCGTGTTACGGTTCGTTGGTGGACTTCTTCCTGGATGTCGACGGCCTATCTCTGCGAGGAACCGACACAAAGGGTGGATCAATTCACAATGAAGTTGATATGTGTCGTAATACTAATTATGGTGGTTCGAGTGCTGAGATGAGAGGGAGTCCGGTTGAATAAGGGAGCGGGCTTTCCTAGTTGTGAGTGTTGGCAGGGTGGGCGTCTACGGGTTATGCGATAAGCGAGTACGACCATCATGATGCTACCGCCGGGGCCGTGACGAACGTTCGTAGAGTTCAGCCGTTAATCGCACAGGTGAGGATCTGAAGCCTTCAGTACTTAATTCGAGAAAGAGGGTGGTCTGAGTTTTTCCGTTTGCCTTACACCACTGCCGTTCAAACTAGGCCATAGTAAATGAAAGGAAGTCAGACACGACCGAGACACACATAACCGGCAACAGCCGGTTAACACGAAATTCGAACTTTCAAGTTAGCATGCATCGTTGGACGGTAAGGGCAATATTATATTCTGGACGTGTGGGTCGACGATGAGTGGCTCAACATTCATAGACCCTACTTATTTAGATCCCACAAGGACCTAAGACATTGTGATGGTGGGCCGGACACTCGTCGTCGACGAGAGCGTCGAGAGGTTCGAGCATATGAATGTGGCGGTGGCACCTTCACACTGCGTCTGGCTGAGCACAATATGCAAGCTCTGCAACGTGCATGGTCATTCAAGATTGAAATCAGAAGAGGATACATCAAGGCAAGGCTGCCAATGACAAACCATCGTACGGTTTATGCCTGTGATTATAGCCTTCCCAAGGCGAAGTCTTTGGACTGATATGTCGCGGTCGGGTTTCAAGGAGGATGAACTTAGGCTAGGGTGAACGCAAGGTGCTGCAGACCTCCCGCAGACCTCCATCGAGTCCTAGTTTGGCGATATGTTGGTGTTTCAGAAAGAGCCGCCACGGTGAGGAACGGAGACGACGAGAATGAGCTTGAGATTATCGGTAGAGTCTGAGGTAAGATTGGTATGAACAAGGAACTTCCAAGATGCTACAAGTCCTAAGCGTAAGTTTGAATTGACCTGGCCATCGAATGGCCCATGAACCCTTCCCTATAGTCCAGGTACAGATAGGATGCTTATATGAGCTTGATCGACAAAGAATAAGGAGTACTGTAGTACGGAATGACGCACCGAGGACTTCCCAAGAACCCTGAGACTTTCCCCACGTACTTATCGTCAGCAGGTATCATGAGTCATGATGTCCACAGGCTGCCATGGGTAATCATGCGCTGACGCGCTCGGAATAACCAGAGTCACTTCGAGAATAAGGTGTTCTGATCTGGCAGGGACGCTCTGAATGGATCGTCAAGCAAAACTTTACTACACACGCCATTGGTGCCAATAGCTGACCTGGAGCGTGGTCGTGAAATATGTCCTATAGGGTTATAACCTAATCTTCTCCTTGCCATTGGCGCACGGGACGAGATGCATGACCGGTTGAGCCGTGGTTTGGTGGAAGATACGGCTGAGTCGAGCGAAAAGAAGCGCTGGACACGCTTGGGCCCGAGGGCCCCGAGAATTCCCATTTCGCGGAAATGCTCGGGATCGACGTCTTTCTTTCTTTCCCCCATCATCCTCCACGACCTTTCTCTTCGCCGGTTGCAGGAGCGCACGAATTCGTCTTGGAGGACCACTCTAGACCCTCCTATTCGGGAAATTTCGACTCCATGGCGTACCATAATAATCCCCACGTCCCACCGCCCCCAGTTGTCTTAGGCCCTACTCAGCGTCCGAGACCCTCCTTTGCCGTTCCGACGACGAGCGCACGAGCCAGCACCAGTTATCTCGGACCAACGGCCAACTCAAACCAGAATAATATTCCCATACATCCCCCGACGCCAGCGCCGTTCAAAGCACCCGCACACAGACATGCCCACCACCTCCACTCCATCCCTCCCCGCGAGAAATCAGCCCGGACGCTTATCATCGATTATCAACTCTGGACACATGCACGCACTCGCTTCGCTCAGGCTCGCTCTGAGCTTGGCATGACGGACCGCACGGGCGGTCAATTGTCACCGAACTACGCGCACCGCGAACGGCCAGAGAATTGGGACGAGGACGAGGAGGTACCGAGCGATGGGGAGAACACAGCGCCTTTGTTTGCGAGGGAGGGAGGGCCAGGACACACGCACGATGAGGATGACGACTTGAGGTTTGCGAGGCAGGACTTGGACCTGGCGAGGAGGTTGAGGCTGAGGGCGGAAGCGGTCGAGAAGGTCGTATCGGGAATGCTGGAGCAGCCGCCGATGGACCATGCGTTCCCGGAGGATGAGCCTGTTGTCCCTGCGCCGACTTCGCCTAGACAGAGATCGGGTAGTGTCAACGGTGCTGCGCCACCGACGGGGATAGGTACAGGCAAGCACCCGCACATGCTGCCGAACGGGGTGAGGTTGAGGCTGGCACTGGCGACGGTGCTGAACGACCTGTTTGCGAGGCAAATGCCGGCGATGCGGCATGTCAGGCCGGAGCTCTCGAGGAGTGGCTCAACGTCGGCTACGGATAGCTCGCAGCCCTCGCCCGTATTGTCGACCGACAGGCTCTACAGCCAGAATCCATTCGCGACATCTGGTCTTCCGTACGCTCTCTACCCACTCTCTGTCGTATCCAGTGCATCTGCATCTCACCCTTCTGCGTATCCAGTGCGTATTTCCCCTCTTACGCCAAGATCTATCTAACCTCCTCCGCTCCCACAGAACACCCCCTATTCGTATTCACCCCAACCCGCCCAACAAATCCAATACACTATGTACCCGCCACCCCAACCTAACCCCCGTGCCCGCGACATGTTCCTCTCCGGCGCAGATCCCACCACCGCCAACTCCCCACCATCCCTCCGCTGTCCGCGTCATCTTCACAACGGTTGCGAAATCTGCGTTGAAGCCAAGACCAAGATTAACACCCGTATCCGCGGTGGCACGACAACCAACAACTCACAGGGTAGGAACCCAAGCGGAAACACACTTGGCGCAACAGGCGTCACCGGCTTCAAGGATGGGAGTGGCGTTGGTTCAGGATTGGCTAGGCCGGGTCTTGGAGGGAGTGTGATGCGGAGACAGGTTGGTGGAGAACAGGATGCAGAGCCTAGGGATGGAGATCGGGGTATGGGTACGACGGGCAAGGGCAATACGAGACTTTCAGAGCTCATACCCAGGTTTATTCGTCTCTCTGCCCTCGTCTCGCTCGAGCTCGGACGTGAAGCGGGGCTCGCACCCGAGATGGAGGACGAAGTCGAAAGTGCCCGACCACCCTCTTCGCAGAGCTCATCGAACGCTTCTTCGCGGGCTGTCAACCGTCCTTATGCACGCGCCCTCAAGCCTACGAACGAATGGTACATGCTCCTCGCTGGTCTTCTCACCCGTGCCGTCCTCGAAGGATACCTCACCGCTCACTGGCGGGGTCTTTCTCCCGTGCAAGTCCTCCTCGGCGTTGGTCTCGGACTCGCACCGGACGGAGTGAGCGCGAGCTCGTTGATGCCGCCTGATCCGTTCGCAGAGTTTGATCCGGATGATCTACCGGATCTGGGTGAGGCGATCAGGATACTGTTCCCGGCGTTGAGGGCGCAGAGTGAGATGGTGGCGAGCGGGGTGGCGAGCGGGGCTGTTTGTCCGAGGAGGGATGATGGTGAGGCGGTTTATGAGAGGGAGATGATGGCTAGACTAGCCAGGGTACGTGCTCGTTCTTCTCTACCTCGTGCTCTTAGATGCTCATGCTACGATGTTTTAGTTCTTTGACGTACCATCAAGCACACCAGACCTTTCGACACATATGGAGGATCTGGCCTGGCAGTTCCCAGCTGAACCCGTCGAGCGGGCTGCTCTCCGATTCTGCGAAGCCATCGCCAAATGGCGAGGAAAACCAGAGATTGAAAACGTACGTCTCATCATACATCTTGCCCTCTCTCCCCACATTTCCTGACCTCTCTTGCTTTCTTACGCCACAGTACAAAAAGCATCCACCAGGCTTCTGGCGTACCCCCGCCTCCACCCCCGCAGACACGACTGGCACCTCCTCCTCCTATCCACCCACACCCGCGCCACCCACACCACAGAGTCCACAAATGAATCGCAGGAGGGCGAATTCGGGCGCTACGGTAGGGTCGCTTAGAGCTCCGATCGAGAAGTACTTCATGATGCCGGGGCAGTCGTCGGGTATTGGGAGGAAGCGGGGAAGAGAGGGCGAGAGGGAGTTCAGGGTGAGTGTGACTAGTCCGGTGGCAACGACGGGGATGGGCGGTGGTGGGGGCCTTAGGTCTCCTCAGATGGGGAATGGACAGGGACAGGGTGGACAGAGTGGGAGTGGGATGGGAGGTATGATTGGGAATGGAAACGGGAATGGGTATATGGGTATGGGTATGGGTGGTGGTGTCGGTGGCAGTACGGATGATTGGAGGGCGGAGAAGAGGGTGCATCTTTCTTCGAGCACGTCGTAGGTACCCCGTTCGTCAGTTGTCGTTCGTTGTCTTTCAAGTTTCACTCTAGGGCTTCTTTTGTGGGACTTTCTGAGTATGATGATTTATGTTTCGTGTTTCCGATGTGTTTTGTCGGTGCGTCCGTCTGTTGGTGTTCAGCGAGAGAGAGAGAGATTGTGGCACGCACGCAGTTTTGATGGGCCTTGTACGATTTTCCGAGCGTCGAGTGTTTCTTTTCTTTTTCGTGATCCTTACTCTTAGTCTTATTCCCTCATTACCTCTTCTTCCAAGTTCTCTCTTTCCCTACCCGGCTCTTTCCACTATCCACAGCTCCTAATCCGTCCCTCCGTTCGTCCATGCACTTGCACCCGCGCTCATGGTTTGTCGCCATATATTGTTACTCTTTCTTTGATACCGATACCTAGCCTCGTTCGTCATCCCGCTACCAGTACTGCTCTCAACGAAGCTCCCCATGCCACTCATCCAATTGTATCTCTTGTTTTATCTGTCGATATTTTTTGCAAATATAGCCTTAGATTCAGACTCTGGTCTCGCTTTACCGAGTGCGGCTACATTGCTTTCTCTGATGGGTTGTGTGGTCTACTTACGCTCATGATCTTGAATGGGGATCGGCAGGGATCGGCGCTAAACTGTGCTCTCGTTCTCGCCACTGCCAGGTCTACAGTACGGTTACAGACTTGTTTAGCATGCGTAGAAACATGCTCCCCTTGCGTTCCGAAACGGCCACATACCTTTCCTTACGCTCTTCACCATGCACGTCCGTCATGGCGCGGAAACGCCGAACCGCCAAACGCATGACTGACAGCGTTGGGCCGTTGGCTTCCACAACGGATCTGACTCACTTCTCACCACCCAAGGGCCCTCAACCCTATCGTACACTGCATCCTCAAAACTTGGGTACTCTTTCTGAGTCGACAGGCGCACTTCTTCTACGCACTTGAGCTTGATCGATTGACCTCTCACGCCGCAGACCTCTGCAAATTGCTTCCTCATCGATTCTTCTTCAAAAGCTCTGCTCCAAAAAAGAAAATATCTTCGACTTGCAGAAAGTGCTATGGCTATTACGGTTGAGACTGGAGCTGTCGCGGTGTATTGTGCTTCGTCCATCGGAAAACAAAAGGCCTATACCAACGCCGCTACCTGTCAGTCGACCTCTCCTCTACATCCCTCCATCCCTCTACATCGAATATCCTTTACCCGCCACATCCAAACATGATCTGTATCTCGTACGGATGGCTAACGCAATACCGCATGTAACACTACTTTCACTTTCGAATACAGCCCTCGGCCACGCACTAGGATCCTCAAGCCGTCCACTCGTCTACGGAGGCGGGTCCAAAGGAATCATGGGCGTCGTTTCTGGAGCGGTGTTAGAGAAGGGAGGTCAGGTTTTGGGGGTCGTTCCTGCGGCTATGGTCAAAGCGGGTGGTGAGGGGGATAAAGGCGAGGAGGAGTCGGGAGCTGTGCATGTGGTGTTGAATGAGGAGGGAAGGGAGATGGTGTGTTTACTTTTTTCACTCTTGTTCTTTTGTTAGTTTGTGGTTGGAGAGTGGAGGCTGATTGAGTCGATGCGTTGTTTTGCGGAATGGGTGAAAAGGTCGAGACGGTGAGTAGTCCTTGTCGAACGCCCGACTAAGAGATCGGGAGGACTGAGTGCTGTGTGTTGCGTGGGTATAGATTGTCGTTCAATCTATGCATGAGAGGAAGGTCGAGATGGCGAAGAGGGCGGTAGGTTTTATGGGTCTACCGGGAGGTTTTGGGACGTTCGAGGAGGTATGCTGATCTGACATGCTTTTCATTGTTCATTGGCGATTTAACTAAATTTGCTTCATAGATCATGGAGGGTGAGTTCGCCTGTGGCGTTACATGACGCACAAGCTTACCTTCCTCCATTCCGTGCAGTCATCACATGGACACAACTAGGGATCCATAACAAACGTGCGTTCTTCTCTCGCCCGTCACCCCGCACAAACAATCTAACTCCGCCTACTTCCCTATCTCCCAAACAGCCGTCATCCTAATCAACGTCCTCAACTTCTACGAACCCCTCCGCCAACTCATCCGTCGCGCCGTCTCCGAAGGCTTCATCCAACCCCACAACGAACAACTCGCCATCTTCGTCGACGGGCCATCCGACGAATCCGAGCACGGGACGTTCGACTGGGGGAAAGCTGCGTTAGACGCACTGGATGGATGGAAGAGGGATAGGAAGGGGATGTTTGAGTGGCGGGAGGGAAGTATTGGCGGGTTGGAGTCTTCGTAGACTTACGGTCTAACACAATGGAGACGTTTGCCATTGTGTTTGGGAACGAAGCCAGATGCTCATAAATTCTGCCGCGCCTGCTCTGCGACTAAGTTATGTGCATCCTGAGGTCAACAACTAGACCTTGATCGGCGACACGAATCTACTATAACACGCTCAATCGCTCGATTACATAAATAGAGCGACTTCAGACAGTGTCGACACCTGTTGTTACGGGCCACTACGTTATATCTAGTCGTAAGCAACGCCAGTCTCGAACAGCATGGAAATATGTGTTCATTCATTGAAAGTGCCCTGCGGCACCTTACCCACAACAACATTTCGTTCTATGGGATTGGAGATCTTCGCTAACCAAGTCAGGAGAAACTTGTACGTAGAGGACTGTTTGCCTTCCCCAGCCGCAAAGTCCATTAGCAGATTCATGTGCACCCCGTTTGTCTCGACAATAGTCAATACTCTCGGATGTTTTCTTCCCAGTCTGTCTCCCAATGCTACCATATGGTCCTTCAAGAGCTCTACTTCTCCGATTGTGATAAGGAGATGTCCCACTACATCTCCAAGTCCTTCCCACCAGGCTTGCGGAGCAGTCGAAGGGTCGAAATTGGGCTGAAATATGGAACTGATGTGCGGGTGCGCAAGGCGGGCGAGAAAGTTATTGAAAGAGACAGTCACGATATCTCTGCTATTGTCGAGTGTAGAGGGGATATCCTGGCCGAACAATACCCAGGGCGACATAAGAAATGCGCCGCCAATGGGACTGTGTACGGTCCACGGGGGAATATCGGGCATAGGGTGGATAATGTGGGCGAAGAGCTGGAGTATAAGGGCAGCGCCAGCGGAGTCGCCTCCTAGGACTATGTGGTTCGCCCGTGTTCCATGATCGACAAGGTGCTTCATGGCAGAAACGAGTTGACGAAGTTGAATTGGGAACGTTGATTGAGGAGCTAAGGCTGAATCCACAGACGAGGAATCAGATTGAGTCTACACGGACGTCGAGACATAGCATACCGTACGCGAGGAGTGCAACGTCAAATCCGTCTTTATGATCCTTGAAGTCGTCGTAAATTGCCTTGAGGAGGTTTAGATGCTGCTCTTCATTAGCTGGAAGTACAAATCCCCCCCCTATCCATAGTATTGTCAGTTATGCCTGTAGAATGGTCACAATGAGAGATCTAGAGTATACCATGACACCACAAGAGGACACGGTCATGTTTGCGATTGCCAAGCCACAGCAACTTCGCCCCTCTCTCGATGTCATCCACTATGTGTGGTAACTTATTGCGCGTAGTCCACTTATCGTAAACATCCTTCGTAGCAGAGCCGGAGAGCCAGAGGACTTGGCGTATGCTCCACTCTCTACTCGTCAGAAAGTGAATTACCGAATCGACCAGTCTCCGTTTCCAGGTTCTTCCTCGATTTCGTGTCTTGAATACACCAACAAGTATGGCAAGAGCTGAACATAGTGACCAGTCAGATATATAAATGGAAGAATGTCTGAACACTCTCACGAAGCAACGCCAGAGCTAGTACGACCTGCAGACGCTCCAAGATAGTTGGTCGTTGCATTACCTGCCAAGAAACAAAATGACGGAAAACCGGCGAATATGTCCTCAGTCAATAGCTACCCACTAGTCGAAAGTGAGGAGGACCTGGACAAACCTGAGGATTCGGATATGCGTCGACAGCGGGGCCTAGAGTAGCGTTGGGCTGACGTTCTTGAGCGGCTTCCCAAGTTCTTCTCAAGGTAATGTCGATACTGACTAATGTGGAAGGTTTGCTCGAGGAGTCGATGGAGGACATGATCGATGGGTCTTGTCTAGACGCCCATCTGACAGTTCGCATACTCAAGGTTCTGAGGAATCTGAACGAGAAGGGAGAGACAGTGATTGCCCTGAGGTACGATCTCCTGGTGGATCAGGTCTAAGTTTGCGCACACTCCATCTTATTCCAGGGTACAAAACACTCGTACATCATCCTCCCGATTAACGGCAGAAGATATCAAAGATCTAGGTGAAACTGTCATAGCTGGAATGAGGTCTCAGTTTGCTCCCACACCATCTTCCTTCAACTCATTCCAGGGTACGAAACACCCGTAGACCATCCTCTAAACGGACAGCAGAAGATATCAAAGATCAAGGTGAAACGGTTATGGCTGGCATACATCACACATAGAGACGAATACAGATACATGCAGATCGGACTTGCGCTGTACGCTTCTCACGGAGGACACAGCTAATTCTGCATCTCGTATCAGTCAGGGACCCGGCAGCAGTCCAGAGACTTCAGCACGGGTGCTCGACCTTGCCTTGAGGGTCGAAATTAAACCTGGTATATCAGGGAACCGTCTGCAACCGTACATGATCTGCCTTGGGATACCATACGGGCTATGCGAGTGGTGCAGTTTATGCGGGTATTGTGTGTACAGCCTTGGTAGAGAACCGCTCTGCCGACGGGGATTAGTCCTACCGCGGTGCTTGCGCTGTGTGATGCTCAAAAGGAGCTGGGCCATACACAAACTTTCGAGTGGATGAAGCTTCATAGATAACTAGACCCAATAAGCAACATAATTCAGAGGCATAACGATGCTGCAGATGCGAGGCGTCGTTAACCAGAAAAATCTTGAAGGGTCAATGACCGTAACCCTCGATATCGCTTTCCGCGAGTTTGTCGTGGGGTCTGCCCAAATAAAAACAGTCTCGATCCACGACTTGGCGATCTTCGTGGCGGTCGTGCAGTGCTGCCTCCCAAACAGGGTGTGCTACTATGGCCCGCCTCAAGATTGCTCTATGTACATTGCTATAGTTTAGCATGTGAAGCCATAAGTATTTGAGAGCTGGAAGGAAGGAAGGAAGGAAGCATATTCAGGGTACAAGATGGGCCCATTCGGACCAATACCAGAAGGCTGTACTTGATACTTAGGTTGTATTCGAAGTTAGTGACGCGCCGTCTTGCGCGGAGGCCAGCGACGATGAGAATAAAGAGGACGAGACCTGAAAAAAGGACAGTCACGCACTCGAAATAAGTCTACAATGTCCTAGATGAGAGCAGAGTATGCTTGGATGAACTGGAAAAAAAACGTAGCGAAGCAGGCGTGAAGCATGGAGAAAAGCAAAACGCGTGGTGCGAGTGGCACAGACCTTATGTAACTTATTTGTACTTGTTGAAATGGGATGTCGACGCCATAATCACGGTGCGAAGGACAAGGTAAACCAGCTTCTACATCGCCTCAACCCACTTGATAATCCACACGCACTGCTTGATGTAGAGTTCCCGAATTCATGTTCTCTCCATCGTCCTACGTGATATTTGTAACAGCTTCGCCGACTCATATAGTTGATTCTTTTTGCCTTGATGATCACTTACTAGTGTGGATGCCGTGGCTGATGAACTCTATAAGTACGGTCATGATTTCACGAACTGGGGCTCGAGATGTCGCCGATGACACTGACCATCATTGGGATGTCCCCGCTCGTAGCCCCTTCCCTATATGCAATGCGTGAAACGCTTGTGCTGACGCAGTGCATGATAGTTTGGGTTAGATACTGACCTCCATTTGATGGAAGTGTCTGTGTGGTACGTACTCGTGATGATAGATCGCGGACCATGATAATCACCCATGCAACGCACTATCTTAACTTTCTTTCCGGTGAGAACAGATCTGCATGAAGACACTGAGGACGGAAGTGACCCTTGCGAGTGTGCATACGAAGCCAAGCTTGGGTTGAGGGGTAGATTTCCACGTTTCTCCCGTCGCCTGATTTTGTATCATTCAGATCAAGCTATGATACTATAAGTACTAGCCCAGTGTCTTTGCAGCCTCACGCAAACCCAGAAATGTTCTTCATCTCATCGGGTTATGGCGAAGTGACTGCAGCTATGACGGGTCTAGTATGTACAGAAGTCCTCATCGTCCTCCTGAGCCTAGCTAACTGACCTACTCAGTGCCTATATTTCTTCATATTCTACAAACCACTTCGAGGGGATACATGGTTGTGCGCTGAATTGCTTATGACAGCCATCATCCTTGTTTTTCGTTTCTTATGCGGTGACTCATTATCGGAGTCAATCAAGTTTTCTGCACGAATGTCTGCCTGTCATGTCGGCGCTCTTGTGCTCGCATGCATCTCATATCGCCTATCTCCACTCCATCCTCTGTATATGTTCCCAGGACCGAGGCTCAATAGAGTCACAAGCCTCAGGATCGCGCAGATTGTTGCTTCTGGTAAGAGGTATAGAACAATCCTCGAACTACATCGTCACTACGGGAAATTTGTGCGCACCGGTCAGTGAGCGCTCCTATTTCGGATCTTTGCTAGCAGATGTTTGATACTGCTGACGCATTCGTAGGTCCCAATACACTCTCGATCAATGACTACACAGCAGTACATCCGGTCTATGCGGTGGCATCTGCGTGGAATAAAAGCCAAGCATATGGTCTTGCGCGCCATCCCGGAACTAGTCTCTTCTTTCTTCAAGATCGAGAAGTACACAATTTTCGGAGGCGTCACTACTGGGCTCCTTCCTTCACAACTGAAAAGTATGCTGCGGACCTTGTTCCTCTTTCAGTTTGCCGTTCTCTAACAGAATCCCCACAGGCTTGCTTCTCATGCCCCCATGCTTCATAGGCGCACAAATGATATGCTAGATGTCCTCTGTAAAGGTCGTGAACAGGGAATTATCATCGATGCGTCTACCCTGTTAGAGCGCTGGTCCCATGATGTCACGGTGAGGTCTCTAGTACTATCATGTTCTCTGATTTTCTTACTATCTGTGAAAGGGAGAATTTATGTATGGTCGCGCTTATCATGCAGTAAGTCGATCCTGTCATGGTTTATCGCTTCGAGGTCTTACCTCACATGACGACTCTATATAGAACATGATACGAGACGGAGACCCACTCAATCTCGTCCATCACACATTGTCAACGGCAGAAACGTTTGAAATGTATGTCCTTGTCCGAGTGTTAGGCCTCGTGTGTAGGACTAAGTATTTGATCAGTCTCGGCGAAGTACCATCGTTATTCGATGTCCTTTGGCACCTTCCCAGCACGAACGTTGTACGCGTGATGGATGAAGTAGTTAACGCGGCTCTTAAGCAGCGATACTCTCAGGGCGAAGAAGATGATGACCTAGTTTCGTCCTTGGTCTGTACCCATTATGTGTGCGTTCAGTACATCCTTTTGTTGTTAATTCTTTATTCTCGCCATTCAGATGGTACATGAACCAGGGACCATACCACGTCTAAGAGATTCAGATATGAGACTCGAGGCATTGATAGCTCTTCAGGCAGGTATGTAATGTATTGTTTTATACCATGTAATCCGACTCATGAGATCATGGTTACTAGGAACAAACGGAATATCAACTGCTCTGACGTTCGCTTGCTTCTACCTGGCGTCGTTCCCTATGATCCAAGATCGACTGAGACAGGAACTACTCGCAACATTTTCTGAAGCAGACGGATTTTCTTATATGGACCCAAAGACGCTTGTCGAGCTACCGTACCTCAATGCGGTTGTCGAAGAGTCACTGAGGCTTGGAGCACCTCTTGGGTCATTTCCTCGAATCACCCCGAAAGGCGGTGCGACTCTTACAGGAGTATCTATTCCCGAAGGCACCATAGTTGGTGTACCTGTGTGGGCACAGATGGTGTCAGAGGACAACTTCTATCCCGATCCGACAAGTTTTCGGCCGGAGAGATGGCTCCCTGGAGGACTGGGTCCGGGGTCGCGTTTAAACAAGATTGCTTTAATGACATTTTCTCATGGTGAGTCATCTCGCACGTCGTAGCACCTCTTACTTCTGCTCATTATCTGCTATTTTGTTACAAGGTCCGTATGGATGTTTGGGCAAAACTCTTGCGTACCACGAGATGAGACTCGTCATAGCCAAGATCATACTACACTGCACGTTGAAACTTCCTGAAGACTTTGATAGCTCTTTATTCTTAGAAGGCGTGAGGAACCTAAGGGTCTCTAGCTTTATGTATCCGCTTCGTCTCCAGTTGACTTGATACGAGAAATGCACTTGTTTATCGAACGGTTCTCAAGTCACGACCAAACCTCAACCGCTGTTCGTGCCGACACTAGTGTCCTAAACACGACAGGATGGAGGATACAAATTTGTACTGGCACATTTCTGTGTCTTACCACTGTCGGTTATGTTGCGCACAAGTTGAATTTTAGATACTTCTTTGAATCGAGGCAGTCTGGAGACTTGGGACCTCTTGACTAATTTTAACCAAGAAAATCTAGGCCGTAAAGCGTATAAACGTTGAGAGTGGTGGGATGAGGCTGCATCCAGGACCTCCGGATGAAAAAACCAACACAGAGCACAGCAGGACGTCGGAAATCGTTCCTTTCAGCGTCCAGAGCATAAATGCAATCATTTTAACGGTACATATATATATATATATATATATATATTGAGCACTACTATAAACGAGCTTTGACGCAATCAAGAGGCCCGGCAACCATCGATAGGGGGTGCCGAACACCGTTTTTAAGGCCACCAGTGACTCCCGTAGACGAAGTAAACATGACGAGAGACTCGACATACCCATCCCACCTCTCCTCTGAAACTATTGGAGCCGTTATGTACGCGTCAACTTGCAACCCCGCCAAAAGCTCGTCCAGCCTAGGATACAGGTGGTCCGCGCTCTCGAGTAACATCGTACACTGTCTCCGGCGGGAGATACCTTCATGCTCAACATACCAAGCCGGGTCCAACGCCACGATACTGGCCTCATAAAGCTGCAAAACTGCGTCTTCTATCCCCCGTGCTTTCGCTGCATCATATGCGAGACGATGTCCGATAGCCTCCAGCAGTCCTTGGCATTGAGGCAGTAACGCCGACTCTGTCCTCCTATCGCGAGGCCCCGTAGCATCTTGCAAAAAAGCGCGTAATTCAGCGACTAGCAAGGACTCGTGCCTAGCCAATAATGATGTAGGGTCTGTGGAAGGAGGGACGACGACGCGTTTTAATAGAACGTCAATCGCGAAACCTTCCATCACAACAAGTCAGGCTCAGATCACAGTAACAATAAAGGTCCTTACGGATTGAAATCCCCAGAATATCCCCTTCTGCTGTTGCTGCGCCTCGAAGCTCACTCTAATGAAGCGGGCCATCAGCCTGTATATTTCAGGGCATAAGGGGGTAACAAATAAACCCACATGTAAGACAGAAAGTTGATTGATTTCAAACAAGCCTTGTGCACCGCACCTGTCGCCGAGAGCAAGAGTCATGTCGGATGCGAGCGTTACGGCGGTGACCTTGTAGACAGCAGCCACAAAGTGTCGCGCAATCGAACTGCTAGTTCCGACGAACCAGTCCCGAGAAGCATGTGAGAAGGTGTTGAGAACCATCGTCTGAGAGATCGCGACCAATATTGGCAAATATTGTGTACTGAAGGAAATGATGGTACGAGGAACTTGTCTTGCGGAGTCAACAACGGCCCTGCGTTGGCTATACGTGGCTGCAACAAAAGTCGCAATACGCAGCGCTGACACCCCTAGCGCACCCATCGAAAGGGTACCTACGACGACACGAGAGATGTTATTGAAGAACTCCGTTTTGACATTGGAGGGGAGTAGAGAGTCGCATAGAAGGGAGGACTGGCGTAGATGAACGTGATTGAATGAGGTCAATGCGTGATTTACTGGGTGAGTACCGCCTCTAGGAGAAAGTGACCTATGTGGAGTATACCTGTCAGCACCAAGCGTCGAATAGTACATGGAATTCTATGTACCTGGATGTGATTCCCGGGTACATTACTCTCCCGTCATGAATTGGGACAAGAAATGGCTTGATCCCTCGATCCGACATCCCAACCCGTAGGCGAGCGAAGACGACGGCAGTACAAGGTATCCCGCTCGGAATAGTAGGAGGCATATATCTAAGTTACGAGCATTATGAGCAAAGGCCGTTCATTGAATTGAAAGATCATGCAGAACAAACTTTGCTGCCCGCTCGTTAGGTGTGTGAAGCTCGAACCCACCGGTCTCTAGGGCGGTGGCGGTAGTTTCAAGGTTAATCACGTCCAAACCATGCCCGAGCTCCGTCAGACAGTATTGCCCGCTAACGCCACATTCGAGGGCTCAGCGATCACTAACAACCGCGAAGCATGACTTCACTCACGTTATCTCAAAGCGTAGAAGTTCTTCAATGGTCTTCACCAAATCGGATCTCGCAGAAACAAACATGGCCAAGGTGCCGATGCAAAGGTTAAAGTGAATCGTGAGTAAGGTTGCGACAGATCCATCCATAACGAGAATGGGATCCGTGTGAAATAGCCAATATCGAGGCGATACGTGGAGGATGTCGTCGACGGTGAGTTCTGAATTACAGGTCAACAGTGCTCATAGTCAATGTATAGGATAACAGTGCCCACCATATATCTTGGCAATGGCTCGGGCCCTATCGTACGATAATGCGATACGGGCTTGCCATGAGAGGCTATCGGATCGAAGTTGGAAGAGTGGGCTACGAGCAAGGTCAACTGTGGGATGCATGGCAAGTATTAACTTGAGACTGGCTATCGGTACATCTTGTTTTATAGCCTTGCTCCAAATGAGCAGCTACCTGATCAGAACACTTCATGGCAGCCTTGGTTCCCTCGAAAGATCAGATGGGTCACGACTAGTGTAACGCAGTATTTCACCAGACAATCCGATTCGCAGGAGAATTCCCAGAGCCTATAGAACATTCGCTACGGACTATGCACTGTATCAGTATCAAATTTGATGTGAACAGAATCTGGTCTATGCCGTCAATCATCACTGGGAAGTACGGAGAGTAGACCTATCTGCATCGATAGAGCCTCAACAATATTGGAAGTCCCCTGATAGCTGCTGTAAGATATCAAAGACGCACATCAGATCCTGCCCATGTGCGTGGGCAAGAGACTCATCCCTTTCCGTCGTAACGAGAATAACTCCTTCCAGCAGCCTCTAACTCTCTTTGAATAGACATTACTCGCGCATAGTATCCACGTCCCTTCTGAGTGGGGCACCCAAGCTCCATCAAGAACTTTTGTTCCAAGATGCACCCAAGTTACCTGCAAAGGGTAACATTATGCTTATCACTTATGAAAGCGAAGAAGCTTGCTCGTTGCAGTGAACGATCATCTGCACTTTGGGCTTCATTGGTCCGAACAAATGTGGACGAACAGCCTCGAACAGCACCTGAATGTATCGCATGATACTGACATAGTGTTAGGTGTGTGAGTAACTTTAGAGCTCGCCCTTCGTCGATGACATACCTGCTCTTGCGTACTACGACGTGGCAGCTTATACCTCGTATTCGCTGAGCGCGGAAAGGCCAGAGGATGAGCAAGCCAGCAGATTCCCTCAAAAGCAGTCAATTGCATTGGCGACTTGTTGCAAGACCGGGAAGAATGGATGCGCCTTCATAAAGACAGGATACTCTTCTTGGCATCGAGACTAGCATCGAGAGCGCTCCACAATTTCCGCATCTTGTCATAGAATAGACCACCCGACGATATACAAGTCGCTTGACCACAACTGAATGATGAAATACCGTGACGCACCTTCCTTGAAACCTCTGCGCTGTGAACATTTCGTGTATCTCGAGCAAGATCACTCGGGAGCATTGGCCGCGGAAAGAGGTTCAAGATGTTCGCAGAGGTTTCAAGGAAGAGGGTTCACAATTTAACTTGCAAGACGAACTTGTGCCAGCCAAAAGTTGACTTGCACTAACTTGCGGCTGTACAAGTTAAATTGTCCCCGCTAACTTGCAAGTTTGCAAGCTCGCTTGGCTGACGAACTTGTAAAACTTGCTCACCTCTGCCTGCAAAGACAGGGACGGGAAGAGTTATCTTCCGCTCGTCCTCTTCGCCCTCTTCGATTGATCAAGAGCAGCGTTGATGCGGGCAAAACGAAGACAGACGTCCGAGGAGCGCCCACGAATACAAGCATGTCAAACGCCAAGAGGCACACGTTTGTCTGGCAGCTGAGAAGACAGCCATCGATGCGTGTATCGCGTGTATTGTTCGCGAAAGACGGTGTCAGTGTTCGGTAAGCGAACTGCTAACCACGCATCCTATGCCACCCATCGCCCCACGAATGTCCGTAAGTACGAACACACGTAAAGCTCCCTCGGGAATCGCAAAACCTCTCGTTGCAAAGCAGATTCTCATTCTGATACCCACTCGAGTCATAGATAACAAAAAATGAAGAGGACGATTGGTCCGGTTTCTGTGAGTGTCCAAAATAATAATTAGCACAACGTCAAGCCCGAAGATATGACGAGGACAGAAATCATGAGGGAAAAATAACAGCACGAAGAGGTGGGTTGGAGGGTTCTATCTCGTGACCGATACGAGATAAAAATGAGGGACAAGGATCGTGTATGTATTACGGTCAAAGTAAGGGTGACAAGGAGAGCGAAAGATGAGATGAGGGCGACATGCGGAATAAGGAAAACTAAAATATGTTAGAACGAGATACGGCGAAGGTCAAAGGATGTATGCGTTACGATGAGTAATGAACTCTAAAGGCGAGTGGCACAGAGGGGGAAAGATACGGTGGAAATGACAAATGAGCTGGTGGAGGATGGAGAAGAGCATGAGAAATATATCGCACTGTCGACGGAAAAGGATATATATGAGGGATAAGTAAAAGAGGGGTCAGGAACGGACGTATCAGTACTCTAGACTCTGGCTGTATTAGGGGAGGAGAGGAGAGGTAGACACGACGTGAAGCAGAAACAAAGGGTGGATAGTTGACGGAGTCAAAAATTACGGACGAGTACTCAGACAAAATGAATGTTAATGGAGCGCACCGGACGATGTCTTCTTCAACGTGTACAGTTTTCCACCGCCCCGGTGTGCGTGATGCATGTAGAGTGCGAGGATATTATCGTGGACGTAGAAGAGCTGTAGTAAATGAAAGAATCAGATCAGAAGAACTCACTTGTCAGAGAAGATGGGAGGATCAAAGTGAAGGTGGAGGTGAGTTTTATCGCTTTGACCGTCGAGGTTCAAGCAGAGCTGTCGGCTCACGAGCAATGACAGAGGAAGTAAAGCGAGCTATAGAAAACTAGAGAGAAACGCACCTTGCGTTGTCTCCAAACGCCTGGCAATGGCAACGTATAATATCCTATACTCCGGCGACATGAGTACTTATAGCATCGCTATTCGAGGACCAGACTTCCTCCTTGAGAACCAGCCTCTTGATGTGCGAGGTATGGAGTGGACATATTGAGGAATGTAGGCGGACGCAAGGACGATTGTCTCAGGCTGATATGGCGGAAGAGAACCCGAAGTGTTTTTGATTGAGAGATGAGGATCTTGAGCCAAGCTTATGGCGTCAACGAACACTGGTCGATGTTGAGCGAGAGGAAGCAGAACTGGGACTTGACCCATCTACGGTCCAGGGTGACGTGACGGACTGTGACGGGCGTGAGCCGCGGGACGAGGCCTGGATGCGAGTCCGCAGCGGGACTCGGCGGGCGGGACCCCCTGAGACAGCGATCGAGGAGACGGGTAAGGCCGAGGACGAGGAGGGGCGAATATTATTTGGGCACGGACGGAGGTATACGACGCTGCTGGCGGAGGCAGACGATTCGTAGGTACATACCGTAGCTCGTAGCGCCTTGAATGAACGTTATACGCTTTGAAGAACGCCCAGAGCGCTCAAGAGTGATGGCGTCGGGAGGTCTCAGCAAAGCGGCGCGAGGTTGGCCGAACCGAGAGTGGTCCACGGAGTCCACAGAAAGCGCCCGAAGGGCGCGATTTTTCTCGAAACGGACTGTCTGGCGTGGCCCTCCCGTATCTGAAATGAGGACTGTAGATGTCACGTTAGGACTGTAGATCTGTCACCTCGAAGGGCTCAGCGCAAGGCGCGTTTCTGGCGGGGGCTCCAGCCAAAAAAACCGCGAAGCGCAATCCGCGGTGCAGATCTACAGTCCACATCTACAGTCCTCGGGCCACGGTGCCACAGTCGCCACAACGTCTATTTACTGTCTCTGCATCCTCTACCACTCCGAGTCCTTTGAATGTTCGCCTTCATTCGTCTCCCCACCTCTCGTCTGTCACATCTTGGGCTGTCCTTGAACATCCTCGACGTGCATTCACCACCAGTGTTGACTGTGGGTGATCGTGATCAACATGGAAACCGTGAGCGTGGGCGCCCCGCCATGATCTTCCCACTGGGTTATACACTTTCGTCAGAACTACCATCCTCTTAGTGCGACGCTCTTCTAGTCATTCGGCATTGCTTGTTTGTATCAACTCTGTCAAGCTACCGTTTATGCTTGGACTCGGACCCTTTGCTAGCGATGTGAAGGGAAGGGGGATGTCATAGACTGACGCGTCAACGATGTATGCTTTGCTGGGCGGTTGCACTTGGTAAGTATCTATTTCGACACCTATGTTCCTTTCCTATGATGAAAATTGCTTATTTTCCTTCCCTTAGAACCCCGCGGGTGTTGCGCCGTCATCGGCAGTCCCTCCACATAGCCATCTAAGCCATAATACACCCACCCCTCCTAAAATCTGAGTCTTCCGCAACCCCTAAGGCCTTCAGAGATTCTATAAAACTACTGCCACATCCTCTATGTCCCGTGTATTCCCTTTCTTGCTCCGTGCCTTCCCGCTCAAGTACACTACATCGCCAAGCGGCAAATTGTTACAAGCAGACAGCGAAGATGGGGATCCCGGGTTTATGGAAGGTATGTAACTTACCATTTCGCTGAGATTATCTTCATCGTTACGGGCACTGATGGAATCATACAGGAGCTGGAGCCTGTCGCTCGCAATCTAAGTCTCGTCGAGTTCGGGATCGTACACGGATTAGCGGCCGAGGGTGGCCCCAAGCAAGCCAGGATTGGTATCGATGCGGCGTACGTCATGGTTTCCTCACGCCATCTTTCATGCTCATTTTGTTTACTCGCTTCCACAGTGTTTTTGTGTATAAGGCCTTAGGAAAGTTTAAGAGGAGGTACTCCGGATCACCTCCGATGCCCGAACTTCAAGACATCGTATCCAAACTCCTTCGCCTCGCTCAGACGCCCCTCACTCCCATTTTTGTCTTCGACGGACCCAAACGCCCTAAAGTCAAGCGTGAACGACAGACTGTTTTCCGCGTGCACTGGCTCGCTCAAGTCTTCAGGAAGTTCATAGAGGTTATGGGTTTTTTATGCCTTGATGTGCGTATTTTGCTGTCTTTGATTGCTTTCCGAATAATCTAACCTCCCTGAAACTCTAGGCTCCTGGAGAGGCAGAAGCAGAGCTCGCAAGACTTAGTGAGGAGGGCTTCATTGACGCCGTAATGTCCGAAGATATCGACGCGCTTGCCTTTGGCGCCAGGGCCGTGATTCGCATGTGAGTAACGGCTCTATATATACTCCCTTCTTGTAGTCGTCTACGTTGTTTTGCTGACAGTTCTAACAGTGTCAATTTCAGCGAAGATGTTTTCAAGATCTACCACGCCGCAGATTGTGAGAACAATCCTGACCTTCGTTTAACGAGAGCGGGCATAGTTCTTGTCGCCCTTCTCAGTGGTGGTGATTATGATAAGGTAAAGTATTGATCGTTTAGGCCATATTTGCCGCTTTTTGACATCCTTCTCGTAGGGGCTTACAGGGTTCGGTGCAACCACCGCCATTCGCGTCGCTCGTTACGGTCTTGGAGATGTTCTCCTCCAGATCGCGGACATGCCACCGGCGATGCAGGCACTAGAGCTTCCCCTGTGGCGTGCGCGTTTGGTCGACATCCTCGCCAACGACCCTCAAGGCTTTCTCAGGCAACGTGAGGTCCAGCTCTCGACATCGATACCGTCGACATTTCCGAACATGGACACCGCCAAATTGTACTACCACCCCGTCATTCGCCCCTCACCCCGCTCCAGTCCATTCCCCTCTGATTCAAACATCATTCCGCGCCCCATCAATCTCTGCCGTTTCTTAGAGCTCGCTTCCGGACATCTTTGGTGGAATACATACGAACTCCTCGCTAGGAGAGGATTCAACACAATATTCCCCTCCCTCCTGACACGCGAAACGCTGGCCATCATCGACAACCCAAAAGTCAGTTACTTTTATTCATTACTCACCTTCGCTGCCGATTCTTGTACTGACAGATACAATTCGAACAGCTCAAGATCACCTCTCCCATCAAGAAGATTTGTCAGCTCCGCAAGAGGTCGCCCACAACGACAGGTGTCGCATCGTTTCGTATTGAGTACGATGCAGCCGCTTATCTCGCCACCATTCGACAGAGCCTCGACGACTCCTCCGCTCCCGTTCCGTCCCATGAGCCCTCCCTCCAACGCATGTGGATCCCCACTGTGGTTCTCGAACGCACGCTCCCGGAGCTCGTCGCCGAATATCGTCAGCGCCATTCCATCAAGACATCGGCACAAGATAAACACACCATACCTCAAGTGAGCAGTGGGTATGGTGGCAGGGTTGCTCAGCCACCGCTCCTCCTCGGCGCCCCTGTGGCTGGTCCATCCTCGGACGCCATGCCCATAATCGGCCGGGGCCTTGCATCTTCCCAACTCTCGTTAGACCCTTTTGAGGTTCGTTTTTGCTTTCTACTTGTCTTTCAATGTTACAAGCATCCACTCATTAAACCTTGCAATAGTCCTCGGATGAGGAGGAGCACCTTTCGGACCAGAGGCTCTCAGAGAACTACTGGAGACTACTTAGGTCTTCGACCACTGGTATTGCGACTAGACTAAACGGGGACTGTGATGATGGCGCTGATGACGCTCTCGAGGTCCGTCGATTTTCCATTGGTTGTTGATGTCTTCGCCATCGCTGACATTGTGATTCCTTAGCTTTCGAGCAAAGGATCGCAAGCCGGGCGAAAGGGATCCCGTTGTTGCCAATATCAGCGGGGGCGTGCGTCGGAAGGGACTCTCCAGGCTGTGAATGAAGATTAATCAGCTGGCGCGCATTGGAAGTACTGTACTTTTCAACGCAGATGTTCATGTCCCCTGTCCCAGGGGGGTCATGAACGAACCTCCTTCATGGGACAGTCCCACCCTCCGGACCACCTGTGAACCTGAAAATGGGACATGTGGTAAAACAATCGAAAATATAATATTTTCGTGCATTCTCTTCTCACTTGTTTTAAATGCTCTTTTTCACCCAGAATATATATATGTTATCACTTCAGAGCAATAGGAGGTAAAAAGTGACACTCCTACTGTTAAACTACCTTTTTGAGACCCGGAAGGAGAGCCAAAGCAATTGAAAACCCAAGAGAGTCGCGACGGGAAAGGAACATGGTCCCATGTCCCAAGCCGGTCGTGAACCGGGACACGAACGAATTATGTCATCACGGCAAACTCCGAGGGGCGGTGGCGTGAACATCTGTGTTGAAAAGTACAGTACTCGAGGAAGACGGTTACCTGGCTAAAGACTTTGCAACGGCGCCGTTCATTGAGAACACGTGCCCTCATGAGCGGTGGTAAACTCAAATTGGATGGTTGTCAGTACGTCGGAGGTCATTGAGGTACGTTATGAACCAATTACAATCGAGACCGTAACTAATATTTTCCTAGCTCTTTTCGTCTTCGGACGATGAATGTGTCGACAATCGAGCAGTGAAGCGTGCTCGGATTGAACACTCCCGTGTGGCACTTGCCCTCCCCGGTGGTATTCAGAGGTAAGGTATTCGCTCTTGGCCCTTCCTTTTACATTTCATGGTCCATATCTACTGACAAAGATAGGATGGAATACGATTGCATGGAATCAGACACTCATAGCATGCAGCAGAAGGCATGTGCAGCCACGGAATATTACTACTACCTGCCACTGCTTTCAGATCAATCGGAGTCCAACTCAATCACCTCACATTCCTTCGGTGCTGTAACCCGAGAGCTCGAAGACCTGATTAATGAGAATGTAAATAAATCAGAGTTGAGTGTACCCGTGTGTGTGATGCATTAGTGTACCGCTTCTGGACAGGCAGAGAATGCGCAAAGTGTCAGCCTACACTTGGGCCACACTGTGGCGATCAGCTCACGCGTGAGCTGACGCACTAGAGGTTTTATGATACGGGCGCTTCGACGACCTGGGGACAGAGTTTTATGAGCCCAGAGATCGAGGTGGCTCCCGGTTCCATTCTCCCACGAGAGATTTCGCGCCGCCTCTGCGTCTTGTCCGCTCTTGATTTATTGTCATTTTTTCTCGTACAACCTTCGGGATGCTACCTAATCGCGCTTCCAAAGCCCGACATAAAGTTATTTGAAACGAAGATGTGCTGTAGCACCTTCAGCAGCATCCGAGAGCTCGAGGCGGAATACGCCGGCTGCTGCTGCCTTCGTCATATGCGGGGCCGGCGCTCGAGGTGGAGCATTCTCTGGCCAGACAGAAATGAGCTCTGGGGCCGTATCATAAAACCCCTACTGTGGCCCACGCCGGTGCCATGGAATCCCGAAAAGGCAATCAACAAAGAAGACCACGTGCTGATGCTGAGTTGTGTATGGGAGAGCGCTCCCATGCAAGATTCTGCACCATGTCCTCACGCATGCTCCTGCTAGACATCACCTCCAAATAGCTAGCCAATACCTTTGTTACGCGTCAATGCCAACCGATCACATGTCTCTCCAGTTTTTGATCTTTGTAAGCTCATTTATTTCCCGGTTCAACCAAGTCAAACGGTCTACTTGATCGCGGCTGGCACGCGTCTCAACGCAGTCGTCGCTATTCAGAAGGTCTCATTTGGCATGACGATGTTCTCTCACTGACCGAACCTTCTTGGTTGAGAACATCAACTCTTTTTTAGCCCAGAAGCAACACACACTTCAGACGACGTCGAAATCACCGCCACACCCTCGCTCAAACGAGTGCACACTGGGACCACCCCAATCCCTTGTACCACACCTGCCAAGACAACCCACGTTGATCAAGATGGATAGCATATATTATGCAATGAAGTTACTGGGTGATTGATGGTTTAGAGGATGTGACGAGCAGTCAGACAATACAACTGCATTCTATATATTGCAGGTAGGCCTTCTCTGTGCATTTTCTTGAATCTTCGTATCATAGTTCTTTTGTTCTCCTCATTATTTGCATATATCTTGTGCATTACTTTGAACTGCACAGCTCACGGCGTCGGGCGATGGGGCCTTCGTCTGAGGAAACGACGGAAAGGCGTCTCGCTCTGTGCATGCACGACGACTTCGCCGTCCCGAGTTTCCTCGATGTGATTTCTTATCGTGTGGTGTACTGATAGTCTAGTTTTCTACTGTGCTTGTACGTTGCCCTGTCCTGATAATTCTGACGCATCGTTTCAGGTTCCGAGGCTTCCGACAGTATGAAATCTGCCGGCCTGTACAGTCTGGTCAGAGATACTTGAACTTCTTCGCTCATTCTCAGACTTTGCAAAACGTCAAAGCACAGTACGTTCACTCATATATGTTATTGATTTCTCGAGGTTTTCTTCTGTCGTTCATCATTCGGTTATCGAGTTTGTTAAACGGTTTTCGTCCTGGCTGGCACGCGTCTCAACGCAGTCGCCACAACACCTTTGACCTCAAAAGTTTCTATGTATGCTGATTGAACACATTGACAGTGTCATGTTTGATCGCCTCCGGGATGCCACACCATTCTTTGCTAGAGATATCTCGCGCCAAACTCCGATAAACTCGTTGAACCACCACTTGCGGACATAGACATTGACACGTCCCAGCTGGAAAGGCTCATCGCTTACCTCTCAACCCCGTTCTGGTTCGAATACACGGCACCTTTCACCTAGTCTCAGGTATTTACGGGTTTTTGAGGCTTGCGAACATGCTCGCAGTCTCCGCTTGGCTATAGGTGACTTTGTTCGACCGGTACGCACACACCTCTTCGCCACCCCCTCCCAAACATTGCTTTAATTGCCAACCTTTCTCCCACCACATAGTATCATATCTTAAATGCTCTTTGGGGGTTTTTGGTGGGCTTCTATACCTATCAATTTGCCCGTTAAGCTCGCTTGGCCTGATGCTCTGTGCTCTGCCATGCCAGATCAAGGTTTCTCACGGCCCTCCCAAGCCCATATCTCATCGCAGAGGTTCGTCAAGTCCCCCTATCGCTTTCATTGTATCACTCACCCCTGTTTCTTGGCCCTCCGAAGTGGCCTCGGTCATCAGATTGACACACGAAAGCCTCGTCGTTTCCGTACGGCGTCCCTCACCCTCACGTGCACCCCCTCCCAGGCCCATATTTCTCCGCAGAGGTTCGCCAAAACCCTCTATCACTTTCGTCGTCTCACTGACCACCATTTTTTTGTCTTCGGAATCGTCCTAGGTAGTCAGATCGCCCAGTGAAAGTCTCCTCATTTGCGTACGGCCAAACCCTCCCCCTCAGCCCCTCCCAAATTCATACATTATCCCAGAGGTTCGTCAAATGTGCTTAATGCTTTCGTCATGTCACTTACCCCTGTTTTCAGGCCCTCCGAGCGATCTTGGTCGTCAGATTGTCCGGCGAATGTCTCCTCGTTTCCGTACGGCCCACCCTCTCCCTCGCCACTCACAAATCCATATTCCACCACAGAGGTTCGTCATATTCCCTTATCTCATTCGTTGTATTACTCACCCCTGCTTTTAGGCCCTCCAAATCGACCTGGGTTGTTGGGTTGACGGGCGAAAGCCTCGTTGTTTCCGTACGGGCCTCCCTCACCCTCACCCCCTCCCTAACCTATCCATTTTCGCAGAGGTTCGTAAACAACTCCTATCGCTTTTGTCGTGTCACTCACCCTCGTTTTTAGGCTCTCGGAATTGACCTGGGTCGTCGGATTGACGGTTGAAGGCCTCGTCGTTTCTGTCCGGGCCTCCCTCACCCTCACTCCCTGTCAAACCCACATATTATCCCAGAGGTTTGTCAAATCCGCCTATCGCTGTCGTCTTGTTGCTTAACCTTGTTTTTAGGTCCTCCGAGTCGATCTGGGTTGTCAGATCGACGCGCGAAAGCTTCCTCGTTTCCGTACAGGCCTCCCTCCCCATCACCCCCTTCCAAATGCATCCCTCATCACAGAGGTTCGTTTAATTTCCCTATCTCTTTCCTTTCATTACTTACCCTCGTTTTCAGGTCCTCCGAACCAACCAACCTGGGTCGTCGGATCAACGGGCGAAAGCCTCGTCGTTCGCGTGCGGGCCTCCTTACCCCTCACCCCTCCCGAACCCATAAACCCTCACAAAGGTCTGTAAAATCTCTCAATCCCTTTCACCTTATCGCTCACCCCATTTTTAGGTCCTCCGAAGCGATTTGGGTCGTCGGATTGTCCGTCGAAAGCATCCTCGTTTGCGTGCATCCCTCTCTCCCCATCACCCTCCCACCTTAAATTTTGCCAGCACAGATCACCCCGCAACCCTATTCCTCTTGTATTATTATTTAGCCTTGTGCTCCGGCCTTCTGCATCGGCCTTATGTGTTGCCTTGGCCAATGCTTTCCTCGTTCAGCCGGTAAGCCCACCCTCCCCACTTTACCCCTCCCCACCTCACATTTCGTCGCCATAAATCTCCACTCCACTCCATCTCTATCGTCTCCTTACTGAACCCTGTTTTTAGATCTCCTGAATCTTCCTGAGCCGTCGGTTTGACCGGCAAAGCGATTGCTCGACTGGTAAGCCCTCCCTCCCCACTTCACCCCTCCCCACCGCAAATTTCACCGCCATAAATCATCAAATCACTCTGTCCCTGTCGTCTCCTTACTAAACCCCGTTTTCAGACACCCCTGATACGCCTGAGGCATCGGATTGGCCACTGGAGCTCTTGGTCAAACTGTACGCCCCTCCCTCTCGCTCACCTCCTCCCAATGTACATTTTTTGTCACTCTTCGCTCTACTACCCTATTCCTCTCGTCTCACCGCTTACTCTCATTTTCAGACCTTCTGAATATGCATGAAGTGTTCGATTGAGCGGCGTTTACTCTGTTCTAGTCGTAAGCCCTTCTCTCTCCCTCACCCCCTTCCCAGCATGCATTTCGGCGCCACCCTCCGCCCCATTAAAGATTGTTTTAATTTTATCACTCACTACTGTTTCCAGGGTCCAAAAACTCGCCTGAGATGTCATATTGACAGCTGGGGTCTTTACTCCGAACATATGCCCCTCCCTAATCCAAAATATTTTCGCCATACTTCGCTACACCACTTGATCCCTTTTGGGACAGTGAATGTGGAGGCATTGGTACTTTATTTAGAGTTATGGCCTTTATGAAAATGCAATGGGATTAACTCCGGCCTGAGCCTGAAATATTGAAGTAAGAGGTGCAAAGAAGTAGATTAAGGACTCGAGGGCAAAAAAAAAAGAAGGCAAGTACAAGCACATCAGAAACACAAACAAGTACGACCACACTCGCGGCAGGCCTCGGTTCGCTGTTTCTCTGGATTAAAGTAGTCCTCCCGCTCCATTAAGTCATCATTCCACGAAAGCAGATACTTGAATAATGTTGCCATGTCTCCATTATCGGACCATCCGCCCCATGAACAGACCTGTGGAATCGGCCAACGGCGAACTTTCACAAGGTGCTGAGCGCCACCGCGTCGAAACGAATGTGTTCCATAGGGGCGTGGGTCAACTCCGATATCGACAAGGTTATTGCGGAAGCATTCCATGAACGACCCGGGCGACTGATGTATTAACGACATAAGTGTTTGCTAGGTATAAATTGAGTAACATCCTACTTACCATCTGATGCTCGATGTTCTCACTAAACTTATTCCCGACCTTTCGCTTGAAGACGAACCCTTTGAGACTCGGATTATAGCGATGAGTGACCAGCAGCCACTCTGCCACGGCCTTTACCGGACAAAGGTGGGGTTTTGCCTGGTTTGTATAGAGATAGAATGGGGCTATTCCTGTAAATGCGCGATAGGAGTAAATCAGCTGTAGATCAAAGTGACACGACAAGAATGACCAAAGCAGAACGCACCACCAGTTTGATGAGTCTTACGGAACGGCAGCTTTACTTTCAGGCGCACCTTACCTGGACTGTACTCTTGCCACTCAATCCAGTGCCACTCAATTCGCAGAGCCTCATCAAATCGGAGGAGGCAGTGGAATGCAATCACGTAGAGGGCATGAAGCATGATGCGTAAATCTTTACCCGCCCATTGATCTGATGACGCCTGCTTTCGTTTCTTGGGCCCGTATTCAGCCTCGGTGAATGACTGATTGAAGGCGTACATCTGGCGAATTGTTTCCTCATCAATCGCTCGCGCACTGGTTACAACTTCGCCCTCCCGAACCTATGGTAACATCGGAGGCTCAGCGACCATAGATAATCCGAGAGACCTCGAGAATTCTACAGTGTTGGGACATACCTTCCGACGACGAAGACTGATCATATATTGCGAAACGACAAGAGAAAGTGAGGGGTTTCCTGAACACTGACCATCACGCTCCTCCCATGTCTGGCATCCCAGCTTGCACTCCCTCCCAAACTTGTGGCTCATCGCCGCACGAATCTTCTGAGCGTGACCATATGTTGCGATAGGTGTAGTGAGAGGCTTCGGAGAGTTTGTGTATATGTCACGGTTGTCGCACCTGATAAAGTCCGAAAAAACAAATTATGGGTAAGAGATCAAACATAAAGTCAAAGCCTAAGATTTGCTTACTTGTGCATGATGAAGAGTGCAATATAGGTGGGTAGGTTTGGATTGAGCTCTCCACAGTCGAGCTCTGATTGAAGTTTCTCAGCGGATGGAAAGAAGTCGTTTTTTGCACAGAAGGCCGCAAATGTTTTCCAGATGCTGAATAGTTATAGGTGTCAGTATCAGCTATTTCGGTAAACCTGTGGTGAATATGTTCATACGTTCGATACTCCTGAGCAGTCTTGCCAACAATAACATCCTCGGATGCTTGCTTCAACGATTCAGCAAGGTCGGTGAGGTCGATAGCGTTGGAATCATCTGAGAGCCTGCGAAAGGCCTTCTTGGCGGCAATTTCGTCAACCTCCAGCTCGTCAGCTAGTCCGGAAACCTCTTCGTCCCGATCCATCTGGACAGTTTCTAAGTCGATGTCTTCACCGTCGAGGCAGTCCGTCAGAGTGCTCTGTAGCTCAGCGTGAGAAGTGCCGATGTGGTTCATCAAAGACGAAAGTATTGCAGGCATGTTGAATAGGTCAAGTTACCAAGTATCAACGGAGCTGGACCGAGATGGAGTTGGAGATGAGCAGAGCGAAAAACAGGACCTGGGATGGCCATGAAAATGTCAGATCGAGTTCGGGCAGATCGGGGGCGGGTGCGCTCCCCGATCTCACATTTGCCTCCGTCAATTTTAGGGACATCAGGAGAAATTGACGGTCCTTCACCTCTTTCGCCCCATTCCATTATCCTACCCTCGATTGATACTGGTAATGGTGTCCACTACGCTGGATATGGCAGACATCGAGCCAGAGATAATACATCTTCCCGAGCTTGGACAGACATATGTGGAAGGCACCACACTGAAGATGGTTGAACTCACCGTGTAAGTCCATACTACCAGAGCGTGTAGCTGCTTGCCATTTTCGTAGTCATCTGTCACTTTTTGCTGACAACATGTGGACTGATGTAGTACCAAGAAGCTTACCGTCGATAAGATGAAACCCTACCTGGACGCATATGGATTGGGACACTCGGCCAAGCGAGACGTACTCATTGACCGGCTTCGTAACTTGGCCAAAAATCCTGCACTCTGGAATAGGTAACTGTCTTTCCGATATATCACCTTCCTCTAGATTCTGACTAGGAGATTATGAAGCCAATTTCAGTCTACTCCGACCAAGGTCAGGGGTGGTAATGCTAGCAGTAAACGGTCCCAAAACAGAAGCTCTGCAAAGAGATTTCGAGCGATGTTCGAAGACGAAAACAAGGCAGATACTCCTGAAGAACATCCAAGCAAGCGTGTCGCCATAAGCTTCCCAGATCAACGCACAGCAGTAGACATAACCAAGGCTATCGAGTTAGTAAGTGTAGATTTCTTTTAAGTCAATTGGGCAGGAATCAGTCGCCTCATTCCAAGTTCCTTGTGAGCGTTCTTAGGCCCAGCAAGTTGTGGCGCTCGCACAAGCCCACGTCACTTCCGGCACCACACCGTTGGACTCGGAGCCTGGTCAAAATGCAAACGAAGCGTCGCTATTAGGTCGGCCTGTCATGGAGGTAGACGCAGATGTTTCTTCTACAACGGTATGTTCATCCTAACTTACCCTTCTTAGCCATCTCTCGGTCGACTCCGAGGACTCGCTCCGAAGCGCAAGTCCCTGTACTCAAATCTGTACTTGCAAGCTTACAAGTATACTATTCTTTTTAGCCCGCAGCTGTGCAGCGTCAGCTCATTACGCTCACAAATGCGATCTCGCACGGATTTGGGTTTGTTGGAAACCTGATCGCTCAGCACGGTCTGCCAGCGGTCCATGCACCGACTCAGGCCTCGATGTCAGCGACCACACACTCGCCGACCGTCACTCATCAGACAGCCCTTCAGTCCGCCAATACCTCTAACAGTATACATCCACCTATAATAGCATCCACCCATCTCTCACCTTCTTCCAAGCAAGCCATTCCTCCAACTCGAAGCGCTCATGAACAACCTCAAAGTCCTCTGAGTGGCACAAGTGTGCCACACTCTGCTCCACTTGATTCAGCGCCTCCACGTTATATTGCTATGCATAGTACTGCCGACAACAACTGCACGGAAGACTGCCGTACAGCAACACTTACCGATGGTGTCTTAGTCCATTTCCGTTCATCAGATCTACGTCCTCCGCCGACCATCTCATTCGCCGATGATGTCTCCAAGCTTTTCCGGGAGTGGTACCGCTCTGATTACATTGTGCTCGGTGGGCGCGGTATTCCTATAAGTGAATGGGACAAGCTCTACAAGAAAAAGATCGCAATACAGGCGCTTGTGAATGCCTGGGATACATTTCGCTCAACTTGGGGTAATTGGAAGGTGCGTCATTCTTTCGGTATTCGCACTCATCTTCTTCTGGGCTTACCACAAACTTCATTATCTATTAGTTCATCATTACCGAGTTTGAACGCCTGGGCTGTAATGAAGTTCAGTTCTTCGCCAAGTTCCGAACAGATGAAGGCGCACGGATGAGATATCAGGAAATCCTCGACCATCTACAACTGGAGCGTAAGAAACGGGATGCTGATCTGGGTGTTAAAGCAGCGAGGGTAAAGGATTTCTTCGGTGGTAATCTGGAGTGCCCAGATGCGGGCAACACTTTCACATACAAGAAGAGTGGGCGGGTCATGACGGTGTCCAAGAACACAGAGATAGTGTCACGATTTGAAGGACTTTGTTCAATGGATCTAGGAGTACAGAGTCGGTGGAATGAGTTCGAGAGCTCATAGTCTTAATTTTGTCCTCATTTATCGTTATATCTAACTTATCTCATCTCTCTGCTTCAATTTAAGTCTGCTGTGTTGTTTTGATTGTAATTAATGATGGAGATACATAAAAACATGCTCTACCATAGAAGTTGACAATGTGCTGAGGCCAGAACAGCCAAAAGAAATATAACACGTAAGGCGTAGGGATGGCTAGAGAAAAGAACCCGGAAAAAAAGAGCAAACATAGACAGTTATCACAATTTAATGTGAAGCGAGAACAAAGCCCCAATCACAGAAGGGTGCACGAGAGGAAGGCCGTTATGGACAGAAACAACATAGGTGGGGGAGGTGAGATCACACGCCAGCGAGACAAGAAACACAAAATGTCAGAAAGAGGGGTGTACGAAAACCAAAAGAAAGTGACACAGAGGAGCGAACGGTGTGGTCACAGATATGTCGCGAGCAAGTCACACGGGCCACAGCAGCACAGGAGAGGCCAGAACTAGAGAGGGTACATACAATTAATACATACCCGGGGGTCACCATCCTCTTTGACTAATCCTCAGTTCATCTCCAGATGGAAATCATGAATCCGAGGCCAATGAAGCCGACGCGAGAGAGCAGAAAGAAAGTGATGTAGTCGCTTCACGCGCAAGTCAAGTACATGAGAGCGGGAAGCACCAAAATGTGCAAGGCCTCGTGAACCAAGATGTCGAAGAGGGGCAGAAGTATATCTCAAAGAGGTCGAGAGCTCCGTCAACAACGATGACGAGGGAGGATAAGAAACGAGGCGAGATGAGACAACACCAGACACTGGAAGTCGAAGCCCGTGCTGGACAAAAACAGCGTCACCGAGAACGGAGGCAAACCCAGCCCAGCCGGCAGCGTTGACGATGACAACGAGAGAGGCTGGAGTCCTCAAGATGGATGCAAAGAGACATACACCGCAGGGTGGGGCCACGAGGACGACGCGCACACCACACACAGATGGAGGCGCTGAAAGAGGTAGTCATGGACCATGTTCCTTTTGACTACAAGCGTACAGAGGCGAGCTTGGCCCTTTACACGTGTAGGTCATTCGTTTTCGCTGAAAAACAAATCACCTCGAGCAACGCAAAGGCGTGCTCGTTGATCCGTCGAATGCAGATCGTGCGGTGTGGCGTGGCGTAGCGTAGTCCGTACGACAAGTCGTACGTTCTCTCACGTCACACGATCAAACGAAACAAAAGATATGGAAATAATAATGAAATTGAGGATGTACAAGGAGGCGTTGTGATAAAAAAAAACCCGCACAAACAAGAACGTACCGAGGATTAACATGAACCGTTTTGCCACAACAGACCCCTCACCGCACCCGCCCGCACATCCACCCGCACACCCACCCACCTCACACTACAGACATCCACCAAAAAGCCCGGACACGCGAAAATGATGCCGATGGGAGGCGATATCCTGCAACGGGCACGAGAGCGAGGCCGGAAAGCACGACGCGAACGCCACGAACGGAGGCGCCGAAAGAGGAATGTTGTCGCGGACCAAAACGGCAGGGGAGAGCGGGAGTCACGGAGGAGGCGGAGGCAAATGCGCAGAGGCGGGGTCGACGAGGGCGACGACGACGACGAGAGAGGCAGGGGTCCTTGAGGCGGATGCAGAGAGAGAGGAGGAGGCGCGTCATCGAGGGGGAGCGTGCCGAGACGCGCCGCGGAGGGACTGTAGCGTGGGAACGGGGGACTGCAGACGCGGCGTGACTATTTGCAATTGGACCGTAGACGGGGCGGGAGAAGCGAAAGGAGGCGAGAGGCGAGAGGACGACGGACGGCTCGCTGTTGTCCGTGGCACTGACGCGGCCGAGGCTTGGGATGGAGATGACGTCGATCAAAGACATCTTGTTCAAGCTCTCCCGAAAAGCCTCGAAGACTTTCAGGCTCAAGATATGGCTAGCTAATATCATTGACTAGTGCCCTGTGAAGCGTGAACGAACCATAAACTTCGGAGGCGTTGAAGCGGAATTCCTTCTCCTGCCTAATTGGGACAAGCAGTGGCTGCGAACTTGAAGCGCGGGTCGCGACTTCGTCGTTTCAGGGTCTGCCTTGTTTCTGTGTCTACTCTCATCTCTCTTCGTGGGCCTTGACCTCTCGCCCGCTGCCACAAAACACCCACTGGAGGTTCTCACAGCTCTCTTTTTGTGCTCTTTTTATAGGCTACATGGCCACCTTGAACAGCTGCTGTGCGGTGCTTTGGCCAGCGTGGAATTATTCCTCGTCGCCGCCTTCAGCATGCAACTCCCATCTGTGCATACACTAGAATCGGCCAAGCTCGCGTCTCGATGGAATCTGATCAAGTGATGGCCTATTCAGTCGATGTACGCATGCCACAGAGGTCGACAGGAAAGGATCAGGTGGCGGAGGAGTTGGAAGATGGTGCAGATCCCAGTTCACTCCCGTGCGTTCGCTTTTCCTTTTCGTCTCATTTTAAGCTTGTTGCTTCCGGTCCTACAATCTCCCCCTTCAAGAGGGGTTGAGCCATTCCCACTTACCAATAACCGTATTCTCCCGTTCTGACGCGTCTGTGGAATCCAATGCAACGTGTCAGCTCCGGATATGATCTATCAATTTCTGTAAGTTATTCTCTCGTTACTTGTTTCCTCTCAAGCACATACGACCATTCAAGGCCATCTGAGGGTCTCCTCCATCGCGACTGGCAAGCGTCTCAACGCAGTCGTCGCGATGTGCTGGCCGTCCTCCCGTGGCCTGCACTATATTGTACTGCAAATACTGACCAACAACCCTTTTTTTGTGTTTACATGGACAACCGATCTACATATATACGCCTACTCCTCATTGTCCTCCTCGCTCCCATACTCGTCCCCCTCGTACTCATACTTGTCCTCCTCAGCAATATAGTGGAGCATCGTGAATTCCGGGTGCGAACATTCCCTGGAGACGAGGCTATACTCAAACAGAGCAAATTCGCCATTCGAGTCCCAATCATGCGCCAATGCCACGATTCCCTTCTCTCCTTTCCCCTCCTTCTTCGGCTCCTTCGGCAACGACGACTTCTGCTCGTACTCACCCTCCTCGCCCATGAAGCTGTTCTTGTGCTTGCCATCAACGTTGTCCTCGTGCTCCTCGCGCTCCGGAAGATTCGACGGCGTATTTCGTGGCGGATCTGACGAGTGCTTATTTCAATGTGTGACTGAATATCTCTCCCTTTATCGTCTGCGTTTAGCGCGCAATTGCTGATACTTCCGGTCATACAGCACCTCCGTCGAGCGCGGCAACCGCACCATCAACGCCCGCAAACAAGTCCTCCTCCAAGACGAAATCACCTCCTCCGCGTCCGTCATGTGGCGGATGCACACGAACGCGACGGTCTCGGTCGACAGCTCCGGGACGTCGGCGACGCTGACGATAGGTGACGAGACGCTCATCATGCAGATCTTGAACGCGCCGAGCGGGGCGAAGTTCACGACGGGGGAGGCGACGAGGCTTGAGAGCGATCCGGCGTTGCTGAGTGGACAGGTGGATCAGCCGAATCCGGGGGTGACGGTTTTGATGATTAGTTTGGAGGCGGGGGCTTAGTGAGTTTTCTCTCCTTTTCGATACTCTCCTATCTTTTCCTTCGATTTCCAATTCGGTTCGTTGTTGGTGGAGAGGTGAGCTGACGAAAGAATTTGGGATGTTCGTAGTCTGCAGGTGTTGTTTAGCCCGCAGTGGTCTGGATTGTCGTCGAGCGATTTCGTCACGCCGGCACGACTGCAGTTGCCATTAGCTATACTCGTAGGGAGTACACCCCAAAATCGAGACTGACAACAACGGCAGTTGACACGTCGCATTGACAAAGTTATACGTGCAAAGTAATAAATATGACAATCCGGCTTCTTTTCAGCATATAGAGCACGGGAGCGTAGGGGAGCACATCCAACACAAGGTAAGAGATACGCGAACAGCTATCCACAGCAAAAAGGCGATAGAAACAACTCTGACACACACAAGCTGTGTTAAGGTACGAAACACATGGTCATACAAGTTTCTTATCGTTACGACGCAGGTCGGCGAGCTTCGACAAGCCGAAGCGCCGAGAAAACATGGCATCCTTCGCAATGTTGAGCGAAAAGAAAAGCCGCCAATAATGAAGGTGAATAAACTTACGAACGTAGTGCGTTTGAGGAATGTATTGACAATCCACACCATCCAGGCGTTGGCTCCGTCCCATAGCCAGGCGCGAGGGTGCGCTTTCAGCACTTCGGCGACGATGTTACGTGCTACAGGATCTCTTGGTACAGCAGCGTCTGCGAATCTCAGCCATGAGTAGCCGTTCATGTCAGTAAGATGGAAGTTGGACGAGGCGCACTTTGATAATTGTCGATGCGATTCCTCTGATACTCTTCCTTGATCGGCTGATACAGTGAGTTGTCGGGCATCACAATCCATGGCTTGGTTATATTGCTTTGTACGTTTCCAAGCACGACCTTGAGAAAAGATATCAGGAATACAGCTTTTAGTAGTTGATAAATGACTGACATGGAGCACCCGTATGCTAAAACACCATTCGGTCAATTTCAGTATCGCATACGGGCTGTGGTCAAACTCACTTGAATGGTGCTAATTCAATGCGGAGCGTGTCACTCATTGCATTCAAGGCCGCCTTGCTCGCGTTGTAAGCAAAGCCAAACGGGACAGGGGCAATGCTGGCCAAGCTTCCGATCTGCACGATGCGCGCATCATCTGAAGCGAGAAGGAGCGGGACGAATTCCTGTACCATGGCCACTTGACCAAACACATTAACATCGAATACTTCCTTCACTTTATCGAGCGAAGCGTCCATGAGCGCAAATGGATATGCTGTTGATCTAGTAAGCCTCTGCGATCGAGCAAAGGCATAAGCTATACTGGCAACTGACCTACGCCACTAGAGACGAAGATTATGGTGAGATATTAATGTCCAGGCAAGACGAGGAGAACGTACGCGTTGTTGACCAAGACATCCAACTTGTTTCCGTTCAGCTCGATGATCTGTTGCTTGGCAGCCCTGATGCTGTTCAAATCCGTGACGTCTAAGACCAACAGCTTGATACTGGGCAGGGATGTCAAGCCCTCCATAGATGTAAGTGTACGGGCGGAAGCAAAGACTTGAAAACCTGAGTCGAGACTATGAGTTGCAGCTCGTAGATAACAACACAGACAAACGCGCCCTTTGAGTGGAATTCTTTAGCGAGGGATTCCCCAATTCCACCTGCGCTACACCTGCATTGTTGTGAGATACATGACTCTGTACAGGTACACGGTGAGTCTGAGCATACCCAGTGATAAGAACAGATTGCGACATGTCTAATAGTGCCTCTCCCTTTGTCGAGAGTGATAGAGATGGTGTACGTAGCGGACAAGCGTTGACTTGTCGTCGTCTGGGAGAAAGGGAGGAAAGGCGTGGTTCTACGGTTATGCTTCCTCATGGGACTTGCCCCACGAGGTTGATGAGTTTATCTCACTCCCTGTAAGCGTCTGGACCGTGGGTATAATTAGCCCGCAAGAATGGAAGTTCTACTACGATGGTGATTGAGGTCCATGGCGACTTACCGCCACAGTAATTCACTGTCTCACAGTCTTCTCGGTGTATGTATGGACTGGACAACGCCGAAGCCGAGAACGGAAAAGATCGTTACCAATCGACAGATCCGTGCACACATCGCCCGGAAGCTGCCTTTCTACACGAATCTGGCGAATCTGGGAGCGTGACCGGTTGACCGCGGATGTTTATCTATTCTACTGCTCCCAAGGATGACAAGAACTAGTAGGAACTAGTGATATTCTTCAAGTCTCTTCTGATGCGTATGAAACACGCAGCGCCTCTATCCCATCGAACAAGAAGCTTCCAGTTCCCCTAGTGGCTCCCGAGGAAGGACGAAGAAGGTCCCGGAGCAACCACAGCGGCCTGCGAGGTAGGGGTTTCTCTTTCTATTACATCAGAAGCAACACAGTGTCGGTTCTCATTTCATCGATCGTGTCCTGACTCGGATCGAGTCTCAGTGCCCTCTGCGAACGAAATCATGATCATCAAGCTCCACAAACAGTGTGCGAACAGATTCTATGTGGGCGCATCTCAAGCGCATCTTCATTTATGGTAAAGAGATGATTGATTTACTGTTTTTGCTTCTTGCTGGGTTCATCCGTGAGCATCTGTGGTGGCAATTGTAGGTCATTTATCATGCATGGCAGATTGATACGTCGTCGGCTCACTTACGAGCGTTAGCCCAGTGGCTTGACCTGAGGTCACGAGCCAACGATGAACATGTAGGTTTCCGCTGGTTTTTCGCCGTTCAGGAGACTTCATCATGATCGCGATCGCAGTACTCGAGGCGTACAACATTTGATACTGATGCTGAGAATCTGAGGGACCGACATGCCCGAGCTCAAGGTATGTGAAAGCGTTAGAAAGTGGACTTCGAAGATGTGGCGCTACTTACTCTTCTGTGCAATACACCATCACCTTTGATGTATCATGGATGTCCCGATGCCCTGAAGCACACTATAAAGCGTCACTCAATGTACGCCTCATCTGAAGGAACCTCCTCTTCTCACAGCATTCAGACTATTCCCAAGCTCGAAGCAATGTCCGAGTCATCTGCGCAACTGCAATATGGTCTCAATGCTGTCTATTGTGGAAATTGGTTCACAGCACTGTGAGTGTAAACTCTCGATGATATTTGACGGACAAGAAGAGTCTCATTTCCGCTCCCACTAGTTTGTGTGGAGTGACAATATTGCAGACATTCTGGTACTACAAGAACTATCCGCACGATCCCAGGCGAATCAAAATCTTGGTACGCCTGAAGTGCACCTGTCGAAGTCTCCCCTCACATGATTGGGCACCTATTTATTTATTGATATAGGTTGCGACCTTATGGCAAGTCCCTGTCAGTTTTCAATAAACTTTACTGCACAACTCTAACATTTCGTATAGCATTCTTGACTTGTTTCATGCTGCATGTGTGGCCCATATGGTATACGAAATAATATTTGCAGCCGCTCTCAGTGGCAGCACCACAATCTTCACTGCGCAACTACCTTGGTATGATTTCTCTGTCCGTGACTGAAATAAATTACTGATTGTTTTCTCTTTAGGTCTGTCATGGTCAGCTTTGTCTCATAATTTTAAAGATGATGCATGGACTGACTAGCGGTCCTCAGGGAATGACACTAGTAACGGTATGAATTTATCACTGTTCAGCTTGTTGTGTATTTTTTTGTTAAACACGTATCTGTAGGCGCTCGCGGATATCCTCATTCGATTGTAAGTGTTCCATGTCACATGAATACAGCGGACTGGTCACTGAAACACTTACTTGCTACCGCAGTTTCTACTGTTACAGAATTTGGACCAGTATGCATCTATTACATGACTCTGCATCTCCAATTCTGATGTCTGTTCGTAATGAGCAGTGAGTGAACATAACTGGTTCCTGACAATACCCGCAGTATGTCTGCAAATTATTATTCTGATGTGTCCAAGATATGTCAGCTTAGATGGCAATTTTAGGCCTTCTTCAATATTGTCCTTTTCGGTAAGATCTTGTCAGTCTTGTTGCAAATCGTACCTGCAGTCTTATACATCATCTTATTGGCAGGATGGTCAATTTGTGAGTGACGCATCACCCTCAAATACTCGGAGCAAGAATGATAGAATATATTATCTGCAGACTTCAACACCAGGCTGTGTGTACCCAAGCAAATAGTGGTATCTGCGGCATGATACTCATATCTGATTACAGGGCTAGGGTTCATGACCTTGCACAAGTAGCGTTGCTCTCAGTAAGTTCAGTGTGATTTCCTTGGTACATCCAGCTTATGCGTTCAAGACGGACTTCTATGTAGACATGGCCTTGATCGTGTTCAATGACACCGCTCTGTCAGTTGTTCTCATTGTCCTATTGTGGCGAAAGCGGCGCTTCACTGTTAAAAGGTATGGTGGAAAGTATGATAGTTATCCGGTTCTCATATTTTTCTGTATCATGCAGGACTGCTTCGCTTCTGAACACACTGATAGTGTATACTGTCACAACTGGGTTTCTCACCAGGTCCGTACTTTCCCTGTCCGTCTTTATGTAATTGAATTGATTATTGAAGGCTTCTCCGAATAGCCTGCTTGCATTGGCAATGCTAATTACAGTGAGTTAAAACCATTAAAATTCTCATTGTCAACAAATCAATTAGTACTGAAATGGATGTCATAAGTTTGCTACTGATCAAGGGCTGGCTTACCTTGGGATGTTCATTGTCTTAAGCAAACGTAAGTTTATCTTTTTTCATGCGGGAGCTGGCATATGACATACAATTCTGCTCCGTTAAGTCTTCCTCAACTCTTGCCTGGCCACTCTTAATCAGAGGCGAACCAATAAAAGAGATGAAGACGATACAATTTCCATTTCAATGAAGCACATGGACTTTGCACCCGGAGTCACGCCGACAATGGCTACAGGTCCGCCCGTGGATGTATGTTTTTCATGTAACCGTATGATGTGCATTATCTCCTTCGTTTTTGACCAGGCATACAGGTTCTGGTGAAGAACTATGAGGGTGAATCCACAAACCATCCATCCACAGTGAGATATATCATCCTTCATTTGCCTGAATTCTCCTTGATAGTTCCTCTTTCATTTCTTCACAGAGCTACTCTTTCGACAGAGTTTGATGCTGACCTCGACTTCGTAGCCGGTCTCATTACTTACTTTCGTCCGACGTCCGGTTTACCAGCCCCACATATTGTCTCTTCTGCCTGCAGTGAGAAAAGGCATGTTAAATAAGAACGTACCGAAGCGTAATGCAGGATCATGTATGATGTCATTATGTTGCGCATATCATCAGGAGGGCTCGTACATCTGTGTGAGTGGGCATGTGTACTAGCCTTGAACCATGAAGAAATGGGACATCTATGGGTTTCAGGCAACACTTTCGGTCACTCGTTCCGAACCGGAGGTGCCTCTGCCTTTATCGGGCAAGTTATGGACCCCGATTATCCGCATCGCAGGCCGTTGGCACTCCCTAGCCTACGAAACACCTGTTCTTTTTGAACAAGAAGCTTCTCGACACATGTGGATGGCTTGTATTCGTTTCACTTTCCTCCAGTCAGCGTGCAAAGCAACTTCTGCTACACCTTCCGACCATGTCCAAAGTGAAGGCTTCATCTAACACGACAACACATTTCCCATCTTCGATCGGACAAGAATACAGATACAGGCCAGTTATGGGAGCACAGGCTGGGATATCGCCCTGTATTTGTGGCCAAATCCCTACACCTACTAAAGGATAAAACCTCGCCATGCATATGCACCCTCCGCCAATACGACACGATCACGCAGTGACATGTGAACATAAAATGGCAGCAAGGGATATGAAGATGGAAAACAAATATCGATATCATCGGCGCCGCTCCTACATAAGTTGAACATCGTGCACGGCCGGTACACAAGCTCTTCTACATCTCCTAAATTCCCTATGACTGCTTCTCGCCAGGCGCCCGCCACCACATAGGCAAATCCAAACGATACTCCTTCCAACGTCGACCTCCCAAAAACCTCACGGAGATGACAAGAAGTAAGGCGTCAGGATCGATATCTGTGGATCTCAAAGGGTAGAGATGAATCTACGTATACACTCCTCGTCTGACATACCTCAACAAAGAGCACTCAAAAAATTCGAGTTCGAATTCAAGTTCAAGCATCAAGCATCAACCCAAACTTCCTTCGCGGTCTTGACGACCAACGAAAGCTTATCCACCACATTCTGTTCGCTAACGGGGTTCCCGGCCGCAGATGATGCGAAACCGCACTGTGGGGAAATACAGATCCTGCGAGACAAGAAGGGGGTAGGCGTGTTCAGAATCGGGGTGTTGAGGAGCAGATAAAGAGGCCGGATGGGTGTGTATAGGTATACGTACTGATTGAGGGCCTCCGCCTTCGAGCGGGGTTGCACGCCGTTCGCGATCGTCTCAGCTGCACTGTCGATACGCTTCTTGAGCAGCTCCATGTCCTCGAGCTATTAGCCAAGAGTGAATCAGGGAGAGTTGGTGGTTAGCTCGCAGGGGCCTTGATGTTATGTTGCAGGTGAGGAATCGGAAAGATATTACCTCGGGTGCTTTGCTAGTGACGAGACCGAGAACAACGACTTTGTTCTTGGGAAGGTGTTTGAGAGGTTCAAACGTTCCTGCACGGTCACTGTCATACTCGAGCTGAGAATTGTCCGAAACGTCAGATACGATGCTGTTAAGTAGTGCAGGAACTACATGGGACATACGTAGTAAGTGTCGACCGGGATCTCGTTGAACAGCTTGATAGCGATGTCGTCGTAACCTCCTTGCGAAAAGTGTTGGCCGCCCTAAATAACACACGAAAGCAGCCAAGAGCATCCAAGCGTTTAGCACGTATTGACACCCAAGAGTTCGAAGGACCCAAGAGTCAATGTAGCGCGACTTACGGTATAGTTTCCACGGCAGAGGTGGAGACCGATGTTCATTCCGGCCGGCTTCTCGGACAGACAATCCTTGTATGCCTGGATGTACAGGTTGAGAAGGTAGTCTGGGTCAAGGCCTTGATCTTTCATGCCCTTGACCATGTTGACGTCGCAGAAATAGGCAAGACCAGGATCGTCGATTTGGACATTCCCTAGTAGACAGATGTCAGGGCAATGAAGGCCATATAAGATGGATGAACGCACTGCATCCTCGGCTGTACAAGTCTGCAATTTCCTCGCGATATGCCTTGGTAAGGTCGGCAAAGTACTCCTCTGAGTGCACCCCATTGTCAGTAAGATTGCTTCAAACGCACATCGAATGTAGTATTGTGAGTACGTACCGTCAGTAGAATACACATCTTTGGAGTATGCGTTCGTCCCTAGACGCAAGTGGTAATAACTAGGAGGGCCCATAGTGATCTTGATGCCTTTGTGGTCCTATGATCAGGTTGGCAGCCACGCATGAACAAATATCCTGAGAAAACAGTAAGAACGGCGTCTACATACCTTCTCGGGAACGATAGTCTTCAAGAAGTCGAAGTCGGGCCCATAGAACGGTTTCGTGCGCTTGATTTTACCCTGGTCACCCGGCCATCAGCCATCAGCTGCACATTCGCGGCTGATAGGCATATAAATTAAGCATACCACGCATATCGACGCAGCTGGAGGGCCCTTGATTTTGAAGGCAGCCTTCATAGGGATGTAATCCTGGGCAAGACGTTGGCTCGTGCGCACATACTCGAAGTACCACGAGACATACCATAAACAGGTCGAGGTGGTCTAACAGACGCAAGCTTTGACTTTAGACGCCCAGCAGCATGGCAGATAGCTGTAGAACACACCTTCCGTGACGACTTTCATGCCATCCAGGTTATCGAACACACCATCGTAGAACATGGCTCTGCGACCGCCGTTTCGTCAGCCAAGCAGACGCTATCGCCAATAGCTAAGACTCACCTCCTGATCTCTCCATCCGTGATAGCCTTGATACCTACGTCCATCTGCATCTTCACCGCGGCCTTGATGGCCTCATCCTCCGCCGCTGTGAGCTCTTGCTGCGAAAGCTTTCCTTCTTTGACCAACTGCCTCTTTTCCAACAACGGAAGCGGTCTCTTGAGCGATCCACAGTGCTCGCCACGGAAAGGAGGATTGAGGGTGACCCAAGGCATCTTAGTGTTATCGGAGTAGACTTGGGGTGTAACGGTGAAAAGGAGGGAGGAGGCGGGGATGGAGATGGAGATAGAGGCGACAGGAGAGAGTTTGTCGAGCAGGCAAGGGCACTGTTAAATACAAGAGCCCGGAGAGGCAAGCGGTCGGCCGGTGGTCGGTGCCACATCAGGTGTCATAGCTCTCGGGTGAGCATTTTTGCAGGAGAGCGAACGATTATTACTGGTGAGCGCGAGGATGCGACGACTCGGACATCGAGATCCCCTTTTCATGCGCGTAAATACCTTATCCGGAAAGATATTGTCTGTGTGCGAGCGTGCAGATTAATTCTATCATGGCTGTCCGCAGCTTGTCTCGCATTTGGATGAGGCTGGAGGACGGAAAAGGTGAGAATGGTGATGGTATGAACGAGAGGATGAGCTTGAATGGGTAGAATGGCCAACACGACACATCTTTATATAACGCATAGGCATGCGCGCCTGGGGATGTTGCCTCTCGCCGTGGCGTCTTCATTCCAAGCTGCTTACGCCACAACGGATTGCTCCCCCGACCAGTTCCAAACTCTTCTTCATCACACTCACGACAGTGACGACACAGACCATCAGCTGGCAGAAGTACGTTACACTATTCTTATAGCGCACTAACATTCATCCTATTCAGCCCGCTTCTTCGTGAGGCTGGGATTGCCTGTTCACAGCTTGCGGGGAGTGTATGGGAACATTACTGGGTGTCAAAAGGTACGCCAACAATACGCCCACAAAGCATGCTAAAATATGATTGGAGACAGGTTCGGAATGTCCGAGATCAGATGTTGTGAAGACGAGGCGTCTCGGAACGCCTCAGGCGTGCGATTATGAACGCGAAATATACCTTGCGTGGGTCATAGCAAACGAGATAAGTGGCCTGACTCTCATGCTGGTAGGATGGGTATTCTTGGTTAACCTTTCGAGTGCAGGATTCTGTGCTCCAACTACGTAGTTCTCGGAGCTTTGGTGACCAAGCAGAACGGGTTAGCCACCGTTGTCGTTCGTTCTGGTTCGACTCATACCTAGGTGCAACTTTCACGGCCCATGGATTCGAGAGACACTGTTAGACTCTAGTGCGTCTATCTCGTTATTGAGTGGGGATTCTTTATCTTCATATTAGCTTGATGAAGCACAAAATCGCCCTGTGAGAGTGTCTGCGTAGGTGCTTTTGTGTCCTTGTTGGGCATGACGCTTGTTCCGCGGATAATTCAAGCGGCCTGTTTGTACGAACCTTCGGTCGGTCTATAAGGCCTTGAACCCCTTCTGTGCTCTTGATCTCGACGATATATCCTTGACGTCCTACGTTGCATCCAGTCTATAACATGAATGCTAGTGGCGTGCACTCGAACCCACGGCACACACCAGATCACCTTCATTCAGCTTCCTATGCCCAGATTCCCAGCTCGTTGCTCAATCATTTGCGGCTTCAGGTCACTTAGACTAGCTCCTTTCTTATGATGCCTTTATTTTGGGCAGCGAAGGCTATTGCAACGCCTCCCCATGATATCAGGGATAGTCTCACATCTCATCATGATTACTATTCGCCCTGATGATCCCATTCCTGAAAATATACAGAATAGGGGTTTTATGATACGGCCCCAGAGCTCATTTCTGTCTGGCCAGAGAATGCTCCACATTGAGCGCCGGCCCCGCATATGACGAAAGCAGCAGCAGTCGGCGTATTCCGCCTCGAGCTCTCGGACGCTGCTGAAGGTGCTACAGCACATATTCTCTTCAAAAGACTTCAGGTCAGGCTTTGGAAGCATGACTAGACAGGATCCCGAGAGTTGTACAAGAAGAGACGGCAATAAATAAAGAGCGGATAACACACGCTCGATGCAGAGGCGGCGCGAAGTCTCTCGTGGGAGATTTGGAACCGGGAGCCACCTCGATCTCTGGGCTCATAAAACTCTGTAGCTCTTCGAAGCGCCCGTATCATAAAACCCCTAATCAGAACACCAGAATGCTCTTGATACGGCATAATGGACCGCCTCTTTCTATTAATCAATAACGCCGACTCCTGTGTTGGTCGATCATCTTTATCACCGATGATCCTTACTGCTGGAGCATTGCGTGCAGCGCTACATTTGGCCTGATACCACCATCATTACCAGCTTTACTACGCTCTGTGCTCGACCTGATGTTGCTCCCCATACCGACATATTGATGACAGTCACCTTCCGTTGTCGCGATGGTAGAGTAATTGTTTAGAGATAGCTGGAGTTTATACGGACCACTGTCTGGAAAGCGCGCAGTTGGGTCGGCATGTAACACCAATTTGAGGCAAGGATTTGGCCTCTTTCGTTCCAGCTTGTAAGAAACCATAGTCCACCGATGAGGGCAGAGTCGATGGGTCTGATTCGATTGGCGGTCAGTCGGCAGAAAGTTGCGCCATACGACGCTCTAATATTGCGCGTGCGGAAGAACTTGGCTCCCATGTTTTTTTGCACGGACCAGGGAATCAGTCGACTACTCGGGTTTTGCTTTGACTGTGACCCGTATACTATATTTCCGAGAATCGAGCATCAATCGACTAGAACCCATTGCATGATCTGCTCCCCGTACCGTTTCAGTGGCATGATGCATGTTTCTAATTACAACTTTGGCAGAGCCCACTGCACCCAGACGCGACAACTCTGAATGTGCGCGGAACGAGACTGGTCTATTGTTTCTTTACCAGCTGATAGCTTTCTAGAGCGCCTTTCTTCACCCGCGATGTCTTGTCTGTATGTGGAAGGACACCGTCTTATGTGAGATGCACCCATACTGACCCTGATGGAATGTGGCGCTCTGCTGCATGATGGACCTTCCAAGTCCTCGACAAGAGTCCTACGATTCTTATTATATATAAGTCAGACTGGGAGAGAAAATGCACATCATTCCTCCCGTAGAGCACGCTCGAGCATACTCGTTTGTAACCTTTCAGCCTCAATGGCAACATCTGACCTTTCCCGCAAGCGTTATTCGACGGACATTTCATCTTCAGAAGTACATGTCGATATCACAGACACTTTCACTTTGATTGCGTGTCAATGCATGCTTTACGGTAAGTCTGGCAATCCAAAATTGAGTCTTGAAACGTACTAAAATGTACGGCGTTCATCTAGGAGTTCAAATCACCCTCACGCTTTTCGTGGGATATACTCTCCTGTACGTGTTAGAGTTGCTTTATATCCCCGAAAACTCCCTGATAGAGGTTTGGCAAGCTTTGCACAAACCCGATCGAAGGCAATCAGGTGGCTGCTTCCATTGACGGTTGTCATGCTTGCTTCGTCGACAATATACGTGATATTCACCTTGGAGGTTGCCGTGTATTTCAGCAATTATTCTGGCGATTCTGTGCCTTACGAAGTTATCTACGGAATGCAGGAAGCACTACTCTATCTACCGAGTGTCAATGTAGGCAACCATTTTCTGTGTTCCATCAGTTTTCTGACAATTTTTCGCAGTATCTGTGTAGTGATATCATCTTATTCTGGAGAGCATACGTCCTGTGGAACAGTAATAGGCGGGTCTTTATTCTCCCCGCTTCTCTGCTCGCCGGAACTCTAGGTATGTCTATTATACCAATCAGCTCGACGGTACCTATAGCTGACTGATCTTTACCAGTGGCTTTATTGGCGAGTATCGGAAGCAAAGGAGAAACCAGCTCCTATAATTCCAGTCCCAGCCTCAGCAGGAAGGATCTGGCCGTTTGGGCACTTTATTCATCATGGGTTCTCACACTCGCTGCAAATATCGTGCTCACCTTGATCATCGGTTTCAAAGCTTGGTACCGTCTAACCTTTATTTTTGACGTACCTAAACTGAATCCGACTCAAATTACCCTACGCAGGCAGTACTCTCGGTTCTTTACCGTTTCAGGTCTTGGCAGGAGGAGTTCGAAGTTGGTTGGGGTTAAAATCATCATCGCCATCGTCGAGTCCGGTGCTGTCTACTGTGTTTTCTTGGTAAGATCCTGAACTTGCATCCGTATATTCCCTTTATTAATGGCCGTTCATCCAGTTGTTCCTCGTTATCTTGAATTTCCAACTTCCGCCGTCTGAATCTCTGAGATCGTTCAACGTATGGAAGGCAGGCAGTATCATACAAGATGTGTCTATTCAAATATCCGTGAGCTCTCCTCTATGTCATTCCGAGAGCAAGCGGTGTCACTCACCATGATTTATCCTATGTAGGGGATTTATCCGATCATCATTATTGTCATGGTCGCACTCAAACGTAGCATAGCTGACACTGCACCAGCCGACACTTCCCTCCCGTCTTTCGTCGCTGGTAACAGAGATGGTACCACAAGCACGTCCATCGCACAGACTCAATCGGGCGGGCACCGTGACCTCGAACGGCGATTTGAATCAAACGATCAAAGCACTATACACTTCGTAGGATTTGGAGCATTCCGAAAGTCCGGAGAGACGGACAACCAAGGCGAGGCAAATTCGGCTTTTACAGAGGCAGAGACGACAGCTTGAGGGACGCAGAGACGAGTCAGGCTTGTATTGTCTTGATGGTGAAGGAAGTGGACATATTGCCGTCGGGTTCTACTGCCTTAGATTAACTGCTTACCGTGACCTTTAATCTCATAGGTGATGAGCTTGCCATGAGCTCCTGTGGATATCCATAATTTATGCAATGTCTTTTTGTATGCTCCGCTGCGACAGCGAGTGGCGTGCTCTGACTGCCCTGCTACTTCGTGCTCAGCCAACATGCAGAACAAATGGCTCGTAGCCTACCGCAACACACGCAGGCGGCAGCTCGCACAAGTAGAATTCTTTGAACCTCCTCTACCACGATTTTGAGTGGAAAACTAGCAAAAACATATGGCGACTACAAATTCGTTTCTAACAGTCGAAAGTGTTTCTACGACTGGGCATTCGAGCTCCGGGCGTGGGGTGAAAAATGAACGGAACCTAATGTCGATTGATAGACAAGAGACCGTCTTTACATCGTTCAGCCCAACAAAACGAACGTACGACTACAAGACTTCGGATACGGGGAATCGAACCCCGAGCTGCCGCGTGAGAGGCGGCAATGTTAGCCGTTACACCATATCCGATGTTTAATCTTTCCCTCTCAATCTTTATGACTGGTTCTTTATAGCGAAGAATTAAATACACGTATATTTCGTTCGCTGCCCCATTGTTTTCAAATGAATCAAAAGGCTACGGTCTTCCTTGTTTCTGGTGCGAAACTCATGCAGCAACATATGCCAATGAATCGCCGTTGAACGGTTTCCACGGTAGAAGGAGCACCATGCAGTTCGTCGAACAAGGTTATATGATGATTTACAAACAAGAACCGGAACCTACTGCCTACAAGTACACAACTACAACTCCGACCTCTGTCAAATTGTACGGGTCGAGAATAAGTAAACGGTGAATCATCGATCGACGATAGCAAGGACGGCTAGAAAAGAGAAAAGGAAAACGCAGGGTGGAGGGGTGCTGGTGATTGTGACGACTCGAAGCCCAATTCAGATATGGAGATGGAAAGTGAGGATGAGAGGGAAAGTAGGAGTACAATACAGGGAGTGGTATGCGGAAGACGGTACGGATGTCATGATTCGGAAGATAGATAACGAGGCTGACAAGAGGGCGGACAAAGAGTAATATGCAGTGGGATAACAAGAAGCGGGTGTTAGAATCCGAGAAAAGTAGCAAAATTGATTGTCCATAAGCCTGTTCTTCACCCCCCATATCAACATACCGAGTATTCGATGGTGTGCGACAGCGCTCGGAAGGGAGATTAGAAGTAAGGGCTGAAGGGAACGAGAGCAGAGTGATAGAATGAGGCAAGGTCACGGATGCCTCGAAAGAAGGCAAACGTAGAAATATGGGTGATATGGGCATGGGAGTGTGAGCATAGAGACAACAAGAGCGAATTCGCATGGTGGAGATGAGCGAACATGATAAACGTAAAATGCGTGAACGTTCGTAAACAAAGCCTAGCCTGGGCGAGGAGAACAGCGAACAGGATATAGGAAACGGAAACGGTCGAACAACCGCATGGATCCGTAACGGCCGCTATCATCGTCTGGTTTCGTCGCGAAATGTGACAGGCTCCATAAATAACCCGGTCGTCCTTTCATGGAGGGGACTACACCAGCAACTGCTGATCCCCGTCCTGGATCGACGACTGCCTCAAGCCCAGGCTCCCTCATCCCACCACGTCTTCTCAGCTCCTTTCACGCTCCATTCCACCAAGCCGCCTGTACTTGCAACATAAACCCACCTACCACTCGGGTCAAAGCACGTCCCAGCGAGATCCAAATGCTCTTGGACCGCAACCCTCGTCTTGATCCTCTGGCTTTGGCTCTGACCCTGCGTTCTCGCGGCCGCAGGGCTCCGCACCACTCCTCTCGACGTCGTAACAGACCACGGAGTAGGTGCAGAACTCGAGAATGGCGCGGGTGAGGAAGCCCGCGAAGTGAAACAATCTGACTCCAGCTCGTCCACCTCCATCTCCACATCCTCGGTCTCATGATATGGCCCCGAACTCGTCCTACTCGGATCCCGCTCGACAATGATCTCTCGCTCATCGAAATCCGCCGCATCTGCGATCTCGATCTCAGCTTCGTCGTCGTCTTCTGGGTCAACCATGGCCTCTTCACGGTCTTGCTGGCGGCCAGGACTTTCTCGCACCGGAGCGACTGACGCCCGCAGACCATGGCGTACGAGAACTCTCCTGACCTCTCGCTCTGCCCCTCTGTCTCCCAGTGCCGGAATGACCACGACACCGTTATTTTCCCCGTCAGTGGGCGGGTTTCGTCGTCGAGAACGTCGGAAGTACTGTGCTCGGGCTGGTGAGATAGTCGAAGCGTTAGAGGCGGAGAGACGTTCGGAAGAGCTGTTGTAGAAGACGCGCGGTTGCGTTTGCGGTACGGGGGGTAGGCGAGTCGAGCTTGTCCATGGGCCACTAGAGGTACGTTCCTGTTGTTCTGTGGAGTAGCGATTTGCTGACGCTCGTGTACTGGCACACGATTCGTCGGATCGTTCGTTGATAATTGTAGGAACCTTGACGATCTCCTCCGTCTCGAACGTGGTGGCGTCCACGACATGGAGTAGGGACGTATGCTATTCAGACAAAGTTGATTATTCTGGGCCCTCGTCAGTGACAGTATGAAGATGACTGACCTCGGTGAATGTCATCAGCTGCTTTCCGCCGAATCCAGGGCTGAATTTCACATTCCTCACGCCCCACCCGGGTGCCTTCGTTGAACTGTTCGACCAATCCCACGAATCTTCGTACAACCAACCACTCGCAGCTCCGGTGGCCGTCCTTCCGCTACCTGACGATCTAGTCCTGTCCGTCTCGAATATCTTCATCGGTTTCGTACTCCTCACATCCCACACCGCGACCATACCCTCCTGACTTGCGACCGCGAACTTCGTCCCGCATGCCGAGAAGCCAGTGGAGAACGAAGCGGGGCCACAATTCGAATTCGGGTTCGAGTAATGGTACGAGGAGTCGAATGGAGGAAGTGTGAGTTTCGCGTATGGTGTAAACGTGATACGTGAGCCACCCGTCAGGCCGTGCAGGTATACATGTGGCGAGTCGCCCACAGAAAGCAATGTGCGTCCATCGGGTGAGATCGAAGCTACGATATCGTATCAGCAAAACCTTTGAGCCATGCAAGCAAGGAGGGAAACACGCACAGTGGTTCACGGCGACGTCCAATTTCAAAGTGCCGACCTCGCTAATCCGTGTCGGAGGCCCGTCCACGCCCTTAGACCCTCGCACATTGATGTCGTAGAACTTGATTGAACAGTCGTTGTTGCTCACTGCTACGCGTGGTTCGGCACTGCTCTCGTGTGATCGTGTCAAGCTCATCTGCGTGAGTAGCACGGAGTTATTGATGGAGCCGCCAAGCGAGTTGTCGTATTGCCATAGTCGGCGTGTCCGTGGGAGTGGTGGGAACCGTGACGAGTCGTGTGCGGTGCAACTGTCGTCGGACGAGGACGAGGAGTTGCGCGAGAAGGAGGGCCGTTTGGAATGGATGGAGAGGTGGAATTCTGAGTGTTGTCCCCCTGCGGCGATCAAACGCTCGTTGGAGTCGGGGAGGGACAGCGAGGCTAAGGTGTTGGGCGTGAAGGTAAGTTCCACAAGTGTTGTGGATGTCTAATAGGCTCGGATTAGTGAATATGAAGAATGCATGATGTCTGTCGGTTAGAGCGGCTATAGGGATATCACGCCACAAACTATTAGGCTCTTTTCGCATCGCACACTGAGCAACGCAGGCTTGCCTCGTGAAGGATGACGAAAAGAAGGTCTTGGACGTTTGATTTCGCTCGACGTGAGAGAGAACCGACGATGACGAATCGATGAAGAGGTCATCGCTTAGTCGAGAGGAATCCACCGTGCACTAAGGACAGAGATGCCACTGAACAGTGCATGTGCAGCAAGGTCTACCAAGTCGCACATTATAGAATCTTCTCAAGAGTATGCATATTTCCTCCTGTGGAACACAACGACGTGGAGAAGAGTGGAGTAACAGCAGGAAACGACGACTGGAATTGCTGCCTAGCAATTAGTGTAGCGCCACTCGTCTCGCAATAAGAGACCGCAAGCCACTGCAAGATAGACTGAGAAAACATAGCTTTGCCATGACTCCGGATTCATGTACCATGGCCGACAATGTGCGGCAGGTCGGGAACATACACAGTTTCCTAATAATAGCATGGGGCCGTCCATGGCCTCGTGACAACACGATACCATCGTCGTAGGAACTGGATGCGTCGTAGAGAAGATACAAGAACCCAGCAGGAGATGAAGTTTGGTTCGAAGATATGGGCGTAGGGTGCACAGAATATGTGTAAGGAAATGCAAGAATCAGCACTCACCGAAGCAGGATTCGTTACGTCTCGTTCCATGATAGATTCCCCCTGAATGAAGTCAACGACACCCCTCTCCTCTGGGCATATGACTAGGTCTCGCAATTGTCTGTGGGAACGACACATAAATTCGAGACACAAGTCGACAGATACCTGCTTGAGACGAAGACTTACACATGGCCTATGGAGACTGGCTGGTGGACAATATTCGTGGGTTCCGAAGACAGAAGTGATGGTGAGCGGGCCATGACTATTGAAAGGTGTTCACAGCGTTCAACGCCGAGTATCGTCAGTGATTTCGTTCAAGAAATCAAGGTGTTCGTGGAAGTAGAGAGGGCGTGTGGGACATAAGCGGGCTATTGGGCCGGTGCTAGATGGAGTACAGGGTACGGGTTCCGCGAAGTAATGCCGGAAACACCTTCAGGGGGTGGGTAAAGACAATTGCAGAATCGTGTCCTTATATCTAGAACAAAAGAACTAACTGTCAGCATTTCTATTTTGTATAATGTCTCGTTCAGAACGAACATACCGTGCAGGGGTGAGGACGTGAGCGGGATGCGGTACGGAAACAAAGGCCCGCTCTTCCAACGCGCTAATGACATCAGGCCCGACGGCAGATGCCGGACCGTCTTGAGCTTCGCGTTTTCAGCTTTTTTTTTTTCGTCTCTCCCACCTCCATCTCCTCGTTTTCCCACCTCGCGAGTATCCCCATGTCGGTCGTGAACTTCAACCTTTCTCAAACTATTGACCTTTTGATAACCTGTTCTGGTTGTCATAGTTTTCTCTGTGTGCTGTTCTTTGATGGGTTTCTGTGGTGCGCCGAAAAGGTCCAAGGGTTTTCTGGAAGTCGTGTCCTCCCATAGTCACTAAGGTAAATCTCAGTTACACATACGACCATTTCTCTCCCATGTTTCATCAAGATCGAAGTCATCTTTTCTCTGGCTGGTGAGCACACTTTCTTTTCCTCTCTTTTTTCTCCCCGTCACTTCAACCCTTCCAACTCTTGGACATCAAATGATAGAGATATACTATAAATCAGTTATCCCTGACTTAATCACCTGTGTCGAGAACATGATTTTCTGATCTTGTCCAACTGTTCTTCCATCCATACTATCTCATCAAAGACGAATAGATGGACTAACATAAACCCTTTCTCCTTCTCTTAGCATCACTCGAACGAGCAACAGGATTCGGAGGATGGTCTGGTAAGAGGTAAGGTGGCTCGCCTTCATGAAATTTTCATGGCGGAAGAACGAAGGAGAACGTGGATTTCTCTGAAGTATTGGGAGACTCGAACGGATCGTTGGCCCGAGTCCTACGTTACTTACATGTCTACGCTACGATCAACTCTGAGAATATATCACCACATTCATGCTTCGACCAACAAGACAGTACTTGAGTGCACTACCCCCGCAGCTGTAAAACGGCGGGTCTGCGTATGCAATCCACTGAAAAGCCAGACCAAATGCGTACAAATAAAATATAATTTTGAATCGAAGACACGGTAAGTACGGAAGAGCCAAACGACCTGGGGAGAACGGAGAGACCAGAGAGGAGAAAGTCGTAACACAGGTCGTAAAGATCGGAATATATATTTACTTCTATACACTATGTACTGTAGCGTGCCAATTGCAGAGTCAGTGTCAAGGACGGTTCGTTATTGAGAAGAGGATGAGGATGATGACTACTGTGTACAATACGTACGTCTGGGTGTGGGTGGAATGATATGATATGGGAGAATGAGTTCCAGATGATGAAATGTATGCAGGGGCATGAGGGGTTCGTACCAAGCTCGTACGATAACTAAATTGACAGAGAAAATACGAGCCGAGGAAAGACGTTAAAAGTGCACGGATGGGTGGAGGGATGGAGGAAGAATGATGAGTGAGACTATGCGACAGCAGTATCGATGCGAAATGGTCAGGTTAACTGCAAATGAGGCAACGAGAACAGTGCAAATAAAGTGCTCAATAAGCAGTCATGGCGGGGTCGTAATCATAGTCCACGCTACAGCCAACAATTGGTCTCACATCTTCAAGCGTCCCACCTGCAATGCTCATACTGAGGCCAAAAACAAACACACCTAAAACCTCTTCGGCGCCTTCCTCGCCCCACCAACCCCTGCCCCCACCAGACTCGCACTCTCACGCCTCCCTCTCGCACCTGCAGTGGCAGTCGTACTGGAAGGAGCTCCCACGGTCGAAGTCCCCGTCCCAATCCGGGAGGACGAAGTCGCCGGCCTGGGGATCCCGCCGAACCCCATACCCGCCCCAGCACCAGCACCCGAACCAAACCTCCCCGCGACTGGCTGCCTCAAACCACTACTAATAATGCTTGTCGGCGCCGGCGCAAAAACAGCCGAACTGGCGCTCGTAGTCCTCGTCAACCCCGTAGTTCTCTTATACCCAGTGCCGCTCGTAGCAGCGGAAGCTGCAGCAGCGGTAGCTTGAGAAGAAGATGACGCCGACGAAGTAGAGATGGCTGCCCTCCTTGGGCCCTTCGAAGGGTTCCTCGAGCTCGATACGGTCGTGGAGGTCACACTGGGGGCGGTTCCAGAGTTCCCAGCGATGGCGGAGCCGGAAGGGACACGCTGTGGACCCCCTGCAACGGAGACATGGCTCGAAGACGTACGCTTTGAAGTGACAGCCGGAACGGGTGGAACAGTCGGCGCAGGGGTCGACTTTGACGATGAGGGAGGCTGGACGAAAGACATGCGTCTGGCTAGTCCAAGACGACGGGGAGCTTGAGGGGGTTCCATGGTGGTTCGGTGAACCGGCGGATGAGCTAGAGCGGGAGTTTGAGCAGCGGACGTGACCGGGGAAACACGCCCTGAGGAAATCGTTATTGGAAGGGAAAAGACGTTAGGGGTAGCGTCGACAGGTGGTTCCGAGGAAGCGGAGGAAGTAGGGCCGGTCGATCCTTTCTTGACGATGCGAAGAGCGGGGATTAACATATCGTTGGGAGGCAGCGATGGAAGACCAGCTGTGCTGGTGGCAGTCTTGGGCTTAGAGGCCATTGCCGCCGCAGAGGGTTCAGCGGACGACTGAGCCACGGAAATAGAGGCAATATTCGAATCCAGAACTCCTGAGGAAGCTGACTCGTAAGCCTGGGCCTGGTCGTCTGCGATGCCAGCGGGAGCTTCATGACGAGATTTCATGTGCTTGGGACGGCGAGGGGCAGGAGGAGGAGCTATTTGAGAACGCCCGAGATCGCTGACAGGTTTAGCAACCTCGTCCGGGAGAGGCATTGCTTTGATCAGGGCAGCGGGAACTGTGAAGATTCAGACATTATGATCAGCGTCAACATAAGTCAAATATAATGAACAATGCCTACCCTCATCAGATCCAGAGGAGCCAGACCTCTCACGTTTCTGTTCCGGGGTGACAAACATCTCCACATTTAAATCCGCGGTGAGCTTCGAGCGATCCTTCCTCTGCCTCTGCGGCCGCGGGACAGCCTCTCTTTTCTCTTTCAACTCACTCTCGCTGACCCCCAGCCCAACCCTCACATCCCTCAACCTCTCACTCAATATGCTGACCTCCGCCTCAGCACACCTACTCTCCAAATCCGCCACACTGCTCTTCGTAACCCTGGATCCGGCTTCCTTGCGTTCGTCCCTGCGATTCTTGAAGCTCGGCAGGCCTTCTAGCTTGGCAACGAGCTCCTCCATCTCTTCCTCTTCCTTGGCTACGTCCATGTCCGCAAATTCTGCGTCACCGTCGGTGAAGGACACGAGCTGACCCAGGAAAGAATCGTGATTGATGAACGAGATCCTGTCGTTGAGAAGGTCGAAAGAAGACTCTGGACAAGCGATATACGAGCTGAACGAGGATTGAAGGTCGACCGAAACGCGGCGAGGGTCGAAAGCCTCGGACGTGGAGATAGGAGATACGTGTGAGCGAAGCCGAGGGATGGGAGCAGTTGGAAGTGGAGAGAGCGTGTCGGAACTGTCTTCTAGGGAGGCAGGGGAGTGGACGGTGATTTTTGGAGTCTGTGAGATGGTTTCGTCGCGAGCATATTCTTCGATTGGAGACATGGAAGGTGAGGGGTTCGGAGACGCAGATGGAGATGGAGAAGAGGACGGGCTACCATCTGCACTATTGATGGAGTCCATGACGGAGAACAGGCGAGATGACTCGGGTGCGCGAGTGAGTTTCGGACTTGGTAGTGGCGCAGAGCGAGAAGTGAAGTAGTCTTTGACAGTGCTCTTTGTGGGCGAGGGCGAAGACACTGCAGGAGACGAAGATGAGAGTGCAGCAACAGCAAGAGAAATGTCAGCGAGAGGCCGACGGGGAGTGGGAGCCCTATCATCGAGTCGAAGGCTTGTTGAAGAAAAGACTGAATTGTCTTCGAGACGCGGGGTGTCATTGTTCTCGTCTTCGATCTCCTCTTCGGGGCTCTCATCTCTCGCAACGTCTTCTGCTTCACTCTCATCTCCAGACGCCTCTATTTCGCCCTGTCCTCCATCATCTACCACAACAGAGACGTCGAAGTCTATCAAACGGTCCAGAGGAAGAGGAACCTGTGTGGGCAGAGGCTTGTGGTCCGCATAAGATCGGCTAAAGAACTTGTTGAACGTCATCGGACTGACGCCCATTGTGGGGTGAGCGTTGACCTCAGCGGGCGTCGAGTTCTCTTTATCAGATCCTCCCTCTGACGGAGAAGGTGATACCAGGTCCCTGTCATGGTGAGGAGGTGTTTCTGAGGTGTCGCTGCTAGGATTTGACTGGGAGAGGGGGTCAAAGAGAGAGAGTAAAGAGTCTCGAGGTCGGTTGTAGTTGATGGTAGACATAATGCGAGTATGAAGAGGATAAAATACGACGGATATTATGGGGAGCTTGTTGGAGATTGTGAGCACGGCGTTGTTGTCGTCGTCGTCTTCCGAGTTCAAGTTCAATTCCGCCGACGCCGGCGCGACAAGCCCGTCACCATCACGAGGAATCCACGTGATCGTGTTCCAAGTCCGGCCAAAAGACCCAGAAGATAAAATAGATGTTATCTGCAGCCAGAAAAGTGGGATTTTGAGTTGGAAACCGACAAGAATGACCTTTAAAGGGGAGATTTTCAAGTGAGAATTCATTTCGAAGTCGAATATTTCGGCCAGGCGTGATTGGCTGATCACCCTCGTTTGGCCTGCGTCTGGCACTTACCGAGGATTCGAAGCGAACTATTAGACCTTATATGTTTCGAGTTTACTTGGAGCTCGTTGGCGGAAGATCTGTCCGATCCGCCAATGAGATTTCGCAAAAAGTTCCAAGTTTTCACAAACATATAAGCCCTATTACTTGGAAATTGAACTTTGCGACCTCCAAAGTAGCCAATTTGAAGCTCATAGAACCTCTCGGTTTTCAGGCTGCAGATAACATCTAATACAGAACACAATATCCTAAAAGGACGGAGGCATCAGTGGTGTAGCGGTAACATTGGGTCTTCCCATGGCCTAGCTCCGGGTTCGACTCCCGGCTGATGCAGTTATGATCAGATGTCTCTGTAATACTTTTATCGCAATACATTGCAGTTCTTGTCTTTGCCAACGATGCCCTCACCAGATGGCACATGTCCGGCCGTACCGTGTGACAACTAAAGAAAGGAATTTTTAATCGCTGATGCATGATGAAATGGTTCGGACATGAAGGTAACAATGTGTAGTCCAGGCGAGAACATCGTACATCTGATACATAGATCATAGAGCAAACCACTGCTTCTTGGCTCCGAAGAGTAGCCAGACGAGCACATCAAGTCCATGGATAATGCGGTGGTCTTGCGAGCAGAACATAGCAACAAGGATTGTGGTTCAAAGTAACGGCGTTCTTGCATTCATGCACCATCACCGGATCCACCACCGTTCAATGACAACGCCTGAAGTCTCTCCTCCTCCGCGATCAGATCCTCGTCCTCCTTTTGCTTCCTATACTTCTCCAAATCCCAATCGTCCTCTCCCTCGTCCTCGTCCTCGAACCATTCTGGGTTGTACTGGAAGAGATCTCGTCCTGACATGCCTGAAGACTTGCCCGCTGCGGCTTGCGTTGCTTTGGCTTTTGACATGGCTTCCGCCTCGGCATCCTTTTTGTTCATGCGGGTTTGCTTCCATTTGGCGAATGATTCGGGGGTGACGGGGGTAAGATTGCTGCCTAGTTTGTGGCGCTACACGGAGAAAGTTCAGACAGATGAGGACAAGTGGATGCGATGGAGGAAATAGAGAGGAAAGAAGGGGACGTGCCTCGACCTCCAGGAACTCCTCCAACGAGATGACATTCGCTTTTTCAGCCTCCGCTTGTGCCTTCTTCTGTGATTTGAGAACGAAGCCAGGAGGAAGAGCGTGTCGGTATTGGCAGGTTTCGCCATTTGGGCATTGCCAGAACCACCCGAATCTACGGGAAGGAAGAACATGCGTCAGTGCCGGTGAAAAATCTTGACGAAGGGCCAGGGAATCGCGTGAGAATCGGAACGTACTTCTGAGACTCGATAGCCTCGATGAAGAATTTGCAGACAATCTACAGGTGCAAACCAAATATCAGGGAAAAGATCGAAGGAAGGCCGCTAGAAAGGGACATACATCGGTTGTTGTTTTCGGGTTTCCATGTTTGGAGAGCACAACCTGCCGTAGCTTTTCCTCGTCCCACGTGTCCATCGTATCTGTGCGCACCACCAATACCGTCAGCTTTCCCTTCACTGAACCAATACTGAAGAACAGACTGAAGATCGAAAAACTCACCAGCCATCTTCTCCTCCCGACTATCCGCATACAAATTCTTCTTCTCAACCTTCCTCTCTATATCCTTGTCATGACTGAACTTGCACTTCGTCCCCTTGTCACAATGTCCCGCCTTATAGAACGCACACAACAACGTCTTCGGGTCCACGCCGAATGGCACCTTCTGTATCTGCACTGGTTTCGTGAGCAACGCCTCTTCCTTGCGCCGTTTCTCCTCCTCGGCCTTCGCCTGCGTCCGAAGCTCCTTCTCGCGCTCCTTCGCCAAAGCTTCACGAGACTTCCCCGTCTGAGCGGCCTGCGATTGGATACGTTGGACTTCTTTTTGGACCTTGGCAGATTTGTTTTTCTACAGTGTACGGATGTGTGTCGCGTGAGTTGAATGATTCCATGGTGAGGTCCGATGATGAAGTGAATGGTCGCTGTAGAAAAGCAGTGCAGTGAACTAGAATGGGGAGCGTCTGCTCACGTTCTTCATACCGAAGGTCTGGATGTGGTTCCATGGTCAGTACATACGTTCAGCGCACGGTTACGAGATGTCGGAAGACGGGTCCACCTTGTCGACTGCGACCTTGGAGGAACTGCCCTGTTGCTGCTGCTGCTTCTTTGGTGGCATGATGGCAGGCTTGTTCTTAGTCAGATAAACGTCTGATAAATGTTAGATGTCGAAGTCCTGATGAACTGTAAAAATACAGAGGAAATGAGGAAAGCAGGAGAGTGGCGAGAGGCGGAAAGTAGAGCAGAAACTTGGATGACGCCAAATCAGTGAGACGGGACCGTCGGTAAGTATTTTCCCAGCACGTGAAGGGGACGCGACTTGAACGCGCCACACGGCAATGTACAAACTTACAACAACTCCAACTTTTACGATCTTTTTGACAGACCCATAGAATTACTAGACCTTTTAGGAAGGAAGGAAGGAAGGAAGGTTCGATGATCCTATATATATACCACAACGACCAACCAAGTCCAAGAATATCGATAGTCAGACAGAAACATGGGTCACCAAGGAGCCAAATCAGAAGCCTTACCAGGGCGACTCCATGCATCTTGAAAAGCACACGATGCCATGGGCATATCCAGACGAGTAGGGAGACTAATATATTGCTCCACTACCGTGTAGTTCACAACATCTGCCCACCAGCCGTTTTCGCTCTCTTTTCTGCCGCTTCTTTGGCCTCCTTCAGCGGTCTCCTCCATTTTGCCTCCGGTGCCTCCCAAACTCCCAACTCTCTCCTCAGCTCACCGACATCCATTGCCCACTTCTCTTCCCAATAAACTGTGATCAGACTCTTCGCACTGCTTCCACACCTCAGAGCCCACGGCACGTATTCCTCAAACAGCCTCTTTCTCTTTGCCGGAGTAAGGCGAACGGCAGCAGCGGTAGAGAGCAGAGTCATTGGAAGACCGAGATTTGTGAACTCGAAGACCTTCAAAGCGATTTCGTATTCGACAGAGACTGGGAGGTTGAGGAGTGAATGGTAGAAATCGTGGCACTCGCGGTAGCGTTGCATGACATATGCAAGCTCAGGGTCCGAAATGTAATGTACCTATTTGACATTCGACGAAGACAAAAGAAATGTCCATTAGTCTGGTGTTCAATCACGATTGGATATCAGACCTGAGAAGAATACGCACGGGCGCACGGGTATCGGGCGTAACGCCACACCGCTCGAGCCACGTCACATAGGTGTGTCCAAAGGTACCCTCGGGTAGTTTTGCAAGGGCGTTCATGTCGACGGTGGTAGACGTCACCCTTGGACATTCCTTCAAGATCCTGCGACCTTCAGCGCTCTCGAGCATGATATCGCGAAGCCGAGGAAGCGCAGGTCCCGCCGTAGTTTCTCCAAGCGTGGCGACCATATCTACATCCATGAATGATAAGGGTGATCAGTGTTTGGGATGAAGGGTGATCACGATGTCGGTTGGGAATGGAGAAACCAATACCTCCTCTCCTAGGGTTCGTGAGCGACACGACGGCAGAGCCAACTGCTAGAAATGCATTTTCAAACCAATTGAGAGGGATATGTCCTGGATAAGCTGGTTCTGTTTTGATTGTGCGGGCCTGTTGTTGGCTGGTGGGATTTGCGGTGGGGCACCACAGGTGTTGAAAGGCTGGTCGGATAGGCTTTGCGATGAGTGTCCGCGACAGGAGTGGGATGTTCCGAGGAAGTAAGGTCATCCCGTCTAGAAGGTAAGTCTTTGTCCGCGTACTAAACCGTGATATCTCGAGTACTTGCTGGGCCGGTAGTGGGCTGTGAATGTTTGGTCGTGTATACCTGTATCACAGCGATGCTGACCTCAAACTGACACTGATCCAAGGTGCAACGAAGTATGTAGCTTGTGGCAATGATATCCTCCTATGATTATTTCGGTTCAGCGTAGTTTCGAAAGGGCACCAAGATTGACCCTGCCTGTAATCCAAGGTCGAGAAAAAGACCGGCGGTGTTCAGATTGTGAACTTGTTGTGGCGAGAACTCGGAAGAACACGCGAACGTGTCTGCGTGCGCACACCCGGATATTCCCGTGATCCCCAGAGGTGTTTTCGAGATAAAGGTTTCCTCGTTTCGGCAGCCGCCGCCACCACCATCACCGCCATATAAAATGGCTCTTGTTCTCGTGTCTGCTTCATTGGTGTCTATTTATGTCTCACACGATAACTCACCGAGTGCGCGGATTGTTCGCGAGCTCTGTGAAGTATGGATGGGTGGCAGTTTGTGGCAGAGCCTGAGCGGTTGTGATTTACTCATGAATCAACGACTACTTATGCCATTGTTCACAGACCTTGCTGTGGTACCAAATTGATATGATACCCATCACGGAGTTAAAACGCGGTATTCAGTCTTGTTGCTTCGAATCTATATCCTAAGATATGGCCCGGGATATAGTGAGCTTCATCATCTCCTGCCATCATCGAGTCCTTGCCATGTCCTTGGTTGGTCTTGTTCTTTACCTTCCTTACTATGTAGGTCCTTCACACCCCCGTAAGTATGCCAAGGATGCCAAAAACAGACAAATCCAAACATGGTGGCGTAGTCCCACTACATACAATGATTTGTAGCCCGTCGTTATACTAATAGGCGCCACTCTAGGTTTCCTTGCTCAAATATTGCTCTCCCGCGCAATACACACTCCCTTGAAGCAGGCCACTCCCAGGCTGCACTTTTGGTGTGCGTTTTATAGCGCAGCTGGAACCCCATCAAGCAAGGTTGGCAGCTGGCGGAGACAGCGCTCAGCAGTTTAGGAGACACGTTTCGTGTATCTCCATTCGCATAGCCTATAGCTGAATAGTGCCAGTGTGTCAGGTCTATGTGGCTTAATGGGTTCCACCCCGAGCGCTACAGGGAAACACATTTGCCTGTCATCCAGGTATATAAAGCTGTATGCCATCAGCCACTCTCCTTGTCTAGTGTAAGTGCCCAATCACTGTACTTTCGCAGGATGGGCTTCCACATTCGACCGCGATTCGAAGCAATGGAGGATTATTCTCCAGGTTATGTCTACGGAAGTATAGTCAGCCAAAGTATCCTCTACGGTACGTATCATATATATTCGTCAATCTTCGAGCCCCTTATAATTTTGATTTATCAGGACTGTTACTCGTACCCTCTGCATGGGCGTTGTTACTCTGCATGTACGCCATATTGAGCTTAATCCAGTCTCATATATCCACTGAACAAACGACCAAGGCGTCGCGGCTTCAAACGAAGGGCTACGCTCTGCATGGCATTCCTCACTCTGCTCATGCTGGGAACGTCAACAGCATACCTGGCTTCATCCATCGTTACCGCAGTGACAGGGTACTTCACCTCCTCACCTCAAGATATTTTCTTCAGATCCGGAACCGCTCAGCTTTTCCTCCCGGCCGTCAATGTAAGCATCCTATCTGTCCTCATCGCTCTAGTCTCATCACATTCCTTGTAGTATATAGCGAGCGATGCCATAGTTCTCTGGCGCGCATGGGCTCTGTGTACTACCATAGGATCTCGACAGGCCCACATCATCCTCATACCGTCAGCGCTCTTGCTCGGCTCGTTTGGTACGTGTAGAAGTGAAACCTCATTGACTCCATATCTTCGAGTTGACCTACTTTGCAGTGGCCATTATCGTCAGCATCATCTGCGAGGTCTCGCAAGGTTATCCGCTATTTATCACTTTTGACCCCGATATGGCCACGAACGGTCTATTCGCTTCCTGGGTGCTGTCACTTGCCACGAATATAGCCGCAACTTGCATCATCCGATTCAAAGCTTGGTAAAAGCATTTAGAGCTGTACCATATCAGTATGAGCTACATTTATTCATTCTTCACAGGAATCACCGAAAGTTCGTCAGTGCCAACCTCACTCAGCGTGACGGGAAGCTCAAGAGTGAGAGGATTCTGGCTGTGATCGTAGAGTCTGGTCTTCTATACTGTATATTCTGGGTGAGTTCATTCGCTGTTTTTCACGAACCATTGAGACATACGATACGTCACTATATATAAAGTTCGTTCTCCTCGTCATCAACCTCGGCTTCTTCTTTGAGCCAGTGTATGAGGGAGAGGTCGCAGCCTGGAATCTGGGCATGATTCTCCAAGATGACTCCGTGCATATCTCTGTATGGCTCTTCCATTCACCGTTCATACTACCTTCTAATTGCTATGACAGGCGATATACCCCGCTGTTATCATCGTCTTGGTACACAAACACATGACAGTCAAAGACTCATTCCAACCAACCACTCCGACGAACCATCACATCTCGACCTACCCAAGGTTCTCGGACCGTTCACGTCGGTCGACTGCGTTGACCTCAGCGGGAGGGTTCGAGAGATCGCATACCGATCAAGGTGCTATGGTGATTAACTTGGACGAGCTGGGTGCAGAAGCTAGGTTGCGGTCTTGCTCCTGCGCCTGTGTCTATCACTCGATCCAAGACAGTGAAGTCGGATCCAAGATGGACGATGAGCAGGGGACGGATCCCATATCCTTAGTACCGGATGGCGTTTGAGTTCGCGTCTAAGTCAGATGGCTCATCAGTCTCGAAAACAGACTCTGGAGACTGTTGGGATCAGCCTGTATCGGGTGTGTCGTCTATTCTAATCATCCGAATATCTATATGCGAGGCTTTTCTTTGTAATGTCCTCTGAATGGATGATGTGCATGTTTCAAGGCCTGAACTAGTTTAGACCTACGGCTTATGGCTGAAGAGTCTCTCTATTGTTCGGTCGAGGAATCGGCCTGGCGTTGTGTATAAATCAGAGCGCCTCCATTGTGCATTCTGTCGCGATAACCCATATCATAACCCCCGCCCAGTCTTTGTGCAGAGTTGACAAGAAAAAGACGACGGAAATTTGCTAGGCAGATATGTACAGTACAGTTACGTAACACGAGACTTCATACCGAGAAGGGTACAAACGAATTGAGACTGCAACGGAAGATATTACGAGGAGGAGCGACAGGCATAGCGAAGATAGCATACGAAAAGGTAGGCGGGAAGCATATACGATCATCGAGATTCAAAGTCCTCCGTAAACAACAAACGTCCTTGCAACAACTTCCCCAGGTCCGTTCGCGCATAGCTCATGCCCTTCCTTCTCAGCCCAAACAATTCCTTCAGCAGTGCCACAGGACTCTCCTCGAATAAGCAGATCTGGCGCATCTCGTCATTCCGATGCTGTGGACACACAAAACGGTCATTCTCCATTGGCATCGATGATGCCTCGCCATGAGAGACCCCAAGGAGAAGACATAAGCGGATGTAAGTCGCGTACTCGTCCAAATAAAGCTGCCCAGCCCAGACGTTGAGCTGACACCTCAGGTCAAGGGATGGGGGAGCTAATGGTTGGTCCGTGGGTAGAGGAACACAGTAGAAACTGAGATTGTCGATGGGTTCCATGGATAGAGTTACGCGGGGTGCATATAGATGGAGATGCACGGCCTTGCTTGCACGAATATGCGGGAGGAGAAGATTGACCTCGTAAGGGCTCATGGCTACTAGTAGCAGTGTTCCATCTTTCTGCATAGCAGATACCACCCAATTGACCGGTCGGAGGTATTCTGTGAGCCGAGAACGTTCCAAATGCGTAGAAGTGGTAGTTGCGAAGTCTTGAGTGGCGAGGAGGTTACTTGACCATGGAATGGCAGGTCGAAGAGTAGCCGTGGTAGAACGAAGCGGCTGCATAAGAGGAATAAAGTGATGAGTACCTGCTGGTACAGAGCCGTCGATGACAAATCGACGGACTGCCTCCTGCAGCGAATGTCTCGCAGGTTGTGTCTTAGGCGGCCTTTCTACTTGACGCTCCTGCTCGACCTCTTGGGAGACCTCCCGCTCTTGCTCCTAACAACGTACAAATAAGAACCAAAACAGTCGGAAGGGAAACTTCATCACTGACCTCCTCAATACGAGCATCCAAGACAGACGATACACCGAGGAGTTCGAAACGTTCGCGGAGAGCTGGTACATCATACGCGGGGTGTCTAAGGCCAGCACTACGCTCAGATAGTCCATATAGCTGTTCCAGTGTGCGCGCCTCGGGCTGGAGCCAGGCAGCTCGGAGCGTTTGCTTGAGGGTGCTGCGCCGGGTCGATGAGTCGGAGAGTTCTGAGACCGTGCGTTTCTCGTAGTTCATGCCCTGCGCCGCCCAATGTGGCACGTTGTGCAAAATCTCGGAGCAGCTCTCCGACATCGACCAGCGCAGAACATCGAGCACCTTGATGTCTGCGCTAGGACCCAGGCTCCCCGCCTCACGGATTCGCCTGTCAACTTCAAGCGGAGCGCAAAACATCACCGACTGGCCGACTCCCAGCTTTCTCATGCGCATGCATCCTAGCAGAAGTTAGTAAAAATCATAAAAGAATGGAGAGGAGCAGGCGAACCTTGCACGAGTCGATCCTTCGTAACCTTGGGTCCTAAGGTTACAGCAGCCCGGAAGTGGACGGGTAGCCTAAGGTCTGTACCTCTCGTATGAGCATCGTCCAGGTAGATGATACATTTGCCCAACTGTTGTCGGAACGGTGACGACATCAGTGACTCCTTCGTTCCGTCTTGTGTCAGGACAGTGATGCGATCAGACTCGTCAAAATACACTCCAGCAAGCACGTCGCTCCTCAGAGCAAGCCATTGACGAATGAGTTGTTCGTTCTTCAATTCCAGCATCTTTGGACAAATTAGCCAATGACCGTCAGAAACGAAAATGCAAGACGGACCTGGGCTCCGACATCGAGTAACACTCGAACTTCTGGCCTTTCCTCCACCAACGTCTTGAGAAACTCCCCAGCCGAACGGGACTGGCCATGATTGGAAGTGCATCGATAGCGGCTGTTCTCGGGCTGCAATAGGTACATAAGTACTTGGGCGTTGGTGCGCAGCTGGTCAAGGGGGTCATGTTGCGTAATGGAGGTCGGCAAGAGCAGACTGTTATCATTGGTACCGCTGAATCCGGTCGTCACATTGGATTTTATTTCTGCGAGATCCCAGGCGGATGTGGACAGTTTCTCCGGGAATTCCTTCGCATGTTTGGGGAAAACAACCTGAGTTGGCGGTAAGCAGGTGACCGTAACAATTCAAGAGTGAGATACACACTCTGCTCAAAAAAAAATCTATCACGGCTTGGTTCCTCGAGAAAAGAGGAACAACATTCTCCGAAAATTGATGCGCATCTTGAGTGTTGACACCGGTAATCTGCCGAAGTACGTCGGGAACTGTGTCTTTACTCCGTCTAACCCATCCTTCGTATTCTACCTGGGGATTGTCGAGCTTGAAGAGTAGATGGAAACACTCCCGAATATGTTCCTCTGATAGTCCACCGTAATAGTAGCTCAGACAAGTCAGGCAGATTGCGACCTCGGGATGCCCGAACTCGGCACGTAAAGTCGGCACATCCTTCAAGGCGAGCACATTAGTTTATATCTGTGATAGATTATCTAAAAACGTACCTTTGCCCGATATGGGACGGCCAACATCGACCGGGATGGATCGAGCCCGTAGTCTACACGCCAGCGTCGTTGACCAAGGGTATAGAGCAAAATACCGTTGGAGAGGAGGCCTCGAAGAAGGAGCAGAGTCGACCACGAGCCAGTGTTGCCACACGTGGACTGAACAAGATCATACGAAGCTTTGGCAACGTTGACACTGAGAATAAATTCTCGGGCTGCCGCGGAAAGCCTAGAGTCACCATTGAACGCGACGAGGTTGAGGGTTTCCAGACGGCCAGCGAGAATGTCGTCGGCCAGAAGAGACACGAGTTTCTGACCAGCCTGTTCCCCCGTGATCCTAAGGGTTGGAAAGCTTTCCGCGGAACCGGCAGAAAACTCGAGTTCATGGGGAAACAAGGCCTTCAGCGTGCTCGCGTGCAGCCTGGTTCTGTCGAAAACCTGTTGTGTGGTGTTCCAACGATCCGGGCTATTCTCTAGGGATTGCTGGTGCCCATTCGTGTAGACTAGTTGGTACTTCACGTGTAAAATCTCGTCGCTTTCGTCAAGAATGTCTCGGCTATGCGCTTTCAACCATGCCTCAATGCCCTGTAATCCGTCGGCGACAGCATCAGAGACGGAGGGCGACAACAACCGCTCGACAGCCATTAGACGCAAGGAAAGTATATGCTCTGGTTGAGATACGAGGACGCCTTGAACTCTGGCGCATTCCTGGAAGAGACGGTAGATACTCTGCACGTTGTCGGTTGTCATGCGCACACCACGGGAGAAGGGGACATAGAAAATGCGACGATTTGTTAGACCCGATAGACGTTCCACGAGCAGTTGAAACATTTGCCCCGATAGCGCCTTTAGGACGACGACGCGAACCAGATTTCGGGAGTCTGCGAGAGACGCGGAGATAAATGGAACGATGACCGATGATTTTCCTTCGCCCATGTTCAGCTGGAGGACCGTGTTTTGCTGTGAAGTCGGATTCATCATCTCACGCGCGACGGCGATCTGTACAGGTCTAGCGAGAAAATTTCCGTCGATCTGCAGGGACAGACATGAACAATCAGAGATGTTGAAAAGCAAGTTCATTGGAGTTCCCACCTGAATCAACAGCCAGTCGAGAGGATATTCATGGATCTGTTCCTCCGTCATACAGCAGGTAACGAGCTCTTTCAAAAAATTGTCTTCCTCCTTTCGATAAGTGTACTCGACAAGGCGTTGAGCGCGTTGATATTCGAGCATGGCGTGCGCGAATGTGGACAGGAGTCGCCTCCAATTAGAGCCCACGCTCGTCTGAATGCCGGATGCCGCTCCCAAAAGTTGTAGAAGCCTGCGACGATTAAGTCGAGGCCAAAGGCCTGCGGAAGAAAGGAGGTTCTCGGTATGGCTTGTCGGCGAGAGTATGCGAATCATGAGGTCAGAAATATCTTGAATGCGGGACTGACACAGTTCGCGGTAAGTGATGAGCTCTTGCAGCTGGTAGGTGCGACTAGGCGTAGTTGACGAAGCACGTTCTTCGAGATCTCTCCGACTCCTGTCAAGCTGATCCCCATAAAGTCGACGAAGCTTGCTATGTGTGTCTGATCGAAATTCCGTTAGAAGGCCAGAAAGCTCCCGAGTATCTGCTCGAACACTGCAGTGTAGATCTTCACTCGTAGGTTCCAAAGAGGCCATATTCACGAGATCGCTAAAGGTCGACTCTACGGGCCGCTTGAGAAGATCTGCCCATGTAATCCGTGAAGGAACGTTCGATGCGGTCACAGCTTCATATGTAGACGAGAATCTGATGCTGGACAGAGGCGAGGGGATTGCGCGTCCGCGAAGAATGGACTCGACGTGATTTATGTGATCTTGTAGAGCGGTATTTCGAGAACAACTCTCGAAGAGCCGACCGACCTCTGACATGATTTTGCTTGTTTGAAACCAGTCAGCATCGTCGGAATAGAAGGGTGAGCGAACAGTGGGCGACGGCCATTGGTCCATGAATCGAGTAGTTGCACCATCTGTCCGTGAACGGGTCTCCAATTCATGCGCATTGAGTCGTCGGTTGTAGAAGTTACGAGTGCTTTCATGTGTGCCTTGGGTGAGAGAGAGATTATTCGGTCTTGCCTCGAAGTCGTACGACCGAGACGCAATGATGGATCGAACTTCGTCTCGAGTAGGCCGAAATCCATCGGAGAGGTGATATGAGGGATACGTCGGCGGTGAACAGTGTCGGAACTCTGGGAGGCAAGCAAAGGCGAGCAAGATAGGGATGAGGTTTTGGAGATGTGGAGAACCGTATGACAGAGCGGATAAACTGAATATAAGTTTGAATTTCGTCGACGGGAAGTCTGCCCCAGAGGTGCGCAATCGATTGTAGAGACCGATCCACCGACTAGGCAGCGCTGGCTTGAGCCAGTCCCCGCTGAAAGTCAATGAAAGGTTGCTATCTTCGCCTGCAACTTCTCCCCAAGACTTGAGAAGATTCATGAGCTCATCAGGCTTGAAGTCTCGACGAAGTGCATTGGTCGGCCAGGTAGAGACAAGATGGGAATATTTGGCAGGTGATTCGGCCTCGACCCCTGGAATGTCTCTAGCCCGGTATACTACGTCTGCGGGAGTCGTGGGACCGTCGACGAGGCCATAACTATGCTCCCGACGAGCGCCACGATCTAAGAGAGAGGGATCCTTGTGGACCTCCTGGATATCGTCCGGCTCGACATGATTTCCCGCCTCGGATCCCGCAAACAGCTCTTCCAACGAGTGTGCATAGCGCAGGATGTTGTTGCCATTTTCTTCGTAAGCAGCGAGCTGAGCCGAAGCAGGAAGATGGGGAGACCAGTGAATGGTCTGCATGACACGAAGGTGAGATGGGTAGAAGCCCCTTGAAGGAGCGAGGGATCGAATCAGGTTCAGGAGATGAGCGTCTGTTTCGGACAGTCGCTGGAAGGAGAAGGATGCGGCGGAACACAGGTCTCGCAAGGCTTGCTCAGTACCGGTTTGTTGCGTCAAGGGGTCGGGGAGTGGATAACTGCAGATCGCGTGGAGATAAACCTTGAACAGACGGCTGGTGAGATTGACATTACTGGCAAGGTAGCCAACGTCGGAGTCTATGCGATATTCATGCCAAACGATCCGACGTTGTTCGTCCGACAGACGGATGTGGACGGCAACGTGATGCTGATTCTGTGTGCGTCGACATACCACGTCTCCATGAGGGACGATTACGCAGCGAGAGCGAGGTAAGTCTGACGCAGTTGCCTCCTTGGCCCTAAGGAGCAGTTGCGTGCGAAGTCCGATCATCGTGCCCGACGACTGGTTGTCATCAATGATCATGCCTGGCATATTCTGAGAAAGTAGGTGTCCATCTTGGTCGAACGTGAAGGAGAGTCGGAAACGGGGGAGGTCGATTGATATATCATCCGTACTTGACGAATACGAGACGGTCACGAACGTGCTGTTCTCAAGATTGCTGAGACGCCTGAAGACATCCTTGAAGCTCTTGCTATGGACGTCGACGATATAGCGTTTCGAGGCCATTGGGCCGCATTCCATAGTCGACCTTCCGTAGCTGGAAAAGCGGAGCTTCCAGTCCGTGATAGATGACTCCCAAGGGTGGTTGAGAGCTCGAAATTCGACGTCCCCTGAGGACAGGTTCATCCAATGGACGCAGTCCAGGGAGAAGAACCTCGGGAAATCACAAGCCAGCTTTTCGTGTGGAATTAGCTCAAATATCTCGCCGGCCTGGGATTGCGCGCGAATGGTGAGTATGCCGCCGGATGTGTTCGATTTGTTTCGAAGTGCGAAGGAGACCTTAAAGGATAACGCCGTGAAGCACTGCCTGTCTCAGAGAATGACTCTGACATACCTTGTGATCGGATATTAACCCTCGAGTCGTGAAATCCATACCAGGCATATCGGATGGCACAATGTCTAGGACACGCTGCTCAAGGGTTTGTCGTCAACTCGAGAAGGTATATGAGAGGATAGGATGATTTCACCTGGCTAAATAACCTGATATAGAGAGGATGCACGACAATATCGCGAGGGAGTCGATCAATGGCCTTTCCATCGATGAGAAGCAGTCCGTTTAGCATGTTGAAGTGCACAACCTGCGACCTTTGAGTGGAATCCGAAGCCGTCGAAGATGTGAGCCATCGTGAATTTGGTCCAGGCAGTCTCCGCCACCCGAAGACGCCACATCGATAGGTCTCCCATAATGAAGAGACCGCCTTGTTGAGACCGGCGTTATTTGATCGGATAACATCATGTAAGAAAGGCTCCAGGAAGTGGGATAGTCGACGATCACGACTGAGGAGCCTGCGGAGCGGGAGAGGAGTGACGAGTGACTCAGGAGGTGTGTTTGATTGAAGAATGGCGGAGCATTCGACCAAAATTGCAACATCATGGGGATCCTGTAAGAGAGACCCGATATGAAGGGGATCGACATCATAAGTCGCCTTGCATGTTGCTGCCATCTCACAAAGGCGGATTTGAAGCTCGTGGACCTCATCGTCAGAATATGTACGCTGAAGCTTTGAGACGAGCTCGCGTATCCAAGTGTACACAACATCCCGAGCTTTCCGCAGGACAGCATATGCGGCTTGGTGCACTGACACGTCTCGAGAGGAAGTAAGTAGGCGAATCATGAGAAAGACTGCAAAGGATATGTCAAAAGTCGAAATACAACATTGAAAGGCCGAGGACATACTGATGGTTCGCTCAGAGACACCCTCAAGCCAATTGGACTCGACGCGCGATGACAGAGACAAGGACTCCTGGGTAAGCACGATACCGAAGGCCGCCTCCTCAAGTTCGTGATGCCATACTCTCTGGGAGCCATCGTCATCAAGAGGTCCAAGCTCCCAAATCGCCTGGGCGATGAGCGTTTGGACTTCCTCGCGGCTGAAAGAGAGTATGCCCGCTCGAAGCTCTCGTACTATGTTCAGCCATTGAAGCAGGCCGCCGCTACGTAGAGTGCCGAAGGAAATATACTCATGGACGCTCAGATCGTCCGGGCAGTCGGCTTGGCTAGCAATAACGTCATTGGAGGTATGTGTGGTCTTTGCGACGAAGTGTCGAAGGTTGTTATATGAGCTCGGGGAGGGAAGCTGTAAAACGCAATATGGAGTGAAAGTGGACGAAAAAGGAGCCTCGATCCACGATTGTTTGTTTTGATCGTAAAGTTGAAATGTCAAACCGTTATTGACGCAAACTTGGCTTTCGCAGCTGGGAAGTTTGACGGTATGATAATGTGCTTGAGTGAAAGACTTCGTGGAGGACGCAATCGTCACTCTGCCCAGGCTGTGGCTGCTGGACCACTTCGACAAGCCCTTGTTAGCCAGCCCGTGTTGCTCGACGGATTTGCTATTGGCGTCGAGCACGGCGATATCACGAATGATCCTGTACGTCTGATCCCTCCAGATTGAGAATGGACGCGGGCACTGAATCTCGAAGACGACGGTTTTCGCATCGTGACTATTGGTCGGCAAGGGCCACTCGTGGACCTCAATCTTCATATTTCTTGCCTGCTGCTCCAGACGACACCTCTTGCACCGCTTCTTTTGGTGTTTATTGTTCCCACGCCAGTCCTCGGAGTATGTGTGATCGCGCTCACTCGCCTGACTGACGAGCGATGCATGGGTGGCATTTTGCTCGTCGAGCTCTACAATCTTCTGATCGCGGACAGCTGTGGCATGGTCCTCAATTCGTTGCTTGACGATGCGCATTTGGGAATCTTGATTGTAGTATCGAACGGCGAAAGTGTTGTGGGAGGATCGACTGGAAAATATCGAGGGGAAGGAGTGCGCAGCAGCATGTCGTTCACGGAGGTACCGTTCGACCATAGCCGCCCGGTCAATATGCAGGGAGCGGCGGAGAAGAAGAGGTTCGAGGATGTTCGAAGAGATTTCGGGAGAATAATCGCGAAGGAGGGGAATTTGCGCGACGATTGCCTTGTCGAGAGCGACCCATAACTCCATGATAGTGAGGAGCATGATGGACTCATCTTCGGGACTGTCTCGATAAAGGGTCGTCGCTGATTGGATGTACTCGTCCAAGCACGACCCGAGGGTAGAGCAGACATCGCTATCGTGGAGGCGCTGTGTGACCCACTCCTCCAGACGCTCGTGGACGAGGGACTCAAAGTCCGCTAGAGTGATGTACCCGTCATCTCGATTCGCTCGAAGTAATCGACTGGACTGAAAAATAGAGAAGTCGGTGTGGTCTTGGATGCGTGAGGGCTCGGATGGTTCGAAGGAAGAGGTAGAGTCGAAGACAGGTGCTGCTTGTAAGACCTTCGTGAGGTACGCGCGGGAGTTTGGAAGGGAGAGTGCGATATCAGCCGCGAAATCCTTGCGGTTCGGCATCCAGGACGGCGTGCCAGCTTGTTTCGCTTGTTCCTCTGCCCATATTTCCTGGAGACGATCGTTGACCGCCTTACTCGTAGCCGTCATATCATCCATGACGAACGGGGGTGTAGCGGAACCGAGTTTGAAGGCACGCCGGCTTGTCTTCTTCAAAGCCAACGAGAGCGAGTCGGCGGGAAAGTCGGCAGCCAGGAAACGGCGTAGAAGTTGGGACTGGAAGAAATTCATGAAAGCCTTGTACGTGTCGCGTGCAACGACCGAAGTTTGGGTGGCAACGCGGATGACGAGCCACAAAGGGGATCTGCGCCAGGGTTTGAAGGCGTTGTTCCAAAGCACGTCGTCACCAATCCTTTTCGTGATGCGCTGGACCTGGACTTCGTCACCGAGTCCTCGAAGGATACCCATCAATAGGTGCGATATGTACCGCGGATCGGCGGTGTCACGCTCTTCAGCCACAGTGGATCTAGCCTTCGTCGTGGTCGGCATCGCATCTAAAGGATCAAGATCCATTTCGACGAGGAATACGGCGAGGTTTTCGATAAATTTGCCGTTGGTAGCGATGTCGAGCGGGACTTGAACAGCAGGCCCGGGATACGTACAGATGAGTTTGCCAGCAGTGGCCATCACGGCCTTGGGTTGGGGAGAGACCTCGAAAGTTTCGAAGATCATCCCTTCAGCCCTTTTGCGGACGATGAGACCGGCATTATGGGCGCGGATGTGGAACGCACGGACGTCTATCTTGTCATCAGAATTTGGGTGGCGCAGAGCAGGCGCCAACGCGACGTACCTCCATAGCCCATACTTGTCAATGCATTGGTAATCCGTTCTTTGTCGCGGAACGTTGTAAATTTTCGTAGGTGACGGAGCATTCGAATAATGGGATTCCAGAAGAATAGTTGTTCGCCTATTAAGAAGGTCCCATAGCTTTGAGCAGCGTTCAAGATAAAATCGCACAAGTTGACATCGTGCTTATGGTTATCTGCGTCCCCGGCATCCTTTTGGGGAAGCTGAAGCGGCATGAAAACATGCTCGAAGACTGCTTGTAGTTCTTTGTTAGAGAATGATTCAGACATTGCGCTGGTTGTGGTAGGGGGGCGGGGGAAAGAAGATGAGGGGAAGACTCGAGACAGTACTTTCCAAATAGTATGTCCACGTCCCGGCACCTAGAAGCCCACTGCCCAGGTGTATGACGGATTCACGCCGCGAGGCTGGATAGACGCCCCATCCACCACGAACATAAAACATTTTCATGTGTTGCCTCTCACGCCACACAAATACCAGGGCTACTGCTCCTCGGTCGAGCACTAAATGGAGCCTCGCCTGAAATTCCGGATACTGATGGTGTGCCAACGATGTTATGTCGTGCTGTCCACCTGGGGAGTGAATATCTGGTGCTCCACTATGCTTGTGTGTCACTTGGTTCAAGCTCTCTGCAATCGAAAAGTCTATTGCGATATAATTGGGACAGGTCAGACGCGTTGGGGCCTGCGAAATGGAGACGATAGGACGTGCTTACCACTTGTATTGCTACGTGAGATTAGACAGTCATGTCAGGAAATGCGAATACAGCCATTTTAGCATAAGAATGTCGTGTCTTGCTTCCATACCAGTCAAACATTGTAACGCATGAATCGCTCCAACAGTGGCTTTAGACCGGTTGGAGTGCACTCGATTTCAGCGAGGGATGAAGCACAATAAGTAATACACGAGAGAATGTAAGCAAACGAACCGATCGCGTCCTCCCCTCAAAATAGTTGAACCCGAATGACAAGACGCCGTTCACTCATCATCATCGCTCCCATACCCGCCCAAATCCAACAACGGCGGTTTGGTAGGAGCCTTTGGTTTGGACGTGGCTGCAGGCTTACTCTTCTGCCGAATCTGAGCAAGGTATCGGAGACCTTCGAGCGTATCCGACGATAAAAGCCCCTTTGGACCAGGTGGCGCTTCCGGTGGTGGCGACTCTGCCTCCATCTCATTCAACATCTCTTCCGCCTCCTGTTCATAATCCACTCGTCTTCTCTTCCCTTGCCTCTCTCCATCGCTGCCCTCTTCATCCGCGTCCCGTTCGCTCTCCTCCAGCAGAAGTTGTCCATCAGTCGTGGCTCCTTCCTCTAGCGCTCGTACGCTCCTCATCGCGTCCACAATCTTCGGATCCATTCTAGCCCTGATTGCCTCCTGGCCCATCTCCTCTAACCTCCTCTTCTCAGCCACTTTCTGCACGGGGTTAGGGTCTTCGGTGGCCCAGCGGACATTCAGAATCTCGTCGTTGTCGAGGGATTGACAGGCCATAGCCTCTTTGGCGAATTGCGCATGGAGCTCGGAGACGTAGGTGACGAAGGCGACAGAGCGGTACTGGAGAATTTTGACTGTAAGAATGGACATCAGCGCCGTACTCATCCTCATCCTCACACGTTGGAGTCGAAAGTTCGAGTTAGCAAAAGGAACGTACTTCGCTCGACATCGCCCCACTCCTTAAAATGTCTCCGCACGACATCCTCGGTCTCTGTACCCACACCAGTCTCCTTGATCCGCCCCACATACAGCGTTCGGTTCTGCCTCGTGAATGTCCCGACACCACCCATGTCGTCCCTGTAGTCACTGAATTTGTCGCGCGCAAAACAATCCTTTGAAGAATCTGGTAGCGCAGTCGCAGGGTCGGGTAATGTGTGCAGGTACTCGCATTCCCAACCATAGGGACAACAGCCTCGGGCGAAGAAGATACAACAGTATTTGATGCCTGTGGTGTTAGCGCGTGTAAGACCAGCATCGCGCTTGATGGAGCACCGAGTTTGCGACTTTGTCTTGCTATAAACGCGTGGATAAAAAGATATATATTGCGTCAGATATTTTGGTCGGCCGATAGGGTCAAGAAACGAACGCACTTTGAGTAACTATCTTCCCTGTCACCACCTGCCCATTTATTGTACCATATATCTGTTGGATATGAATGTATCAGCATCGTAGTTTAGAGGAAATAGCTAATGAGACACGCACTATACTCTTTTCCTGTCTGAGGTGCCTCTGACTTCTCGACGTCTCCAGGCTTGACTTGTTTGCGCGCTGGCTTCAACTTCTTGACTTTGGGCGTTTTCGCCACAACTGGGGCAGGAAGGTCCGCGTCTGGGTGAGCTATCATGGCTGTCTCCATATCCAGGAATAATATGCGAATATAAGTGTGAAGACAAGAAAGTGTAGACGACACTGCGGTCTTAGCTCGCAGAGGGAGAGGTAGAGTGTCACGCGAAACGACTCCCCAACATTACGCATGGTGACATGCTGTGATATTCTGTGACATGTCCGTGACACGAGTGACGCTCATGTTTTAACCAGGAGGGGAGGTTCAACGTTCAACGCTGTCTAGTTGGGTTTGTATAAGTCTTTCTCCGTTGCCTCAACTAGTCACGGTGCTACATCTTTGTGATCTGATATATAGGTTCGACCAAACTTCAGCCGTGAAGTGACACAGGCCACAGTGGCACCTAGCTACCTCAGCGACTGAACACTTCCGGTCATCCCTCTATTTCCACTGTCTACTCGAATTTGCTCGATTACATGGCTTTTGTATCTCAGAAAACTCTCCGAGTCAAACCTGCTAATCATCTTATCATAATCTCTGCACAGTAACTGGGAGTCTGGGCTGCCTGTGTAAGTACTCTATCATCAGGACTCTTAGTTCCGATTCTTTACTAAGCAGCATCTGTTATGACCTGGACACTACACAGTGCCAGTTTCTTCCAGTACCGGCCGTTCTGTCACATGTGCAACTCGGGTCCTGACATCGGTCTTCAGCTTACTCAAGTGGATGTACGCCGAATCTACTGCGAATAAAAGCTTCTGTTCACACTCCAGTCGTTCGTACTATCGACGGACCCCTTCTTGCACATAACGCTTTGAATTTATAACCAGACCGCTGACCCAATTCGATCTCGGCGACGATGTCCACTACCATTCCTCCAACCCAAACCGCTCTTATCCTCTCCGCCCCCGCCACCCCATTCACCGTTACCACCCGCCCCGTGCCGCACCCTGGACCAGGCCAAGTCCTCATCAAGGTCCATGCGGCTGCTTTGAACCCCATCGACCCACTGATCCAAAAGATCGGGTTCATGATCAATGAGTGGCCTGCTGTAGCTGGGAGCGATGGAGCTGGACAGGTTTATGCTCTTGGCGAGGGTGTGAGTGAGGTGAGGGTCGGAGATCGAGTGTGAGTGGACTTCATTTGGGCTGTAACGCGGTTTATGTGACAAAGTATAAGGGAGCGCTAAATCTAGCTCAATTCACCATTCGCGTGTAGGCTGTTCCAGTGTTTCTTTGCTGCAGATAGGGGCACGTTCCAGCAATATGCTCTCGCGGAAGCCACTCGTGCTATCAAGGTATGCAAGTCTGGTCCTTCGAATTATTCTACTCCCCCTCTTATCACTTTGTGCACGACACGCCACCATCCTACTTATATTTCTATCCATGTTGGCCACAGTTCCCGACATCGCTCTCTTACGATGAAGCAGCCACCATTCCGCTCTGCTATCATACTGCCGCCCTCGGACTTTACGGAACGTATGATTTCGCTATCAAGGGAATGTCTCACAGGGGTATCGGACTTGATATTCCAGTTGGTGAAGGAGCAGGCAAGTACAAGGATGAGCCGATCCTGATCACCGGTGGCGCGAGTTCGGTCGGGCAGTACGGTGCGTCTACCTGCCTCATTCCAGTACGAGAGAGCTCATTTTCAGACTCGACATCATTTGTGTCCATGCAGCTATCCAACTGGCGAAATTATCAGGGTTCAACCCCATCATAACCACCGCCTCCAAAGCTAACGAACAATACTGTCTCTCCGCCGGCGCCACACACGTTATAGACTACAAATCCGTCCCTTACGCCTCCCTGGGAACACACATAACATCTACCATCACCTCCAAACCGATCAAAGTCATCTACGATGCGATATCCAATGAGGAATCTCAGGCCGCTACTTGGTCCATTCTCCCCGACAGCACGGAGGGGCTAGGAGCTGGAGCTGGAGAAGGAGGGAAGTTGATCCTCACTCTATGGCCTGCGAAGAGTATCGCGGGCGAGTTGGACGAGAATCAGTTTGCGAAGAGCGGTGGGGAAGGAGGCAAGAAGAAGAAGAGCGTCAGTTGGACGATTGGGAATGGGAATTTCGAGGGGACGAGTGCAGACGCGAATAAGCTCGCGAGGGCGTTGGAGGGCTGGTTGATCGAGGGAAAGATTAAGGTCCGTATTTGCGTTTTGTGTTACAGTTTATCGAGAATTTTGGGCGTTTTTGGGTTGAGGCTCGAGTTATTGGTGCGCGGGACGTGATTAGCCCCTATCTTGTGGCGCCATAAATGTGGCGTGTCATGCTCCATACACAAGCATCTCTTGAATCGCTGTCTCTCGTCACCTCCAATTTATTCATTTCTCCCAATCTCGTCCACACTAGAAGCTTTTGAAACTGACTTTCAGTTCCTCCCCTCCCGCCTTCTTATGTGCAGCCAAACAAAGTCGAGCTCCTCCCCGGTGGCCTCTCAGCCGTAGAAGGCAATGTGGGCAGGTTTCACAGCGGAGGCGTGAGCGGGGTGAAGCTTGTCGTTAGGCCCTTCGAGACCCCCGTTTAAGTAGAGCAGTCTGAATCAATCAGCAAATTTGGTGGTCAGATGTAGAGGAATAAACGGTAACTGGTCATTGTGGGTGAGCAGTCTTAGTTTGCAGATGTAATAGTAAGTTGAAGTCTACTCCTCGCCCATGTTGTGTACTCATTTTTCTTCCCTTAGTAGTTGTATCGGCTTTAGCCCTTTCATAAGTATCATAAAATAGACGTCCGACCTTGACATATGTTGATCGGAGTTTGTGATCTGTCGTGGAGTCCTAGATGATCCGTACCTCGGAGCATGGGTGGGTCCAAACGACCTTAAAATTGACCGGAATATTTACTCCTTCACTCCGATCTTTCTTCCACCACGATTTAATGTCCTCTCCGCGGTCCACTCGAGTTGTTTCTCAGTCGATTTTCGTGTATATCTTGGTGCAGCCTCATTTGAACGACCTGATTGTCTTGGTTCAAGGTGGGTCGAGCTGCACTGTGGATATGTCGGCTGTTACGGACTATATGAGTATGTATCCACTCTGATTGCGCCTGGATCCTGGGACAGGTACTCTCGATCTAACATGTCCGAAATGTGCTATGAACTTCCATCTCTTGCCCTGCAACGATTCGGGCCAAAGCAGGATACAAGTATAAAGCTCACATTTGACTCTAATGACGCCACAGCCATCTGTTGATCCCTCCCCTCACAGAGCGCATAACATTCATATCAAAGGCATAGTTTTCGAGATCTCTCGTTTGCATCTGAAAAGACCATGTCCACTGCCACTACCTCCTTAACTATCCCACAAACTCAAACCGCCCTAACCCTTTCCTCCCCCGGTCAGCCCTTCACCGTTTCCACTCGCCCCGTTCCCGCTCCAGGACCCGGCCAAGTTCTCATCAAAGTACACGCCGCTGCTCTCAACCCGATCGACGACTTCGTGCAGAGGATGGGGTTTTTGGTACAGGAGTGGCCGTTTGTGGCCGGGAGTGATGGGGCGGGGGAAGTTGTAGCGATCGGCGAGGGAGCTCGGAAGAGCGGGAGAGTTAAGGTCGGGGATAGAGTGTTGGTGGTCTTTTGTTCTTGTGATTGAGACATGCTGACATTGATTTTGTAGACTATTTCAGTGCTTCTTCATCACGAACAGGGGCACCTTCCAGCAGTACGCTCTTGCGGATGCTATACGTACTATCAAGGTCTGCACTGTGTACACCACACATACTCTCTCACTGCCCGACTTTCATTTCCACCTTCACTCACACCTCTTACCTCCTCACTTTGATAGATCCCCTCTGCTCTCTCCTACGACGATGCCTCCACTTTCCCCCTTGCCTTCCACACCGTCGCACTCGCTCTCTACGGGACCTACCACGTCCAACACGGACCTGGGACCCGAATCTGGCGAGGCATGGGCCTGGATATCCCGGTGGGTACAGGCGTGGGGAAGTATAAGGATGAACCAATCCTAATCACGGGGGGTTCGAGCAGCCTTGGACAGTTTGGTACGTCGGTTCCAATTTTCCGCTACTCCTCACTCGGATGTCGTACGGGGACTTTGTGGCTTTGCTGATACGTGCTTTGTATAGCCATTCAACTCGCAAAACTATCGGGATTCAACCCTATAATAACGACCTCCTCACCCTCCAACGCAGCTTACTGCACCTCCGCCGGCGCGACGCACGTAATCGACTATCACACCGTGCCCTACACTTCCAACCACGGCCCCTCCCTCGGATCTCACATCACTTCCAACATCACGACCAAACCTATTCGTGTAATCTATGACGTCGTTTCTACGGAGGATTCTCAGCGCGCGTGTTGGGATATTCTTTCTGATGATTCGGGAAAGATGTCCATCACGCTGGAGTTGGCGAAGTCGATTCGAGAGGAGATGGCAGATAATGGGGTCGATTCGAAAGTGGGGAGGAAAGGGATATATGCGGCGTATGGGAATGCGAACGCTGAGGGAATGCATGAAGATGGTAACAGGCTTGCTGTGGCGTTGGAGGGGTGGCTGCAGGAAGGAAAGATCAAGGTGTGTTCAGGCTCCAGCTTCCCTGCACCCGTCCCCTTTCTTGAACTTCTCAGAGCGTTTTCCCGCGATACTAACTGTCCGATGATTTTATTGCTTGCTGCTGGGTGCTGGTCGTACGACAAACAGCCAAACGCAGTTGAGCTTCTCCCTGGCGGACTGGCAGCTATCGGGGAAAATGTGAAGAGGTTCGGTAGGGCTGGTGGTGTTAGTGCTGTGAAGATGGTCGTTAGACCGTTCGAGACAGATATGTCCTGATCTATATGAAGCGGCTAGTGACAAGTCTGTATGATGTATCCATTGTGGGTGTCAACGAGTACATACTTACGCCGTCGTTCGCTTCATCTAGTGAGAAGAATAGATGCAGAGGAATGGATGGATGGATGGATGGATGGATGGATGGATGGATGACGAGGAATACTTGTCCATGTAATCATTAGAATCTCATACTTATCGTCCCGTTCGTGGGGGCTTCCAAGGTTCGTTCGTCATAACTCACCATGGATTGAGGTAAGTACGGACCACACCCGGGCCCGCGACATATCTTCAATCTGGTATAGCACAGTAAATACTGGCTGTATTCATATTATCGTCGTCATCGCCAATAACTTCGTACGGGAGAGCCAAAATAAATAACCAGATGTCAAGGGACCGACATCACAATAACGTTCGAAGGATTCCCAGTCAATATGTACATGTGCCTCAGGCCGATGTCTCAAAAGGCCTAACAACGAGCTTCACCCCACTCACGCCTCCGCTGTGGAATCTGCCCACATTGCTTTCTACAGCAGCAAGACCGCCTGGGAGGAGTTCGACTTTGTTGGGCTGAGCATAAGGAGAAAGGCGTCTGAAAGTCAGCATCGGAGTCATGTGGTATAAAGAAGGGGAGAATTGGGGAGAAATAGAAGGCATGTTTTGGACATGTTGAAGTCCACGGCACGTGTGGCGCCACAAAATAGGGGCTCTCCGGATCGTCGAGGACAAAACACGATAACGCGAAGGCTTCATGTCTCAATGAAGCAAGGTAGGGGCATGGAAACACACCTTGATCTTTCCCTCAACTAACCACCCCTCTAAAGCCCTCGCAAGCTTATTCCCATCAGCCTGAGTCGGCTCCCCATTCCCATTTCCATAAGTCCAACTAACGCTCTTCTTCTCCTCGCCCTTCACAAACTGCTTCTCGTCCAACACATCCGCAATACTCTTCGCCGGAAGCAACGTAACGATCAACTTCCCTCCTTTCCCAGCTCCAGTTCCCAGCGCATCAGTACTACCGGAGAGAATCGACAAACACGCGGCCTGAGAGTCTTCGGAAGAGATGGCGTCGTAGATGACTTTGAACGGTTTAGAGGTGATGGTGGATCTTATGTGTGCTTCGAGGGAGGTGTATGGGATGGATTTGTAGTCTATGACGTGCGTGGCGCCAGCTGAGAGACAGTATTGTTCGTTGGCTTTGGAAGAAGTGGTTATGATGGGGTTAAAGCCGGAAAGTTTCGCCAGTTGAATCGCTATACCCACACGAACAAATGAGCTCCTTTGTAACCAAAAAGAATGATCGAGGAGGAAGATGATAGAAGGCGCACCGAACTGCCCAACCGAACTTGCGCCACCGGTGATCAAAATCGGCTCGTCCTTGTACTTGCCAGCTCCGTCGCCAATTGGAATATCGAGACCAATACCCCTCCATTGCATACCATTGGCTGCGAAGTCGTACGTCCCGTAAAGTCCGAGAGCGGCCGTATGGAAACAGAGCGGGATAGTGGCGGCTTCATCGTAGGATAAAGTGGACGGGAGCTGGAGTAGTGGACATAAATAGAAACGTGAATGATAGTTCGTGATGGCGTAGTGTTAGAGAAAGGTGTCATGCATACCTTGATCGCACGAGTGGCGTCCGCAAGAGCATACTGCTGGAACGTGCCGCGATCGGCAGTGAAGAAACACTGGAACAACCTAAGCACACACCGAGATTCAGCATTTCCCATCGTCCCAACACAACACAGCGACAATGCAGCAACGAACAATAAAAGTAACGCACACTCGATCTCCAACCTTCACCTCACTCACCCCCTCACCAAGCGCCACAACCTCCCCTGCGCCATCGTTCCCCGCTACAGCAGGCCACTCAGTGACTACGAACCCCGTCTTCTGGATCAAAGCGTCGACAGGGTTCAGAGCCGTTGCTTGGATTTTGACGAGGACTTGGCCTGCTCCGGGGGTGGGTACGGGGCGCGTTTTGAGCGTAAATGGGGTGACGGGGGCGGAGAGAAGGAGGGCGGTTTGGGTCTGTGGAATGGTGGTGGACATTGTTGCTATTGTTATTGTCGGTATTGGACGGGATGGACGAATGGAGATGGGATCCTAAAGTGTTGAGTGCGATGGGCTTTTATGTACTGCGCTCCTCAATCGTCTACAGTATCTCAACCACCCATACGATATCTCCAACTAAGGCAGCAGACTGAGTACGCGCCCATAGACTGAGTAAGCCTCCATGCTCACGACGAACACCGAGGACCGTGACGGAGAAGGAAACAGAGAAACAAACGGACACCGTGAAGGTCCATCTCAATGACAGATGGTGGTTGGTAAGAAATAGCGATCGCTCAAACCAGGAGTCCGAAGCGGCGATATATTCAGACTGGTCTTTCGATGTGCATGAATAAGACGAAAAGACGTAGTGCCCGAGGTGGAAAGCAGGTTCAGCGGGCAATATTATCGTCCCTGATGGTGGTCCATTTGATCGAGCACACACGTGCTGACTGAGGGAGGCCTGTGTCAGCGTGTGTCCCGACGACGGACTACGCGAGTGCCACCGTGGCCCGATCGCTCGTCCTGCAGCGAATGCAATTTTGAAAGGGCGGTGGGTGTAAAAAACCGCCGCGTAGGAGCCGTCCCGAGTGACAGCAGTAACCCCGATACTCGGAGCTCATAGTCAATTGCAAGGACCTGGAGTAGTCGCCGTCGTGGTCGGTAAACCGTACAAAACTTGATATTGCTTTCCATACACGACAAATATATGTCAAATGGAATCCTACACTTCCTTCTCCCTTTCCCTCAAGCACTCGCCTCCCTCTCCCTGACCAAAACCTCCCTCAACCTCCTCAACGCCTCCCTAACCTCCGCCTCCTCCAACAAACTGAACGAAGCACGCACATACGCCGTCTTGGCGCCGTTAGGTAGGAAGACTGTCCCCGGCAGGGCGAGCACACCGTTCTCAAAAGCTTTAGTCCGGATGAGCGATTCAGAGTCTCCTTCTTCGTCCGTCGCGGCAGGATTGAGGAGCTTAAACCTACATATACAATAGCCACCATCCCCCAAAAAAAACAAAAACAAAAAACTCAGTCGCGCAATTCCTAACGCGGTGGAGATGCAAGAGCGGGGTATGAGGTATGAGGTATGAGGTCCGAACGCACCAGAAAAACATCCCCGCCTCCGGCGTCGACCACTCCGCCAACCCCTCCTTACCCAAAAATTCCTGGAGGGCAGCCTCGAACACGTCCCGCTTGAGTCTATAAAACTCGGAGACGGTGTGTGTGTGTGCGATAAAGCCGGCGTGGCCCCATTCGCGGAGGAGGGCGTGGGTTATGGATTGGATGAGGGAGGAGGGTTGGAGGTTTGCGGAGGCGGTCTGGGATGATGTGAGTCGAAGCATCAGCTCAGCGGAAGATTTCCACGGTTGAGAGCGGAGTTTGATGGAGGGAGGTGGTGGTGGTGGTGGTGGTGGATGGTGATGGGGAAGAGACTGGAGATACGTACGTGCATGTCGATGGCATTGACGATCCGCACGGGACCTGTGACGAACCCTACCCTGATCCCGGCAGACAAAACCTTCGAGAGACTGTCGAACCGGACGACGTGACCGAGTGTACCGCCGGTCGATGCTTCGAGGGAGAAGTAGGAGGGGAAGGAGGAGCGAGGGGATTTGCCGTAGTAGAGGTAGTAGTAGGGGTCGTCTGTGGGAGTGGGGTGAGTGTATTTGAGTACGTTGCAGGTGAGGAGATAAATGTGAGGTGATAAAGGTTGGGTAAGGATTGGAGACGAATGTAGAGGGTAACCTACCTTCGAGAATAAGGAAATTATGCTCCCGTGCAAGTTCGAGGACTTCGAGTCGACGGTGCAAAGTGGCAGTCATCCCGGTAGGATTACAGCCATACTATAATCGCATCAGTATCAGCCGACCGTAAAAAAATAAAAAGCGGGTAGGGAGACGAGGCGCACAGGTACGGTATAAAGCACCTTCGGCTTCGGCTTGTTTGCGGGCCAGGACTCGAGGATGGACCGGAGGGAGGCAGAGTTAATACCCTCGGAGTCGGTTTCAACCTCTAGTTTAAGAGATATAGATCAGATACTGGAAAGGGATCGTGCTGTAGAGAGAATGAAGGCGTACCTATCATCTCGGCGTTAACGGATTGGAAGATCGGAATAACGCCACTGTGGCCCAATTTGGAGCAGCATTAGTTCGAGATGAAGTGTGCAGAGATATGAATGGGTGGGCTCACGCATAAACGGGTTTCTCAACCAACATCGAGTCTCCCGGATTCACCAGCGCCATGACAGCCTACGTACCGAAACCAACGACACACTTTTCGTCAACCTCTATATGCCACCAGAGGGTGTTCCTCCGCAACATAACGAAGGCCCTGAGGTGAGATAGAAACGCACTTTATATATCCCATCCTGCGACCCCGCCGTAACACTCAATCTCCAGCCCTCACCCTCCCTCTTCCTCCCATGCTCACTCTCCTGCAACTCCGTCAGCCAGTCATTGATACCCTCCAAGCCCGAAGTAGACCCGTATTGCAGGCCCTCGTTGAGTTCGTCGGCGGTGAGGGTGATGCTGTGTTCTTTTGGTGTGTCCTGCGCGTTGGCGTTGGGAGAAGGGGGAGCGCGCGCAGTGAAAGAGAGGGAAGTGAAGGGGAAGGTGGAGGCGTTGGGTTTGCCGGCGAGGAGGGAGATGACGCCGGGGGTGCGTTCGAGGGGGAACAGACCACGGACTAATAGTAGTTATGCATCATAGATATTCAAAGGAAATAAGAAATATGTTAGGGTGAAAGATTGAGACGAGATGAACGGACTAGGGCTAGGCTTCCGAGCTTTAGCTATGTCGGAGAGGAAGTAATCATAATGCTCTGCGGGGAGGACTGTTGTCGGTTTGTTCTACATGAGGAAACGACCAGGAAAATAATGATGAGTTCGGTATTGGGTTTCAGTGATAGTGGAAGAATGACTCGGAGTGGTACAGGAGTGTGGGAATGATTTACCTCGGACGTTTTGGTCTGAGCGTCGGAAATGGGAGGAGGAATACCATCAATGCCATTCGGAACGGTTTTGCTAGAGTCGGAAGTCATCTTGCGGTCAACACGAATTGTAGATCTCTATAGTCTGTGATGTCGAAGGTGGCAATGATGAGATGGTGGCTTGCAAAGCTTGCGAGTCAGATTTGTCTCAGACGTTCTCGCGATTCCGGGATATGTCGCGTCTACGTTCATGCTAACTGGCTTATATATGAACGTGGGACGAGTCATATTGAAGATCGATTCAGAGGAAGCAGACTGAGAAAGGACCGTCAAGGTCAGGAAATTCCCTTGACGCTCGGAGTTCCTTGCGGAGGATACCGATTTATGGCCGTGGCGAATGAGGGCGAGCGGCCGAAAAGATAAAACATTGGTCACTGGTTATGAGGCCAAGAAGGGGCATGCTCTATTCGGATATGTTTAAGAGAGAGATAAAAGAGGTACAGGTTGGGTACAGGTATGAGTTTTGTGCTTATAAGCGTGTATAGATAGTATTGGCGAAGTGGCAGCTGTAACGGAGAACATGGCTCGTTCAAAACGACTCTAGATATGAGAGAGGTTGTGGGAGCTGAAGCTGAAGGTCGAGAGTGGGGACGTTCGGCCGTTGATGGAGACGTGCATGGCTTGTGTTTATAGTGGTATCAAGAGCGAGAGAAGAGGACCAATGGGCTCGAGAGTGGATGTTGTTCAATTACTAGTCTGCAGTCAGACATAGCTGTTCTGCTTGTATTGCCCCACAAATGATACATCTGAGTGATGTCGGCTTGGCCCAGGGAAGTCGTAAAGTGGTCTCTATCGTGGAGAATATCAAGCACAAACCGATGCCACAAGCAAGATTGAGTTCGTCGAAGATGTAATTTCAAGGCGTCGATGCCATTTGTTGATGCTCTGGAGCAGCCAGTACAACTCATCTCGTCAAGAGCAAGGGTTGGGCACATCGTTAGTACATGGAAGCTTCGGACGAAAGGTACTTTGAGACAGATAATTCATTCATAGAATAGAGCATAGAGGGATGAGTGGCGGGCCAACTGTGGCGCAGCGATTGAGACGCGTTGTTTGCACCTGTTTGTGCGTGGCTTGCCCAACTGGCAAACCTTATTTTTCGGGGGACCGACGACGACAAGGCGTGTGGCTCGCGAACAAGCTCGATATCCTCAAGACCTCAAACGACAAAACTAAGGCGGCAACAATGGCCTCTCGTCCCACCGTCAACGTCCGCTCTGCCTCTGGCGGTGAGTGCATGCTCATTGTTTCTGATTTTAACGAAGAGCAGGAACTCATGGAGTATCGGTTGACGATGTACAGAGGCCTCCACGTCCCTCCCCCTCCCGGCCGTCCTGACCGCCCCCATCAGGCTCGATGTCGTCGCTCAGGTCCACAAGAGCGTCGCGAAGAACAAGCGTCAGCCCTACGCCGTCTCCGAGAAGGCTGGCCACCAGACCTCTGCTGAGTCCTGGGGTACCGGTCGTGCCGTCGCTCGTATTCCCCGTGTCGGTGGTGGAGGAACTCACCGTTCCGGCCAGGTGCGCCCTCTTTCAACCTTCTGTCCACATCGTTTCTAACCAACTCGACGAATTGGATGGTTTGGACGGATAGGCTGCCTTCGGTAACATGTGCCGTGGTGGTCGCATGTTCGCGCCTACCAAGACCTGGCGCAAGTGGCACGTCAAGGTGAACCAGAACCAGCGCCGCTTCGCTACCGTCTCTGCCCTTGCCGCGACTGCTCTCCCCTCCCTCGTCCTCGCCCGTGGTCACCGCATCGAGGAGATTGAAGAAGTTCCCCTCGTCGTCTCCTCCGCCGCCGAGTCTTTCGTCAAGACCAAGGAAGCCGTCGCTCTCCTCAAGTCCCTCAAGGCCTACTCCGACGTCGTGAAGGTTTCCAACTCGAGGAAGCTCAGGGCCGGCAAGGGCAAGCTGCGCAACCGCAGGCATAGGCAGAGGAGAGGCCCGTTGATTGTGTACAACGAGGACAAGGGGATCGTCAAGGCGTTCAGGAACTTGCCTGGTGTTGAGGTCGTCAACGTGAAGAGGTTGAACGTTTTGCAGTTGGCGCCGGGTGGACATGTTGGGAGGTTCGTCATCTGGACGGAGGGCGCGTTCGCTGCTCTTGACGATGTCTTCGGTACCTTCGACAAGGCTGCCGTCTACAAGAAGGACTACTTGTGCGTTTCAGTTTCTCGACCTTCCTTTCTTCTTCTCCCTCCCCCTGCTTTGCGGTCGGTACTGATTGCCTCACATCGTTTGGATTCACTAGCCTCCCCACCGCCAAGATCTCCAACCCCGACGTCACCAGGTTGATCAACAGCACTGAGATCCAGTCCGTCGTCCGTGCCGCCAACCCCAAGATCCAAAAGCGTCCCTGGACGCAGCACAAGAACCCCCTCCGCAACAAGGGTGTCCTCTTCCGTCTCAACCCCTACGCCAAGACCGTCCGCAGGCAGGAGCTCGGTGCGCACTCTTTTCTTCCTCAGCTCCATTCCCCTCCGACCTTTTCCTTCTACCCTCTGGGAGGGTTACCACCGCGTTTGATTACTGACATTCTCGTTTACTCGTTCATACAACAGTCCGCCAGGAGCGCGCCAAGGCCAAGAAGGGCACCAAGAAGCCCGCGAAGAAGGACCGTGCTGCCTCCAAGGTGTTCCTCGAGACTCTCCTTGCCGCTTGAGTCTTGCGCACCTTGTAATCCTTCCATTTTTACGTTCGTACGCTTTCTGCCTGCCATTGGTCGTCGGTGTTCTATGTGAGGGGATCCCAGATATCCGGAACACGGCGAAGCGCATTGTATGCTCTCGTCTGTTCTCTGCCCTGTCTGTGTACTTGCCCGTTATGCGTCCATGCTGAATTCACATCACATGTTCATGCTGTATGTTTGTGTGATGTCACTGATGTGCGACGTGTGCCCCACTTTCGAAGCCGAGGTGACCGGCGACCCAGTTTCCTTCAATAACAAGTCGCAAAGCTCAGCGGTAAGTCCTGGTATTCGTCTCAGCAGGTATTATGTACCCTCTGACCGGCGAATCATCATGATTTTCAAAGTGATGTCGGAAACTCCGGCGACCTGAAGTAGACTGAGACTCCTTTAGCGCTAGGCCTTCGAGGGGTCGGATCAGCCATGATGACCAAACCGAACAATAAGTATCTGAGAGCGGGTGGATTCGCTATTTTATGGTCGAGCTCGAGTCAGTTCAACGACGATGTCGGGACAAGACGCGTTCATACCACCGAGTCCACCGTGGCCCACCGTGGCCTGGCTTGTGAGCGTGGCGCTCGGAGTAACCGAACGTCAGGACTTCGTCGGAGTGACAAGTGTCAAGTGTTGCTCGTTCAACTCCGACGGTGGGTCTCTCTTTGTTCTCACCATCCCTTGCGTGCGAGGGCTCACTTGGTGTCTATGATGCCTGCAAACCTGGTCTGATTGCCAGGCGGTCTCGAGCACGCTAGTGACTCGAATGAACAATGTAGTGAAGCAGTCTGTCTCCGGTGGACTGTGGACTGTGGACTGTGGACTGTGGACTGTGGGGCTCATTGGACACGTCTACCGAAGTGGACACTTTGATGCACGGTCGAATTGGTGGGCGGTAGAGATCTATAAAGAGCGCTCGGTTTCTCTATGGCGAAACAAGTCCAACAGCCCGTCGTCTCATGCTCCTTCGCCGGCTCATAACTCGAACTCGAAATATTATAACAAACAATCGTACCTACCGCACCACCACCACCGCCACCATGTCAGTCCCACAAACTCAGACCGCCCTCCTCGTCGCCTCTGCCGGTGAGCCCTTCACGGTCTCCACTCGCTTCGTGCCCAAGCCCGGATCGGGACAAGTCCTTGTCAAGGTCGAAGCTGCGGCTTTGAACCCGATCGACCATTTGATACAGAGCAGGGGGATGTACATTAGAGAGTGGCCGGCTGTGGCGGGCAGCGATGGGGCGGGAAGCGTTGTTAGTGTTGGGGAAGGTGTTGAGGGAGGACCTGTTAAGGTTGGGGATAGAGTGTAAGTTCACTACCGTGATTTCAACTTTGAAGTGCCGATCAGTCAGGAGAAGGAAAACTAATGGCTGGTTTTATTTGTGGTTTATAGATTGTTCGAGGGTATTTTCGCCGCGAATAGGGGTACTTTCCAGCAATATGCCCTTTCGGATGCAAGTCGCACTGTCAAGGTCTGTACGCCACACTAAGTACACGCCACACCGAACCACATCTTCCCCAACCCCCTTCTCCCTTTTTCTCTCATCCTAGTAACATAATCCCATCTGCAACTTTACTGAAACCTTCTTCCTAACCATACTCATAGATTCCAGCTAACCTCTCCTACGATGCCGCCGCCACTTTCCCTCTTGGCTTCCATACAGCCGCTCTCGCCCTCTACGGGACCTTCCAGTTCGAGTTTGGACCCGGAGACCGAATCTGGCGAGGCATGGGCTTGGAGATCCCGGTAGGACAAGGGGAAGGGAAGTACAAGGATGAGCCGATCTTGATCACGGGAGGTTCGAGTAGCGTTGGGCAGTACGGTTCGTCCTCAACTTCCCTGTTTCCTCGATGTCCGTTCCGCCATCGTCCCATCAATTGACGGACCTGAATCCAATGCAGCCATTCAACTCGCGAAACTGTCAGGCTTCAACCCCATAATAACGACCGCTTCACCCTCCAACACGGCCTACTGCACCTCCGCCGGCGCAACACACGTTATCGACTACCACACCGTCCCCTACAGCGCTCTCGGCGAGCACATCTCCTCCACCATCACCACCAAACCCATCCGCATCATCTCCGACGTCGTGTCTTCGGCCGAGTCGCAAAGAGCGTGCTGGGACATACTTTCCGGCCATAATGGAAATGGGAAGATGTCGATCACGTTGCCGTTGGCGGAGACGATTAAAGGGGAGATGAAGGAGAATTTGGTGGATGGGAAGGAGGGAGGGAATAAGGGTATATATTCGGTGTTTGGGAATGGGAATGCGCCGGGGTTGCAGGAGGATGGGGATAAGCTCGCTGCAGCATTGGAAGGGTGGTTGAAGGAGGGGAAAATCAAGGTGCGTTTTCGGTTCTCTGACTTTCCCTCACTCAATTGAAGTGATGGAATGTATATTATATTGGGCGACCGAAAACTCACGAGATCTTTCCTTTTCATGCCTGACAGCCGAACAATGTCGAGCTCCTTCCTGGTGGCCTCGCAGCCGTCGCGGAGAACGTGAAACGGTTCCATGCTGGGGGTGTCAGCGCCGCCAAATTGGTCGTTAGGCCTTTTGAGACGGTGGTATGAGTCTGGTCACTTGGTTGATGTGCTGGTATTTAGCAGTAGGACCGCTTCCGCGGATATGTGGCCTTAGGAATGTATGATAGGCGGCGAGATGGCCCAGGAAACGTAACGTAGACTGTTGCGCTACGCATAAACATAGGAGTAGTATGTATGGCGCTTGCGTATGGAATGGATGGATGATATTTTGCCAGTCGTGGGCCACACCAGGACTTCCAATCAGAGCAACGCCACACACGGCGAATTATACGGATCCGAGATTTCGGCGCCGAACCACACCTCCCACGGCGCACAAAGTTTGTGGCATGGCCACTTCCCTTCCACGTTCCATGTCCATCGCTCCATACCCCACGACGCCTGGTGTCAATGAGGTTTTGACGTTGTTGAGCCGGAATAGAAGAAGGAAGGCGAGGATCTCCTATTTCTAGATGAGCATATCCCCGATTTATATGGGTTTAGACTCTAGAGTCGTGGCTGAAATGCCGCAGAGACGCCAACGATGCGCACGGAGACGTATGGGACTAGAAGCGCTCAGGTCTAGCCTGGATGTTCCGAGAATAATATCACAACAAGTATGGTGGTACACAGTAAAACAACAGCCAAGACGATGAAGGAAAGAGCCCAAAACATATACAACACGAATGCGATATCGACAGCATATATCGAGAAGCGACCGAAGACGTAGCGAAAAGTATAGCAATGCGATGGAGAAAGTGGCCAGCACGGACTAGAATGAAATCCAAGGGATCGAAGTTGAAAAGACGATGAATGTGGCAGCCTGTGCCAGAGAATATCAATGATTACGACAACACAAGTGTGACGAGAAGAGATGAAGAGGTGCGATGCGTGGACCAGATGTGTGAGTGCGTTTCAGAAAGTGAGGGAGATATGCGTAGACGGATATAACGTGATATGATGTGATGCAAAACGACCTGAAATGAAAAATGACCAAAAAATACACCGATGCAGGGAGGGTCCGAACCATGAGTGCAATGCGTGTGGCGAACGAAGATGGATGATGGGTGAAAGTTGTCAGGGTGGATGCGTGGTGTATGGATGCGTAGCAGGCTTGCGGTACCGTTCATAAATAGATCGTGCACGGTGCGTATCATTCGTAGAGTGGCGTCGCGGTGGGTAGGTCGTGTCGTCGTGTCGCCTTGTAGTCGATGATTGGATCGTGAGATAGCGGTAAATTGGGACCTAATGGCCTGCGCCTAAGGGGTCATGCCTCCTTGTAGCCCTTCCGACGATCCTCTTCAACCCATCTACCGTCACAATCCAGTATCGGATAAATCAGTATCGTCGCTTCCGTACGCTCAACACGCCTTGATCGACTCACCTCTCAGCGGTCCCCAATGCTGGCTCCCATTCCCTCCCCCAGGCCCCGAACCCGCTCCACTCCCAGCAGCCCCCACAGATATCGCCCGCCTTGGCGTGCCCAGAGGAATAGTCAGAGGTAGCGATATTCCAAGGTTCAAGTTAACGTGTCCGAGGGTTGCGGCGGCTGGAGCGTTGCCCGTGGGGGCGGCTTGACGATGTCGACCACAGTCATGCATACGCAGCTCTCGGGGAGATTCGTAAGTTCCGCCACACGCATTGCATGGGAACTCTTTGGGGCTTAACCTGTTACGCATCGTAAGAGGAGTGAGTAAAGACTCTAGGAGGAGGCACGAGAGGAGCAGAAAGTGTAAGCCTGCTGGAGGACACGATGGAGTGGGGAGGGACGGGGCCGCTTAGATGGGTGAATGGAGTGCGGACGGTAAGGGTGCGGCTCGAAATCGTGGAGTGGTTAAGGGGTGGGTAGATGGATGAGTAGATGGGGAAAATGTAAGCGCACCGATCATGTATATCGTGGATGTGCAGGTGTAGGGCAACGGCCTTGACTGACTTGAGAAGGTCAGTGCAGTCGTGGCGCGGACACTCGATACGACCGTCTGGACGAGTAGAACGGATCATCGCTAACGTCGCTTCCTCCATCTAGAGGACCACACGTCAAATTAAGCATGTTAAATCAAGAATTGAAGAAAGAGCGAATCAGGGACATTAAATAGGCACATACAACTCGCTCAAGACCATCGACCCTAGACTGACGTCGCCGTGCTTTGGGAGAAGGTGGCGAACTGCTGTGGCTGGGTGATACCGAAGTGTCAATTGCGGAAAGGCCCCGGTTCTCCTTGACCTCCGACGTCGCTTGAGACAACAAATATCTCGAAACAGGCCAAGGAATGCCCGTCGGTGGTAGCTGGTTTGCCGATATCGGCAGATTCAATTGGGGCGGTGCTGGATAATCCATCAATGTCGGGTCTCTCGTATCCTCCGACATAGACGTCATATACTCGTCCACATCCACCGAGGCATCGGCATTCGACGACGGTGACGAACCCTCTGACGAACCCGCCGAACGGTACCCGTGCGCCAGACCACCCATCAAGCCCACAGCTCCCCATCTCGGCGCATCGTCCATAGCCCACTTGTTCGCTCGCATATCAAGCTTGTCTCGCATTGCCCAAACTGCCCGGCATTTGGCTGCTACCTCTTGTGCAGAACTGATCTTTCTCGTCCGCGTCGCTCCAAGGATGATGGAAGGTTCCTCCACGGACGTCGATGCTGTAGAAGCAGAGTCGGAAGAAGCAGAGTCCGAGAAAATGGTTGCCGCGGCACTGTCTGTAGTAGTCTTCGACGTTGGCGTAGATTGAGGACTCGGGTGAGTTGGAATAGCGACGGGTCGTCTAGGAGGAGTCTTGGGGAGTAGTGGAGGCGAAGAAGGTAGCGGAGATACGAGGGAAGTATAGTAAAGACCAGTGGCGTAACGGTGGGACGAATGGGATTGTGGCTGAGATTGACTATCAGCCTTTCGACGAGACGTGCCGCTAACCTTCGGTCTCCTTGATGGGTGAGACATAGCGGCAGAAGAGCTGGAAACGGGAAAAGGTACGACGTTCGTTTCCGTGGACTGTAGCTGAGATGTCGAAGGTGTTCGATGTGTGCTCTTCTCTGTACGATGGCCCATAGACATATTATTCAGATTCTCGGCCGCAAGGGATACTTCCATAGATACGAAAATCGAGAATACTAGCCAGGTCGAAGTTGAAGGAGAAGAGACGAGGACAAGCAGAACGAGACTCGAAGCTGAAGAAGAGGGAAAAGTGATGATGGTTCTAGGCCAGAACAAGACGTCTACTTATGCAGATACGAAATGGTGTGTCATGTATGTGAACATGCATCGACTGCAGGCCGCCACCAGTCTTATGGGGTTGTCAGTGCGGAGTGGCTCACGCCTGGCTGGCAAGAAGGCTGGATGGCTCCGGTCACAAGATGCGTGTTTCGATCGTGAAATACCCGGTCAGATCAATGCAGCGAGGACAAAGGATGGATAACGCTACGAGAGGTTCGACGGTGACGTCGCTCAACTCCGGGTTTCGACGAGGACTTCGCATCTGCGGAATGCTACGGACTCTGCACTCGATATGGCCACCAGGGGTTGGAATGTTTCAACACAGAGCTCAACTACATTGAGAGATGTGGGAAGGCATGGTCTTAAGGGAAGCAGGGTGCAGAGAGAAAAGCGCCAATCCCAGACGCGAAGCGCCGCACCGTGAACGCATGTTTGAACACGTTGTCCACGCAGCCACGCCGCTCCGCCACCGATTGTTTTGGGATATCCTGCCTCCTTTTTGTGCCTTCTTCAAAGCATAACCACACTATGTAGTTCAAGACCAAACAAACATCACGATAAAAAAGCATTAAGACGTTTGAAAACGGTGCCACACAAATGTGGACGGGTGTGATATGTAATGCCTTGTACGTCTCAAAATTGCCAGACTGTCGCTAGACGTTGTGGTTTAGGACAACTCGGCAGCATCAAAGCGAATGGATCATTTCAAAACAGGCATTCCAGAACATCACAAACAAGCTTAGCGAAGCAATTTCTGAGGCGCACCGAATGGGCTCTGAGTCGTGAGAGCATGCCTGGATACTTATCTTCTTCAACAAGTGGGATTCTAGCTCATTCCAACAGTCGACGGGATGGGATTTCAACGCGTAACAGCCTTCCTAGATTCAGGGGTTCTCGTATAAGCAGGAAAACCATCGAATAGTTCGAGAAGAGGAGCCGAGCAGCGATCACGTACCTTGGGCAAAATTCCTACGAGCTTGTCTCTTCAATCGCTCGCGATCACACCCTCTTCCCTTCGCCATACAGTCTCTATCATCTTTGCAGAGCCCTTAGCGCATTCCGTGCCAGCCCTCCTCTCCGTGACATAGAGAGCTGCATCCATCCCAGCCGACACACCACCTGAGGTGACCAACCTGACGCCCTCGCCTCCCTCGCCTGTCCCCAACAGCTTCCCAGCATCCACGAACCTCTTGTCGTTCAATACCTCCACACGACAGCCCTTATCCGTATACTTGTCTGCCAGCCCACGAAGCTCATCGCGCGCTGACCAGTGCGTCACGAGCTGAATCTCCCGCTTCGCCGCACTCGAACGTCGAAGAATGCCGGTTGCAGGAAGGTGGAACGCTCCGGTGCAGATGGTGAAGATAATGCGCTCGTATCCGCGTGCATCTTTCGGTGGAAGCGCAGCGAAAGCTCTGATCAACTCGATGATGGGTCCTGAGGTATCGTTCGCCAGACGGAGAAGGGTCGATACAGGTCCTCCGGGAATGACCAGGGTCGAGTAACCCTCTAAGATCTGGGGAAGATCAGGAGAGCGTGATGCGATGTTAACGTGCGGCGTGATGATTCCCCGTTCGGCGGTCTGGACGGACGGGAGCGGAGAGGTGGTGTTTGGGGAAGAAGAGACTGTGGCGATCGTGACCTCGAAGACTGGAGAGCCAGAGGGTGTCGTGGCCATAGACAGAACCTCGAGAGGCCCTGCCCAATCGAGTGTATTCATGTCATCGTATGCGAGGAGGAGAACCTTCTCCAAGGGTGAGGCAGCGCTCGACATTGTGTATGATTTTTGGGGAAAGTATCGAAGCAAACGGGAAGATGGAAGACCGCTGAGGTTGCAAACCAAATCGTTGAGTTCAGAAGCCTTTATTTACAAAATGACTATATGAGAAACATACGATCTCAAACTCTTGGCTCGTCGGCGTTAAGTCGAAGTGGTGAGAGTATGGTGAGTCACTGGAATCGATCGTCTTGCTGAGCATTCTTCGTTCCCGTTGGGCGACCCATCGTTGAGCGTGAATAGTGTTGGCTAAACTAGCCTCAAGGCCTTACGGAAAGAGTCAGGTGAGCCCCAAATTATGTGCACCCATGATTCTTCTTGAGAAACTGAAGAAGTTGTGCAAGGTGAGGAAAAGAAATATCGGATATTCGTTGAAAGGGGTTGAGAGGTGCCACACCAGGGAGACACCAAAGGGTGCCCGCGTTTTTGTGTCCTCCGGAATATTCCGTTTTCATTAGGTTATTTGCGTCTATTTGGCCCCATCACCACTCACCAAGCATTCTTGTGCACTGCGTAGCACACAGTCTCGCACCGACAATTACTGCCCAGACATCCATCTCATCTAGCGCACCCATTGCTCTACTGTACCTCTCGAGTCCCGTGGCTCGGTCGACTCAACCTGGGCCAACCTGGGACGCATCGAAGGCCTGAAGATACTTACACTTATGACTCAGAGGGCCGGGAGGTTGCAGTGGAATGATGGATTCATACACGCTTCGGAGAGTTCTACGCTTGTGGAAGATGAAAAGGAGAGTAAGTTATGGATTTTAAAGAGGACTAGGTGATATCCGAGGATTATTGGCGCAAACTTGTAGCCAGACAGGCAAGAATGATACAGAAATCGGTTGGTTCAGCTACCCGTACGATTACAGTCACATGGGTAATGAAAAAGGAAAGTCCTCGTCTAGCCCTACAGTCTCATAGTAGATGTGAAGCATCCGAGTTCATCTTCACTCTCTTGTTCGGTGAAACCACATTTATCTTGTCCGCCACAAGCGCTCCTGCCTCCGGAATCGCTTCGTCTTCAGTTTGTTCCTCTAGCGCATCCCGACTACGTTTCTTGAGGGTAGACCGCGCAATCATCCTGCCAGAAGATATTTTCGAAGAGACCGCGTCGTCATTTCCATCCTCCGTTTCATCTTCCGGACTCGACGAACAAGAGGCTGGTACAAGCGCTGAGCCGACAGAAGGTGGCGAGGACGGAGAAGCGGGCTGAGATACGCGAGGCTGCTCGTGTCCAAGGTCCACGACAACAGGCACCGTCTCAGCACTGGGAGTGTCGTTGGTCGAAGTGGGGGTGAGGTTAGAGTTTAAGTCTTCTTGAAGGGGACGGGAGTTCGAGACCTCACGATGCCGAGAATGGTTCGCTCGACGAGGGCCACGCTGGTGCTCGGCCGCACGAGGATCGTTTGCGACTACACGAACAATGGGTGCATTGGGTCCGACGTTGGACGCTCCGGGGTTTGATTCAGATGAGGTTGCGACTAGGGGCGAGGACGAAACATGCGTAGCCTGAGGGAGAGTTGCAGCTGGAGTACGTGTGTCTCCGTTACGAACGCCGAAAGACGACAAGGGAGCTGCATGGATCTTCAACGGTAAGATAAACTCAGTCTCCAGTGTGAAACGATCAAGAGCTTCAGGATAGTTTTTGCCCAGAAAATTGAACACCCTATATCACGATTCAGAACAAAACTTTGGGTAAGCTTCGAACGATAGAGCGACAGCCGAACACGACCTACCGCGCTAATTGAGCTTTTAGCTGCCTATTGTCGCGCCTCAGGCCCAGATAATCTGCTGCATCATGTCGAGCCCTCACTGGAGTAGCAGTGACGGTACCGGTTCCGGCCAGATGGAGGGATGGCGTAGACATAGCAAATAGTGGGTTCAAGGTTTGGGGAATGTGTAAAGTCGCGACGAAGGCAAAGGCAAAGATGGAGGTGGAGGGTTGGAGGGAGTTCTGGTTCTGCAAAGCTGCGAAGAGCTTCCCTTTATATACAATTCATGAGATGATATCGATCGCGCTAGCCTGAGTAAAGTACGTGCCAACCCAGTTGGCAGCACAGTCAGAGCGACGGGCACACGATCGCTTGACCAAGGAAAAATGGCCATGATGAGACGTAAACGAGGCTCAGACCCTGGAAACAGCGCTTTGTTCTTGACGACGACTTGACCTTACTTGGATGATTACTGGAATAGGAAGGGAATCAACAATGAAATTTCTCAGGCCAAGACTTTGGCGAAGGTCGGATAGTGCCGGCTGTGGCACCGTCGAGCCATTTCCTTTCAGTGCCCGCTGCGGGTCATTGCCCACCGAGGTCTTTGATGGCTCTGAAACCAAGTTGACCTTTTCACATGCTTATGACCACAGTCAATCGTCTCCGGAACACCATAGTACCGAGCGGGAAGAGAGATCGATTCCGAAACCAGGAGACCCAAGACTACAAAACAGCCACATACACAAACTACAAAAAAGAATAATGAAACTACAACAAACATCCCAGTACCATAACACCTTAATCAGACAAACGCAAACAATAATCGGGATTGCCGGCGGGGTTCTATAAGGATAAGGATATGACAAGCAAGGACAAGGTCAGAACATTCGTGTCTGAGACTCGCGCAGTGGAAGGCGGGTTCAAAGAAGTGAAGTGAGGGACGTACCAGTGCCCATGTAGGCATGGCGATAGCGGTCCCACTTGCGCCTCCGACTGCGAAGGAGTAGACGAAGACCATGACCTGGGTTCCGCCGTCCAGAGCAGCAGAGAGAAGGAAGTTGTACCTAGGCGAGACGAAAAGCAGACGTCAGGAACGGTTCGTTTATATTTCTAATTGCTGATTGAAAAGTGAAGGACAAGGACAAGGACTCACTTGCGGAACCATCGTGGGCGGTACCGGCGAAGGTAGTACTGGGAGAATATAGCGAGGAGGAACGACGTGAAGACGGATGAGTTGATGCCGACGGCGAGGTATCCGAGCTCAGCGACGACAACGGGAGTGTAGACGGAATTCCAGCCGAATTTTGGCCAGAATCGGTGGAGGACGTAGAAGGGGATGGGGAAGCCAAGTCCGGCGACGATGGTCCATGGAATCCAACCGTAACGGGTGCCCGGGGCGTAGAGAGGCTTTCCGAGGGCACCCCAGGAGATGGCACCGCTGTTGTAGGACTGGACTTGCTGGCCGGACCAGACGCTTGTGCCCTGGACGTCGAGAAGGACTTCCCTGTTCGCCGTAAGGACAACTCTCATGATGACGAAGTTGAGAATACCGCCCTAGAAATACGATCATGAGCTTCAAAGTACAGGAACGGAAGGTACGCGTTGCGAGACTCACGATAATTGTGCCCAGCATCTGGATCGTGAAGATAGAGCGAGGAGGGATCTTGCAGTACTGGCCCATCTTCAAATCACGCAGAAGAGTATACGCCTGCGTGACCGAGTTGTACCCGTACATGGTGAAGTACTAGGGGCAGAATGGTGAGTGCTTATATTCTTCAATAAACGATCTGATGATGATAGCTTACCATGTTGGCTGTAAAGGGGACACATATATTGAGTTCGATGTATGATGGACGGACGAAATGTAAGAGACTTACCGACTGGCTTTCCGGGAATCATACCTCCACCAACCATCTGCACGAGGTTCTCAATACTCGGTGCATACCCGACCGTAGCATACAACGTTCCGACGATGGGTAAGAACACAGCCGCGAAGATCATCGAGACTATCACACCCCACCTATAGAATCAAACGTCATAAGTGTCGAGTACATTTGGAATAAAAGCAATGAAACAAGTACCAAGGAAGACCAGAGTCTGCGGCATAGCAAAGACCGATGGACATGCCCATAGTAATGATGAGCGTCACGAGGTACCACCACTGTGGGGCCTCCTTGTAGATCCGCATCTTCTGGTAGTGGGCGTCCTGGCATTCCTCCGTCCTGCTCTTGAGTATGATCTCCCACATGTCGCGTGCGTGCCACAATGCGAAATGAGCGACAGCAGCTGGATATTCGACACTGTTCAGTATGATGATGAAGGTTCGCGAATATTATCATGGGGACTCACCGCCGATGTACATAGTACGACTGGCCTTGAAGATGACCTGGGAGCCAGCGAACCACGGAAGACCGACAGCCTCGAGCTTCGTCTGGTTCAAGGTATAGTCATCGTTAAGGATCAAGAGCTGATCGTACTCGGTGCCGTTCTCTACAAGTCATGTGCGCGTCAGTGTGAGATCAAGATAATAAACGAGGGTATGAAACTCACCCAAGAAGAGAAGCTGAGACAGGAAGGGGAAGCTCTGCGAATTGAAGACGTTCATCGCATAAACAGCGCAGAACGTGACGATGCAGACAGCACAGCCACCTTTGCGGAAGAAAAGTCAGTATCAAGTCCGAAACTTGAGCTTGATCTTTGACAAATACCGTATAAAGATAGTTGCACGGATAGCGGTGTGAACAGACTTCCGATGGCACCTCCTCCGGAACCGATATAATTCCAATCGGTGGAAATAGCAAACATGCCCAAGCCTTCGTTACCAGCTGCACCTCCGAATATCCTGGTGAACCAAGCGCTGTTCTGGTTGGCCAAGCAGAAGATGCTGAAACCGTTGAGGAGAGGAGCGATGTACTCCGGGAACCTGTAGCATAGGCTTTATAAGTAAAGCAACAGGTACATTCCTAGAAGGCGTAAAACCTACCACTCCCAGATGAAGATGCCTATCCGAAATAATGAGACGGTGACTTGAAACGGTGAGAAAGGAAGAGAACTAACCGACGAAGACAGTCCAGAAGAATCGGACACGCTTCTTCTGGAGCAAGAAGCTCTGTCCACGATGGAGCGCGTCGAACAACTGGACTTGAGGAACCAGCATGGGATACTTGGCGTAAGTAGGATAGACGAGGAAAACTCTGCAAATTCCCGCTAGCCCGTAGCCGACCAACTGCGAACTGATGAGCGTGAAGATGCCAACGGCGGGGTTGGGATCGACATTATAGTACAGGTTCTGTGAGTCAAGAATGCAATCAGTCAACGGGTTTCTACAGGACAGGCATGGCAACACGTCTTTGGCCTGATGTACCCGAATCCGGGATTTATCGGGAGAGCGATGATCACGTACCTGTGCAGCAAAGATACTGATGGCAAAGGCGGAAGTAGACGCGGTTGCAGCCCTGTTGGATGCCAAAAATATGAGACGTCGAGAGAAAAAAGGCATGCCGTGTCATGAATAAACCTACATGACGGTGATCGCAACGTGCTCCTTAATGTCTGTTGGATATGCGTTAGTCGACACCCTAGTTCATATTCTCGAGAACGCTCACTGAATGGACCGTGATTGAGGAAACTCCAAAACAAGTTGTCGCGAGTCTTGAATCTTGCGGTCGTACCAGGTCCCGGAACGAGTTCCTCCATGATCTGCCAACAAACACGATCAGCGATATGATCGACAGTTATTATTAGAGGTAGTGACAGACCTTGCCAAGAATGTACGAGATAATTTGCAGAAAGAGCTGGCTGACGTATACCTAGAGCAAGATATAGGGCTTAGTGCAAGACAGCGGCGATTGAAGGCGGAAAATTCGGACCGTTTGTGGACGGAAGTACTGCAGAGATGAAAATAGTCAACACATTAATCCAATGGAAGGCGAAATATGGGACCGACTTACGAAGAGTTGGCCAAGGACAGCACCGAAACAACTGAGACCAAGACCCAAGAAGATCGTTCGGAAAGTCCAAATACGGAGGGTCGGGTCATCCTCCAAGGACATCAGACGGACGGCCCAATCCTCGTCACTCTCTGCCAGAATAAGTCAGTAAGGCGTATAGGGGTAAAATATTATGGAAGAAGATATACCGATTGGCTTCTCTTTTCCCTGGGTGCCACGACACTAAAATTAGTACAGATGTCACAATAGACAAGTGGAGTACAACGCACCGTCTCGTCCAAATCGATCGCACGGACGTCGTCGAAGACTTCACCGACATCCGTATCGTGCACGACGCCAGTGTGCACATCGTACGGGCCAGTCTCCTTCTCGTCATCATAACCCCGCTTGGACGACGCCATACTGTGGCTCTTCTCGACCGTAGGCCGTTGGCTCTCGAGCGTGGGGGCTTCGATAGCGGTCGACATGGTGGTCAGACGCACTGTAGAGAGGGGGCCTAGGGAGGGTACGGGGCGTCCTGGCGGAGGTGGTAGCACGGCTCGAAGATGCGTACATTGTTGGCTGGCTAGTTATAAGGTGCTGGATCGCGAAGAGGCTCCAATATTACCTATTGCGAAAAAGGAACAGGATCCTATCTGGCCTTATCGGTGGGCTCCAGAGAAGATCCATGCGGTCCTAGACGACGAATGTTGCATTCCGGTTGCGTACCTTGCCTGCCTATGTCAAATGACAGCAGCTCGAGCTTCCTGTTATCGTCGGGCTGTACGGGCTGGGGCTTCTCTCGCGAAAGCCTCGGTCGTTCTCCATAGCGGGAACGCGAGAGCCCAGACACTGAGCGCTTGAGCAAGCGAGCACTTACCGTCATGGTGCACCTGTTCGCTCCCAAACATATTGCAGAAAGGGTTATTCGATACCGTCAAGGCCCTTGGCTCTCCAACGCTCTACAGCGCTTCCATTCATAACAATCAAAGCAGCATCACAGGACTTAAGACGTGCTGCTTCACCACGATGAATCTGATGTTGCAGAGCTCCAAAAACCGCTCTAAACACGCCAATGTCCTTGACAGGATTGGTGCACGACCGACTTTGAGCAGATGGCGGTAATCGCGGGATGGCATTCGACTATGGCGAGCACGGTTCACCACGCTGCCGTACAAGCATCGGTACGAACCAAGAGTTTCGCGAGCACATGGACGCATGTACGATCATGAAACATTCGTGTGACATCTCTGGGCAGTTTGATTCGCCGTCGACCCGCCAAGCGGGGAGCCTCGGAAAATATATGTAGACGTGCCTCACGGAACGGCTATAAATCTCGATAGTCCCAGATCCGAACAATTAAGGAGGCCGCTCCTTCCGTTACTTCTTGATACTTCGGAGCACCCGATTGTACCTTAAGATTCATGCACATCGTTATGCTTGCAGCAAAACGTGGTAGAGCATGCTGGTGTCCTGAAGACCAACCAAATCAGAGTTGGACGCTGCATATAGTAATAACGTCAAAGGATTACCTGAAGCGGAAAGACTTCCCGTAATATGCACCGTCTCACTCCACAGATTGTTATAAAAATGCCTGACAAAGTGGAGAATATTGAGCGTAATCGTGAATGAAGCTCTAAGTTTGGTGGCGTAGCCTGCAGGCCTGCTTGCACGATAACGGAGCCCACACTGGACTAACCCCCGTCGACATCCGTTGGGATCTCATCATAGGTGGAGATTGTGACGCGCTTTGGAGGCTAGCACATCGAATGGACCCGATGGGCAGTGGAGTCGGAAGCTCTGTGAGCTAGGGAAATAACACGACGAGAGACAAGAATCATAACAGTCCAAGCTTTCGCGGGTGACACCTGTAATGCTCCCCAGTTCAACAGACGTGAACAGCAATATCCACAGATTAGAGGCCACGCTTTTGCGTAAGGGCGCTGTTGCAGATATCAAGAAGATCCAAGGAGATCCTGCCGGTATAACGGGGAATGCGACTACTTCGGGTGTACCTTGCTGTACCTAGACACCAAAGTCAAAAAAAAATCTTGATATCGCATGTGGTACCGTCGATCACTGGGATATCTCTTTCTTTTAAAAGTCTCCACAAGACTGCGTTAGACTGTGTTCAGTCGCAATATAGACGAGGTCATTGGCAATAATGGACCTGCAGAGCATAAGGACCTCATGTCAGGCCCGGGGCCGGTGTACGCCTTCACCGTCTCGAGAAAAATGATAAATCCAAAGCTAGAAAAGACGCAAGACAGTAATCGGCGGGAGAACCACACTGTTTTATGCCCACTGGCGGTAGCTGGTGGATGTTCAAGGCAAGACTGTTTAGAAAAGCAGCAAACACGAGGTGAGAGCTGGTGAGAGTCCGAGTGAAGTCCGAGTCAAAGGGACGAGCAAGAGTTGAGCAAGAGTGAAGTCAAAATTTGGCGACGGTCCGTAACGGACCGGTGCCACAGATGCGTGGCCCATCTAGTCAACGGCCTGATCTGAACCAGTGTTGTCACTCGACCTTTGACCAGTGGTCGGGGTCAGGTCAGCCGAGCGATCCGACCCGGCGGGGTCAGACCAGGTCAGACCCAGTCAAGTCTGCGGCGCCACTTGGTGATGTGGCCCCGAAATATACCAAAATAAGGCATTTTCCAGAATGTGCCAGCATTTGGTCCAGAGCCGACGCTGCCGACCACCATAAAAGGTAAGCTGCAGGGGATCAAGAAAACCTTGACCTGACCTGGCTCGGCCTCTTGACCCGTCAGCCTGACCCCGGGTCTGGCATGGTCAAGTGCCAACACTGATCTGAACCAAGTTCACCACCGTTTATGCTCTCTCGCTGGAGATCGTTGATTCTTCATACCCCAACCTCGAAAAAGATCTACACTCGAATGTCCTCTTCAGTCCAACTTCCCGAGGCGGAGCGTCTCTCCGATCTGCAACTCTCACTTTCCGAGGTCCGAGCCCGGGTCGAACAAGCTTCGAGTTCCTCCTCATCGACCCCTCCAAGACTTGTCGCCGTATCGAAGTATAAACCTGCCTCCGATATTCTGGCATGCTACGAGTCTGGCCAGCGCGATTTCGGAGAAAACTATGTACAAGAATTAGTGGACAAAGCGCAAATGGTGAGTACGACATTCATGCGTTCTCTGACCGGCCCCTGTCCGAAGTAGTCTTCGTATGCATCTCTAAATTGTCTGCATACTTGCAACTTGGAGTATATTTTGAATGCCTTCCCATTTTTACTAGCTACCGCGAGACATTCGATGGCATTTCATCGGCACCCTGCAATCCAATAAATCTAAAATCCTAGCCTCCATCCCGAATATCTACGCCATCCAAACCGTCACATCAATCAAAGCCGCAAACGCACTCACCAAGGCGCTCTCCTCCGAACCCTCACGTCCACCACTCAACATTCTTCTCCAAGTCAACACATCAGGCGAAGACGCCAAATCAGGTCTTCCACCACTCACCACTACCTCAGAAAGCGACGGCGAACTGACGCAACTCGCGCGACACGTTATCAAGGAGTGTCCACATCTTAGGCTTCAGGGCCTGATGACCATCGGCGCGTTGTCTGAGTCTCTGTCTGGTGAGGCGGAGAATAAGGATTTTGAGAGGCTCAAGGCGACGAGGGATGTACTGCAGGAGGTTCTTGGGAAGGAGTTTCCGGAGGGCGAGTGGGGAGTAGATGGGAGGCTGTTGATGAGTATGGGCATGTCGAGCGATTTCGAAGCGGCGCTAAGGGCTGGGAGCGATATCGTCAGGGTTGGAACGGGGATCTTTGGCGAGAGGAAAAAGAAGGCTGATATGCATTCGGATGCGAATGCGGGTGAGACGGCGGCAGCGGGGAAGTAGAGGTTGTAGATTAGACGTGAATATCAACGGGAGTGTGTTTTATTCCTCGTGCGTTACGAGACTGATTTTCTTTAACTGGTTCTAAGGTAAAGATGAAGGCGTATAAAACGTGGGTCTTGCTCCAATGAGAACTTGAAGTTGTCCCAGTGCGCAATTCACCCAATGTCTTCGTGTTCCAGTCCACCGTTCTCCTTCTTGACGGGAAGAAAATTCACCAGATCAAAAGCCCCAAGGGTTTAGTAGAGTGTGGGCGAGCACAAAGGCTACCAAACCACCAGTTTGGTTGAGATGCAGTATGGGCATCTCGAACCCCATCCACCATGCAAGTCGACCCAAGCTCCGTCCACCTGCACATGGTCACCGCACACATCTGATGAATTCATCGCCCAGCTGCCGCCCGAGGTTATGTTATGCCATCTCAACAGCCTCGCTTCGCAATCCTCCATCATCTTTCCCAATCGCAACCTCTTCCCATCTTTCTGCCCGTCCCCGCATTCCCAAGAATCTTCAGGGATGTCGAAAATGGCGCCATAGTCTGAGAATAACCGTATGCCGTCCTTGTTCCGGACGTTCCTTAGGTTCAGCCGTTGATCCCGATTTTGACGATTCGTCGGGTCTGCTCGCCCTGTTTCGTTCTTATATCTTTCACCGAAACAGTGTAAGAGACGTGAGCACGGTCAAGGAATGATGCGGCCCTCATTAGCGCGTAGATGCTGGCTATATCTGCCAGTTATTGTATACTCCCTCGTTGACTTTGTGCACTTTTCGCTCAATATTTTGTGGGATGAAACGGGTCCAGAGAATGTGTGGCACCAAAGGGTCGGTTTCCCACGATGTTTATCCGTCTGCTCACAATACACTCGAGTACTCGCACTCAGACTATTTATGACACATATACGATGTGCGTGATATATTGAGGGAAAGACATTGAACGAGCACCATGAACAAAGGTGGCAACATGATACAAAGTCAAGCTTAAGATGGCGGGCAAGAAGATCTTGACGGAAGGGAAAAGGAGTCGTTCGGCGTTCGAAAGTGTCGTGGGTACCGGTGTGCATATTCCGTATTGAAAGACTTGTATGATGATGTAGAAACGGTCGGAGAAAGTCGTATGTGAACCGAAGCTAGAATACACAATCCACAGTGGCACCTCAAAAACAGGCCTCTGTCAGTGCATCGTTGACAGGAAGTTATACTGGTGGATCGAAATCAACTCAGGAGGAGTCAAAGTGAGCGCTCACAGCTGGAACCCAAAAGGTATATGGGATAGATTCCAAGTTTGCTTTCTGCCAACACAATGCCTGGCGGTGTAAGTGGATGTGTAGGAACGAAAGACGATTCGGGGAACAACGGGTGGACGACCTCGGCTATGGTCCGTCCGCATGAGAGTGGCCCAACGCCACAGGCCACCCGCTTTCGTACCCAACTTTCCCAGTTCCTCCGCGTCTTTTCTCTATCTCCCTCACATCTGCCAATACTTATCGTGTTTTTCAGATATCAGTCTCAATCAAGATATCTACAAAGCTGCTACTCCACGTTTCGCGTAGATAAAGTTATTCGAAATGACCGCGTTCACATCACGGACGTTCTTCGAGAACCTCCATCACCTCCACTCCGACGACGGACGCGGCTTCACCACCTTCACCTGTCTGCTCTTATAGGCGAAGATATGTCGACCGTGCTGCCACAAGGAGCTGGATATGGAGTCGTCCTTGGGCTCGGAGCCGCGTTTGCCTTGCTCATGGTGCGAAGATGTAATGATTCGACTGGGGTTGCTGTGCTAACGGTGAACTGTGGTAGATTGGGATATCGAAGATCCAGTCACGGTATACGATGTGAGTTCCTTCGTACGAGTTGCGCTCTTACGCGCCGCGTTTGCGGACCTCAGTTGGTGTACGACTCGCTTGTTGAAGCTTGCGCATCTCTGCGATAGACGAAGTATCAACTCATCGGAGGAGTTCACGTCGGCCTCCCGTTCATTGAAGCCTGGAATCCTTGCAGTGAGTTGCTTTCGCGAACTTTATAGCATCCCCTCTTGACGCATTCTGTGGCATTGTTATAGAGCGGTATCGTGTCTGCTGCAACATGGGTCAGCAGCGAATCCGTATCCCAGACTTCATTAAGCTGACCGTAATTAGGCTGCTACTTTGCTTCAAAGTGCCACAGTGACCTACACTTATGGGTGAGCACTCAAAGTCCAACTCCCATTTGTTCATTTCTGACACTTGAGTGTCTTGCGCTCAGTTTATCCGGGGGCTACTGGTATGGTGCAGGAAGCGTCAGTCAGATAATGTTGTTCGCTCAGTACGTTCACCCGCATGTCCTCCATACCATTGAAAGCTGAGTAGACTCTTCGTCCTCCAGAAACGCCGTCATGTTGAAACGCAATGCCCCCGGAGTTCATACCTTCCTCGAACCCATTCGAGTCCGTTGGGGTACCTTCCCACACATCTTGTTCATCTTTTACGGTTTGGTATGGTCCTCTCGTCCTCTCACCTCGCGCACACCGATTGATCTCAGTTCGTATCCTAGGGCACGAACATTCTTCTGACGGCCCAGCTTATCACCGGAGGGTCTTCTACCATAAACGCGCTGACCGGGATGCACACTTATGCTGCATGTTGTCTCATCCCAGCCACTGTCATCGCATACACACTCGTTGGTGGTCTAAGGGCTACCTTTTTTTCTGACTACGCGCATACAACGTTGATTTTCGTTATCATACTTGTCTTCATGGTGGGCCTTCTCTGTCTCTACCTTGCTCGGCTTCGCAGTCAGACTAATCATACGACCCCAGTTCTCGACCTTTGCGACGAATCCCAATCTTGGTTCTCCCTCGAAAGTGTACGACCTTCTTCAAGAAGCAGCGACAAACTATCCACTCGAGGGCAATGCCCAGGGATCGTATACTACCTTCCGTTCCACAAACGGCCTCGTCTTTGGAATCATCGTCATCATCTCTGGAATTACGACCGTCTTCATGGATCAAACGTACTGGCAACGCGCTGTCGCGTCTAAATCGAGCACTAGCATGAAGGGATATCTCTGGGGAGGGTGGGTGCCCCTTCTCTTCGTGTAAGAAATAAACGACTGACGCTGTACGATTGGCACAGGATGGCGTTCTTCCCCGTTCCATGGGCGTTTGCGACAGCGTGCAGTCTGGCTTTGGTAGCCCTGGCAGCAGGGCCCGACAATATGATCACTGCGCGTTTGGCGGACGTGAGCCTTGTTGCTCCCGAAGCCGCTTCAGCCCTGCTCGGAAAATCTGGTGCTATGCTCCTTCTAGGTAGGATCTTTTTGCTTTCTTTTGATTACTTCTTTCGTCGATACTGACCACTTCTACGTATAGTGACACTGTTCCTCGCAGTTACCTCCGCTGCCTCCGCCGAACTTGTCGCCGTCAGTTCTATCATCGTCTACGACATTTACAAGCCCTACTTCGCCCCCACCGCATCGGAGAAACAAGTCCTCTTCGTGTCGCATTGTGCGGTGTTTGGCTATGGGATCTTCATGATGGTGCTTGGGATCGTGTTCGCGAAGATTGGGATCTCGTTGAGTTGGCTTTATGGGTGCGTTGGCTGTCTTAATCTTATTTTGTACGGCCTAGGAATGTGAATCGGCGTGCTCATCTGGACTTGGTTACTCTGGTAGATTGACGGGTGTGATGTTCAGCTGCGCTGTGGCCCCAGTCGGGTTCGCGATCCGTACGAAGACGGGGAATAAGTGAGCACTTCCTTTCAACACTACTTGTTTGTCTACTTCCCTACTCATACTGTATGCGAATTGTGTAGATGGGGTTGCGTGTCTGCGTCTGTTATCGGCTTCGTATGTTCCATCGTTGCCTGGGTTGTGACCGCGAAGGAGTATTACGGAATCGTAGATGTCACCTCAACCGGTGGATCATACCCTCAGCTGTATGTTTCCTCCATTGGGTTCCGTTGCTTAATCTACCTGCTAACACATTATTTCTCAACAGCGCAGGCAATTCTGCCGGCATCTTTATCTCAGGTGGAATATGCGCTATCACGACATGGTTGTGGCCTGATAACTTCGACTTCGACGTGCGTAGAAACTCTGCTATGTAATCAATGAGTAGCTAACGGTGCCTGTTCCCACAGATCATCCGCCACATGAACTTCTCCACCGAGTCAACCACGGCTGCCTCTCTCCCAGCATCTTCCTCTCCCACAGACGAAGACCCCGACCTCAAAGAGAAAGACCCCGCCTCCGTCGCAGACCACGAAGCCCAACCCGAAGCCGACATTCTGCCCGTCAACAACATCAACGACGCTTCCGACCAGGCTCTCTATAAGGACTTCAAGGAGAGCGTGGTGGTCACGGTGGTCGTGTTTGTTTTGTTGTGTATTGTTATTCCGGCGTTTGCGGCGATACCGAAGGTGTGGACGAAGGCTGGATTCGTGGTTTGGGTTGTTATTACTTTGTGAGTGCCATCGCTTCCTTCTGTGCTCTGAAATTAGGCGCTTACGGGGTGTTGCAGCTTGTATACCTTTGTGGCGATCGCTGTTTGTGTGATCTGGCCGATTTGGGAGTCGAAGGAGACGTTGGCGATGATTGCGAAGGGGATTCATAATGATCTTACGGGGAAGAGCTTTGAGAAGGCGTGAGTTGGATATATGCATGCCTCGATGTTTCAGTGGAGGCGTTGCTTTTTTACTTGGTTTTTTGGGAGTTTGCCGTCTAAGTACTTGCGGATGAATGGATTATTTTCTTGCGTTGAGATTCAAATCCATGGTCCGTGAGGCGCTGAATGTGGCCCTAACTTGTGGCGAAGACCGAAACATGGTCACCTGATGTTGATCAACCAGGGCGTCAATCTAATCTACGCGCCGTTGCCGACGATAAGATAACTCGACTGTCGTCACCGACGTGCCGAACAACACGTCTTACGAATCTCCCCACTCACGCTCTCTCCTCTTCATCAATCTCTCTGTTCACCAACACTCTCACCACATCTCACTCACACAATGGTGAGGAAAGACTGTCTTGCGAAAAGTGGCGAAATACTGACAGGAGAATTGTATTTGCGTAACTTACAGGCCGTCGAAACCCCAGCATTCGTTCTCGCAGCTCTCACCGCTGGAGGAGGCATCACAGGCTACGCTCGTACGGGCTCTGTCCCATCTATCGTCGCCGGTGTACTTGTCGGTACACTCGTAAGTGCTTCGTTCTGGTTGTCTCATACTTTCGCCTTCCGCCTCATTCAATGGTTCACTACCGACCACCTTTCAACGAAAGCCCCTGTTCATCACGCGTCATGTCTACCCATGCTTTTCCCGTACGCTTGAGGACTGACTAACTGCTGTATCCTATCGCTCAGTATGGTGTCGGTGGATTCCGCATCCAGAACAACCAGCCCTACGGCGTCGAGCTCGCACTCCTCGCTTCTCTCGTCCTCGCAGGAAGCTCTATCCCCCGCGCTATCAGACTGCAGAAGCCACTCCCGATAGGTCTGAGCGTTTTGGCGCTCTATGGGTTGTACACGTATGGGACTGTGTATAGCTCGAGGGCGTGAGGGTTTGAGTACTTAGGAGCATAGGAAGGATGATGGAAGAGGGAATGGACGGAAGAGGAAAGGGAAGGAGATGACACTTTTGAAGGAAAGGTGCTGGTGTTCGTGTTTCTGGATTTCTGGGTTTTGTGCTCTCAGGCTATATGGATATTTGTTGCTCCCATATGTTGTGAGAGTGCTTGTTGTGCTATGCTTTGATCTACTCCTTTGGCTGAAACCATACGCGTTTGCGTTGATTTCTTAGTCGTCCGTGGTCCAATGAACTCGATGCGTTACCGTGCGATACTCCACACTCTCCTGATTCAGATTCGGGGCGCCTATGAATTCATCAATGATACATAACTTACCAGCCGCACTTGCGAGTCTGTTTGGCTCGATTTTGAGCTATGTACGTACCCAGACACGAACCTCGTCGCTCCGTTCCCAACCGACCTAATTCCATCGATACTTCATCATGAGTATGGTTCGACTTCATCGTCGTTCGACCTAGGTCGCTCGAGAAACCCTTTCGACCCGTTCATTTCTCCGCTAACACCGTGACGGCCCTTCGAATACTTACCTGCGAACACTGCCCTGATCATCCCTCTAACTCACAGAACATCCACTCGAACTCGTTCTGTCGCACCACGTCCAAACATAACAATAGCGAGAAGCTCTCTCTCCCGTAGTGCCCCCCGTCTTGCCCGTCGTACCGTAACGTACCGTAACGCCCCGTATGTCCGTCTTCTCGAGACGAGATCCTAGAGCCTCTGGAAGCCTCTGGACCGTTACCAGTCCCGATGAGGTGGCAAGGGATTCAGAACCGTGGTCTGGAGCAATCTAGAGAGTGTCCACAGGTCACGGTCCGTCTCCGATCTGCATCATGAATCATGATAGCCGTGTCTTCATTTACAACATGAGCATCCAGGTAGGTGTGCACCGTCGAGGTGGGATTCGGTGTGTGCTATTGCTTTGAACCGAGGTTAGATGGACTGGATGTATACCTGGATCCAGGTCCATGCATTCGGGAGGTTGTCGTGGGTGGCGTTAGAACGTTCGGACACTCCTGCGCCACATCCGAGTCACTGTGTCCCTACCTCTCCTTCTCGTTTCTTTCTTCCTTCCTCATTCTCTAATGTGCACCTGTGAGGAAAGGGAATTTTGTGCCGTGTGGACGTGCTTAAGAGTAGGTATTTATGTGGACCAAGGTGCTTGCCAGTGCCTTGTTCCAGAGAGACTACAAATGCTGGCTCCGACATAACATGTAAGTATCGTCTCTCGATTTTATTTCCGCCAACGACGAATCTTCATTCACACAAAGGGGACTGTAGAATACTTATACCCACTCGGCCCTCTCGACTCCGTACGTCTTTGGATACGTTACTTATGTGAAGCGGTTCATTAGGGTTCATTCTGCACATACGTGCCAGCGGCGGCGTCGATCAAGCGTCGATACCCCTTCGAGTCAGTCCCTATACACACAATTATCCTTCCTTCCCACGTTGAGTATGCAGTACGTTATCACAATCAACAAGCACGTCGAGTTGTTTCAAAGCTTAAGGTTAAAGGACAACTTGAACTGACGCCGTTCTCAACTGTACTTACGCCGATCCGCACTCAGGCTGTCCGCATCATTCTGTCAAGATGTCAAGATATCGGGAGCTGCTCCGCCTTCGGGAGTGCTCAGGTTCAGCGTTCAATTTCATGCCTCAGGCCTCAGGCGCGGAAGCTTAATAGAATTCGATGTAAGTTACTACTGTAAGGAGTCCTAAGTCACGGAGTCAACGGCGCGACGAGTTCGGACCAAGGAAACAAGGGTAGTGAAGGGAATTGCGTAGGATAGACGAATATTACTAGTCTTGCATACGATCTACGAACCGAAATCAATCACCTAGTCACAAGGTGAATATAGAGAAGACACGGAGGGCCTGCGGCATAAAAACTCGGTCAAATCCTGAGGCCTGCAAGAAAGAGCTGAGACCGTCGTGTAACTTACATGGGCTAGAGTCCTTAACTTACACGCTGGCAATAAGTACCCCCATAAAACAAGGAAAACTCCGACTGATTCCCATCAACATTACCTGTAAGGTCATCCAAAACCCCGTCTCTGACTGCGTTCGTCAGCTGAGGGCCGGGAAAGGTTGGGCAAGACACGTCATCTGATACTGATGCTGAGGCTGAGGCGAAGGTATCATCTGAACATATGAGCGACGAGAGGAAGTCTGGTGACGAGGCTGACGTTGACGCTGATGGCATTGGGAAGTAGTATTAGTACTAGTAGTAGCAATGACGAGGCCAGCGCCGCAGAATTGAGAACGAACCGTCCGAGTCGGTTGTGAGTTTGACTTGCGGAGAGGGCCCGGGAATCTCCCGCGTGCCGATTGGTCTTTCACCGGTTCAAAGGTTCATTCACATTCACGAGCGGTGGATTGAAGCTCAGTTTATTATAATGGAGTACGGCGGTACCGACATGTGATCGGAGCAGGGAGGAAAGACGTAGACAAGGAAACGCCGTCATCGTCGCTGTTGTCGTTCTCAATGGCTGTTGAGTTCGAACAAGGAGTAAGACGCTGCGCCATTGAACGTTTGGCCGCTCAGAGCGAAGACTGGCGTAGATGTTCGGTTGGTTTGCGAGGGAAGAAGACGTGTCCAGGTGAACGGTGGGTGCGAAACAGTGTGGCGAGGACCCGAAGACTCGTACTCATTAGAAGCAGAGCCTCGAAGCTTCGTATGTATGGTACATAGTGCAAAGCCTCCAGTTCATAGCACACAGAAGAGTGGAGTAAACCGTCATGATCACGATCTACCCCCTGCCAGGGAAGAAGTGTGACTAGTGGCTAGTGAGCTGGCGCCGTCGGTTCCTGCCGCTGAACAAAAAATAAAAAAGAGATTGTGTGAGGTGCATACTACTTATCCCCAGAAGGTAAGCATAGCACAGCAGCCGAGCCTGAGCCTGAGGATCGAGATAGTACTGAGCCCCTCGAAGCGTCATCCAAAAGTCTGAGCGTGAGTGGTATCGTAAGGAAGAGAGAAGTTCGAATGGACAGCTGGTTGCACAGATCCGCAGGGACAAGGACTGTAGTCTGAGGACACAGGAATTCGAAAAGAGATGCCAACAGATTCAGATGAGCACGAGAGCAGCATATGGCGTCTTCGCACGCGAGCGAACATACAGTCTGAGTGAACACCAACGCCAACAGGATGATGAAATGCTGTATCGAGCTATCGACGGAAGCAGATGATGGGCAGAACGGAGAAGTGGCGGAAGCAGCCTGAGGGGATGTCAATGATCGTGGAGTGGGAGTCTGTCTCTCCTGCCGGCGGTTATTGAGTTGCCCGTGCGCGTGTTCGTAGCCTGAGCGAGCGAGTGAGCCGTGCCCCAAGTTCTCTGGCGCGAAGGTCGAGCCGGACGATGGCTAGACACGATGCGGGACGATGACCGTGAGGGTGTGAGGTGCGAGGTTCGGCAACTAGCGCGGCTGCGGCTGATGAGCGAGCGTTGCTTACACATGAAGAGGATGATCTAGATCAGGGATCGAATTGGGTTTGGAACGGAACGTGTTTTGGCGCGGGGCACGGGCGGGCGGGCAGGCAAGTAGCATGCATGCAGGCGGGGTAAAGAGTCGTGCAGTAACGAACAAAGCAGCTGCTCGTCGTGCGATGGCTAGCACGGAGCTCAGGAAGCTGTTGTGCAGTCTGGCTGCGAGGGATGTGAAATCAGAAGAGGACGGGGACGGTTGAGCGCTGAGCGGAAAGGGGCGAGGGCAGAATAGGGTTTGCACTTGGGCGAAGATCTGAGATGGGCGACCGCGACGAGATAGCTCCTTAGCCAGCCTTCCTCACTCTCTCCCGCCTTCCTCCTTCCCTCCCTCTTCCTTCCCCCAACGACGCAACACACAACAATCAACACACCCAGACCAATAGATGACCGGCGCAGACGACCGCGAGCCCATCCACGGCCTCACCTACCGTCCCGGCCTCCTCGCCTCCCTCCCCGTCCTCCTCCCCCGCCCCGCCCCCAACCCCCCCATCCGCGCCCTCTCCGCTTCCCAATTCGCTCAAATCCACCTCGACTACCTCCTCTCCCACGCCCCCGACTCCGCCCTCTTTCCCTTCCTCCACGGGCTCGAGGGCGACAACGAGGCCCAGAACCTCTTCTTTGCGACCGCGCGCGGGAATAGGCACGCGCAGGTGCCCAGCTTTAGGGGTCTTATCTGGGTTGCGTGCGATGATGAGGACGAGGAGGGGACGGCGGGACTCGCACCGCCGTTGTCAGGCAGAGAGAGAGCGTATGATGATGTGTTTGGGTCGGATGAGAGCGACTTTAGCGATGAGTTGAGCGACGGCGACGATGATGGGGATGTCGACCTCGAAGACGACGACGACGACAACAGTGAACAGGAAGCGACGTTCGCTATGGATATTGACGATGGGGCGCATATGCATCCCGTTAATCATCGCGCGGCGCCCATCCCCGCCCCGACCATCGACACCTCCGTCTTTCCCTCTGCTTCCTCCCATCAACACTCCGGTCAACATCAACATCACCGCCTGCTCTCCTCCTCTACTACAGGCTCATCGGCCCCTTCCTCCCCCGCCTCCTCCTTCGAACTCCCCCTCGGATCACCCTCCACCCCCGCCACATCCGTCTTCTCCTCCCCTCCCACCGCCTCCAGCTGTCTTCCCCCCTACGCCGCCGGTGGCGCCACATACAACACGCTCAACGCGCCCCCCGTCCCGCTCAGCCCGAGCCCGCCCCCGCTGCCCAGTCCGCCGCTGTTGACCTCGACGTTTAGGCCGAAGGAACTGTTGAGGGTGGGGAAGGGGGGTTATGAGTTTGTGGAGCCGAGGGTGCCGGAGGGGATTTCGTTGAGGAATTTTGGGATTCAGGTGGTGCGTTTACTTTTCTTTTTTTTTGCCTCAGTTTTTGGTTGGCTTTTTCTTTTCTTTCGTTTTCTGTTTCTTGAGAGTTGTTCGATATTTGCTTTTGCTTTTGAGGGTTTGAGAGCTTCGTTGTGAGTTAAGTTCTCGGGAATTGTGTGTCGTTTTGCGCCCTCGATACCCCTATCCCATTCCGTGTCCTATCAGAGGACACAGCATATACAATGCTAAGAACAGCCCTCCACCCGCTTGCTTCCGCCTGTCTCCTGCTTCCCGCATCCTGCCTCCTGTTTCTGTTTCTTGCTATGATCTCGTGCACACCCAATCGCGAAGTGTCGTTCTATCTTTAGTTCTCTGTGGCTTTGGGCGCTTGCTTGTACGCGTATGGGTGGCGCGAGCTGTTGCGTGCCAGGCGTTTGCGTCGTGTCGTGGTGGTGGTGGTGGTGGTGGTGGTGGTGGTTATCTTATCGAGCGAGCGAGTGTGCCGCCTTCCACCGTCGTTGCCGTTGTCGTAAAGCGAACAGGACGAAGCGTCCGTACCCATATCCTACTGTATCATCCCCGCAGGGAAGAAGAAGACGGAAGGTACATAGCATAGCATGGCTTCCTTCTTCTTTGTCCGTCGTCGTCCGCATCTGGGCGTGAGGTTGCGTTCCATCCTGTTTTGTGTTTATGTTTATGTCTATGTCTGTGTTTGCGAAGTGGGAAGTTAGGGAGGATCCCGAGTTTCGAGTTTCGCGGTCTGTTTTGGGATGTTATTCCCGATGGCGCGCGTGCTTTGCGCTGGTGTGCGCGGATGGCGGATCCTTCACCACGATGCGACTACGTATTCGGAAGGCGCGAAGCCACGAAGCTACGAAGGGCCCACTGTGCGGGTCCTCTGGCCTCTAGATGATTTAATTGGTGCGGCTCCGAGGGGTGGTAACTGGGATTCGCACCCGCTCTCCACTCCTGCGTCTGCGTTTACATCCCGCTGTTCTGTTGGAAGAACGGGTGGCTCGTTGGGCATGCGCGATGATCGTCGTGGCTAGTTCGTGATTCGTGATTCCCGCCTTTGGTATGCATGGATATGCATAGATGAGCAGATGTTAGGTTCGTTCGTCCAATGGGCGGTTTGAACCTAATCTGTGTTGTGTCTGTTTTTTTCTGTTTCGGGATGGGTCTGTTTTTTTCTGTTTTGGGATGGAATGGATATGGATGGAATGGGTGTGTATCCGTCTTAGGATGAATTGGACGGATATGGATTCGGTTTGGGATGATCTGTTGATATTGCTATTTTCGTCATCGTATCGCCATCGTAGCGCCGAGGTTCACCACCGTTCACTGTGAACGATAAGATAAGATACAGAGGCTGCTCCTCCATGGCCAGTTGGGTCGTTCAGCGCTGGACCCCAAGCGGCCTCTAACCCTAGCGGCCTCTAACACCAGCTGTTGTATCCTCTGTCATGATCGCGTTGTATCCTCTGTCATGATCGCACCCGCCTCGATATGTTCGAGCGTGCCGGTGTGTTGGTGTGTTGGTGTGTTGGTGTGTTGGGTGCTCTATGCTATGAATGAGAGGGCACGATGGGTGGTTTTCGTTTCTGTGTGGCGTGCTGTCTCTCTGTCTCTGTTTCTGGCTTGCGTCTGTTTCTGGCTCGCGTCTGTTTCTGGCTTCGTGTTTGCAGCATGGGTGTTATCCCCCTCAGCTCAACCCAGGTCGTGTAGACTGCGCTCTGGGTCTGTGTCTGTGTTGGTGATCAGTGTCGACGTCATACACCGTTCATTGTTTATCGTGCATACGAGCCGCTTCGAGCGTTATCTGAGGGGCGCCACGGACGTACTCGTCGTTTGGGCGTTCGTTTAGTTTACTCGAGCGAGTGACATCTCGAGTGGAGCATCCAGATGAACCGTTGATCGCCGTGTTGGATCCTACTTATCGCTGCACACGAGGACTGACAGCCGTGATGGACACTAGACGGTGGACAGTGCTTCGATAGCCTAGTGGTTGAAACGTCGATGTGTGGTGCTCACTCATATATTGCATCGAATCGTCGAAGGTTGTGGTGCACCGAAGTTGGAGGTTGTGGAGGTTGTGGAGCGGGAGCGGGAGATAACGCTGACAGGTCGCCGCGTTCGTTGTGTTCCTGTGTTCTGTGTTCTGGGTCGACTTGTGTTTGTGTTTGTGTTCTTCGCCGCTTTTGGGGGGCTTCTGAGAAAAGAAAGAAAGGGTCGAGGCTTGAGGGTTGTCGTTCCTGACTCCTGGGCTTCGCGGGTCGTGTGCCTTGCACTCGTTCGTGGTTCGCGGTCAGGAGCGAGAGAGAGAGGGGCGATACGCGATGTGCGAGCACGGGATCTGGTCTTGTGGCCTTGCGTCTGTTGGTGGGTGGCTTGGGAGGCTAAGACGCCTGCTTTGCGGGTTTTTGGCAAGGGACTTGGCTGAGGTCGACCTCTCCTTTCTGTCGGTTTGACGAGCTTGAGTCTGAGTGTGTATGCTTGGGAGATGGCTCGTGACGGGCTCTTTTTGGTTCATCTTCGTTTGGAGTCCACCCTTTACTTCTTTTGACACGTTGGTCCAGTATGCCTTGAACCCGTTCGCTTACCTTCATTCACTCCCAAAAAAAAACAGCCGATCTACGCCACCCTATCCGACATCGTCGTCTACTCGCCCACAGGTAAAGGCCTCACCCGCGCCGCGTTCGCGCTCGCTGAAAAATTCAAGCTCGCGATCGAAGCCAAAGCCGCCGCGCGTGCCCGCCACCTCGCCCCCACTACCGCTTCTGGGACCAACGCGGGAGAGGGAGGAGAAGGAAGCGTGGGGCAGAGAGGGGAAGGAAGCGTGGGACAGGGAGAGGGAGTGCCGGTGCGGTATAACGTGTTCGTGCTGAACGCGACGTTACCGGAGATGGTGGCGGAGTTGCCGCATCTTTTGAGTCGGGTGGAGGATCATCCGGAGTTCGTGGGTAGGGGGAGTGGGAGTGGGAGTGTGGGGGGGAGTCCGGTTGTGGGGCCGCAGAGGGAGAGGGAGAGGTTGGATGGGGTTGGGAGGGCTGGTAGCAATGGAAACGTGTACGGAAACAAGGCGAACGGGAACAAGGCGAATGGAAATAAGGTGAGAGGAGTGGGCGGAGGGGAGAAGGGAGTAGGCGTGGATGTGGCGAGGGGGGTGGGGCATGGGTCTGGGCATCGGCATGGCGGGCACGGAGGTGCACATACAGATGGGACGGACGCACATGTGAAGAGGGAGGAATCGTATTCTTCTTCTTCAGCGGCTTCTTCGTTCCAGGAAAACACTGCTGGTGCTGGACCAGCTGGTGTTGAGATGGAAGTGGTGGGCGGAGATGGAGACGGAGAGGAGGCGATGGGGATGGGGATGCAGATGGATGTGGATGTGGATAGCGAGGCTGCGAGGGAGAAGGAAGAGAGGGAGAGGGAGAGGAGGAGGAAGGAACGTGCGAGGGCGAAGCTGTTCAGGGCGAATACGATCAATTTCGCGCAGAGGGAGAAGGACGAGATGAGGGACCTCACACGGGCTTCGGAGATCTTGACCGTTCCCGCCACCACCATGACCTCCACCACCACCTCCTCCACCATGACCGCAGCCACGGGATATGGATATGGATATGGAGGCTGGGGCGTGCAGAGTCCGAGTCCGTCGGTGGCGAGTATTAAGGCGAGCGCGTCGGCGATGGAGGATGGGGTTAGGCCGTGGAATGGAGCGTTGGGACAGGTGTTTTTGGGGAATTCGAACGATGTACCGCTTTCGGAGGACTTTTTGGAGGCGGAGGCGGAGGCTGCTTCGCCGGGTGCTATTGACGCCACCTCCACTTCCACCGCCACTTCCACTTCCACCACCACTGCCGCCAACGGAACCACCGCCACTAACGGAACCACGGCCGCCAACGCGACCATGGGCGAGGGAGCTCGGAGGCTCGATCCGTTTGATTTTAGGGATAACGATCCGGATGGCGGGTTTGGGTACGATATATGCATCGAGTGCCATGATAGGGCGCCGCAGCCGCAGGCGGTGCATCTGAAGGCGGCGGAGGATCATCTGAGGAGTTTGGATGCGGCGTGGGTGGAGAAGTGTCAGGCTGCTGCTTCTGCCTCCTCCTCCTCCTCCCCTTCCTCTACCACCGACAACAGCAGCACAACCTCGACTGATGGAACCACGGCCTCAAAAGAAGGAGAACAGACGTGGAACGAGAGAGGAGAATGGATGGGTCGCGTCCGACCCCCGCCGAGCGCCAACGCGGTCGTGCATCTGCCGTTCCCGAGTTCGCCGTTGAGTCCCAACGCGGCGGTCAGCGCGCTCTTTTCGTTCTTGGAGTTTTTGGAGAGGGTGCTCATGGGCGCGAGCGTGACGAGTTCGGGGTTCGGGTATGGGTTCGGTGTTGCTGGTGGGGGATCGCCTTCTGGAAATGGCCATGGTGCGGCGTATGGGTATGGAACAGGAGGGGGGTCGGCGTCACCGTCGTCTAGGCAGGGCGCGTTTGTGGGGTCTGGGTCTGGTGCACAGAAGCAGTTGGGTGCAGGGCAGGGTACGGGGGCGAGGAAGGGGATGACGAGGCCGGCGAAGGTGTTGATTTATAGTTCGGATGGGTATACGGAGAGTAGCGTGCTTGCGCTTTGTTTGTTGATGGCGATGAGGGGGATGAGTCTGCCGCAGGCGTATTTGGAGCTGCAGGTCTGTCTTTTCTTTCTATCTCCATTGAAAATCAGGATTGAGACCGTGCTCACACACGAACATCACGATCCAGGTCACGAAGAAACGCAGCTTCTTTGTCTATCAGGCCGATATCGCGATCTTGAAGCGCGTCGAGGCGAAGCTGGCGAAGGATCGACAGATCGTTGGGCGGGGTGCGCCTGCGTACGTTCATCGTCCGTTCTTGCCTGGACATAACTCTTCTGGATCCGGGTCTGGGTCTGGTATCCTCGGTCGAACGCCATCCAATTCGATCTCGAACCCTACCTCTACACCTACGAACATACCCTCTCACCAACAAGGTCAAGGCCATCACCATCCGGCGTTGTTGTCAGCGTCTTATGAAGAACATTCATTATCTGCGGGTGTCGTGGCTGAGAACGGCAGCGGGGAAGGTGGAAGTGGAGATGGGGATGGGCTTGGGAGGATGATCGTTCCGAGTCAAGGATTTGGGCATGGTGGGCATGGGTTCGTGGGTAGGCCGAGGGCGAGCACGAGCCCGATGTTGCCGAGTTTGGTGGATGATCATCAGGTTTGGTTTGATGACCCGCGGTTCGATGGGAGTTTCCCGAGCAGGGTGCTGCCGTTTTTGTATCTCGGGAATCTGTGAGTTGACTTCTGTTATATTTTTTTGAGATTGGGAGAGAGTTGAACTTACTGACGAGTTTGTATTCGCTGGTGACAGGAACCATGCATCTAATGCGTATATGCTTCACGCACTCGGCATCACCCACGTCGTCTCCGTAGGCGAATGTGCCCTCGTCCCCCCTCCAGACGTCGCCGGCACCGGCACCAGCGCGCCCTCCGCCTCCGCTTGTCATACCGTCGCCACCCCTCGTTCCGGTACGTCTACGGCCGGCCACAAACGTCGTGGTTCGTTGTGGATCGAGGAGAGGGAGGGTCGGATCAAAGTGTTGGATATCAAGGGCGTTTGTGACGACGGGATCGATACGCTCGAGCCGCAGTTGGAGCCGATTTGTGAGTGGATCGATAAGGCGAGGCAGGAGGGGGGGCAGGTGCTTGTGCATTGTAGAGTTGGGGTGTCGAGGAGTGCGACTGTTACCGTGAGTTTCTTTTCGTTGTTTAATTCACGGTTTCTCTCCGTCGTTGTGTCTATTTTGCAACCGTGGTTTTGACGCATTTGGGTCTTTTAGATCGCCTACGTCATGAAGCACCTCGCGCTGCCCCTCGTCGACGCCTACCTCATCGTGCGATCTCGGAGGCTGTCGGTGCTCATCCAGCCGAATATGAGGTTGTTGTATAATCTCTGCGGGTGGGAGGTCAAGCTCGCGAGGCAAAGGGCGGGCGGGGACGAGGAGAGGCTGAAGGCGGAGTTGGCGACGTGTTTGAATTGGCCGTATTTGGCGAGGGAGGTGCATGCGTTGAATGAGAAGTATTTGAGTTAGGGGGGTGGGTGAAGTGAAGAAGAAGAACGAAAAAGTGAGTGACCTTTTTGTGAAGGATGTGAGTGGTGACTGATGGTCGTGTATCAGTGTTTTTGTGCTTGTAGTGTAATTCTCAAAGATGTACCGTACACTCCGCCCCGCCCCGCCGGGGCCGGACTGTTTGTTTTTCCTATCCTGTCCTATACTCTCCTCATCTCCATTGTTATCTGCATAAACCCCCTCTCCCTCTCCCCGCTCCGTCCATCATACATCCACATTTCCACATTCTGGCCTTCTGCCTGTCATCCAATATTGTCCGCATCTGTCTCTGTCTCTCTGTCTGCCTGTTTGTCTTATCGTTCTGAATACTTTTCTCTTTTTCTCTCTGTCCTCATTCTCTCCATCCGAACCTCTCTCACTGTCTCATCCTCATTCTCATCGTCTGCATCTGTACCTTACTGTACTTCTATTGTAACTCCGTCCCTCCTCATCTTCTGAGTCGGTTTCATCAATTTCCTGTGTACATATACGCGTGACACCTTCAATCATACTTCCGTTGGAGGCACGCCATTGTCGCTGTACCGCGTTATTCGCCTTGACTCGTCTCTTTCTTTTTTTTTTTTTTCCTTTTTTGCATCTTTGTGTTCTTCTTTGTTCTACCATCTCTGTTCTGTTTGGTGTTGAGGGCGTTTGGTCGGTTTGTGCATGTTGTGCATCCATTTTACCGCGTGGCATGGTACGGCACGGTATATATTATCTTCATGCCCTCGATGCGTCATAGGCTGAGTCGTCTGAGCCACAAGACTCACGAAGTATGGATGTGTGGTGTGGTGTTGACCCCGGTGGATTCATTTCGTTTTGGACTGAAGGCAGTGGAGGAAAGCGACAAAGTCAAGGAGAGAGCCGAAACGAAGAAATACAGGCATGTGCATATATACTTCAGCAGAAAAAGCAAGAGCTCTAGCTCAGACACGGATGGCCATATCAAAAAGTGGCAGTTGTCGACTACACAACTCAGAAGCCGGACATGGATGAGTGGTGCTGACGGGGCCAAATAGATGCAAATAACGCCATGTAAAACGGAATATTCCGGTGGACACACAACAGCGCGTGCCAGTGGACCCTTTATGGTGTGGCACCTTTCGTTGTTCAACCTCTTTCAACGAATGTCCGACTCGGATATATCTTTTCCTCACATTCCACAATTGTTTCAGCTTCATAAGAGAAACAAAATCTACATGACTTGGCGCTCGTCTGACTGTTTCCATCAGAACTTTGAACTTATTGGAGCTGATATGTTGACGCTTGGTTAAAACTTAACGCTCAACAAGGGTTGGCTGCCGGCTGCCGAATGGATACGAACGATGCTCAGTAAGATGATTTCAGTGACTCATAGGCTCATAAGCGCGCAGGCCAGGGGTCTGAGATCGTACGTTTCTCATATAGTCATTTTTCAATAAAAGCTTCTAAACTCAACGATTTGGCTCGAAATCTCAGCGGTCCTCTGCCCTCCGTTTTCCTTCGGTACTTTCCACCAAAATCATACACAATGTCGAGCCCAATCCCACCCCCGCAAAAGGTTCTCCTTCTCGCATACGACGGCATGAACACACTCGATTGGGCAGGACCTCTCGAGGTTCTGTCTATGGCCACAACACCCTCTGGCTCTCCAGCCTTCGAGGTCACGATCGCCACAGTCTCTTCTTCCCCAAACACCACCTCTCCACCCCCATCCGTTCAGACCGCCGAACGGGGAATCATCACACCACACATCAACATCGCATCACGCTCTCCTGATCTTCCCCAGATTTTGGACGAGTACCCGACCCTGGTCGTCCCCGGAGGAGAGTTATCGACCCTTCTCACTCTCGCGAACGATACCTCAGGACCCATCATCGAGTTAATCAGAGCTTTCGCTGTCCTTCCACCGAAAGATGCACGCGGAGACGATCGTATCATCCTCGTCATCTGTACGGGAGCATTCTTCCTTCCTGCAACTGGGATTCTTCGTCGACCTTCGAGTGCGGTGAAGCAGGATATTCAACTCGTGACGCACCATTTAGCGCGTGATGCGTTTCGTGCGCTGGTGGGAAAGCCGGAGTATACGGAGAAAGGCTTCCGTTTGGAAGTATTGGACAAGAGGTTTGTGGATGCTGGGAAGCTGTTGGGGACAGGCGAGGGAGGCGAGGGAGTCAGGTTAATCACCTCAGGTGGTGTGTCGGCTGGAATGGATGCAACACTCTATGTCGTGGAGAGGAGGGCCGGCATGGAATGCGCTAAGGGCTCATCAGATAGGTTAGAGACTGTATGGCGAAGGGATGAGGGTGTGATCGCGAGCGATTGAAGAGACAAGCTCGTAGGAATTTTGCCCAAGGTACGTGATCGCTGCTCGGCTCGTCTACTCGAACTATTCAATGATTATCCTGCTGATACGAGAACCCATGACTCTAGGAAGGCTGTAATCTCATCCCATCGACTGTTGGGAGGAGCTAGAATTCCACCTGTAAAAGAATATAAGTATCCAGGCATGCTCTCACGACTCAGGGCCCATTCGGTGCGCATCAGAAATTGGTTCGCTAAGCTTGCTTATGATATTCTGGAATATCTGTTTTGAAATGATCCATCCGCTTTGATATCATCGAGTTGTTCTCAACCGCAACGTCTAGCGACACTAGCGATTTTTAAAGCGTACAAGGCATTACTTACCACTGCCATCCACATTTGTGTGACGCCGTTTTCAAGCGTCTTCATCTTTTTCCCCCGTGATATTTGTTTGGTCTTGAACTACGTAGAGTGGTTATGCTTTGAAGAAGGCATAGGCAGAATATCCCAAAACATGCTTGGCCAACCAGAACAGGGCTTGGTTCACAACTTGGATCTTCGGAGGGTAGTCTTGGGCCTCCTGGTTTCGGAATCGATTTCTCATCCCGCTCGATATCGATACTACGGTGATCCGGAGACGATTTACCGCGGCCATATGAGACAGAGCTGGCTTGGTATCAGAGCGGCCAAAGACCTTTCGGTGGGCAATGACTGAAACTGCGTTGACGTGCAGCGGGCACTGCGCTTGGCGGTGCCACACCCGGCACCATCCGACCTTCGCCCAAGTTTCGGCCCGACAAGTTTCATTGGGTGACTTTCCGTAGCAGTCTAGGAGCGTTTCTTGACGCCCAGAAGCACAAATACGAGGCTTTCAGCCAATCAAAAATCGATGTGAGCCTCTTTTCTGTGTTCTAGGCCTCTAGAACGTGCACAAACCCCCTACGGAAAGTCACCCATTGTTGATTTCCTTCCTATTCAAGCAATCTTCCAAGTAAGGCAAAGTCGTCGTTAACGACAAAGCGCTGTTTCTAGGGTCTGAACCTCCTTTACTCTCATTATGGCCATTTTTCCTTCTTGGTCAAGCGATCGTGGCCCGTCGCTCTGACTATGGCTTGGGCCGGCACGCACTCCAATTAGTAGCGCGATCGATATCATCTCAGAAATTGTATATAAAGCGAAGCTCTTCGCAGCTCTGGAGAACCAGAACTCACTCCAACTCCCCCGTCTTCGCCTTCGTTACACATTCCCCCACCCACTGCTTGTTAGTCAATCATGTCTACCCCATCCCTCCATCTAGCCGGAAGCGGTACCGTCACTAGGACTCCAGTGAACTTGGGCCAATCTGATTCAGCAGATTATCTGGGCCTGAGGCGCGACAATAGGCAGCTGAAAGCACAATTATCACGGTAGGTCACTATTCGGTTGTCACTCCATGATCGTTTGATGCTTACCGAACGTTTTATTCGTGATACACTAGGGTTTTCGACTTTCTGGGCAAAAACTATCCTGAAGCTCTTGATCGTTTCACACTGGGGACTGAGTTTATCTTACCGTTGAAGATCCATGCAGCTCCCTTGTCGTCTTTCGGTGTTTGTAACGGAAACACGCCAGCTTCAGCTCTTCCTCAGGCTACGCATGCTCCGTCCTTGCCCCTAGTCGACCCCACAGCCTCATCTAACTCCGGAGCATCCAACATCGGACCTAACGCACCCATTGTTCGTGTAGTCTCAGATGATGCTCGCGCAGCCAGCGACTACCAGCATGGCCCTCGAGTGAACCATTCTCGGCATCGCGAGGTCTCGAACTCCCTTCCCCTTCAAGAACACTCTGAACTCACCTGCGCCCCCGCTCCGAACGATAACACTCTCAGTGCTGAGACGGTACCTGTCGCCTTGGATCTTGAACACGATCAGCCTCGAGCATCTCAGCCCGATTCTCCGTCCTCGCCACTTTTTGTCGACTCAGCGCTTGTGCCAGCCTACTCGCCCGATCTCGAAAGTGAAACGGAGGATGGGAACGACATCGCGATGTCTTCGAAAACACCTGGCGGTATGATTGCGCAGTCTAGTATCCTCAAGAAACGTGGTCGGGATGCGACGGAGGAACAAACTGGAGATGAAGGGATTCCGGCGGCAGGAGGGCTTGTGGCGGACAAGAAAAATGTGGTTTCACCTAACAAGAGAGCGAAGATGACGTCCGATGCTTGATGTCTATGAGACTGTAGCGCTAGATGTGGACTTTTCCTTTCATTGCGCATGTGGCTGTATTTGTATAGGGAGCTCAATCAAAATCAATCGGTTTCCATGTCATCCTTGCCTGTCTACTATTTTGCGCCGATAATTCTCGGATATCACCCACTCCTCTCTAAAATCCACAACTTATCTTCCATTTTCATCGTCCACAACCGTAGGATTCTCTCCGAAGCGCGTACAAATCCACCCTTCCACAACCTCCCGGCCTTCATATCTGCGATGGTCCCCCAGTCCATTTTCCATGTGAACCCGCTCACGGTACCAGTGACTTTCCACCCTTTGATATCACCAGCCTTAGCGACTTCGGTGATGAGATGTGTGATACGGTGGTCAGCGGTGAGCGAGGCGAATTTGGTGGGCCCGTCTATTTTGGAGTATGTCCATCCGGTGGCAGCCAGCGTGGTGTTCGACTGAAAGTTTAGAAGAAGTGTCGGGCAGGGCAGGGACTGAGTTTGGATGAAGAGAGAGGCGCCGGTTTGAGTTGCTAGGTCCGATATGTGGACACGGACTGTGTATGCATGAGCCATAAATATGCGATGCCTTATGACGGAAAGCTCAAAAGGAGAGTAGACATACCATGAGACTTATCAGCATACTGATCGTTAAATCTGGAAAGCGCCATGCCACCGTAGTAGCTCTCCATACTCTCCAAGGTTTGCGAGAACGTAAAACATATATTGAATACAATAAGAAGGACCACGGTTATGAAGCCAAGTTGGCCTGCGAATTTTGATTTGGGGTGGGAAAGTCTTCGTGCCAGATAAAACATGTATGTCAGTATGGGCATCGGTGTTCAAAGGGTGCCAAAGTACCTACAACCACTGCGCCCCTTTTGCTGCTGCCACGTTCCATATCGGAACAACATAGACAAAGGAACTCCACTTTGTGTGTCCCAGTGCGCTCATAAGTGTGACGAACGTGACGTGAGGGAAGAGGATTGACCGAATATGGTTACGAGGATTCAGATTCCGAGACGATCCGGCGCGGAAAAGTGAGAAGAAGGATAGGAGTATTGAAGAGAGAAGAAGCTTTGCAAAATCAAGCTGGATCATAAGAGGAGGAAACGAATTAGCTCCATATAGCGTATTTAGAGTAAGAAGGAAAACTCACACCCCATTCTGAGGATCTCTCTTGGCGGATATTGTAATTGAGGACGTAGAGCTCCGGCCATGTGAACCACCGAGACCAAAAGTACGAGTCGACAAAGACGGTTATGGCTGGAGCCGTGATGGACAGGCGCACACAGTCAATGGTAGATCGAAACGTTCGGACGGGGGCATGAGGACACTCACCTACAGAGACTAGACCTGCTATGCAAATCGTTCGCATCAAGGTCCCGGGTGTTATTGACTCGGTCTCGAGCAGTTGAAAACAGATCGGCACAAGCAACAAGGCAACTTCGCCTCTAATGATAACAGCCGTTGCCGTCAGGAGAGAGACGGCTCTTTGTGCATTTATTTTTGAAGGCCGTAAGGCGTTTGGACTGAGGTTGAGCAGAAGGTAGGACGAGATGTTCACTTCCTGACAATTGGTAGTCAGTAAAGACGAGGACTGCGGGAATGAAGGTGAAAAATAGGACATGTCGAGGCCCTACTGAACGAAGCTCACCGGGGATGAGGGCAAACATGCTGGGAATGGTCCTCCCCATCCAAAACGGCAGATAGAACTGAGTGCAGGAGAGGATAGTGAAGAGAAAAGAGGTGAAAAGACCATAGCGACGAGACGTCGCTTGACGTATCGCCACGATTGATAAGGCGTTGAAGACAGTGAGTGTCAGTCATACTATTTCCCAAAAGTGCGAGCGACAGGAGAAGGTCAGTTCATAGACCAAGGTTCGATGAATGCCACAGACGCACCGAGAGCTTGCATATCGAACTTCGTTTGCACAAGGCTGAAAACATCTGCTATCTGGATCACAATCCAAGATAGGCATGTGAGTACAAGACTGCCAACGAAAGATGTAGGAACGGCGGCGTTGCTGTCGAAGACGAGGTGATCGTACTGACAAAAAAGTGCTCAGCAATCGACGGAGGAAAGTCTGTAAATATAGAAAGGAGACTGCTCACCTTGGTCAGTCCCACAGGACTCACTCCATGGATCAGAATGTCGTGGATGGCGTGCAGATTGAATGCCTCTTCATCCTTTGTATAAAAAGAAAGTAAAACATGTATCACTGCCGAGAATACAATGATACAGTCGAGCAATGTCTCCATTAGCGTAGATGGCTGTTGCTGGCAACTCGAAAGTCGTGAAAGCGGTTTGGGGTGACCAGAGGGATGTCGACATGAGGCCCATAGAACAAAGGAGCGCAAGCAATACGACCACGCGCGAAGCGCATTGACTTAGGGATCAAAGAAGCGATCATATCACGGCATTTCAGTCATGGGGCACAACACAAAGAGCTCGGAGCCGTGAACAGAAGAAATGCAAAGAAATAATACAATATAGAGTACACGGGGTGCGTCCCTTCTCCAACCCTCCGCAATATAACGATCATCCCACCGCGACTTTAGCAGATGATACGTGTATAACATGCTTCAATAATCCCCGAGAAGTGGGCACCATCGAAGTGCAAAGACAAAGCTACCTTATCTCCTCTCCCTAACATAGAAGTGCAACACGATATAACTCGCCGTCGTGAACGCGACGAAGAATATTCCCAAGAGCGCTACGTTGGGCCACCAGAAGGACTGCGCCCTGAAACCGAAGGTCGACAAGATCGTCGCAGCAGGCACGTCCAACTCCACGCCGTACTATAAGGATATTGTTTAGTTAACATGATATTTGAGGGCGATCAAGGGCAGGCAGGAACAGACCTTGAACTCCTTGAGCTGTAGGTAACGAAGTTCATTGACCACGAGAGCCTCATAGGCTGCGTGGAAGAACGAGACGGTATGCAACCACTGAAGCCACGGCACGACCTTGTCACGATTGATAAGGAGACCAGTGAACAACAAGCTGAAGAAATCCATGACCATGAGCGATGAGCGTTACCGGAGAGTGATCGGCGACGTACTTGAATAGCATGACCAATGTCCCGACCAAGTTCCCGACACTAGTACTCTCACAAGCCACCGAGATGAGCAAGACGACGCTCGCAGTGGTGAGATTGAACAGCACGAGCACGAAGAGGAACTTCCAGAATGTCGATACAGAAGGAACAAGGCCTACGAGGCCGTACACGATACCACCGAAAAGGAGTGGCGGAACCACGCGCAGCGGTAGGATGTCGAAGAGGACTTTCGAGGAGAAATACGTGAATGACGAGTAATAGCCATTAGACCTGAGGGAAGCTAGTGTGAGCAGTGAGAGCGATATGAAAATGGGATCTGCGTACCGTTCGCGCATGAAGAGGATCCGCTCGTTGGCGAAGAGACCCAAGCTCGACAAACAAGAGAAACCGAAGAGCGCTAGGGTGAAGAAGAATACACCTGAGGGAATGGCTCCATATCAGAGTGACGTCGCATAACTGCAAAGAGAACGAGCATATGTCGCACCAAGTCGATTCTGGAAGCCACCGATGTCGTTCGCCACATTACGGAAGAACAAACCACATATCACTATACCACAAAAAATAGTGTTCATCAGTTACTGAACCCCACGAGGAACAACATGCACTCACAAGCAAGAGCAACCGATCCCATATAATGTGCGGTCAAGAGCGCCGGGTCCCGGTACAAGTTCTTGAACGCCCTCCCACTCAAAATCGAGAACTGTGTGGCCCAAGTCGCCCTCTTTCGTCCCCTCAACAACCCACTCTCCAGAGCGACATCCCTTGTCTCATCCATCCCGGCCCCACTACCATTCCCATTACTATGTCCATTCTGCCTCACCCGTGCAATCTCCGCAGCGATACTCTCCGAGACGTCGCTCGAAGCATACTGATCCACGAGTGAAGCAAGACGAGGTGATAATGGCGGGTCACCGGATTGAGACGTGAAAGTGACTGCTTCGAGGAGTTGGGAAGTTTTCCGTTTGATGTAGTTAGAGGAGGAAGAGTCGGCGCGTGCGCGGACTTGGAGTTCGGTTTCGTCTTCGGAGGTCGAGGATTGGCCATTGGAGTGAGAAGAGCGGGTGGCGAGTGCAGAGGAGGCTTTGTGAGGAGAGAGAAGGCCACGTTCTTCGTCGCGGATATTGGATTCTTCAGCATCGATGGGCGTCGCTGCTTCAGTGGCTGACTCATCGCTACTGCGAGGCTCTTGCGATGCCTGCATAGTGAGATCGACTATGAAGATATTTCAGCAGGGAACTAGACGAAAACACATGAGAGGAACATACTGAGGTAGTCGGCGATGTTGAACCCTGGCGGACACGGTTGTCCGATACCGTCGAAGTAACCTTGACACTTGGACATCTCGCCCGAATAAATCATCTTTCCTTGTGCGAGAAGTACGAGCTGATCGAAGAGAGCGACGATATTGCTGCGAGGCTGATGGATGGTGAAGACGACGGTACGGTTGTAGTCTCGAGAGAGCGAAACGAGGCTCTCCACGACGTTATAGGCGTTATAGGCGTCGAGACCTACAAAGTCAAATCAGTTCAGCAGCACCATCAATAAAGAAGAAAACCCCTTACCGCTGGTAGGTTCGTCCAAGAACAAGATGGACGGGCTCGTAACAAGCTCGCAGGCAATCGACACACGCCTCTTCTCGCCGCCGGAGATAGACCTCTTACCTGTAAGAGTGTCAGCTGTAAGCCAAACGAAAAAAATCTCAGAGAAAGACATACCGGACTCGCCGATCCTCATATCCTTAATCGTTAGAATGCCCAACTCATTCATAGTCTCCAACGTCCTATACTTCTTCGCCTCCAAACTCATCTCCCTCGGTAACCTCAACAAAGCCGAATAAAGCACTGTCTCATAGACCGTCAAAGTGCTCATCAACGTATCCTCCTGGTCCACATACCCTACCACTTTCCTGAACTCCTCCGACGAGACCTCCCTTCCATTCACCAGCATAGTCCCACTCACCGTACCCCTCTTATTCTTCCTGGCCAGAATATCGAGGAACGTGGACTTTCCGGCTCCAGAGGCGCCCATGATGGCCATGAGTTGACCTGGCTTGGCGCATCCCTGGATGGAATCGAGGATAGTGCGGTTTCCGAGCTTGTACGTGACGTTCGTGAAGTGTAGTGAGGCGGGTACATGATCCGTCATCAGTCGCGAGACTTCGCTATCCGGAAGCCTGATCTGGCCAAAGTCGCTCTTCCGCGCTCTGCCGCCGTACCAAAGCACCGCAGAGATGAGGACAACGATCAATCCGGCGCCGGCGATGCTCAGCGCCACCCATCTCGTGTTGTCGGGCTTTTCGGGTCTCTGCAAGGGCAGAGTCAGTTTATCTGCGTATGGGCCGTCTCAAGGAGGAATAGAGCGCTCACGATGTAGCCTGGGACTTGGGAATAGTGTAGACACTCGCCGCCGTCGCAGCTGATGCTAATGTAGCCGTCGCCGAAGACATCATTGATGAGCTGATTCATCGCCGGCTCCTCAAATTTGCAGTCCGCGCCCGTCTGGCAACTAAACGAAGCTGGGCCCTTGATCTCCTCCGTTAGGAAGTCGTCGATATCTGTTTGTACACAAGGACTCAGTCTTTCATCTTACACAGAACTTAGCAGGCCACTCACTGATGCTTCCATCCTCGCCACAGATGAATCGACCAGGGACACAGCTACACTTCATATGTTCACACTGATAGACCGTCGTGTTACTATCGTAGCCGTTTTCGACTCTCGTGGTGCAGGCATCTAATGAGCAGTAGAAGGACTCGACCTGAGCCGTCCAGAACTGGAAGTCGCACGTCGAGTCGAGTTTGTTGCAGCTGAAGGTAACCTGTGGCGGGCGATCAGGGAGCATGTCCAGGATCTTCTGGTCTGCAGATGGATCATTGTTACTCCCAATACGATGACACCGTAAGAGAGGCGACGATGCTTACTGGTCACATCACAGAATTGGTGATTGCTAAAGACGGTTTCGCCACCCTTGTAACAAGTCATGTTCCCAGCAATATCGTCGTCGTCTTCCGTGTCGATCCCACCTGCTAGTGGGAAGCCGACACAAGCGTCGTTGGTCTTGCAGACTGTTGCAAATCGTTATATGCTGTTCATCATGATCTTGTGGAGAAATAGTGTACCATTGCAGTTGATACCTCCCCACCCGTTCTTACACTCGCATTGCTTCCCATCCTCCCGAAGATGACGTGCATCGCCGTCTGCCAAAGAATCACATTCTGAACGCAACAATGTCAATATTCATGCAAAGACAACTTCCGATTTTGATGGTGAGGGTTAGATTAGAGAAACCCGCTACATTGCACCTGATGCTATACGTGTGGCACCGAGCACCGTGTTGGGTAGTGCGTGCACTGGTTGATGCCGAAAGAATCGAGTTCGCAGAGATCTACGACTCTTGGTCACTTTGATTAACTGGACGCAACATGCAGCGACCCTGTATGCAAAGAGTGCTACGTTTCTCCATTGCTCTCCCCTGCACCGATACAGTCAAAGTGTCCGGTCTCCGCCGCGGAATCAGTCTCTCTGATTGCCCCGCAAGGACACCTCTGCTGATGGAGCGGGAGTAGTCGCAGCCTGAAAGCCATGGTCGAGTCGTAAAAGGAGTACATGACCTCCAAGGGATTTGTCCGGAGGCGACTCCGACACACGGCCTATGCTGATATGCACCGGAGTGACTATGGCATGAGAGAAAACACGCACGTGGTGTGAGACAATCAATTCCGCCCCATCCTGGAGGACACTTGCACTGTCCATCATATGGATCACAGTCTCCGTACTGGCCGCAAGTAAACGCAGGAAGCAAACAATTGAAACATGGTGGGCATTTGTCGAATGATCGTGAACTGTCTAAAGCCTGCGGGATTCAACATGGATGAGTTTTGTTGTCATAATATCAGGACATATAATCGTCTGTGCAATGGTCTCCTGGATCACGAAACGCTCCATAGCTCCGTACACGAACGTACGGACACCGCTGGTTCCATCATGTTCTATCGCACCATACGACTGCAGCCACCGAAATCTGTCCCGTTTGTCGCTCAGTTTTCCGAAGTCCATCGCACAGACAACAGATAAAGCAAAGATAACGCGTCAGTGCAATCAAATATGATGAACACCCACCGTCAATTGGTTCGAGAGACTATAGCTAGTAGTATTGCTAGACCGCGAAGACCGTGCTAGGGCTAACGGCAGCGTTGTAACTAGCAATGACCATAGGATCGTGGAGACCATAGCCGAAGACGATGACCTTGCGTCCTCGTCGAGCTAGACAATGGAGGTGGGCGGTAAAGGTGTAATGGACAGTGATGCTCCTCGGCACACGCAGTCCCCAGCCATTTACCCCTGTACCTGCCCAATTCGTCCAACACTCTCACGCTGTCTCTGTCGCGCGTGATGACGACACGTCCCCGTTCAACGCGCAGAAAGGTTGACGTTGAACGGTTGCCTCTCATCTTTCTCTCATCCATATCCCTTAGGACTAAGATCAATTTTTGGTCATTAACTCGAAACAAAGATACAGAGACGGGCTGTCAATACAGAGCTATGAGCTCTCTACTTGATGGTTTAATCCTCGCCACAGCTTCCGTCCACGTCTTTCTCGCCCCGTACACCAAAGTAGAAGAGTCATTCAACTTGCATGCTACCCATGATGTTCTCATGTATGGGGTGGGGCCCTCTGCACTACCAAATGTAAGCAGCTTCGCGAAAACTGTCTCTATAGGTAACTTATGTGGTAGTGCCATGGTGTGACGAAACTCTAGTATGACCACTTCGTCTTCAGCGGAGCAGTACCCCGGTCATTCATAGGCAGTGTACTCCTAGCATGGATATCCACTCCAGTACTCTATGCTGCAGACCACTTTAACCTGCTACACTCTAAGTTTGACCTCCAGCTCATCGGTATGTTACTACATGATCTCGACGTTGACCTTGGGCCACTTACACGCCAATACGCTTTTGTTTCAGTTCGTCTCGTCCTAACGACATTCAATGCCATCGTTATTTGCCTCATTCGACGAGCGGTCTCTCGTCGCTTTGGTCGTGGAACCTCCGCTATGTTTGCCATACTTTCATGCACCCAATTCCATCTCCCTTTTTGGATGGGTAGAACCCTACCGAACATGTTCGCACTCATTCCCGGTGCGTCCATCTCTCACCACATGCACAGGACCAAACTGATAATGGTGTTGTCAGCAAGTGAATGTCTCGTCCTACCTCCTCCTCAACTTGGAACCTAACGCCCTGCGGCCTTCTACCCTCAACGTCCGAAGAGCTATCTCACTCTTGACATTTACGGCCGTAGTCTTTAGATCCGAGGTCGCTCTCCTCTTAGCAGCGATCTGTCTTCAGTCTCTATTGACTGGCAGCATCACTTTCGGATCTCTCGTTAAAACAGGACTGGTGGCTGGTTTGAGCTCTATAGGTCTGTGACGTTTCGTTCTACATCCTCGGCTCGGCATCACGAATTTGACGGTCTACTGACTCCTTTCCCATGGGCCATTTCCAGGTTTGACTGTCTTGGTAGACTCTTACTTCTGGTCACAATGGCCGCTGTGGCCAGAGCTCTACGGCCTTTACTTCAACGTATATCAAGGCAAATCAGCTGAATGGGGTGTGCGTTCCTAGCTTTGTTATTCACCATCGCGCTCTTCATCTTACATAGTGCCACACATACAGGTCTCGCCACCACACACCTATTTCACCTCGCACCTCCCAAAACTCTTGCTTTCATCTCTACCTCTCGCATTCCTCTCGCTTGTCCTGCCTTCGTCGCCCCGAAATCGAACCTGGACAACGTTTCTTCCACACATACTCTTCGTTCTCGGGCTGTCTGCCTTGGGCCACAAGGAGTGGAGATTTGTCGTATACGTGGTCCCGATGTTCAACGTTGCTGCCGCTAGAAGCGCGCATTGGTTGTAAGTAGTAAACCTTCCCCGAGTGCTCCACTTGTTCACCATAGTGAACTTGTCTAATTGTATGTGCGCAGGACCACCCGCCGCGTCTCGACGATCTTCGGCCGCATCTGCCGCCTCATCTTCTTCGGACTCCTAGCGGGCAATATCGCCGCAACGTACATCCTTACGCGCTCAAGCATGGTCAACTATCCCGGTGGCGTCGCTCTCGCCACTTTCAACGACCAGTACGCCAACCAGACGAACGGTACGTTTCGAAACCCCCTACCATATTTTCCCCTGTCACTAACTTCTCAATGTTTCTTATAGTACATGTTCACATCTCCAACCTCGCCGCCCAAACGGGCGCCTCCCTCTTTCTCCAGACTCGCGCTCCTCCATACCCTACATTCTTCCCCAGCCTCCACCCAGCCTCCACATCCACGAGCTGGACCTACTCAAAAACCGAAAATCTCACACTCGGCTCGCTCACCGCCGACCGGCGCATCACGCACCTCATCGCGGAATCTCCTGAAGCTAAGGTAGCAAAGGGATGGAAAGTGACCGGTGCGTTGTATGGGTTCAAGGGGTGGAAGGTCGACAGGGCATTGGTGGGCGATTTAAAGAGCGGGAGAGTGTTGGAGCGTGGGGTGGGGAGTGTTTGGGAGAGGTTGGTGGGGGCGTTGAGTATGGAGGAAGAGGAGATGTTGTGGATTTTGGAGAGGGCAACGTGAGATTGTAAGGCCCAGAGCTGAGATGGGTCATAAGCGTTGGGCTAACTTACAAGTGACACACATGTGTCCCCGACACTGCTTTCGAATGGTAGGATTTCGTGTCACTAGGATCCGTGCATTGGGTTTAGTAAGTTTTGATTCCGAGAACAGTACCGTAGAAGTGCGATGAGCGGAGTAGAATCCATCGAGATACACAAAAAAGAACTATGCTATGTCGAGTATGTCATGCATGAGAAACCAGAAAGCGAAAACAGAATAAAGATACAGGAAATTACAGGCGAGATACGGAGCCTACATGCAGGAAACTAGAGAAGGATGAAAGCGAGAGCACGGAGGTATGGGCTCCTGTGCGGTGAGATACATGACATGCAGAGAAGAAAAAAACTAGAACAAGCTAAAAGCGGGAGCACGGAGAATATTGGATCCTGTGCGGTGAGATACATGGCACACAGACGGAAATGAAAGAGAGAGAGAGAGCGAGAGAGAGAGAGAAAGAAGAAAGAAAGAAAGAGATAGAGAAAAGGAAAAATAGAAATCCCAGTCGTGAAGAACAGAAACGGAAATGCTTGCACTCAAGCACGCTTCCTCGCAGCAGCAGCCCTCGGCGTCCCTCTCGTAGCAGGCGTCGGCGCCTTGGGCTTCGTAGCAGGCGTCGTTTCCTTGGGCTTCGCAGCAGCCTTAGGCTTAGCCCTGCTCTTCGCCGCTGGCGCCGTTTCCGGAGGTGAGACCTTCGCCCGCTTTGTTCTCCTGTTCCCACCCTTGCCCTCAGCAACGGGTGCAGGCTGCTCGTCGACTTGAACCTGCTCGTTCTCGTCATCTCGCGCCCTCTTCTTCCCCCGCCCGACCGCCCCCGTCGTGCTCGCAGTCCCCTTCTTGCCTCGACCCTTGCCCTTACCTTTCGGTTCGTCCACCTCCATCTCCTCTTCCTCCGACTCATACCCGGCATTGTTCGTTATAATGATGACCTCACGGCCATCTGCGAACTCCTCCAACGCCTTCAAATCATACTCGCCGAGCTTGGATCCCCATATCGTCTTGCCCTCCTCCTCCTCGTCTGATTCCTCTTCGTACTTTTTGGCCTTGGCTTTGGTGCTGACCTTCTTCGACGGCGGAGTAGGTAGTTTTGGAGCACGCGGTAGAAGATGGGCAAGGGCAGGATTGGCGGCGAGGTAGGATGCCTGGGGCTGAGTTTTGTGAGCACCACGGGCGGGGAGTTTTCGGATGGGACGAGAGGTGGCTGGGGATGAAGAAGAGGCCTCTGGGGTGGATGAAGAAGGGTCTGGGGTGGATGAAGGCGGGTCTGGGGTGGTTGAAGAAGAAGCCATGAAGGCAGTAAGGGTTGGTGAAGGTGAGGGGGCGGAGGCGCGTGCGATGTTGGTGACGGATGGTGTGCCGGAGGGGATAAGGGGTGGGGAGGGTCTGTCTACGAGAGTGATAGAGGATGACCGTGAAGTAGATGCGCGGTTCATGTCGAGGTCGGTCACTGGCGTGGTGTGTCTGGTGTCAGGGTCGCTGACACTCGAGGTGACCTCATGCTGAGGTGAGACGACGGGTGTCATCGCCGCGTTCGCATTGTCGTCTGAGGTAGTACTTGGGATGAGCGATACCAATAGATTGACCCTAAAGTGTAGAAAGTCAGTTTGGACATTTGTCGCGAAGCATGGGGAGAATAGTGTTGGACTCACTGCTGAGGCGGTACGACGGGTGTCACCGTCGTGTCAGCGGCTTTCGTATTGTCGTCTGGGGTAGTAATTGGGATGGAAGAGACCAGTAAATTAACCCTATAGTGGAGAGAGTCAGTTTGGGCATTTGTCGAAAGCATAAGGAGAGGGATGTTGGACTCACTGTTCTTGCAGATCCCGAATCTGTTCAGCGATAAAGGGATTTCTTGTGTCTAGGCTGGCTACAATATGAGACTTCAGTTCTGCAGCTATCTCTTGCGTCCTTTGAAGGACAGCAATGATAGTCGCGGTTTGGTGCTCGTAGCCCTCGTGGAGTGCGACCAGGCGGGCCTCGGGCATGGGTGTGGGTGTAGCGGAGATGTCGGTAATGGAAGACATCGTTGTGTCAGAGGATCTGGTATGTCAGTGAGTAGTGGGGGGTAAGAGACGAGGTTGTGTTGGTGTCTGCAGCCCAAGAAGCGCGCCCTTTATATACCCGTGGTTCCTTTGCTTTAACTTTGCCACCGCGAGCTTTGTCCTCGACCCGAGGCAATGGCGCCGACGGCACGGACAACAAAGAAACAAAACGACACAAAGAGCATCAACGGCTGATTTCGGCACAGCCCAGTTCTAGGTCATAGCAACGCAAACATTATGGCCCTTTCATGCCTAGATACGATCGACCACGAGGTCGTGGGTCGTGTCTCAGCGTTTTGGACAGAAAATATTACGACGGACGATTTATGATGCGCTTTCATTTGGCTGGAATTGGAGAACTACCGCTCCTAGATGGGCACGGGTGTGAGAAGAAGAAGTTCCATATTACTCCCAAGATAAACACGGCATTGGAGGAGCGATAGAGGAGGTTGCACCTCCATGCCGATCCCAGAGCCATCGCTTTGAACTCGCTTGCTAGCTGTGCACCGAGCTCAAAGCAAAGCTGATTCAGAGTTCTGCCAGCTTGAGCCACATGAGACAAACAAGGCCCATCCTGAGAAGATAGCCGAAGACTCCACGACAAGGAGTGCGGTGCTATGTTCAGTTACGAGCCTTTGCTAGCGGGAGTGAAACGGAACAAAAAGGAAACTCGGAACGGGTAGCGCTTGCAAATCTCCGCCCGGAAGGTTCCGCGACAGATATTCGCAATATTTTTCTATATATTTCTGCTCACAACCGCCATGTCCTCTCTACCATTTGCCCAGCTATGATCCTCTCCGCTCATTTATCTCGTCAGCCTATACTCCAAACACTATCCCGAGCTCAGCATGCACCCGATGTTGTTAACCGAGAATTTTGTCCTGCGTTGGTCCTGCGCGCAATGACAGCGTGCCACTTGTGGTGTACGCGTAGACCAGCAATATCGAGGATGCTCGTCGTCTCATCCTGGAACATTAGATCTCAACATAGTTGGACTGTATGGAGAGTTATCTCTTTACATTGTGTCCGCTATCGAATATCTCGGCAGTATCTCTGCCCTCCTTGACCCAGACGCTTGCGGCGATGTTGTTCTTGCGGACACCAAAGGCTCCTCCTACGCACTGCGCTTGGTCACGGTTCTGTTCTGTCGAATCTGGAGGACATATTTCAGACGCGCTCATCGCTGCCGGTGGAGACATAAACAATGCTCTCTTCAGAGACGACTTCCTAAACCGCTTTCTATGGGCTATTCGACACCGTAACGATCACATCGCCACTCATCTTCATGTATCAGGAGTGTTTCCGGCCGATCTAGTCTTAGGCTCACGAAATCGGCGAACGCTTCTCGGATGTCTACATACGAGCCTGACGCGAGCACTCTGGCTGTTGCGGAAATGACCTTGACTTGACGAGTGCAGGCGAGAGGTCATTGAAGAGTGCTCTCCAACGGACTAGACCTACAAGCGTTACCCGCGTCCGAGGTCGGAAATATTTTCGAGATGTCTTGTACGATGTTTGGCTTCCCCATAGTTGTATGGGAGGATAGGATTGCCAAGCCGGTGCGATGAAGAGGTCTTGATACATCCACAGTAACATCCATTATCTCTGGTTAGATCAACAACACCTAAATACATCATTCGTTCCTTCGATACATATACAGGATATAATCCGACTTCATCATACATCCTCGCGAGAACCCTCACCATGGTCATCGATAATATTCACCCACTCACACTCATCGTACACCACATCACGCTCCTCCGAAGTCTCAAAGGCTCTTCGGGCTCTTGTACAACACGTCCATCCTCACAAAGTTGTTGTATATCTCGCCTGGGCCGAGAATGGTGTCATATCCGCTCGGGTTTGTTGAAGGGTGGACGAACGAGGCAATCGGCTATATACCACGATTATGATAATCAGTTCTTTGTTCTCAATTTATGGACGAGGCGAAGACCCGGATACGTACCTCGTGGAACTCGAGGAACGCCGCTCCACCAGCGGGATAGCCCTCTCCAGGTCCCGCCTTTCCACTTCCACCGTGTATTTTCTTTCGCGCGCCATCGCCCGTCGAGAAGTTGTACGAGTAGAATTGCACTCCAGACTCTGTTGAACAGGTAAACAAACAACGACGCATGACAAGTTAGCTCAAGCTTGGCGAGGGGTAGAAAGAGGAAACCAGCGTACGGTTAGTGTCAAATGAAAGCTTCAATCCGCTCTTCTCTGACGCGAGCTCGACGACCGGTGAACCATGATGCTCTCCAAGAATAGTCTCGACGCCATTGTATTCAGGCGTGAGGTCTTTCTCGGCGATATGGTGTGGAGCGGTCTCACGAGGGGAGAATACGTAGAAGTGATCTACGAACACGATGTCGTCAGAGACTGAGCGGGCTTTAAAAAGGCAAATATAGACGTACCGTATCCGCCACCAAGCGACCCCTCACCACCAGCTTCTGGGAATTTGTCCCCGATGAGTTTGCCAGAATGCTCGTGGTAGGTTCCCGCTACGGGGTTCAGTTTTCCAGTAGAAAGACCGGTAGAGTCGATCTCGACGGTGTGGGATGCCTACACGCCACACACGATGACGATCGAAGAATCAGAAATGTACACCGCGAGAAAGAAGGAATGTTGCGTACCTTCATTGTCAATGAGTGCCCCTTGACGTTCAAAGCCTGCGGGTCGTCTTTGAGGGAAGCATCGAGGTTGAATCCCCAGTGCTAACCAGCTCACGACACATGAGCGCATTTCCCTAAAAACAGCCCAAAAGGAATCCTCACCTGCGTCAAGTTCACCGGCGTGACGATATTTCCCTTCCCCTCACCCACGACTTTCGCCCTATAAATAAACACCACACTTCCTAGACCCCACTCACCATCCCCACTCGACTTCTTCGGCCCCAACAACCCCACCACCACTTCGACCAACAGATCTCCGGGATACCCCTGATCCCCACCTTTCGACAGATACCTAAACAGCGCCGAAGATCCGGACGGGAACACCTTCTGGAACGTATCGATTTCCCGCTCGCTGAACAAAACTCCAGGAACGTCCTGCTCCTTTACTCCTCCGCTCGCGATCGCAGAACGCGAGGGCGCTATGGCGTCAAGGGGGAGTGGTTCCCAATCGACTTGGTCGAAGCCGGAGGGACCGCCGTGAAGAGACACACCCGGTGTGGCGTCAGAGTTGGGAATAGGGGCGATAGAGGCGGTAAGGCCAGACGTGGTGTGGGTGAGGGTTCGGGGGCCTGCAGGCACTCGGTTCGTGTAGCGACCGATGATGGTATTGGTATACTTTTGAGTTATATGACCTTTGGGATCTTCGGGCCCTACGACGAGGTCGTGTGTCTAGTGATTGAGTTAGGTGGGTGGCGCTAAGCGTCGTATAAAGGGATCGGACATACACGGCCATCAGTCTGGACGAAGAGACGGTGAAGAGTTAGGCCTCGAGGAAGAATCTGTGTGGCAATAGTGTGTTTCTTTTAGCATCTGCAGGGCAGTTGAGTGGCTGATTGAACGCACCTCAATGGCCAGCGATGGCGTCAGTGACGGCAACGCCAACATAAGTGGGGTAAAGCCAGCGTCCGTCATCTTCAAAAATCTTCGAGTAGATCCAAACAAACGACGAAACGATAATCAAGATGATAGTGAAGGCCTCAAGTTGTTCAACCTCTCGAAAAGGTATTCAGGAGGAGCTACAGGAGACAGAGAGACTGATCGATCAGAATCAGATTCGACGTGTGGGCAGGTTGGGGTCCTTATGTACCTGCCTAATTTCGTTATCGTTGGATCCGGGCGACTGAGGTCGACGTCAACGAGACGATGACTGTAGCGACGACTGGCCTAGGTCGGAGGAGAACGGCGCGGCCGGAGAAACAGGGGAGAATTTGGTGCGGGGAAGCGGGACGGGGGCGCTGGCATGCGGAGGTTCGGAATCCGGAGCTGAGGGGAAAGCGATCATGGGAAGACACCCCAAGTCCGAAGACCTAACCTTGAATTAGGTGTTTCCCGTGAGCCCAAGTGAAAGTGGTCGCACTGGCTCGTTGAATTGCATCCGTCGATGACGCTTTCGCAACCAGGGATATAATGTGCAGAGAATATGACGTCGACCTCAAGGCCTTTGGATGATGTCCTCTAGACAAAAGAGTTAGGAGAGTTGGACCGGTATCACACGTCCTCCCGGGATAAATGTGAGTGCGCGGTTGAGCTCACCGCGGCATAAGAATTGCGTGACAATGCCTCATACGGTCTATGGAAGTAAAAACATGAGGTAGAGGAGAGAGATAGGGTTAGTTAAAAATGCGCACCTTGCACGGCTCAGGACGAATACAAACGGTCCTCCAATCTTGCTGGAGTTCGGCGAAAGCTAAGAGCATACAAGGTGTACTCAAACCAACAGCTATAGATACTCTCGGTAGGTACTTACCCACAAAAGTACTTTTTCAAAGGGAGCAAGCACTGCAGATGGCCTTGAAGCACGTACGTCCTTTGGTGCCTCGACCAACCACATTGCACAGTGGAAACGTTTCTGTTGTCAAAAAAATATTCCCCGTGCCCAACTAGTATGACTGTGGTCATGTCAATTTAAGTATGAATGAAGAAATTAGAACACTGTGCACAGCTGAAGTTGCAAAGAGTTGAGGGTCGAGGAGTACAACGAGCGCCTATCGTGGCTCTTTGCCACAGGCGCGTTTCCTTGGCGCGTTCAATGGGCGCCTACTTGATAGCCCTCGCGTCGGCGTCCGTGCTTGCCTTTTCCAGTCCTCTTTCCACTCGTGCATGTTCATTTCCTGCTTCCGTGTACAACGCCATCTGATTATTGACCGTCGTCTTCTTACGGCTCGATATCTCCCTAGATATCATACAACATCGCTAGAGCTCGAAATTGACAGAGTAGGTATGCCGAAGTCGTCGAAAGTGTACTATTACGCCGTCAAGAAAGGACGGATACCCGGTGTTTACCTGACATGGTATGCACACGGCACGGCGATCTACCGATAGGACGATAGACTGATACAGGACTGTTTCTACAGGGATGAATGCGATGCCCAGGTCAAAGGCTTCTCCCAACCTGTCTTCAAGAAATTCGCAGATCTCGCGGAAGCAGAAGAATGGGCTAACGCGAAACTCATCCAATCGTCGCCAACATTCCATGCTCCCACGGCGCCAACATCACCGTCAAAGCCCAAATCTTCATCCTTTGCATCTAAATCCTCACCCATCAAACCAATATTGAAGGCCTCTGCCGCAGCATCTTCGAGCAAGCCAAACTCGACATCAGTCAATTATGTGGCGCCATCCTCAAACCTATTCGACGATGAATGGGAAGAGGTCTATACGGACGGTGCTTGTCGTAACAATCAGGGCAAGGCATTGAAGAAGGGTCCGCCACCGAAGGCTGGTCTGGGTGTCTGGTGGGGTCCCAATGATCCTCGGTACGTTCGACGCTCTAAGTACTCCTCTACAAGTGTAACACATGGCTTTCTCCGGAATGGGGTACCTTGTGCTTGCTGCGCCAGCTGCCTACATCCTGTGTCCCAGTACTGATATTAACGCATTTACTTGCAGAAATGTCTGTGAACGATGTCCAGGAGAACAGACAAACAACAGAGCGGAACTGATCGTACGTACCGCATTATAGCATCTTGCTGAAGGTCATTCAAAATCAAAGCAACCTCCATAAAGGCAATTATCCGTGTCCTTGAAATGACGCCCCAATCCCAGAAACGCATTCGAATCAAGACCGATTCCAAATATTGCATCAACTGTGCGTCGCCACCTTCCCTCACACCATACCGCATAATATCCTGGTTCTCCCAATTGACAAGCTTCTTCACTTCCTCGCTCATCGCGTATCACTTATTACTCTCCACAGGCATCTACGACTGGCTCCCCAAATGGCAATCGAACTCCTTCCTTACCGCAAACGGCAAACCCGTCTCAAACGTCCCCTTGATCAAATACCTCGCCGCCCTTCTCGACCTCCGCTGCATCAACAACCAAAAGATCCGGATTGTGTATGTCAAGGGACATTCTGACTCTGCCGGTCCTGACTCTGTCGGGAACAACGCGGCGGATACGTTGGCGGTCCGGGGATGCGACTTAGCGGAGGAGATTGAGGATGATTGGGACGCGTTGAGGGCGCTGGTTGAGGAGGAGACGAACATGATCAGGGAGTTGAGAGTTAATGGTTTGACTGATGCTATGGGCTCAAATGCAGGTATAGCCGCACAAGCAGGGAAACCTGGGCGGCAGACGACAGTGGAGGTTGAGGAAGAGAATGTGGTTAAGGAGATTACGATCAGCAAAGAGGAATTTGACCCGAGGGTGAGTAACCTCTCACACTCTGACGTTGGTGAGAATGTATTGAATGACACTCCTTTGATCACTCTAGGACCTGGATGGTTTCGAGCTTCTCAGCGACGATGAGATGGAGGAGATGGCACAGAACCAGTCGTTCTGAGGAAATATAGGAGAAGTCCTGCTTTTGCATATTGTACTACTAACTTTCACAATGATACACCTTGTTACGTTCAACACGACGGCTTTCAAAACTTCCGTCTATGAACACAATACCGATCCAGACCAAAGCCGGAAATGGGAAACAAAATACAAGCACAATAAGAAAGATGCCCCCAAAAATATCTGAAGGCCCAAGTATCCGGAAAGTCGCGACAGATCACTGGCCCCACGCCCCTGTCCCCTTGCGAATATCAACTTCCCAAAGGTCATCGTTTTCGACGATTTCTTCCAACGGCGCGCAAGGCTCCTTCTTATGCCGTTTCCAATCGGCGGTCTGGCATTCTCGCTGAGCATCAACGAGTGGTATATCATCACGGTCATTTTGACAGGTAAGCTCTTGTTGAACAAAGAGGACGAAAGCAGCAATGGACCTACCGAGCAATAGAATGCCCACTTGCATTTCCCGCAACGATGCAATGTCTTGCCTTCATCATCCTTCAACCAAGCCAAGTTACACGCCGGATTGAAGCAGAACCTCTTCGTCTCCGGATCGTAGAGCGGGTTCGGCACAAGCGTCTCGTCGTCTTCGTCATCGTCTTCTTCCGGTCCCAGATATGCTAACGCTCCTTCGGTAATCTCTCCCTCTTCCTCTTCGTCGTCGTCATCCGGAAACAAGTCGGAAGGAGCATTATTACCAGACCAATTACGTTTGGCACGAAGATATTGCATGCGTTGTTTCAGCGTCGGTTTGGTCATGGTTTTGCGGCGACGGTTAAGAACGCGCCTGCGAAGGCGGTCTGCTTCTTCTTTATTGTGCGCGAAAGGACATGACGCGTCGAGGCAGCCGGACTCCTTGTTGAAGAACTAGTGAAGTTGAATATCGTCAGTCTTGAAGCTGGTCTTGATCCCCCCTCGTCGCTCCTACTTGAAATGAAATCGATAGAGACTACTTACCGCGCAGGGAATCGAGTCCTTCCGATACCCATTCTTCTTCAGCCTCGCAAATAACGCGTCCCACTGCCTATTCCCCGTAGTCCCCGCGATACTAGCATAATTCAAAATGCAATTCCAAAACCCTCTCTCATCCGAGCCGATCGTGTAAAGTATCCCTCCCTGGACATGCTTCCAATCTCGCTTGAACAAATCCTGATACACCTTGATATCACCAGGATGGACGGTTCCATCGGGGCGTGGATGAAGCTTGATACCTTCGACGTCTTTAAGACGATGTGCGGTGTAGAGTGCGAATGAGAGCCCTTGACGGGGGAAAAGAGCGGCAGGGGAATTGACGATGATGCCGTCTAGCATGTGATATTTCGATTGGATGGCAGCGCAGAGATAATGATAGTAGGTTTCGTTATATTCGGCCTGTTTTTGGCCTTGTTTGTAGGCAGGAGAACCAGCTGTTGGACTCTGGCTCGATGCGTACATGGTGGTATGTGATATGCGCTGAAGGCGGAGACGATTTGCAGCAGTATAAGTACTAGTACCTTCGACGAGATTGAAGACCGAGACAGAAATGATGTGGCCGGTTTTGGGCCACTTGTGGAAGGAGTGCCACAGTACCCCTGACGGAGTTTGCCGGGGAGGACTTCGCCGTGTCTGGCAAGCGTCTGGAACCTTTTATTCTTCACTTCTTTGTTCTTGTCTCCTCCCGCCATATACCTATTCGCCCACGAAACTTGCATTAGCCCATCTACGCTTAGACGACATCATGTATGCTCGTAAACTGTACCCAACAGCGAATAATCCAGAAGAGTATGAAAAAGGCAAACACCAGGCCGAAATTCAAGAAGACAGGTACCACAAACTGCGCGCCGCCATCGAGAAAAAATATCGCATCCTTGACAACATCGTCTCCGACAACGGTTTTCCTTTCCCCCGCCAAGGTATCTCCTTCGAGCCTTACACTGTCGTCAAGCTAGAGACCATCAAAGGGTTCAAGCTGCATCCGTTTGCCGACGGGACGGTCCATCCTGACGACCTCGAGATCTATCACGATATGTTCAAGACAGACTGGAACCATGCACAGAGTGGAATTCTCTATAATATTGGAGAAGCGAGGGAGTTTTGGAACTGCATCTTGAATTACCATAGCCCAGCGGGGACTACGGGGAACGAGGAGTGGGATGCTTTATTCGAGAAGTTGAAAGGGAATGGTTTCAGGAAGGATTGTCTCCCTTGTATGGTGCGTGGCGTCACAAAACCGAAACACCACTCATTACGACTTACATTCTCTATGCAGTTCTTCAACAGGTTTTCGGGCTGTCTCGACCCTACGTGTCCCTATATTCACGATGCTGCCGAGGCCCATCGCATCCGCGCCAAGATCCTCGATGTGCGACGCCAAAAAATGTTGAAGCCGACATCTAGACAATGCATGAACTACCTACGTGCAAAAGACCGATGGCACGGTGCCCGTCCCCCTCCTCCAGTCCCTTTTGCTACGGAGCCACAAATCGACAGATCGGGTTTCAATGAAGAGCTCGCACACTTCCACACGTTCGATGCCCTTTGTGTGAACCCGAACTGCAAGATGGAATGGCTAAAGGGAACTGGAACACCCGTTCCTCCGCCGCTCAATCGTTGTAGTAGATGTAAATGGGCATTCTACTGTTCTGTATGTTTCCTTATATTTTCATCAGCCCTTTAAAGATGAGACTAACGAGAGCTTTGATCCATACAGCCTGCTTGCCAAAGTGCGGACTGGAAGCGACATAAGAAAGAGCCATGCGCTCCGCTGGAAGAAATGGTTGCCAATGACGAGCTGTGGCACGGCGACATTCGTAAAGGTACGGAGATGGTCGACGTTACGTATGGTACGTGTCCCTTGTGTCTTCCTTCGTCGAATATTTGGATCTGACTGCTCTCCCTATCGATAGGCTAGAGTAGCACCTCGATCAACTGGCATGTCTATTGTGACGCTGATAGGATAGAAATCGAAATAATCACTGCACATTCCCATCAACTAAATCATACTCTCGAACATTAAGTCTCGCTCCCCTCTAATCCAAGAAACCGAAACATGTCATCATCTCCGACTTGTATCGGGCGCTCAGCTGCAGAGCTCAGTGAAGCGCTCCCTGCCCACCAAAATGCCGCCACAGCGCCTTCAGTACTAGCAGCTCTTTCATCAGTTGAAAATAGCAGAGCCTGAGCTACTTAGCAACTTATGAATAGGTTAGACCTGCTGAGGCCTGAGAGCTAATACTTAAACCATCGGCGCAAGTTGGGCGCACTGAGTGGCCACGGCCTGCTTCGGCATACTATACTTATAGCCCATTCTCATCACATTTTTAACGCTTCGGATCAGCCTTCCGTAGAAGCGGGGGGTTTGGTACCTTGGAGTAACACGTCGGTAACATTTCTGAAGAAACCGAAACCAACGGAAGGTCCACGCCACTGTGGCACCCCCATGAAAAGTAAAGAGCGAACCGGGAACTCGGCGTCAAGATCGCAGAGGCCGCGCAACCCGGAACCAGTCAGTGGTGGGGAGGATTTGACACAGGGCCAGGCACCCTATTCGTGCTTGACGTGCACAAGTTTAGAAAAAGACCTCTCACATTCAGAATATGTGACCATCGTCGAAAGGCCACGTCCTACCGGCCAGAGCACAGCAAACACGGAACCTTCGGAGCTCGAGGTCAACATCGATGTTCACTCCACAAACCATCCCCGTCTAACTGCAGGGCCCTTCTGCCTCCTTCCGGGATGTAAAATTGAGGCATATGTACAGCACCAACCTCTGTTTACCCATGCATCGAACGCACAGCTCTAAAATACCACATCACATGCGCGAGTCAAAAAACATTGACGAATAACGAACTCAATCCCACAATCAAGACAGTCTAAAGCCGACCAGGTGCAAAAATTCTATATGTAAATATGTAAAGTCCTGGAGCCCGGGCGACGCGAGACATTCACGACTATGTACGTATGTAGAAACAGCTAGGCCAACGAGACGAAGGACAGGGCAAGATGAAAGGAAAGGAAAAGACAGACCGAAGATAGAGGACAGGCACAGAGAACGGGGTAAATCGATAGAAGAAGAAGATGCTATGAGTACAACGAAGGGGAACATGGAAAGGAACTGGCTATGGAAGGGAGGGAGAAGATGATGGGCTTCCTGGGGGGTGACGGCGAAAGGTGCATGCATGATGTCGATAATGATGGTAGGTGAGATGAGATGCGGAGGGATGACGCTAAGTAGATCGTTCGATGGAGATTTGATTGGAGAATCGAGCCTGAGAGTGTATGAGGGATGATAGGTCGGTGGCGACGGCGACGGCGCCAAAGAAGAGGCAGATGAGGGAGGAAGCGCGGATAAGTGAGAACAAGAAACGAGAAGAAGATGGTAAAGGAAGAGAAGGGGGTATGCACGGAGAGATGAATGAGAGGTGATGATGACAGTGCAAGTAAGAAAGGAAAAACAAGTGACATAATGACAGTGGTTGGATGGACATTCGAAATATATATATGCATCCTGTCCTGTCCTGTATACCTTCGGAAAGCTAAGGCGAAGGGATGAAAAGAGGAAGGTAAATCTGAGAAAAGAAATTCTATGGTAAGCTCGAGCTTTATATGGAATGACCGATCCGTTCCGCTGACAAAAACGCAAAAAGTAAAGCGGATACAGACAGGCAGACGGCGAAAAAGACAAGATGACAAGTCCCAACGATTTAGGAAAGTTACATACATACCAATCCACACACTATTTTTTCTTCGCGTCCAAATTCAAGCGTACTCCCCACTCCCCTCCCCGTCCTCCTCATCGCTCTCCTCAGAAGGCAAATCCGCCTCCGTAACGCTCCACGAAGGCCTCCTCCTCCGAACTTCTAACGGAACAACATCCTCTTCCTCATCGTCATCATCATCCTCTGCATCGCTATCACCACTCACGCTCCCATCGCTCTCATACATCCTGCTGCCCACACTCCTTGGCGGTCCCGCCTCCGAATCCCTATCAAAGAAACTCGAGTCGTCGTCATCATCATCCAGACCTCCTCCAAGTTCCTCCGAGCTGTACGAGAGCTGAACGAGCGGGCTCGGCGCATGAGGCCTCGACGACACCGGTCGGGAGTACATTCCAGGTTCACTCGTAGCCGGGTCCGCCTCCGTCGCTGGATCCCTCCCCATCACCGAATGCAGCAACTCGTGTGGAACAGCCTTGAGTGTCGAAGGCGTCGACGTCGACGGTGAAGTCACAGGAGACGACGATGATGAGCCTACACCATCCGGTCCACATGCCGCGCTCAACGCACTCAGGTGTGGCACTGGCGGTACAGCGATCAATATCGACCCATTCGGCGTAGGCGGCAAGGGTCCGTTCGCCACGCCGCCCGCACCGAAGAGCATAACGTCCTCATCAATTCCCTCGTCCAGCCTCTCCCCGGAATGTATACTCTGCACCTCCTCCATCGCATGTCCATGCCCTCCACCATACCGACGCGCATACCCATACCCATAATCGCCCACATCTCCCCAACTCGACGCGCGCATCGGGTTCGAAAGTCCGGAGAACTGGTGATTGTAGGTGTGGTCGTGTCCAGGGCGGAAACGACTCATCGGCGACGAAGGCGAGACTTCTTCGGACGAGCGAGTGGTCGGGCCTTCGTAAGGACTCGTCATCCCCGACGACGTCTGTCCCAACGAATTCTGCCTGCTCGGGTTCTTCGACGTCGATGCGGAAGGGAGCGTACTAGCTGTGGTAGCGGTGTTGGCGGCACTAGTCACCGTCGATGTGGACGCTTCATGCGGGCCAGGGCCGTACGAGATCGCACGGGAACATAGGCTGACCACGCTGTTCTTCATGGACTTCATGGACTGCATCGACCATCGATTCTTGGGCTGTCTTCTATCGCTGTTCTCGTCGCCGCCGTTGGAGGATGTCGGGCTGAAAGAGCGCTGGTGGACTTGTTGTTGTGAGCCCTGGGCTTGGGCGTTGGCATAAGGAAAGGGAAGGAGTCCGGAAGATCCTCGACGTGGCTTCTGTGTCGTACCGATAGGATAGTGGATTCCTACTGGGCTGCTGGGAGACCCGGGCGAACGGCTTCTATCCATCGACTTCGAACGAGAAGAGGGAACTTCGATAGGCGCTGGAAGGCGTTGCGGGATCGGTGATTGCGAATGCATGTTGTGCATCGAGCGGCGTGACGACGGGGATCCTCCGTGGTGATACGAATGATGATGATGAGGGATTGGTGGTGGAGTAGAAACACGAGTGGGTGCAGCAGCGCTTGGTTTCTTCCCGTTCTTGTGTCGGCTAGACTGATGATCGTGGTGCGTCTCATGATGATGTTGGTTCGAGACGGCGGTCGTGCTCTTGTTATACCGCGCCATGGTGACAGTCGGGGCAGAGTGCGTACCAACCTTATCTAACGGGTCACGGACGTCGAACGAGTTTGCAGAACGTTGGGGACGCACAGCACGGAGGGCGTTCTTGAACTTTTGGGTGATGCCTTGCACCCAGCGGAAGCGAATGGGCGAGAGAGCGGTGGTGATCGCCTCGTCGTCAAGTGCGGTGCTGATCTTGCTCTTTTCCTGCGTCGTTTCGGAGACCCATTGCGAGGGATTAGGGATGTCGCCGAGGAACCAAGCGTGGTGCTAAGGCATGGGACGGAGAACATAAAACAGGACATGAATGGGTATAACGGTTATGGGATGCGATAGATAGTTGAAAATAGATGAACGACTCTCACCTTGACTTCGTCGAGCGTTATCCGCTTCGACGCGTTCTTCTCCAGCAATCTCTCCAAGAACGACACCACGACACCACCCTCCGACAATTTCCCGTTCGGCCCTGGCGTGGGATGACGACCACCCGTAGGAATCCGATCGAGGCCCATTGTCTCTGGAACGGTCCAGTCCTCCGTGGCGATGACCTGGTAGAGTGCCCACTCCGAGTCTGCACGGAACGGAATCTCACCGAAGAGCAGATAGTAAAGCGTGACTCCCAACGCCCAAACATCTATGGCTTTCGTGATGGGAGGCCTCCTCGACCGTGTCTGCGTCTGCGGTGGGAGGTGAACAGTCGACGCCGAGCTCCTTCCATTACTCACATGCACGACGCTCCCACTCGAGAAGTGTGCGAGCAATCCATGGCCATGTCCGTTCGGTGACGAACTCGTCCCAGCGACCTGCGACGGTGACGGCGAGAGATGCGCTCCCGATGACGGCGTCGTCGACTCGCTCACGCTGCTCCCGTTCCACACGACCTCGGGCGCGAGAAACGAAGGCGTGCCAGCCGTCTTGGCGAGCTCCGAGTCGTCGAAGAGATGATCCGTGGAGTCGCGGTGTGCGTTCTCCTCTCCCGATTCGGCTAGCCGTTGCGCCCAGGAGCTGTGTGCCACACCGAAATCGGTGATCTTCACGGTTCGACGGTCAGAGGTCCACATGAGATTGGCGGGCTTAATGTCGCGGTGGATGATGCCCTGGTGGTGTACTGCAAGTGCACGGGATTCATACGGTCAGAAGGACGAGCGAGAAGAAAGACAAAAGGAGTTGAACGGACGATATTCGAGACCGAGGACGACGTCTCGGATGATTCGGCGGGATTGGTCTACGCGTAGGAGTGGGTTCCCGTCCTTGTCTCGCCACTTGATCTCTCCACCTCCCAGAAACTCCATAACTGCGCAGAGCGAGAATACAACGTCATCAGCGTCCGTTGAGGAAGAACAAAGAGAAGAGAAGCGGTGGATATGTGGTTTACGTGAAGTGGACTGCGAGCGAAGCGAGAGGGTGGAAAAGGGGAAGGGAAAGGAAGAGACGCACTCATGTATATCTTTTTGTATATTTTATCATCTATGACTTCGAGCAGGCGTACAATATGTGGATGGCGGCAGCGCTTCATGATAGCGATCTCTTGGAGAATCTTCTGGTAGGTGCTGCCCATGTTGTCCGTGAGTGGAAGATGATTGCCCGAGGGCGGTATGTTTCTTCGTCTGAGTTTGTTCAGCTTCTCCTGCCGCGGGTTCTTTCGCGACACGACCTTCATAGCCTGATATGTCGATAACCCACCGACCGACACACACATACGCAGAAAAAAAAGGCAGGAAATACGCTGAGAATGCGGAGATGCTTACGCGAGAGCATGCGAGACTCACCTTGACGGCGTGGCTCTGCGATATATCCCAGCATTTATAGACCTCTCCATGTTGTCCCTTGCCCACAAGATCTCCACGAATATACTGGTTAATAACGGGCTTATTTGATTCCTTCTTGACCTCCGCCTGAGTCGTGATCCGCACGTCGTCTTCTGGGTCGACAGGAACATGGGTGCTGTTCAGCTCCAGGACTTCAACTTCGTCGGTCATGATTGTGGATGCATAAGGGTACGCTGTGCACGGCAATAGATAGGTCTGGACGACGTCGGGGACGGCGAGGGCGAGGGCGACGGGGAGGGGAGGGGAAGGGAGAGGGGAAGAGCGAAGGTCGGGAGAAGAGAGCGTTGGTGGCAAAAGGGGTAACGATAACCCCGTTCTACAAATTTCTTATGTAATTGCCAAGATCTCGATTTCATCTCGGTTTATTCACCCTCGTCCGCCGTGCGTCACCCAACCCTCATCTTCGTGAAAGTAAATATATGTCCTTCGTCCGTATTTCTTCGTACAACATTGAATGCTTCCAATTCTGCTTTGACCGCTGCTATGTACCCCTGCGTGTTCCGCCAAATCAACGCATCACCGCCGCTTGAACTTCGCTTCCCATCTGTCCATCATCACTCGTTCAACTCTAGCTCAGTCTCGGGAGCACTTGCACTTATCCTCCTCCGCAACGTCCTTCATCACCTGCATGAGAAAAAATCAAAATCACCACAGTCAGCAAGCGACCGCACAGCACCACGCGAACAATTTTCAATCAAAGAAAAATAGACCACACCGTCGTCGCATTCCGACCGCGCTGTTCCAGGCATTTCCAGCCCATCAGGCATCATGCATCACAGCGCAGGCCCTCGTATGTACGTATTCCATCGAGCATCAACGGCGCCGGAGAAGAAGCAGAAGAAGAAGGAACATGATCCACCCACTCAGGGTCTCTTGCTCCCCCTTCGCTTTCTTCTCCCCCTCGATCCTGGCCCTCGATTCAGGCAACCGTCTGTATCTGGCAGGTCTGCAACGACACCTGGCCAAGACAACCCCCAACCGGAAGTTTCTTAGCAGACCATTCCACCCCATGCAATCCCCAGAAATAAGCCATATCGACGGCTCCACATTTCCAGTCACAAATATCAGAGCAAAAAAAACGACAACGCCTGTCTCCTCGGCACGCAGCCGCGTTCTGAAGTACTTGCTATAAGCAGTGCGGTTACAGGCTGCTGCGACTTCTGATGGACGCTCCTGTCTGACAATCTTCTACACGGAAAAGAGCCCGTCCGCCTGTATCCAACACGACCGAAGACAGTCAAAGAGAGGTCGAGTAGATCCCGCACAGCGGCCGGCGGGATTACGCAGTTAGGGCTTCAATAGAGCCCGATCCGTAGGATTCGTATGGCCCTATATGTATAAGCCTGTACTGTTATAATTGCCCCGATTCCCGATTGCGCATTGCCCGGTGGGCATATGGACCGGGTGGGAATCTGTGGGAATCCGGAGTGGGTGCGATAAGTATCGGAAGAGTCTCTTCTCAGATGGGGGTGGAGGCGGGGATGGGGATTCATTTCGGGAGTTTTTTTTTCAGGAGGATAAGATGGGTGAGAGTACTACTGCAGATCACGGTGCGAAAGAATCGCATGGGGAATAAATTGGGCAGGAGAATAACGAGGATACGGAAACATGGAAGATGTCCATGAGACTCAGAGCGGATAGGACCAAGACGAGTCTGGAGGAAACAACGATGAAGAAAAGAGTAAAGAATGGTGAAAAACGTACGGATTCAACATGTTGACCACATCCCTACAAACGAAAAATGGAGGACTCAGTCAGTATAATGCCATAACCCATTACAACAAGAAAACAAAACAAAATATAAACGAAAGGAGGTCCTATGCGCCAAGATCATCAATGACGGGGCAGTGTGTGGTCTGGTCCAGAGCGCCACTAGACTCATCGCCAACAAACAAGGTTGCTCCGTCCATACATCATGCAGCACACATATGCCACACAAGTCATAGCGTGGACCGCCATACCCCACTCAGCTCCTGTATCTAGATCGCATTCCATTCACATCAATGTGATTTCGCTTAACTTTAGCTCAAAGCCGCACGGTGACGAGCTGACATGGCCGTGACATGGGAAGAGGAGAGGGAAAGGGGAAAGTGGGAAAGAAAAGCGAGGCGACCACAGCACAGACGCTACCGCGAAAAGATAAGCCTAGGTCGAGAACGCAGGGATGCGGTTCGTCATTGGCGCTTGCTACTCGCTATCCGCATAATAATCGGTCTCGCATGAAGAGCCGCCCGAATCATGGGCCGAGAAACCCCTCTCGCAAAGATCCAAAACACAGAAGAAATAATGGAGAGATCGAGAACGACAGGAATACACACCTTCCAAGTCGTCTTCCCACATGAGTCACACTTGACTGCATAGCAAGCGTTCGAGGGCGTGATAAAAGCAGCGACGGCCATTTCGGACTTGCTTCAGAGTTCAGAGTTCAAAATTGTGCGTATAAATCTAGAGCAGGCTTCCTAACCACACCACCCAAAAAAAGAAAACGTAGATCAGCATCATCCAGCATCAATGAGGCAAGTTCGAGATGCACGTAAACTCGGACGCGTGATGTTATGGTATTGCAGGTATAACTGAAACGGATGAGATATCGAATCTCATGCCCTCGGAGACTCGGGTATGACATGGGCAGAGGACATCCCATACGATACGTATGATAGACGCTTCCGCTGCATGGTCTCGGATATGGGCGTTATGAATTCGAACGCACCGTAAGACAACTTCGATTTCGATGAGTTTCTGTTCTGCATGGTTCCCGGTCGCCCGTGGAGGTAAAGGTAGAGGTAAACGGACCAATATCATTCGACGACGGTCGTCACGAATCCGAGGTGCATGTGCAGCGGTCGTGGAGGAGGATAGTGCGGTCCCAATCGCATAGCTTCAATTAGCATGCCTCGTCTCAAGGTTCAAGATCTCGATGGATGTATAAATCGCTAGAAGAGAAAGGCCAGCACTCACACGTACTTATAGTCCGTAGAGCGGCTCGGTGTAACTTCGATGGAGTTCACAAAGCGGTCGAGCACTAGATGCAGAAGAACAAACAGGAGTTGAGTGGGTTGCACATATACGTCTACGGTGGCGGGTGTAGCCGGGCGGTGTCAGAAATAGTTCTGTGGCGGAGTGGCGATCGCAATTGTGAGTTCAAGATGAGTGGAAGATGGGCGAAAGATGGCTGGTTGTTGTGTAATCAGAAAAATGCAAAAAACTAGCGTTCGCTATTGCTCATTCATGTGTTTGTGCTTGGACAACGAGTCACCTCTAGACTTTCCTTGCGGGTCCTTGCCAGAGAAAAATAAAAATGGACATATCCGGAATTGAACCGGACACCTCTCGCATGCTAAGCGAGCGTGATAAACCAACTACACCATATGCCCTTACGGCTTTGAACATGTAAAGAAATTCAGAGAAAGGATTTTGCCAAAGTGGATGAACCCCACGATTGGCCACTGTGAGCCGCCTTCCGGGAGCCTCTCATGGGGTCGGTGATGTCATGTTCACGATCGTTTTGACGCTCGTCGACCACTTGCAAGAGAGTTGCAATGAACTTGCAGGTTGCGGCTCGACATCGTCTCTCTTGACAAACTCTCTCTGGTCGACGTCGACAGGACTGTTGACTCTGAGTCGGTCTAGCTTACCCCATCACACTCTGCGGAACTATACGGGAGCAGCAGTCTCAACATCATACAACGATGGCCGACAGCGGGCCCGACTCAAAAACCCATCTCGAATGGACGAACGTAGGCTTGGGACTATCATTCATTGCCTTTGATGCCATACTTTCTCATGGCCTCGGCTTGGGGGTAGGTCGTTCGCTAGTGATTGCATCTATCCGGTGTATCATCCAGCTGGCGGTCGTGGCTATGATCCTGGAGAAAGTCTTCTCAACGAATAACTTCTGGGCAGTGGCTGGTATTGCTGGTACGTTTATCATCCTCTGTATCTAGAGCTATACTTTAAAATATAAGTGCACTGTATGCGTGGATGAGCTGTCTCACCGCGCTGGGGCGGGTAATGTCCAGTGAGTATGCATGCATATTTTAACCCTCCATTTCGTTTCTTGTTATTCCATCAATTCAGTACTCTTGAATTTTATGGGTACACTCGAAATTGGTATGTAGCTCATTATTTGACCATTTTAAATCGTTCTTCTGATTCCGTGGTTTAGCTGTGGTCAAGTGCAAGCGGCGATTCCACAACATGGTCCGTTATTCTTGCATCTATGTAGATGTGCAACAGCGATGCTAATTTTGAGTGGCGAATCAGTTTATATATGTCTTCATCGGTCTACTACTCTCAACTATTCCTATATCTATCATTGGAGCCCATTTCGCTATGGGCGTCCGTCCATTTTGGCGTCCCGAGCAATACAGTGAGCTACCTGCCCTCTCCTGCTCTGAAAACCCTCTATCCACACAACCACGATGAAAACCCATTTCTCACTACCCATGCGTTCTCCACTCGAAAATTAGTTCCTATCATTGGCATGCTCTGCGGCGCAACACTTTCCGGCATCTCCGTCTCCGTCACCTACGTCTTGAAAGAGCTCGAGTACGTACCCTTGTTCTTTCCTTCAGACCCGTGCGATTTGGGCCGAATTGACGATGAACGAGGATAGTGAGAATCGAGACAAGACAGAGACGTATCTTGCGTTTGGTGCGTCAAGGCTCGAGGCTATGATGCCCATCGCTAAGGAAGCCCTTCGACTCGCACTCACCCCCACAATCAACCAGATGAGGTAGTTATTCTCGTTCGTTACCACTGCTTCCCTCACTCGCTCATCGACAATTCACTTTTCATCCTTCTATCACGCCACTGCCGCCGTAAATCCAATCTTTCCGTTCTCCGCAAACATTTCTTGTCCAACCTCTCCCAAACCCGTAGCGTCCTCGGCATAATCTCAATTCCCGGAATGATGACCGGCGCCATCCTCGGCGGTTCCTCCGTCCAACAAGCCGCAAAACTCCAGATGGTCATCATGTTCATGATCTCCTCCTGTTCCGCTCTCTCCTCCATCATAGTGACCGTCTGTGCGCTCGTGATCGCCGTCGACAAGGGGCATAGGATAAGAACGGACAGGATTGATACGAGGGATCACGTGGTATGGAGGGTGAGGGACGCGGCGGCGAGATGGGTGGCGAATAGGGTGGTTTGGGTAGCGGGGAGGGTTGGGGTGAAGGCGAAGGAGGGGTATGTGGCTGTTACGAGTAGTCCTAATGGACGTGGGACACCGCGGGAGGATGAGGATGAGCGTGACGATGGAAGGTTGTTGGGGTGAACTCTTCCTGCTTTGAGATGGATAGAGTGATTGGTGACGTGGGCAGCTCAAAATGGCTCATGGCCAGTCGGAAGTTTTACTGGCACGGTTAGATTTTTACACACACACATACACGGTAGGGATGAGGACCATCGCAATAATAATACATATATCTGCATTGTATATTTTTCTCCTCACCTGTAATACACGAGCTCCTCGACTGTAGACGATAAAGTTTGTCTGAGAGTCGCTAGAAATACCACGCCCTACAGTGTATTTGTGGTAGTAACAATAGCCCTATAATCGAGACAGGACATGGTCTGACCATAACCGGATCTCGAGCACGATGTTCAAGTTCACGAGCGGCAAAACATTCACTATAGACGTTTATCGCGTCTAGAAGTCCACCCACGAGCTATCGAGGCTAAATGATCAGAAAGCGTGAGTAAAACAGAGCACAAGTTGCGTTCTATAGAGCACGATGGAGGCAACGACGAAGAAGGAGGAGCATGATCATGATGGTCCAGGACAAAGAAAGAACAAGTGGCGCGCCACAAAAATCCTTTGTTGATCGCGTTTAGAGTCGCGACTGTGAGAAAACATTTCAAAGTCCGCTCATTCGCCCCTTTGACGCGTTCCACCAACATCCTCGCGCGACGACGCCGCCGTTGCCGCGCTCAAAACAATCTACCTCGAGAGACATACCACCTCTGCGGCAGCGTGCATGACCCCCAGCACCACGACATTGACGACGACGACGACGCTGCAGCGGCACATGCTCCCATCCTCCACGTCCAAGCGCAAGGCTGCTCCTTCGTCCGAACAGAACCCTTTTGACTCTGTGGCGAAGAAACCGAAAAAAGAGGTGCGTGAGCGTCATGTCGTGTTGTGTTGATATTTGTTTGGGACAGGTGCTTACGCAGAATGTAGCCGAACGGCGCGCCGGTGAAACGGAAATGTGCGTGTTGATATTGTTTGGATGGTAGGTCTAGCATGGGTTGTGGCCTGGTATACGGGTTTGGCAATCGGTTGAGGTGAATAAGTGTCGGGGTCCGAATGAGTTGCGGGATATTTGCATGGTGTGTCAGGCTATGTTTCCACTGGATTCAACTCTGGCGTTACGAACGCTCGCAGACCTCTCGGTTCCCACCAGTCGAAGCATACCAACCGACTCATGCTAGACCTAACTGTCGACTTTCTCGACCTCCGAATATGCTGATCTCCTTCGTGCAGTACCAAATGGCGAGGAACAGCCAGGAGGACTGGTCATCGTTCGCGCTCCGCCCTCACGACCCCCTTCATCTCAAAGCACGAAACCACCACCATCCTCGAAACCACACGCGTCTACCTCACGTGCCGACTCTAGTACCTCATCTAACGCCGCTCCTCAACCTCAACCCGTCCCATCGACATCGAAACACCCGCCAGCGCCACCACATCCTCATCCCTCGAAACGATTCAAATCATCGACACCGAACCCGACTCGTCCCCCAGGAACAACAGCCGCCACCGGTAAGACCAGAGAACGCGACATTCACACGACCTCTCGTCCGGACACGGAAGTCGACGATGATGTTCGGCGGATGGAGTCAGAGACGGATGATCTCAGGCGACAGTCTCAGTCGCGGAAGTCTACGATGAGGGTGGAGATGGAGTATACTCAGCCGTTGCAGCCGAGAGAGACACCGCAGATTGACCGGAATAGGGCGATGAGGGATGGGACGCTGAAGGATCATGGGACACCGGGGACACCGGGGCAAAGGAGACGAAGTTCGTTGAGTGGGAGGGGAAAGAGAGCGAGCACGTCGTTTGAGAACAACGGTGTCATCAGTGAGTGCCTTCGTTGCGATGTGTCTTTCTTTTGGTCTTCCTTGTGTTGACTCGACCTCTCGAAAAAGGTAAACCGCACTCGTCGGTGGACCATACGAGTTTCTACAAACACATTGACGCGGACGTACCGGACTCGGATCGGGCGCGACAGTTGCTCATCTGGAGCGCATCTCGGGTGGCAGATCATCCTTCAATACCGCACTCCGCGAAGCGATCCGGCAAGGACCCACCACCTCCAGTGCTGCCGAAATTGTCGGATGCCGCTTTGCAGGCGAAGAAGATCATACAGGAGAACTTCATCAGACAGCTTGCGGAGAGGGAGATCAACACGAATGTGTATTCTCCACCGGGTGCGCCTGCGTGGGATACAGTGGGAGAGAATGAGCAGAACGTGAAGAACAAGGCGCGAGAGATCAAGTTCACGGCGGATATCAATCGGTGAGCTTCGTGATTTTCACCTCTTTCCGACCATGTCGGGTTCTTTAGGCGCACACAACTAACATTAACGATAATACTCAGAGATAAAGCCGAAGATGCAGCTTGGGAGGAAGTCACGCGATTCTACAACTCGCATCAAGCTACCGTTCTGGCAGACATCGAGAAATCCGTCCAGGCACGCAAAGCTGCAGCCGCCGCCTCTGCCAAAGCGAAGGGGAAACAACGCGCCGATGATCCTCGCGTTAAGAACTTCGCGTACGACCCGGACGATCCACGGTTTCAGCCTCGAGAAGCGGAGCTGCCGTCGAGTTTTAAGGGGATCGAACTTGCGCGGACGGTTTTGGCCTCTACGACGGCTGAGGACCCATTGAAGGCTAAGATGGAGAGGGTGTCGCTGTTTGTGCGTCGATTTGTCCTCCTTTTTTTTTTGACTGGTCGTTGAATACTGCTCTCCTTCTTTTATGTGGACATAGGCTGATCGACAACACGCACTCATGAACACCTCGCTCCGGACCGACGCCGTAGCATGCACAGATCTCGACCGTCGCTTTGCTCTCCTCTCCCTTACATTACACGCTCGCACAGACCCACAATCGCAGCCGCATCCACAGACCTCACACCTCCCGCACCAGCCCATCCTCTCCTCACTCATGCCTTCAACATCTTCCACGTTATCTTCGTCCTCACGAGCGCCAAAGAAGATGGACCAGAGAGAGATATTCAAAGCGTTGTCGAGGGTGGATATGAGCCGACCGCCACAACAGATTGGAGATGCGGCGAGGAGAGCGGCGAAGGAGGCGCAGAGGGCGAGGGCTAGTGCGATTGGGGTTGGGGGTGGTGGGGGCGGTGGTAACGGAATGGGTGGGGACGGGAGGGAGAGCGCACAGGAGAGGAGGTTGACGGGCGTGGCGCCTGCTACGCCTAGGAAGGTGCCGGGCACGCCGAGTAGGAAACGATGAGATAGGACGGGGGATGATACTCTTGTGGTGGTGTTTGGGTATATAGCGAGTTGAATGAAGGGCTCGAAGCCCTTGTTGATATCTGCGCTGCTCGCATTTTCGGCTCTGCGTGTTCTTTTTTCCCCTCTGATTTTCCTCGTTCCCTCGCTTCTTTCGTTCATGGTATCATACTATAATTGCTTCTCCCACACATACGTACGTTCATACATACCCTGCTCTCGCTATGCGTTATCTCACGGTTTGTCTGCCATGTCGATGTCGATGTCCCATCTTCTACAGCTATCATCTGTTCTCTTCTTCCTGGTCTTCCGTTTCCGTGATCTTCGATGTCCAACTACTTTCTTGATTCGATTTGTAAGTGATAGAATGAATACTGGATGAATCGTGATAATGTCCTCCCTGTAGTGGAGAGGATCTCTTTCTGGTTTTCCTCTGATCCAGTGCCACCGGGCCACACACACCCAACGATGTGACCCCAGTGTGACGCGTCGCTACGGCTCTGTCCGATCACAACGTCACGGCGTGACCGGCGCAACTGCCAGTGTCAAAGTCGCGTCCCCTGTCTCAACATTCAACAGCCCACTTTTCTATCTTTCCTCTCCCTTTCCCCTCGTTTCTTTCACAATGACAGACGTACGTTTTCTTTCCGCATCCATTCTATCCTTTTCTGACGCGTGAAAAACCCACCAGGAATCATGGTACGGCCGGAACCGACAGTCGGTCGTCGAGATAGACGAAGAGCTGCACGACATGTTCAAACGACACCCAGAATGCCAAACGGACGACGAAGGCGAGTTGTCCCTCCCAGCGCAATATCTCCCCGACATCTTCACCACGTTCGAAAACCACTTCGGCTCGCCGATCCTGAACGACGACGAAATGGCGCAATTCGACCACATCATCCAGGGGTCCTCAGAGGGCATCACCGTCGGCCCGCAAATGCTCCTTGCCCTCATAGCGGCGCGTACCGGCGGTGCTGGTCCTAGCGGTGCCGGTCCTGGTAGTGGTGAGGAAGGAGAAGGAGGTGAAGACGACCGGAGCCCGCCGAGCAGTCCGGAGTTGGAGGAGCGAGATTTGCGCGATTTGACGGTGCGCGGACGGTTGGAGCAGCGTGCGCGAGATTATCTCGGTGGTGGTGGTGGTGGTGGTGGCTCTGGGTCGTCGCGGTCGTCGAGCCAGGAGTCGAACGGAACGGCCGCCTATCGCAGTCGTCCTCCCAGCCGGAGCGAGCCGCGCACGCCGAACGGCGATTCCCCGTTCGATGTGAAGAACCGGCAGCGGACCACGCCACTCAAGGCTGCTCCTTCGAGTTGGACACGACCTGCGCCACCGAGGAGGAGGAGGAGTGATGCGAGCAGTCATACGCGTAATATGAGCGATAGCGAGGTGCGTCGCTTTGAATGGCGTTTTCATTTCTAGTTCATTTTGTTGACGCAATGCGCTCGTACTAGTCTGCGTCGGCGCCACCCATTTCGTTCAACAGGACCAAAAACCATTCACGTCGTCCCTCTAACGGCGCTTCTTCCTCCCACCATTCAGACGACGGTGGCTCAAACATCATGTCCCCTCCCCATTCCCGGCCTCAATCACGCGTTCAATCACGCAGCAATTCATTCAACGACCCCTTCGAATCGCCCACCAGCGAACGCAGCAGAGGCTCACCACCCCACGCACTCGACCTCTCCAACGCGACGTACGACTCGTACAACGACGGCGTCAACACGCTGCCCATGCCCGGTTCGGGCAGCGACGATTCCGACGACGACGACGACGATGCGGTCGAGTCTGCGCTGGGGCTCGTGATGGACCGTAGCTCGATCACGTCCGTCATGTCGATGACGGCGGACGATAGGATTGAGCTGATGGAGAAGGTGAATAAGGATCTGGATAGGAAGTTGAAGGAGGCGGAGGTGACGTTGATGCGGAAGTTGTCGGAGCACGAGGCGGAGTTGGAGGACATACAGGTCAGGTTGGAGGAGTCGAAGAGTGAGCTGACGGCGGCGAAGAAGGAGGAGAAGGAGTTGAAGAATAAGGAGGTGTGTATCTGGTTCATAGTCATCTGTGACCTCCTTCACTAATGAGGTTGTTTTATAGCGTTCGCATACGCAACAAATATCAATATTGGAGAGCGAGATCGCGAAGGTGCACAAGACGCTTGAAGCGGCCCGCAGCTCGTACTCGTCCCTCCAACGACAGTACCAGGAACAACTCGGTACGTGTGTTCGCAATTTTCTTCGCCTTATTGCCCTATAACTGAAATCCTCCTTTCACAGCCCAATCCGAAGAACTCCGCAACACGATGAGGCGCAAAGACCAAGAGATCCACGACTACAAAGCCATGGCGCAGCTCAACGAAGTCGAAAACGCGAAATGGGTCAAAGAACAAGCCGCCTGGGAAGACCGCATCTCCGCGCTCGAGCGCGAGCTCGCCATCGCGAACGCGGCGCAAGCGACCCTCGAGGAGCAGAAGCACGAGAACATGATGCTCAAGGAGACAATCGATCGGATGCGATTCGATATGGACGAGCTGAGGAACGGGATGATGAGTGCGGGGGGGAACAGCGGGGTGGCTAGTGCGCGGAATAGTGTGATCCAGAGTAAGACGTTGGGGGCGGAGTTGACGAAGATGATGGATAATCAGTGGGGGATGAGGGAGGATAGCGATGAGGAGGAGGAGACGAGTACGATGGTGAACGAAGAAGAGGATGATTCGGATACGGAAGGGGAGGATATCGTGCAGACGATTATCACTCGGACCAAACGGGTACGTCCTTAATTTCACACTCTTACTATCCTGACGAGAGGCGATTGACCCATATTTACTCTACTCTCTTAGGGTGGAAAGAGCAAGGCAAACCGGGCGAGGTCGACGACCATCGAGACTTCGAAAGAATACGCCAACGCATGGACCCAACATGATCCCACTTCCTTCGTCTCCGACAGCTCCACCCAAACCATCCCCACCCCCACCGTCTCTCTCAGCATCCAAACCACCCCGCCTCCATCCACGTCCACGTCTTCCACCCAAACTGACGCTCCCGTCCCTCGTTCGATGGGCGAGATGGAGATCCAAACGGACGAGCCCGAACCCACTCCTCGGTCTCGTTCACCGACGCCAGAGACCGAAGAATCCATGGCATCCTCATCGACCGTGCAGCCCCCCACACCCAAAGGCAAATCCCCCGTCCTCCCCGAACACCCAACCGATCTCCCACCATCCTACAACCAAGTCACTAGCGGGCCCATATTCCAAGACCTCGACCACCTCCTCACCCTCGGCTCAGACGACGACGGTGCCAATTCCTTCTCCCACGTCACTGATCCCACTGCACGGAGGGATCTACGCATCGCGGCGGAGGTGTTGAAGAAGTATCATGCGGGCCTGCATCTGCCTGTGAAGGAAGTCAAGGCGGGCGTGACGGAGGACGCGATCGAGGATTGGAAGTCGTTGAAGGAGGAGTTGGGCGTGGAGTGTTCTGTGATCGACAAGCTGCTCGAGATATCGCCTCGGACGGAGAGTTCGAGGTCTTCGTCGTCCAAAGAACCCGGTCGACGACGGAGCAGGTTCTACAACATCTACAACACCTACGTCTACGGCAAACACGACGCCTCCGACCCTTCCTCTTCCTCCTTCCCCTCCTCCCCTTCGTCTGGATTCGGCGCAGCGTCGGTGATATCGCATGTGCTGATCGGGATGACCGCGTCGGCGGCGATGTTGGTGCTCATGAGCCCGTTCTTGAACCAGCAGTATGTCGTGCCTGGCGGTCCGACGTATTACGATCGCGCGGCGTGGACGAGCTTCAATTCGATGCATGTGAGCGGGGAGGGGTTCGCGAATGAGGGGACGACGGCGGTTTGGCATTTCCTTGGCCGGTTGGGTGGTGGTGCGGCGAGGATTGCGAGGGGGTGGCCGACTTGAACCGGCTTTGTGTATGATTCCTTTTCATCATCGGTCTCGGCTTATTCGGTTCTACGGTTCTATTTGGGTTTTTATTGACTTAGAATGAATGGATTCTGGACGGTGACGGCGACTTTTGAGGTCATTCATTATTTTCGTTATTTAATTTATGCCCTTATTCGTTGCCCAGATACCCACTCCATTAATCCCTTCCTTCATCCATCCCCCTGCTGCTGCCCCCTTCTCCATCTCCCTTTCCACCCTCTCCATCTCCCTTTCCCCCTCTCACCATCCTCCCCTCTCGCATCTACGCTATCGCCGATACTCTACCCGCCCCTAATTTATACATTAGTCAACCAACCACGTTTTCATGTCTATGCATCTCATCCTTCCCTCCATGCCTTCGCCACGCCACGAGCCACGATACTCACACACGCACACACCCCACCACTCATCCGATATCGCTCGGCGCTCTGGCAGAAGGCTGAGCTACCATACATACATTTCGACTTTGGTTCGATTGATGCTTCTTGATGCTCATATGTTCTTTTACCTATGTTTTTCTCCGTTTTCTTTCGTTCACCCACGATTCCCACCTTCCACCTCTTTGGGGTGAATATCCCAATATCCCAATGCTGATATGGCTCGGATTTCCTTTTACATATGCCTCTGACCTCTGATCTTACCCCTATGCCTTTTCTTTCTTCGTTTCGTTCTCCTGTGCTTTGCTATTGCTTGCTTGCTTGTCCGCTTGCTCGCACTCACTCACGCTTTTCTCTTGATTAAGTATTTACTCGTCCCTTTCCATGCATCTCGTTTCTCTCTTCGTCGATTATTTAATAGTTTTCAAGTACTTGTACCTCCATCATCATCGTGGCTTGCATTCTGGCATTCTGCTTACACCGTCGCTTCGTTGTTGAGAAGTTGCAGTATATAACGACCTCCATACGATTTTCTTTCTCTCTCCTCTTTTCCCTCACTTTCTGCCTTTCTGTTATTCTTTCAACTTTCTCGAGGGGTTTTTCCTCGTCTTCTCGGAGTGCTCAGTTCCCCTGACCCCTTTTAGCGAGCTGAGGCTCACCCCTTTCGTTTTCAGGATTCCAATAATTAACAAGTAGCGTTGAACGTTTTGAAGTCTCTCGTGTACACTGTGCAGTAGTTGCTCGTTACTGTACTTGTTGCACGCATGCTGTATAATATACATCTATCGGTTTTTTGACATAGGTTTTGACTGATGCTGGGAGACTGTCGAAAGAGTAAGTAGGAATAGGGACATGTCGAAAGCGTAGGGACGGGTAACTGTCGAAAGAATAGGAACGGGGCAAGAGAGCGGAGAGGTGGAGACTGGGTGGGGAGAAGGTTCGGCAAATTCCGGACACACTTTTCTTCGAACCATCAACGCCACGCAGTGCTCGCCACGAAGTTCGAGACCTAGTTAGGCTACAGCTACGGCTCCCCAGCAAGCCTGCTCCTAGTATAGTGAGTTCTCGGTGGTGATTCACTCGTATGGAGCTGGGTAAATAATGTGCTGGAGGTCTTTGCTTACGAGCTCATACGATAGTTTAAGGATACCAATTTGCGACTAATCAACCAACCAGTATTCGGTTCCTGTACAATAAATTCGGTGAGATAGCTGTGGAGTGAACGAAACATTATGTCGAACAAAGTGAACTATTTGTACTGACATCTACTCTTTCGACTTCTCAGGAATTTGCGGGGATCTGTTCATATCACCCTCCTCCTGAGCGAGCGTCTTGGCATGTCAGAGCCAACGAACGAAACGCTCGCACTCCAAGCGGAGAATGACGTCGCAGACGTTCATGAGGAAGACGTGGAAGACGATTCCGAGGAAGACGAAGAAGATGACGCTGAGGAGGAAGCCGAAGAAATCGCTCGTAGACTGGGAGACCAGCTCTGGGCAGAAATCAGCAAGGCTCAGGCAGAAGCTGCTGCTGCCGCCGCCGCATCTGCGTCTTCCGAGTCTGCACCTCCATTAGCAGCAGAACAGGACCATCATTCCGCTCAGGACATATACCCAGAGCCTACCGCACAGTCTTCACATGGAGAAAAGACCACGGTGTCCGTCGTTGCAAGCTCTACTAAACGACTGGAGGATGCTATGGCCACGATGAAAACGATTCTATCTTACACTTCCAAGGACCCCCAAGCTTATGCTACTCTACAGTCGACCCTCGTTCCAGGGACACCAGTCTCAAATTTGAACGTCCTGGACGCTCTCACTCGCACTGTCGCTCGCGGTCGTATCTCAAGAGATCTCGCACGAAAGCTCAGTCATCTTTTAGTGTCTCTTGCTCGATCCGAGGTGCTTTTCTCGTCGCTCAGAAATTCAAACGCTTCCTCGATACAGCTCGAGCAAGGAAAGCGGAAACGAGAGGCTCATGACGTAGATGGCTCTGATCCAGGCTTGTCGCCCCCCATATCTCGTGCCACTAAGCGCCCCACCTACTCCTCTGCGCCGCCGCCGCCGCCAGCACCCGCACCAGAAATGGACAACCCTTACGCAGAGCTTCTCTCGCAGATGCTTAAAGCCGTTCAGTCCGTCACGACAGCGCTCACTCCCTCAGATCCAACAAAGTCCACCACCATCGACTCCTCCACCATCTCCCCCATCCAACTCCACCTCCACCAAGTTTTTCTCTTCGCTATGACGACCTCTGCTCGATTAACCCCGGAAACACACGCACTACAAGAGATCGGCGGGCTTATTCAAGTCTTGGGCGTGCTCAGTGGCATCCAGATAGGTGCAGCGCCGCCTCCAGAGCTCCAATATCCTGGCCTACCGCCTCAAGGAACTTGGCCCGCCGGTACACAAGCCAGCGATATTGGGACAGCGGTATACCCATGCCTCCTCCCTACCTGTCCCAAAACTTTCTCTCGACTCTACAGCCTTCGCGCTCATCAACGGACCTACGCCCACCCACAATCGCACGCGCATCTGCCAGGCTCACAAGCCGCCATTCTGGCCTCTCAGCGTCCTTACCATTGCGGACATTGTCCGGCTTCTTTCGCGAGGAATCACGATTTGAAGAGACATGCGAAGGTTCATGAGAGGCAGGCTTGGAAGTGTACGGGATGCGACAAGGTTTTCTCGAGGCGAGACGCGATCACGCGCCACAAGAATGCGAGTCGTTCCAAGTTGAGGGGCGGTGGCGGAAAAGGGAGAGGAGCAGGTCTGAGCGAAGCTGAGAGATGTGTAGATGCGGAAGTGATCGAAGTCGACGTTGATAGGCCCGGGGGGTTCGGCTGGTCCATCGATCACGACGAAGTCTTGAAGGAGGGTCGAAGAGCGAAGATGTGGGCGCCACAGGGCGCATATGGACAGCATGTCTATAGTCTTCCTACCGAGTCTGGTGGAGAGGAGCATGCGGCGATGGCTCCCGGCAGTATGGGCATCGGAATCGTGGAGGAAGGGGAGATTCCGCCAGGGCTTTTAAGAGAGGCGCAGTTGGCGGCGTTGAGCTTGCATCCGGTCTTGCAGGAGAGAGTCTCGAAAGCATTGGCCCATACTGCAGGAGCAGTACAAGCTGGGGTCATATCACAACAACCCATCTTCACGCAGAATGTGGGCGCGACCACGCAGGAGGATCATTCATCACATTCTACTGCAGAACCTGCCCATCCGCCTTCGAATCCATCGCCATCTGCGCCACAAGCCTCTGAACCTCCAGAGAACCTCCAGAGTCCTACTTCTCCCAATACCATTGACGAGCTTGGAGCGGACACGCAAGCACCCCCAGGTCCCGAACTCGACGCTCCGACTGCAGGAGCTGCAAGTCTTGCGTCGTATGGACTTTCGGAGGAGCAGACGAGGATGATCCAGATGGCTATTGCTAATGCTGCAAGTGCGGCACAGTTGCAGGCTGAGGCCGAAGCTGCCCTAGAGGAAGACGAGGATAAAGATGACGATGATGACGAGGATTTCGAATCCGAGGAGGATGCGCAATGAATATTCCATGATCTGCTGTCACGTCGTTTGCTATCTCAGTGCTGTAATATTGTTTGTAATCGTCGATCAACCTGTATGCATATTCTAAGCGTACATTACTTGTGAAAGATTCGTCTATGGGAGAGGGCCATCAAGAATACTAGATGAGTAGAGCACTCTGTAGTATTAGTAGGTGTGAATCAGCCTCTTCATCGCCTCTTCAGGCTCTCCCTTGTTCAGATTCTCATCCATTAACTGCGTAATTTCAAGTCAACCAAACAGAATGTGATACACAAAACGAGAACGCATACCTTATTCACCGACATATACCTCTGCAGAAAATCCTGTCCCATAACCTTCTCCACCGTCGTCTCCTTCAACGCCATCTCCCTAGCCTGCTGTAACGTCCTCGGCAGCCTCTTCGTGATCCCTAACTTCTGCCTCATCTCCTCTGGTACAGCGCTAGCCACTTCACCATTCGCAGGCTCCTCAACCGTAAGCTCACGTCCCTCGTAGATACCCTCCATTCCTACACCCAAGATGGCAGTGAGCGCGATATGAGGATTGGCGGTTGCGTCGATGCAGCGAACTTCGAAATGATGTTGGCCGGGTGAGCCTGTCAGACGAACTAGAGACTCTCGATTCTCTTCGCCCCAGCAAGAGTACGTTCCTGATGATATCGTATCAGCGAAAGAGGCAGTTGAAGGCATCGAGGTAAAGACAGAAACCCAAGCATACCTCCGGACCAGGCGCCGTCCACAACTCGAGCATACGACGCAGAGGTAGGCATAGTGAACGCCGCCACGGAGGGTAAATGATCGACGAGAGATTGGAGGAATGAACGTTCGAGAGGCGTCATGGTCGTTGATTTATTGGTGTTTGGACTGGAGCGAGGGGAAGAGGTTGGAGTTCCGGTATCGTGGAGCGATATGTGAGCGTGTGCAGCACTGCCGCCTAAGGAGGGCCAAAAACATAAAAACATCAGCTACGATTGAAGGGCAAAGGTTTCAGAGACAGAACAAAACTTACAGCTGTCTGCAAATATGCGAGGTGCGAATGTAGCACGAAGACCATGTTTGGCGGCGATGTTATAAATAGCCTCACGGGTGAGAAGGACTGCATCAGCAGCCTTGAGTGGGGTGAGCGGGCCTGCAACAATCTCGAACTGCACATAAGAAAAAATGTAAGTTCTCGTCAAGGATAGAGAGGTGTGCGCCTCTGACCTGGCCTGGGGCGGCTTCAGCATGGTACATCAGCACTTCTATCCCACTATCTTCCAACGCAGTGACAACTTCTTCAAGAACAGTCGAGGCAACCGAACCCGTAGCCAGTTTTGCGGTCGAAGCCCAAGGAGCGAAACTGATTGGCTTATCCTCTGAGTCTAGGAGAATAAATTCTGTCTCGATTCCGACGAGAAACTCGACGCCAGCAGCCTGTGCTTCCCTGAATGGTAAGTTATCAGCGTCAATTATGATCGGATGATCCTGCCAATGCGTTGCGCATACGCACATCTCTATACGCCTGAGCATCCCTCGCGGACAAAGAGGCAGATCAAGCGAAGCAGAAGGGTCTGGGCGCCGTTTGCACTGAAACAGGCCCATTACGCTCGCATGACCGGGAGCGTAGTAGCAAATGCTCAGCGTGGACATGTCAGGGACGATGAAATACTCTCCAATAGCCGTGGATCCCTCCGCCAGGTTCGCATCCACAAGTCCAAAGACATTCGTGCCTACACCAACACCTGGCCGAGGACATGCAAGCAGAGAACGGAAAGAAACAAGAGGGAAGATTTTGCATCGTGTGACGTTCGTGTAGTCATCCCATTGAATGCGAACAAAGCGAACACGGTGCGCGGAGAGGTCGTTGACGGTGAGCTGAGAGGAAGTAGCAGAGATAGCTTTGGGGGTATAAGCGATACCATATGCGTCTGACGAGGAAGACATCGAAGTGGATTTCTAGGAAAATTTGAGTCGTGAGGATGGGGAGGCAAGACAAGTTATAAATTGAACTCGTCCGTGATCATCTTATATAGTATGCTGCTATTGAGCACTATCGCTTACGATCTCTGTCGGAATGGATGACACAAATTGCTCCACATATCCCTTCCACGCTCTGAAAATTCTGGTAATAGTCGACCCATTTAACCGTTCTGCAACCGCATGCCCTTCAAAGGCGATCAGGCCAATCGTCACCGTGTCCCGCTACTAGGCTTTAGCGAGGTCAGAAATACAGTTGCCGATACGGTCTCTTGACGTCCAAAAATCAGATGTGCGCCGTGGATTCTCGAGCACAGAATCAACAATGAGGACCTGGCCGTGGATAGAGATTAGATGAAGGAGGTCTTTGCGGTGAGGTAAATGCTGGTCCAAGCAGTGTTCGGGATTTTCCGGAATACCCAATGTCCGTTTTGGGAGGCCGTCGCCGAACGTATACGTCCCCAATTGCTCTTTCCTCTCAGCGCATTGTCCCGAATACAGTGGCCGAGGTAGAATCGAGACGGTATATGGAAGAGAGCTGCTCCAGTGGGGTCACGCTCGCTGGCTCACTTGTGACGTCGGGGCCTGAGTACGAGTATCGCATTGAGCACGAGGTGGAAGACGTCAGTGAGATGATTCCGCTCGAGATCGATGAATATAAAGGATAACCCGATCTAGTTTCGGTACTCCTAGATACTATAAAGGTGTGATGAGGGCCGGCAGGAGTCAGTGTTACAGTCAGCTGGGAGTTTCGACGTCATAAGTACTTACCTTGTTATAAGTGGCACCAAGTTGAAACATGAATCCCTAGGGGCCCGTTCGGCTGCCATGCCAGGTTCATTCCAGGTTCCGCGCGACCTGGGATTTCCGCCTGATCAGGAAGGTGGTTGAAATCCAGGTTTGACCGCGCAAGATAAGATCAAAAAATTCCGATAACGAGATTGGTCAGAAATGCAATACGCTCGAAGTGATTTTTGTCCAGCATCACCCCTACCTCCCTGAGCAGTGTAAAAAATCAAACGCACTCCTATATACTACTCCATGACTAGCACAAACTTTCAGGCCTATCGGTAACTGTATAGATACGAGAGAAAATGAAAGGTGCTCGAAACGCCACTTTCCGTGGCCGGGACAATTGTGCAATGAGCTCCACCATTCAATACGGTGCTCATAAATGATGAAACTAATAAGACAGCTCTATGATACCAGTAACGAAAGATTTGGGTACTTTTTATATTTTATTTACTCATTGTAACCGGTCATTGTCGACGACAATGTCAAGATTATCTCCACAAGATTGAAACTCCGCTTTTCTTTATCTTATCCTGCCCTTTATCTTTCGCGATCAAACCTGGGTGTCAACCACCTTCCTGATCAGGCGGAAATCCCAGGTCGCGCGAAACCTGGAATGAACCTGGCATGGCAGCCGAACGGGCCCTAGAAGTTTTGGAAACGAGTAGTCCAGGTATCTGTCCCACAAGGAGATCCCAGGGGCTGCTGAGCAAAGATTTCTTCATAGGCTCTGACTAATCGCTCCCCAAGAAAGAAATCCAAGGCGATAAGATGAGGTTGGAGATCGTCGATCGAGAGCATGGTTGATAGTCGCACGGAGCTCGGGTGCCACCCCGTGGCACCTCGAGTGAGAGGCGTCGCTCTTGTCCTTGTATCGTTGGGTCGCTCTATAGTTGACGAGGACAATCAAAATCGTCGGATAGATACCCTGCCTGTAAGTCAACAGGTAGATGTACCTATAATCGTGATATAGAACGGGAGACCAACCGCGATCCAGACCACTATTACATTCACAATGCGACTATCGATTTCTGTCAATGAATGTGAGACGAACAATCTGCAGAATTAGTAGGTGTCAATCAGCCTCTTCATTGCCTCTTCCGATTCTCCCTTGTTCAGATTCTCATCCATTAACTGCGTAATTCGAGGTCACCTAAATAATAGACGATACACAAAACGAGAACACATACCTTGTTCACCGACATATACTTCCGCAAAAAGTCATCTCCCATAACCTTCTCCACCATCTTCTCCTTCGACGACATCTCTCTAGCCTGCTGCAACGTCCTCGGCATCCTCTTCGTGATCCCTAACTTCTGCCTCACCTCCTCCGCCAAAGCGCTAGCCACTTCACCATTCGCGGGTTCCTGGACCGTAAGCTCACGCCCCTCATAGATGCCCTCCATTCCTACACCCAGGATGGCGGTGAGCGCGATGTGAGGATTGGCGGTTCCGTCGATGCAGCGGACTTCGAAATGATGTTGGCCGGGTGAACCTGTCAGACGAACCAGAGACTCTCGATTCTCTTCGCCCCAGCAAGAGTATGTTCCTGAACGATACTGCATCAGTAAAAGAGGGGATTGAATGTATCGGAATAAAGACGGATCTCGAACGCACCTCCAGACCAGGCCCCATCCACGACTCGAGCGTACGAAGCAGAGGTAGGCAGAGTGAACGCCGCCACGGAGGGTAAATGGTCTACGAGAGACTGCAGGAATGAGCGTTCAAGAGGTGTCATGGTCGTTGATTTATTGGTGTTTGGACTAGGGCGAGGGGGAGAGGTTGGATTTCCGGTTTCGTGGAGTGATATGTGAGCGTGTGCAGCACTGCCACCTGAAAAAGTCGAAAGCATCAGTTACGGTTGAAGGGGAAGAGTTTCGAACGAAGGAAGCTTACAACTGTCTGTAAATATGCGAGGTGCGAATGTGGCACGAAGACGATGTGAGGCGGCGATGTTATAGATAGCCTCGCGGGTGAGAACGACTGCGTCAGCAGCCTTGAGTGGGGTGAGCGGGCCTGCGACGATCTCAAACTGCATACAAAAGAGAACGTGTAAGTTCGCCTCAAGGATAGAGATCTGCGTCTCTGACCTGGCCTGGGGCGGCTTCAGCGTGGTACATCAGCACTTCTATCCCACTATCTTCCAACGCAGTGACAACTTCTTCAAGAACAGCCGAGGCAACCGAACCCGTGGCCAGTTTTGCGGTCGAAGCCCAAGGAGCGACACTGACAGGCTTATCCTCTGAGTCCAGGAGAATGAACTCTGTCTCGATTCCAACGAGAAACTCGACGCCAGCAGCCTGTGCTTCCCTGAATGGTAAGTCATCAGCGTCAATCGTTACCGGATGATCCTGCTAATGCTTTTCGCGTACGCACATCTCTATGCGCCTGAGCATCCCGCGCGGGCAGATAGGAAGATCAAGCGAAGCAGAAGGTTCCGGGCGCCGTTTGTACTGAAACAAGCCCATTACGCTCGCATGACCGGGAGCGTAGTGGCAGATGCTCAGTGTGGACATGTCGGGGACGATGAGGTATTCTCCGACAGCCGTAAAACCCTCCGCCATGCTCGCTTCCACAAGTCCAAAGACAGTAGTGACTACACCGACACCTGGCCGAGGACAGGCAAGCAGAGAACGAAAAGCAGCAAGGGGTATGATTCTGCATCGTGTGATGTTCGTGTAGTCATTCCATTGAATGCGAACAAAGCGAACACTGCACGCGGAGAGGTCCTCGACGCTAAGCTGAAAGGAAGTACCAGAGATAGTTTTAGGGGTATAAGCGATACCATATGCGTCTGATGAGGAAGACATTGAAGGGGATGAGTCTAGTTCAAACCGAGTTTGCAGAAGGATGGGGAAGCAAGACAAGTTGTAAGTAAATCGAAGTCGCCCGTAATCTTCAAGTTATATATGCCGCTATCGAGCGCTATCGCGTACGATCTCTGTCCAAATGGAGGACACAAATCGCTTGCAAATCGCTTGACAGATCGCTTCCACGCTCTGAACATGCTGGTAAGAGTCGACCCATTGACGTCCAAGAATCAGTTGGGCGTCATTTGAGCACAGTATCAGTGTTAAGAACCGGGTCGTAGATAGAGATGAGATGAAGGCAAGATGAAGGATGATTTTGTGCTTCACTACTGGTCCAGGGAGTTTTCGGGATTTACCGGAGGACCGATTTTCCGGTTTTGGGGGCGTCGTCGTATGACTCGAACAATTGACTCAGACTGCCGATAGGCATATTGACTCTACAGGTTTTTCTCGTCTCATAATATTTCTGTTCAAGGGGTCTCGCATCCTGTCAAGGCCACCTCACTGCTGACACTTAGCTACTTCGTGCTTTTCCTCCTCAGGCTCTTGTATTGGACATCCCTGAATCCTCACGAAATCCTCGTCATCCTCGTATGCCTCTATCCCGACTCCCCGTCATCCGAGTCGTGTGGTCTATGTCTACAGTTCAATGTCTGTGGCTCACTAGCCGTCTACAGCAAAGTCCCCGGGACTTTCCTATCCGCTATATCAACTTCCTGCATTCCACCACTGACCACATCATCACCATGGGACTGATCTTGAGTGATGAAGACCCCGTGGAGATCATAAGGCCTACTGGGTTGACTTGCTTCCACCCTCCTACGCTCTTGCCGTTGAACTTCAAGGTCATTGCGGCCATAGCCCCACTCGTTGTCACGCTGGGTCGTTCTATAGTTGATGAGCACAATCAGAATCGTCGGATAGATACCCTGCTTGTAAGTCGTCAGGTAGATGCACCTATAATCGTGACATGTAACGGGAAACCGACCGCAATCTCGACCATTATCACGTTCATTATGCGACTATCGGTTTCTGTCAACGAAAAGGCAATAATGAAGGCGATCTACCAAACAACCATATGAGAACGTCAGCAGTAATTCGCATACTGGCGTCATAATGGACAGGAAATAAGTTAGTACTTACCCAGATTACACAGTATAACACGCCCGAGTCAACCAGAAGTGTCATGAGCCTCTCTAGTTGATTCTTCCTGCTTCCGTCATGAAGGATCGCTCTCAGCTGTCTCCGGTGCTTCCTGGGATCGCATATAATGCGTTCAGGTCAACCGTTCATTTCAGTATCCCAGGAATGTGACTCCTAGCTCACCATGCCTTGAAGGCGACAATCATCGTAGCAAACACATTCGTACCGAGCGACAGAAACCACATAATGACATTATACCTATCATCCGCATTGAGCATGACTTTCGCTCTCAGCGTGGCGGACGTGTCATTGATGTGGGATACAACGGACGCTATAGCACTGGCTGTAAAAGAGGTACGACGTATGTATTGATCTGAGCATTAAACAATCTCAAGAGGGAGACGGTCTGCGCACCAAAAGCGGCTGTGTATAGCACGGCAAGTATTATCAGGACCCAACGGCTCTTTCCCCATAAAAGCCAGCATCGCCAGATCACTACCGCATCGGACAACATATACTAATATCACAAGTCGATGCAGGATCAAACTATCAGTAAAATGAGAATGGCCTGGGTCACTCAGAGATGTTTATACTACATTTGTGGCACCGAGTAGTATCACCAGCTGTTCTACTGTGAGAAAGGTGCGCAACTCCATCGGAATGGTGCATATCGCGATGGTACCAACGAGGTTACCGATGGATATTCCATACAGGACGAAGGTAATGCCGACTTTGAAGAGCTTCGCGCGAAGCGTGATAGATGAAGTCCTTGAAAGATTAGAAGCATCAGCAAAACTGACGCATCCGACCATTAGTGAACTACAAGAGGAAATTGACACACATCACCGCGTAGGTTGAGAAAAGGATAAGAAGCGAAAACATTCCTGCAGAAAGTGTGAGGAAATTGATCAGGAGTCGATGGGTTACACCACATAGCGGTCCTCACCCAAAAAGAACCCGCCAAGAAGAGAGAATGCTGTAAAGTCTGCGAGCTTCATGGCCTCCGGTGAGTATCGACCAGCGACTGCGTGGAAAAGATAATGTAGAGTCGGTCCAGCGACGAAGAGAGCAGGCGGTATGGCGGATGGGGGCATTAAGGAAACCATCTTCGCTACATACTATACCCTCTCCTCCCGATCATGATGTCCAGTTCATCTTTTCCCTGCTTTGACCCGGTCTCCCCACCACCCTTGAGAAAAACCACGACGTAAGGATCCAAAGTCCTTCCTTTGAAGGCAAGATGATCGTTAGAAAGATGAGATCGGGTCGTCTTCGAGACACGTCAGATTTGTGAAGCTAAGGAACAAATAAGCCATAACGAGCGATGAAACTCGTCATAGGACTCACGAAGTGTTAACCTAGGGTAGCTCTCCTATTAGAGTTGACGAGTAGACAAGACAAGGTGAAGTTGACAACCAAGGTTCGACCGCAATTCGACGGAGTCCAGCGTTCGAAGTCCGGGAAGAGGAACTCGAAAATTGAGACTGAGGTGTTCCTACGACATGGAACGAAGGATTTGTTTCCGTTGAAGCCATTTCGTTGTCGCCGGTCATCCACTAAGAGCTAAATATACGGCAGCGTCATAATCCGGCCCGGTCAATAAGCTATAACAGTCCAATGTCATACCAACGAACTTATTCTCACCCAGAACTCCCCGACGGCCTCAGCAAGTGCAAAACGACGGTTTGAATGGTGTTGCATTTCCCGATAATCCGTCATCGAGGTAACGGGGTGAAGAACAGCATTCGAGAACTATGGCAGAAGTGAATAGAATCAGCTGTGGTTGCGGTCAGCATAAGGGGAAAATCACGATGGGGTCAACCTGCCCCCCGTGAGTGGATGGAACGCGAACGTAATCGTTCCGCGTTCAACATTTAACGCTCGACGTGGAGTCATGGATTGAGTTCATCAACCCTGACTTAAGCAAGTGCCTTGAGTACCAGTTAGATGGGGCCATACGACATGAGTGCAGGACACAACGCATGCGTTGAAGACGAGTGGGATAATGTCGAGAGTTCGAGTACGAAGTTTGATGTGGGCTGAGGGTCGTATTAGTGAGGAACTTACGATGACGGACACGGATTATATCGTAGAGGCCTATACGGGCACGAATTGATGCGTAGATGACAACGCCGTCGAATGACTAGACACGGACCATCACGACGCCCGAGCTTGATTGACATCGCACGAGCAAACCGAGAAGCCAGTTCGAGGTGACGCCAGTCTTGAACCTTGAGTAGGCCGCTCACACGAATGACGAGGCAGGGCCAAAGAAACCGGACGGATATCCATTCGCGCGGCGGAAAGTCATAATACAGGGGCAAGAAAAGACACAGAAGAAGATAACGTTAGGACAAAACGAGAAGAAAGATCATGACACGCATATATGCGGGCGTGGAAAAGAAACGGAGTCGAGAAAGGGAGACCGGTGACGAAAGGGACGAGCGAAGCCTGAGCGAAGTGAACAACCGGTCAATCAAACAGTCAGCAAATGTCACAGTAGCACGATCGAAACGCATATACTCACCAAAACACGAGCGAGATCAGTCGTCGCTGCTAGGCTCGACCTCAGGCCCCTCGTTCTCAGCGTCAGCGTCGACCGTCTCCTCCTTCTTGCTCTTCTTGGATTTTGATGATGCAGGCTTCTTGGCGGCGGGGGCCTTGGTAGCTTTTGCTTTGCCGGCGTTGGGGTTCTCGGCGGCGGATTGCCACATAGCACCAATCTAAATGAAAGAGATATCATGTGAGTATATGCGTGGTAGAGAATGAGCACATGTGTTGGAAGAGATAGGGACGTCGACACAAGAAGAGAAGGGCCAAGATTACGAGGGAAGAAGAGCACGAAAAAACTTACAGCCTTCATCGCGTCTTTGTTGGTCTTGCCAGGGTTCTCAGCGAGCCATGGCTTCATGTGCGACGAGACATAGTTGTTGTATGCGGAAGGTGCACGCTTAGGCTTGTCGCCAGCTAAAGACGCGCATACATTGAGGTGTCAGCATTGAGCAAGAGAAGAAAAATGCATGTCAACGCGCCTGCAGCCTTCGTCTTCGTGTTTGCGGTGCGGGTGGCCGACTTTGTCTTAGTCTCTGCACGATAGGGGTCAGCAAGAGAGGAACGACGACGATTGGGAGGAGAATAAACTCACCAGTTGCGGTCTTAGCCATTGTGGAGTGTGTTGAGGGAGAGCGGGGAGAGTGAGCAGCTGGGGTGGTGGTGGTGGTTTGGGGCAAAAGTAGATTGGGGAACGAAAAAGTCGCGGCAGGGACTTTATAGTGTGGCTGGACGCGGGGTTCGAAAACCGCCCGACGCGACTCGGGGCAAATCAACAGACGCGTCGAGGCACGTGATGTTGAATTTCCAAACTCCGGGGATGAGCGCATAGCCACGTGGGAACCAACAAGGTACGCCAAGGACGTTTGGGGGTGGCACCCGACAGGGGGCTCGCAAGGTCGAGTGTGACGCCGCTTGGATTTCGGGGAGGGGCCCTCTCTCCACTCCACTCTTCGATGAGCCATGGTAACTAGTATCAGGAATTTTCCGGGGCCACTCCCCGACGATTATTTAACATGTCCAGCGCCTGTCCCACAGGCCATCCCCCTTTTCTCCCGTCCATCATCTCCTGCAGTCGCCCTAGCCACTCTCTCGACTCCTTCGAGGGCCACTACTTTGCTTGTTTACTTGATTTTACTCTTGACCTGATATCCTAGCCCATTGCAATGGCACGCTACACTCTTTCAACGGCTCTTTTGGCTGTCGCCTCCTCGACATATGTTGCCGCTCAGACCACCACTCAAGAATTTCCAGAAACTCCCCTCGCCTCTAAGACATTCTCATACCCAACAGGCATCGTAAGTTGACGTTCGTGCCTGAGGTACCGGACAAGTCTTGACTCAGGAACCATTTTTCGATTGCCCCTTAGCCCTACCAAGTCGACACCGATACCTTCGGCCGCGGTACCCAGTACGGGTACAACATGTGCAATTCGACGACTGAGGGAGACAAGTCGCTTTGCCAAACCTCTTTCGTCAACTACATCGATGGTCCGTTCATTTCTTTTAGTGCCTTTTCCCGATCATTCTCGCTTTGATTCTTACGTTCCGATTCCCTTACTGATATCGATCCTTCACAGACTTCTGTCTCTGGGCACCTGCTGAGTCCGACTCGACCATCTCTGATACCGAGGGCGAGGAGGTCGCCTGGTGTACCAAGGGCGGCCGTGGTACCCGTGTTATCCCCGACGGCGCCCTCTCGGGCGTTCAGTACATCAAGACCCCAGATTATATCCAAATCGCTGGTTTCATCGACCAGTCGAAGATCAACATCCAGACGGACGATTACGGAGGAGAACTTGACCCTCACGGTCAGGATCTCGTGCGTGCCTTCGCTTCTATCCGTCCCATCTCGTTTTTGCTCATTGGCTTGTATTTGTATTTTGATAGCGTGGTAACCCCATGGGTGGTCTCATGTACTCCAACGCTTTCCCCAGCAACAGCGGCAACAACGACTCTTACACCCAGGTGATTGAATGGGTCAAGTACGTATCTCCCACCTCTATCGTTGCACGAACCATCGGCTCACCTCGCCCCACAGCTTCATGGGTGGAAACGCATTCTGCTTAAAAGTCTGCGACCCCGCTGGCTCGAACCCCGCCGGCTACTGCCAGCACACCCTCGACCGTATCGGCTGCGCCTACAACGTCCCCAACAACGCCCAGAACGGCACCTTCGAGGTCTGCAAGGGCGACAGCATGCAAGTCCCCGGCGTCTACACCTCCGACGGCCAGACCCTCTCGTATTCGCAGCCTCCCGAGTCCGAGGGCGAGATCACGACGATGCCATACACCGCCACCGCCGCCGCTTCATCCGAGTGCACGACTTATACTTCGTCTGCGCTCTACACTGGCGCGCTCGCCGCGTCGGGGTCTGGGTCTGCTTCTGGTAGTGGATCTTCGGCGTCGAAGACGGGTAGCTCTGCGTCTGCGTCGTCGACGAGCTCGACGAGCGGGGCTAGTGCGGTGAAGGTTCAGTTCGGCGCTGGTTTGATGGGTGTGGCCGGTGCTATGCTCTTGCTCGCTTAAATAACTGCGTGTAGAGTTCGTATTGTTGTTGGTTCCGTGACTTCGTAGAGTCTTGTTTTTGTTTTGTCTTGCTTTCTGGATGACGATGCCGATGCCGTGTCTGTAGCAGTTTCGAGTCGTTCCCGTTCACGATGCTGATGTTCGCTGTTTGCCTGCATGGCTCTATTCTATTCCATCCCTCACCCACGGACGGTTCAGTCAGTTACCCCCCACTACGTACGTTCATACCCCGCACCCACCCCCCTCGATATCAAGTACCCCGTACCCCGTATCCGATCCTGTCATACCGTATCACCACCCTAAGTATATTCCTGCACTTCGCAACCTTATTCTGCCTGGTCATACATACTTCTTTTACACCATATCTTTTCTTGTTCATGAACCGCATCGGACGTTCGGACTTTGGACTCGCTGGCTCGCTGGTTGGTCCCACACCCAATCTCTGAACACTTCCTATTTACTTACTCATACGCGCTTCTTTTTGTTTGAGTCTTGACTTTTACTCTTAGTTGCTTACACGCACTGGCACCCTTCTAGTATGACATACGTTCTACGCGAATGCATGGAATCGTCGCGACCTCCCACATCTCCCGCATCCACGCGTCCTCTCTTCAACCTAACAGGCTCAGAGTCAGAGTTGCTGGGTAAGTTCACCACGACGTGCGCAGTAAGAACGCTCCAACCGTCATCGAGTCCCCGGTTCATGATCAGACATGCAGGTTTTAGCGCCCAGCGTAGCGGGGAACTAAATTTGGATTTTGTCATCGACTCATCATGAGGCTCGGAGTTTCCCGATTGGGGGGAGGCCGTCGTCCGGGCTCGGGTGCGAGGTTGTTCAAGTTTTTGTGTCTTGCCGACGAGGATGGTTTGGATGCGCTTGGTTCGGTTTTGTTGATTGTGTGGATTTGCAGTGATCATGATTCGGGTTTAAATTTGTGCTGAGATGAGGGATGATGGGTCGGACTGGCGCTTTTTTATCTGGCTGTAGTTTGCTTGGTTATGCCAGTAAAGCTTCGTAAGACCCTCTATCATGATCAGCGTCTTCTTCTGCTCTCCGACATCTTACCGATTGAATCTCGTCATTAAGAGACGACTCTAGAGATAGGGTTTCTTTTCTCTTCTTATGAAGCTGCTCACCAGTAGTCTTCAGAGGCTGTCGCTAATGTTAGAGTCATGAACACTGGCGTTCAACAGAGCATGAGTCGTTGGGCGATTCTGGTTCAATGTTCATTCGCATCTCTGCGTTAGAAATAAGGAATATGACCTCTGTGATTTCTTTGGTGATGCATACTGTCAACGGTAGGGCATCATGCGTACATACTAGTACGTCGTCGTAGGTTGGACGTTTTCCTTTCCGAGTCAAACCTCTGAAAATCAGTTTGTTCAGGTCGATTCCGAGTCTCACCGATAGATGTGCCAGCCTGAGTGTCGTAGCCGCTCATACCGATCGTGTGCTCCCTTTCTTTTCCAGCCACTTATTACTGTAATAATATGCACATAAGTACACCGCATAAGCTCAAGGCCCTGGAATTGACACTTTCCACCGCGATCAATTTAAATATTGTCCTGGGCCACAGCATCCTACCCAATGCTCATCGCGTTCGGCCATTCTTCCTCCCGACATCGACATCGACATCGACCCATATTCATTTCATGCATGCACGGCACCGTCCTGACGCCCATAAACATACTGTATTCCATAAGTACGCCACCTATTATACCGTAGGTTGCACCGCAGTCGATCCGTGGCGTCATTGCTATGCTCATGGTCCTTCTGGTCCCACTTTGAAGCAGCTCTCGATCCTCCTGCAGACTGTCAATGCAGCTGCACTGCGAACAAGCAAGTCATGAATGGTTTGTCTGACGGCCCGAAGAGGCTCTCCCTGCGATTGACCTCCATTCGTGGGTAGGAAGGAAAGAGATGGAGCGCCACGAATCGGACTCGGAGGCCACGTATATAGATTCGGACATCCGATGAGCACATGAGGTTCAAGTGTGGAACTGCCCCTTTTCGGCTCGAATCTCACAGGCGAGTATGTACCAGAGCAGAGTTGAGCAACAGAAAAAAGCAGAACAAGATAGAGAATAAGGCTGGACATGAAAGGGGATGATGAGTTCGGGCTGAAACGAATTTGCAATGTGGACAATTGATGATGATGGCATCGCATTTCGGTCAAGAGGGGATCAGAGTCTCCGCCGGCGCCTATTACGACGCAGTACAAGTTCATCGCTCGCTCGACGCCGTCCATCCATCTGTCCTTCGCTCACACCACGACCTCAGGCTTCATTCCATCCAGACACCGGTCAAGACAACAATTGCAGCGACGCCGTAGGCTCTGAAGACCTTGGTTTATGGCGAAGATGGTCGCGGGTGCGAAAAAGCTGAAGATTGGACGGGCACTGCGCTCTGCGGCGCGTCTGCCTGCTCGTGTGGCCTCTGGGAAGGGCAGCGGTCGGGACGTGTTCGCTCCTCTGCCTGGCGAACCGCCCATCGTGCTCTTGCGAGTCCAGATCCTCGCCTGTGCCGAGCTTCCGAGCAAGGACCGCAACGGCACCAGCGATCCGTACGTCCCACTCCCTCTGAAGCACCTCCTCCAACATGCGCTGACCACATACCCATCACATCCCTCCATTGTCCTATGCAGATTCGTCGTGGTCTCGCTGTTGAATAAGCGCCAGCAGACGCCGGTGCAGAAGAAGACCCTCAACCCAGTTTATCCCGCGAAAGACGCGACCTTTGAGTTTCCTATCTTCCTCAGTCTCGCGGATCGTCTTGGCGTCGTGGAGCTCGTCGTGTGGGACAAGGATATGTTGAAGAAGGATTATTTGGGAGAGGCGGGCGTCCCCTTGGACGATTGGTTCAAGGGTGGCGCGTTTGGCTTCGAGGACCCGGCGAACGAGGTATGTCCTCCGTTTCTTTTCTTCCGGAGCTGGAAACGGAAATACGGGTGCTGCTGTGAGGCATGGTAAGGTCTGCGTTGGCTGCATCTCTTGTTGCCGTGAAACGCACGATTTGCTGTCGGAGAGGATGCATCGGGGGCCACGGTCTCGCGTTCGTGATGTTTGCATGTGCTCGTTGATGGTGGCCCATGTTAACGTTGATGCATCTTCAACTCGCGGTACAGCCTCCATCGCTCATCGCTATACCGCTGAAACTGATGCATCTCGTATTCGGCATGGCTCTGACTCCGAGGTGTCGAGCCACCCGCAATACGGATCGAGCATCTCGTTCACAATGAACGATGGTGGAGGATTAAGTTTAATAGGAGATTCTTGGTCCATGCATTGCTGCTATCTTCGTCCATCCAGTCATGTCATGCTTCCATGCTTCATTTTAGCATACCCTTCTCCCCCCATTATCCCCGATTTGGCCTTCACATGCATGCGTGTTCATTAACCAGCCGACTGACTGACTGACCTTGCTCCTTCCTCAATCCGCAGGCCTTCTCCGTCCCCCTCACTTCGACCCGGGCGAACACGAACGCCTCGGGGAGCATCCACATCAAGCTCGGATTCGTACATCCCCACGACGCGCACACCGTCGCCAATTTTGGAGAGACGTACGGAGAGCTGGTGAGGCGATCGAGGCCGAGTTTGGTGTCTGCGCCGCCTGTACGTATTGCTCTTTCTTCACACTTGCCTCCCTTCTGTCCCTTTGTTCCCCTTCCTTTACTGCCCTTTTCCCCGGATTCCTCCCTCTTCGCTTCACTTTCCTCCGCTTTCCTGCACTTTGAATCCGAGTCATCTGCTGAGATGCGCCGAACCTAACACTAACAATAACCCCTCTACCCACCTACCTCCTCACCCCCTCCCACTCCCACTCCCACACCCCCTCCCTTCCCATTGTTGCTCGAACAGACAGAAGGCATCGGCACCATCCGTTCCTACCAATCAGGCCCAGCCTACGAAGACGACGGGCTAAGCTCAGACGAAGAAGCCTCGGATGACGAGGAAGATTATGTGGCCGCCCCGCCTATCCAGCCATCCTCGTTGCCTTTGACATTGTCATTGGGCAGCACGAAGCACGCGCACGACGAGCAAGAACGGGAAGTATCGCCGATGTCGACGCCCACTCCTACGCCGATCAACACCTCCATGTCCACATCCAATTCCAATTCCACCTCGACCTCAGCATCCACGTCACCGAACCTGCCCACGTCGACTTCCTCGCGCACGCGACCACCGATCAATATCTCCATCAACCCTCCGACCCCGATCGTTCCTCCCGTCCACCCCAAACAACCGCCGTCGCCCTCACCCAGCTCAGGGTTAGGACGGATATTCACGGGGAGGAGGCCGAGTATGACGCCTAGTGGGAGTTGGGAGTCGACTTATGCTAATGCCAGTGGGACGGGGACGGGGACAGGGACTTCGAGTCCGGGGTTGAGTGGGTCTTTTGGTAGTTCGGGTGTTATCGGTGCGAGTGGCAGTGGAGGAGGAGGGACAGGAGCGAGCACGCCGAGGACGAATATGACTAGGAGTTCGAGTGTGGGGTATGTGGTGGGGCCGGACGGGCAGCCTGTGTATGAGGCAGGAGGGGAGAAGGGAGGGGGAGGGGAGAAGAAGAGGAAGAAGATGTTGAGGAAGAGTTGGGGGAATAAGAAGGTCGATTTTGATTTTAATATTAATGCGAAGGCGGCGAATGATATCGTTGGGATCGTGATGGTGGAGATCTTGGGCGCGACGGATCTGCCGAAGTTGAAGAATAGTGCGTGCCCTTTTCTTTTTGACTCTGGTGCGCTGTTCTCACCGAAGGTGTTGTTGCTGTTGGTGGTGCTTTGTGTGTGTTTGATGTTCAGTGACGCGCACGGGCTGGGACATGGACCCCTTCGTCGTCATCTCCTTCGGCAAAAAAGTCTTCCGCACCCGCGTCATCCGCCACTCCCTCAACCCGACCTGGGACGAAAAACTACTGTTCCACGTGCGGCGGTACGAGACCAACTTCCGCGTGCAGCTCACCATGCTCGACTGGGACAAATTGTCCTCGAACGACCACGTCGGCGACGCGTCGTTCGAGGTCGCGCAGTTGACTGCGAATGTGCCGAAGAAGGATCCGCAGACGGGACTTTATCCGGAGGATGAGGATGGGAGTAGGGGGTTCATGGAGTTTGAGTTGCCGTTGCAGACGGCGAAGGAGATGCCGTGGGAGGCGAAACATAATCCTGTGATTCGGATCCGGTGCGTTCTCTTCCCTTCCCTGTCCTCTCTTTGGAAGTGCACGAATGTTGACTTGTGGAATAGAGCGAAGTATCAGCCCTACGACGCCCTCCGGCAACGATTCTGGCTCCAATACCTAAAACAATACGACTCCGACGATACCGGCACGCTCTCCCACCTCGAACTCACCTCCATGCTCGACTCCCTCGGCTCAACACTCTCACATCAAACCATCAACAGCTTCTTCACCCGGTTCAACAAGCAGCCGCACGACGACGCGCTCACGTACGCCGAGGCCATCCAGTGTCTCGAGACGGAGGTGTGCAGGCCAACGAGCGAGAAACGGAGGCTCGCGCCGGACGAGAAGGGAGGGATCGGAGTCGATACGAGCGTTAGTGGCACGCCGAACGTGACCACACCGGGGACAGAACTCGCCACGCTCAATCTCGACAAACTGGACTTTTCGGGCCCGGCGGGGAATCTGAGGGAACCGAACCATGAGGTGGATACGATGAGAAAACCGGATGCTCCACCTGCGGTGGGACAGACGGAGGGCATGAGGAGGGCGTTGCCGATCAGGAGGGAGGTTCCGTCGTCGTCGAAGGCAGGAGGAGGGCAGTTGACAAATGAGCCGGAGGAGATCAGTTTGAATGAGGAGAGGTTGGCTCCGGATTCGTTGTTGAGGCCTCCGAGTCAGTCGGTCCTGGGTGTGGGCAACGGTGTCGCGGGACTCGAGGCCTCTGCGTCGTCTTCTGACGCTGAGGAGGATTGGTCTGGCTCTGGGTCGGGGAGCGGAAGCGGCAGCGGGAGCGGGAGTAATGGCGACAGTCCCTCGCCGGACAATTTCGAGCGCGTGATCAATGTGAAGAATTGTCCGCTGTGCCATCGGCCGCGATTGAACTCGAAGGCGGAGAGGGATATCGTGACGCATCTCGCGGTGTGCGCGAGCCAGGACTGGGCGAGGGTGGATAGGATTATGGTGGGGAATTTCGTGACGGCGAGTCAGGCGCAGAGGAAATGGTATACGAAGGTGTTTTCGAAGATGTCGAGTGGGGATTATAGGCTTGGGGCGGTGAGTTGTTTCTCTTTTCCCCCTCTGATTTGGTTGTTTGGGGGGAGAGGAAGGAGCGCTGATGCGTTGTTTGGTGTAGAATTCGGCGAATATTATCGTGCAGAATAGGATTACGGGACAGTTGGAGGAGGAGAAGATGCAGGTGTATGTTAGGCTTGGTATTCGGTTGTTGTACAAGGTCCGTTTTCATTGTCGCCTTCCGAGGAGCATGTGTTGATTCTTGTTTTCAGGGCGCGAGGGGCAAGATGGAGGGAGCAAGAGGTGAGCCACTTTTTCCTTCACCTTCACTCTTCACGAGTATATGCTGACTATGGAAATTTTGCCACCAGCGCGCAAGCTCTTGAAGTCCATGTCCATCAAGCAGGGACGGAAGTACGACTCCCCAGAGTCGGCAGCCGACATTCGAAGCTTCATCCAGTTCCACAATCTGAACGTCAGCGAAATCCGGGAGCCTATCGATTCGTTCAGTACGTCCGTTCTCAGGCCTATGTCACCTACCAACAGCCACTGACCGGCCCTTGCAGAGACGTTCAACCAGTTCTTTTACCGGAAGCTCAAGCCTGATGCTCGACCCGTCGAGGAGCCTGAAAACCCCGAGCGACTCGTCAGTGCGGCGGACTGCCGTCTCATGGCGTTTGAGACGGTCAACGAGGCCACGCGGTTGTGGATCAAGGGCCGCGAGTTCACTGTGGCTCGGTTACTGGGGGACACGTACAAGAGCCAGGCTGAGCGGTATAATGGCGGTGCGCTCCTGATCTTTAGGCTGGCGCCTCAGGACTATCATCGGTTCCATTCTCCGGTCGATGGGACTGTTGGGCCTATGACTTATATCGCTGGAGAGTACTATACCGTCAACGTGAGTGTTTGTTCGGGCAGTCGGTATATGCGTTGACTGACTTATTGCCTGGATCGCAGCCGCAAGCTATTCGGACTACGCTTGATGTCTATGGCGAGAATGCGAGGAAGATTATACCGATCGACAGTCCCCAATTTGGCAAGGTCTACGCCGTATGCATCGGAGCGATGATGGTCGGGAGCATCTTGACGACTGTCAAAGAAGGGGACCAGATCAAACGCGGTGACGAGCTTGGGTACTTCGCATTTGGTACGTTTCCTCTTCCTGTTCTACATTCGAGCGACATCAGTTCATTTTCGATCGGCTCGTGGGCAATAGGTGGATCGACTGTCGTCCTTTTGTTTGAGAGGGGTGTCGTTGAGCTGGATGAGGATCTGCTCATCAATGGTCGTGCTTCGCTAGAAACGCTGGTACGCGTCGGTATGGGCCTCGGACGACGTAAAGGCATACCGGCATCCCTTTCGATGGCGGCTAATGACATCAGTGTTGGTGCCAGGGGATATGCGAACGGCGCTAGGGAAGGTATCAAAGGATTGGCAGAGGGCGCGAAGGGGATCGTTGGGGGAATGAAAGGGATCGCGCCTGGTGGTAGTAAAGCTTGATCGGGTTTCTTTTATTTTCTTCGCCCTCTCTTGCTCTTCTTCTGTTAACCTGACAACATTATTTTCAGTATTATTTCTTTCATCCTGTCATGATCACGTTCCGCACAAACATCGATCTGGACTTTGTCTCGTGTATACCTTACTCACCGCTCTCCCGACGGCCAAGCACTCGTCACCTCTCACACGCCTCTGCTCCCACCTTTCTTCCATGTTCTGTAAACAATAACAACCAACAACTCCGATTCGCTCTCCCGAACTTATCTGCACACACACACACCACACTACGCCTTCGCCATGTACCGTGAATTCTTAGCTCGTTAATCGCAACGCTCGGATGTATGTACGCATGTGTATGTCGCTCGTTCGGCCGTGCCGGTCGGTCACGAGCGCGTGTATGTACTGTACTCTTTTATTTCGTTTCTTCTTCTTCTTCTTCTTGCTTCATTCGTAGAACCTTCGTAACAGCCCCTCTCCCTCTCCCCCCTCCTCATTATTTATATCTCACTTGAATATAATCGAATTCTATATCAATCTAAGTATACAAGTCTTCGAATCCCATCACACCCGACCAGTCACTTTTCTTCTACGGGACTGCCTAAAGGAATATTCGGCCAGCTAGAACTAGACCGGTTCGCATCGGCATTGAGGCCGAACTGGAGGGGTATCGTGTGTCTCCGTGTCTGGCTTGTGCTCGTACTCGTACTCAGACGCGTACGGTCGACGACCGGTCTGGGCGTAGTCGGCAGCGAAGCGTTCGTCGAGAGTCGCAGTTCGTACTCGTACTCGTTGGTGTGCGAACTGGGAAAGGTGCTCCGAGGGGACGTGGAAGAGTCGCGCCGATCGAGGTTGAGGGTGTCGTGGTGCGCTTTTTGGAGACATACGAGGACGATGATGATCGTTGGGTAGATGCCCTATGTAGTAAGCATGCGACGTCGAAGTCAACTCGACCTGCGCAAAGCGTAGATTGTACTGCATGTCAATGCAGATACGTACGGAGACGGGAACCAGGATGGAGGCCATGATGAGGAAGCCATTTTCCATCCCAGTTAACAGCAACGACATGGTCAGGATCTGCATTGGCATAGTTGATATAAGTAAGTATGTCGGAGGTCGATGCGATGGATCTGCAAAAGCAGTGACTGACCCAGAGTACGCAGTATAGAGCGCCAGACTCGACGAGGAGGATGAGTGCCATCTGGACTGCGGTAGCATTCACCGCCAGGAGATCATTCTTCTTCATCATTCGGCGGTGACTCCTATAATTATGATGAGGTTAAGATATTCGGGCGCGCTGAGTGCCAATTTCCTGAGGTACGTACCAAGTCTTGTAGCCCATGATGATGGTAGAGCATAAGTTGATAGCAATTGTACATGCGAACATGGCGTAGTCTGTGAACTTGAGAGCTAATGTGATGACGATGCAAGCTATGATATCGACAGTCGCCCGTATCAGCACAGACCTTGAAGATCAAAACGAGAACCTACCCAAGACGATAGAATAGCCCACGACCAGGAAGAGTTTTGATTTGTGGCCCAATACGACCCATGTTCGCCACAAGACGATGGCATCCGTCAGAAGGATCTAAATATACGTTATGTCCGTGGGTCACAACATCATCATCTCAACACTATCTTTGAAATTAGGGGGTCCGTGGGGGAGATGAACCCACATTGATTAAAGGAAGCCACTCACGGGCCACAAAGTCACGGACAGGACCCGTCTTGGGACTGCAAGAGAGTATGGAAGCCAGCATGGTGTCCATGAAGAAGACTAATGTAAGGACCCAGTGTGCGATGGAGACGGTGAACATGAGGAGCGTCGCCAGGAACATTATGGCGTTCACTCTGGACTTGAGTCCTTTATGCCTGTGATGAGTGTTATTGCACGATTGGGAGGGAGCAACCGATGTGCAAACCATAGTACGTATGTCGAGAGGGGCATGAGCACGATATTGGCACCTATACGTGGAAGAGATGAGTCGCCTTTCTAGACAGGTCGAAATGATCACTGCTCACCGAGGAAGAGCGTCTCCAGAGCGAACGGAAGGATGGAAGAATTAATGTCAGTAAGATCAATACGCCCAGTGTTCGTCGACATGATCCTGATCAAAGCGAGAGTGTAAGTGAGGGGAGGATGAAGGGCGAAGAAGAACAAGAAGAGCTTCCGCAATGGTCCATGTTATAGTTCATGGCGGCGGCTGTTAGGATGGCTACCCTTGATGTTTGGATATAGAAGCGGATTTAATCATGATGAACCTCCGGAGCTGCGAATATGAGCGAGACGCTGAGCAACAGCAGTACTGATCGTGCCGATAAAGCCTCCCTGTAAATGTTCGTTCCTTCCCATCCTCTGACAGAAACTTCAGTACGACAGATCGCAGCTCAGATACCATTTAAACCTTATGCAGCGAGGCGCAATCTCTTCTATCCCGCCATGCATCATTCCTAGCAAAGACCTCATGTGTGCTGGACTTCCGCATTGAAGGAGATTAACGCTTCTATTACTTTGAAGTGCGATATCTCTAGCATTGAAGACAATCATAGCGTCACTTGTTTGCCATGGAATGAGCAATAGAACACCATTGAGCCAATATCAGTTTCATTGATCTCAGTCAATCAACAATTAGGAACTCACACGTTCATCATGTACGAGCAACTGCAGCTTCCAGGGCAGCGGGAGTGTACATGATCTGTAATAGTCATCCCCATCTACTTTCGTCCTCCACTAAGATATAACCAGCTTATGGAGCCAGGGTGGAAACTAGATTGTAATCGACACGCTTCGATTCTTTGAACTAGACGACATGATAGGTGGCGGTGGCCCGTCGGTCGTCTCCGCGCGGGATTCAGTGCCTGGAGGCACGTCAAAGAGCGGGCAGAGGGCGTCATACAAACCTCATCATAAGCTAATAAGGAGTAGAATGGCCGTTGAGTAGATATCCTGGGAGATAGCGAGACCGCAGTGAGAAGGAAGATATCGTGTGTAGAAGTTGTTTGTGGCAAAGAGTCAGTACTCACGGATACGGGAGCTGTGGGGTCCTTCATTCTGAGATAGTCGCTACGGATGTCAACGAGCAAGAGAGTCTGATTCTGATGCTAATGTATCGCCATGTAGGTTCAACAAGAGAATCTGGTTGGACCCCAAGCGACACTCACGTATCAAGCTATCTCAAGCTCGAGCAAGAGAGCCGGTAGCGACTTCATCTTTGCATCTAATATTCTGTGATAAATGCGCATGATGATAACAGGGAGAGTGCAGAAACTGTTGGATCGCATGGGGTGTGGCACACTTGACATAGAGGTCGAGAGGAAGTTCGAGTGGCGAGGAAAGAAAGTTCACAGATCGAGGTTCAAGCGGAGTCTGAATTTAAAATGACAAGACGAATCCACGGTGGCACCCCATGCGCCACATCACTACTTGACCTGGACCACTATGACCTCCCTGCTGAAAGCTGTCCATATTTCTTTCCGAGATGCGCGATATATATCAAAGTCGGCTAATATTTCCCTGCGCGCTATGTCTTCATCCTCCATTTCAACCTCGAGAGGTCCCGAGGAGCAGACTTCTAGTTCTCCTTCGTCAGATGCGAAGTCCTCGCCATCCCCATCACCTCCACCATTCGCATCTGGAGACACTGATCCCATATCGCAAGCGGACAAATCCTCGGCTGAACAGAAGGCGAAGTCTCAGTCGCTGGTAGAGAAGGATGCAGAGCTGTTGGCGAAGATGCAAGGACGGGACGGTGGGGATCTGGCTGTGGAGCCGGGTGAGTGGAATGGTCTGGCAAAGAATGTGAAGGATAATATGGTGCGCTTTGATTTTTCCCTATTCTATAGTTTGGTCTTGATCTTCAAATGCCTGACGGCGTAACTCTACCTGGGTGTATAGTTCAGATATATCTGAGAGCTATCTGGCTCAAGGTTTTGCTAATGTCACGTTGTAAGGTACTTATGGCCATCTCATCGGAGTAGCAGACAGTGTCTCATTGGCGTAGTATTTCATGCAGCCTTTCTTGCGGCTCTGCGGCTGTCTGTCGGTATTGGTTGCAGTTGACTCTGGAATGCTTGAAAATGCAAGCCGCCTCACTGGACCCTTATGGGTCAATATTTCAGGAATAAGAGTTACCAATTTCTCAGCTTTCTTCCTTTCTGGTTCTGCTTCTCATCTGGTCACTAGTCAGTCAGTCCACCGAAGGCACGTTCTTCGCCCAGGCATCGGACACACTATGTTCGCCAGATGAAACTATCGCTTGCTCTAAAATGTCGCTGGCTGTCTATGGGAAATGATCTGGATGCGATGGTGAAAAACCTGTGATACGAAGAGAATATTCGTGCATACACAGCAGATTTGTTCCGGTGGGTTTCCGAGAGTTCCAGTGTAATCCCATGCTAGTAGGATATGCACTGAAGGTGGGCCACAACCATGGGTCGAAGGTGCCACACGATACCACATCGTGACGTCATTGCGCCGTTGTTGCTCCTGCCCTTGGAGCTTTCGCATCTTGCTCTCCAATTGCCCTCGTCGACCTGGCGCTCTTGCTTGTGGGGCATCATCCCCTCCTGGAGACATGACGTCGACCCTAGTCCTTGCCTATATACCTAAGCGCGAACCAGAATGAGCCAAAGCCACCTTGCCCTCCTCGCCCACCGCATCCTCCTTTATATCTTCCAACAATGACCAGCGTCGCCACGAAACTCGCAAAGCACCACCCGAATATCGACCCCTACTACTGGACGAAACGTCCACAGGAGCTCAAAGACGTCAAACACCCCTACACACTGACTCAGGCCGAACGCGACGGTGGCACCATCGACCCTTACAAGATCGTCCCCGGTGATGGCAAACCCACTGGTCACCAGATAGAACGCGCACAACAAATGTCAAAGCTTCAGCCAGGAACGATATCGATACTTCCTGATGGGAGTTTTGCGCACAGGGGGATCCCGATTGATTGGAAGGAGTGGCATGGGGCTGAGCAATATGATTGGCGAAAGGAGTTCCCCGAGGGGTTGCCGGAGTACATTGGGCCCATGCACATCAAGGATGTTCCTCCTGGGTACAGGAGTCCCACCATGGTGTGTGCCTTTGTATTCCCTTGTAGTCGCTAGCGATGGTGACCGCTTATCTCGTGTTGAACAGATCAAAGAGCTTCTTCGATCGCAACTTCCTCACCGTGGTCCAAACCTCTTTGACGAACCAGGAGGGTACGGCCCAAGTAAATCTCTACCTTACCCGGTTTGATCTTCTTGACGATACTCATATAACGCCTGGTTGTGCTTCATCCACTTTGGCAAGCCGCCCGGCGCAAACCCTGACCTCTTCGGTAAACCTTACGGTGTTCCACCCGATCTCTTTGGCAAGCCATACGGAGTTGAACCTGATCTTTTTGGAAAGGTAAAGTGTCATGAGCATTGAGGTCGCTCTGCTTTGTTTGACATTGACCTGTTTTGTTCTTCGCGAATAGCCACCGCATGAGCCCATCACACTTTTCGGAAAGCCAACCACTGTACAACCTGATTTATTCGGACAACCAAGCACTCTCCAGCCCAGGCTATCGTTCGAGGACCCTCTCATCTGAGGTGCATACGATGCTTCATGAATGTAAACCGTCAGAAACGGACTCTTTCTTGTACGAATATTTCAATTTGGATCATCACGCCATTATGACCGGATTGTCCTCCACGTGCCTTCTTCATTCTCTTCAAAGAATGCCTTGCTCTTCGTACTTCCTTTTTTACCTTCGTGGACGATGCGCAAGTAGCTTTGAGTGCTGTTATATTATACCAACTCTAATTATGATTGTCGATCTTATGACGTTCCCACTCCTAAATGGCTGAGCGCTGAGTGTCGCACCTGCCACCGGCGCAGCGTTTCTTCCCTTGTAACGATTCAGGTGTAATAGGCTATCGAAATTCTCAAGGTGCCCGATCGTATAGCGGACCACGCATACGCATCCTTATCTTGTTTAGGTTAGTGCTCGGTCGTTGACACTAAAATAATATGAACGTAGCCAATATGGCGAGGTTGCAGGACACCGACCGCTGTGGCAAGGCGCACGTTGGTGCACGCCACTCGGAGACAACCGGAGTGATTCAGTATTGGTACGCCGGATGAGAACTTGAAAGTGCACTCGAGTGTCTCGAGAAACTCTCCACATGGTCTTGATCTCCATCCTGCCGAGAGGACTAGTGATCCTCGTTTTCTCTCTTGGCCTCGGTTACTCACTCTACCCAAAACAAAACTTGAACGGAAAGTCTGTCGAGACCACTGGCTCGCTCAATCTACCAACATCCTCTGTCTATGCTTGCCTTCATACAATGGCTCCCATTTCATGCAGATCTCCGCCATGCAGCGTGATTACGTGGGTTGTGTTAAGGTGGTCAGCGGCGTCGTTCGTGGTTCGTATGCGGGCCCTCTTTAATAGAACCACGAGTCATCCGAGTCACGCACTAACGCGGCCATCGCGTGAATGGAGATAACTTGTACCAGATGGGCACGTCGGGCTGCGTCGAGGCTATGTTATCACCTTATGTCGGGCCATTGATTACTAGAGAAGCTGCTGTGGTTGGTGCAGTTGTGTATGTATATACGTGAGGCGACTTGGACCCTCATTGCGCGGGCTGGCTTCGCTTCTTGCTCCCCCACTCGTTTTCTCTCTGTTTATCGTCTTCGCCCATAGGGTTCCGTGTTAGAGCTCTGCGATGTTAGACATATACATCGGCGGCGCATTGCTAGCAATGTTCTTCTTCGGTGAGCATTGTGCGTATCAGTTGAGCATACGGTCATTTATTGATGCTAGACTTTGATTTCAAGGAGTCTTCACCATCCTGATAATATTCTCGACATACACCGTCCTGTAAGCTCTAACGTTTCGACAAATTTCTGCCTCCTATTATGCATCACTACTGACGTCGACTCTCGGCCCGTTCTCGTCAGATCTTCTGGGCACTACACACGAACGAATATTCTCATGATCGCTGCACCGCTTACGATGTATGCTGTCTCCGCAGCGCATTTGGGTATGGGGCTGGGAGCGTTAGATCCCTACGCCGACAATCTCGAAAGCAGTCCGTCAGTGTGGGCGCGCGCTTGGATGTACTTGCCGATCGTGAACGTAAGTTTCTTGCTCCTCAGGCTCTCACAGCGATGTGATTGACCCACGACGTTCCGTGATAGTACATCGTGTCCGATGCAGTCGTCGTGTGGAGGTGTTGGGTGCTGTATTCAAGAAAATGCAGAATTATCATGATACCGCTGCTATTAACTGTGTCGAATGTCGGTATGTGTCCCAGACAACATTCTTCCCTGGCATACCATTTATGCCGTGAATCTATAACGCTTCGCTGCACAGTCGTAGCCATCTCCATCGCTGGACTTGACGTCAAGATTCTTTCACTATCATCAACCGTCCCCGCTCCCGGAGTTTCGGGACCTTACACGGGGAACATCGTTGTGTGGTCCTTGTCGCTCGCGACTAACATGTTGACGACGGCGATGGTGGCGTTCAAGTCCTGGTGAGTGCACTTGTCGTAGCTTCATTTTGGGGAATGTGTTTCGTCTTGTGCTTGAGACTTTCGGTCTTATCCATGTATCTGATCATGCGTCGAATATTGATCTAAAGGAGGCATCGTAAAACGCTCAGGAAAATGCTCGGTCGAGGGAGCCCCAAGACAAGAGCGGAAAAAGTGATGGCCCTTCTTGTGGAATCGGGAGCGATGTACTGCGTGATATGGGTATGGGATTGATATACTGACTACTTGGCTTCGTGTTCCATACCTACTGATACAACGGTCACATTGTATCATTTACCAAGGTTGCATTCCTGATACCAGCCCTCATAACTGGATTCAACGGTACATTTGTCATGAGCGCAGTGATGCCTCAAATCTCAGTCAGTCTCGTTCCATCTCAGTCATCATCCTCTATTCCGGATACAATTACCTCTCAGGATACTCATCACTCGCTGCGCCTGTGCCTTCGTATTTATTCTACAGGGAATATACCCTACCATTCTCATCGTCCTCGTCAAGTTTGGAAAGACCAACTTTGAGAATGATTTCGCCTACACCGAGGAGCCTCAGGTCATCACGACTCGAGCTCGAGCGCGTAACAGCGCAAACATGAACACAGAGAATAGGAAATCTGGACCATACATGTTGAGTCGGCCTGTTTCTTTTCCTCCGCCGTCACCGTTGGGAAGCGGATGGACCGTTGTGACTGAATCTAAGTATGAGGGGGAAAGAAGGGCGAGTTTACCTGGAGTTGAGAAGGTCGAAGAGGTCTAGAGGGACAAATCTCGTGGTATGCTTTTGTTGACAGCGATACCGGACTCAAATATATCATATTTTACCTTGCAGGCAGTCGACGCCTGACGCATATCCTGTGTTAAGTTAGCGAATTTCTGAGCTCGAGCACATTGACTTTGCACCATGTATCGCCTGCTTATTAATGAGCAGCACCGGTTATCTGTTTCTGAGACCTATGATATCGCTGAAGATTTATCCCCAGTATGGGGTTGAGTAACCACCGATGAGTTGACATCCTGAATTTCGGAGGACTCGGTGGCAAACTGGCTCGGTGGCGCCGCCACAATGTGCCACTCGCCGGTGAATTCCGTTCAAGCCGAAACTCCACGGTCGTTCATCTTCAAGGCCTTCAGCTCCACCATTTCGTCTTGGTACCAGTTTGCGGGCTTTCATGGCTAGAACGTACGGTCAGTGATGTTCTCCTACCCGACTCTACCATATCAGCCCGGCACCAGGCGTCTCCAGACTGACTCTTTGACGACGTCGACTCGCACTTTGCTCGCACTCCCGGTCCCATAAATATCTCAATCTCCTGGCCACGCAACGAGTCGGTGCCACTCCTGCGTTTCAGCGTCCAGTGAAACCTTGCTTCTGGCAGTGGTCACCATACCGTATTTATCTTCCATCTTTGACTTCTGTCGCCACGACCAGCGAGCGCGATATGATCCGTCTTTGTCGTGACTACGCCCTTGTGAAACTTCCCATTATGAGGATCTCATGGACCTGTCATCGTAACAAGTATTGGTTGAGGATTAATATAACAGCTTTGACTACGGACAACCTTCACCAGGGCGAGATCCAGTACCTGACCGTGGAAGACATGCTTCACCCTTGAGCGCAACGCCTCCCAACATTCTTGGTAAGACACCGTGATGATCCAGAAAATATATGTGCGTATTTTTATCAACGATGAACACTGCCTGAAGTTGATACCTACCTTACAGACGTGGCGACAGTGGCGCGCCTTCGATGTCAAAAAATCATTATGATCAATGCTCGGGACCCTAGCGTACATGTGGAAGACAGACTCCCGCCCGTACCGGCACTACCCAAACGTCGGGTCCGTGTCTCATTGGCGACCTGTTCTCATCTTTGTAACTCTTCGCAAGTGCTCCAATAAGGAAATCAGAAGCTCATAACGGAATTCTTTTCGAGGGCAATGGCGAAACCGGGTCAGATCAGGTAAATGATGAACAAGCCATCATACGCAGGAGGGAGCACATAATATATATAGATGCACTGGGGTCAGTGGCGTCGTAGGCCCGTCCGTCCGCCATCTCTTTCGTTATCTTCGTCGCTGGCTCGACCTGTCGGCACCTTACTTGCTGTCGCTGGACCGACTCGCTCATATTTTCTTTGCGTGATCGCTGGTCGACGCTTTCTCGAAGTCATGCAGCTTCACGTTACCATTGGAGCGTTCCTTTTAGCTGCATTCTTCTTTGGTGAGTACCTTTACGGCGTCCTTACATTATACTGTATTGACTAGTTGTTTGTAATTTGCACTCAGGAGTGTTCACAGTCCTGATCATTTTCTCCACCTATACCGTCCTGTACGTTGGCCTTGTTTCCTCGTGTCTCTCCTAGGGTCCCCACGATGAACATCATAACTATCCAAGAACTTCATGTATCACCCCACGTGCGAAACTTTCCAAGGCTGGTTTAACTCTCCTTATGTACGCGATAGCTGCCGGTCACCTCGCCGGTAGTATCACAATGTTCAGCCGAGACAAAGATATCGAAACCTACAACCTGTTGGAACAGACATTGATGATTCTTGGTGTTGTAAACGTACCACAATCTCTTTTTCTTCTTGATGCCCATATCTCAATTATATATCGACGACACAGTATGTGGTATCCGACGCGGTTGTAGTCTGGAGATGCTGGCTTTTGTGGGGAAAGAAACGCTGGATCCTGATGGTACCCGTCGTGCTGTTCATCGCCACATTCGGTACGCATAATACTTCTCCTCTGTAGTTCTGATGTATTGAATACTAATGATGGGGGACGTTCTTTGCAGCTGGGGCTATAGCGTTCGTTGCTTTCGATGTCAAGGCTCTCGCTTTTTCATCCACCTACAAGGAGCAGGAGAAGACAATCAAGGACTATCTGGCCAGAGATGACCTCATCATCTGGTGTCTAACGCTCAGTACCAATATATGGGCTACGTTGATGATATCATTCAAAGCCTGGTAAGATAACGTTCATGTTCTCATTATACCGAGATATGCAGCTGAGCTGGACGAGTTGTTCTCATTTATAGGAAACACCGGAAATGCCTAAGTACAATGCTTCGCCAGGGGAGCAAGAAGACTCAGCTAGAAAAGCTTATGGCGCTGCTAGTGGAGTCTGGAGCATTCTATTGTGTGATTTGGGCGAGTTGTCATTCATCATTTGTTGCAGACAACAGTATTCGGAAGCCGCTGAGACCATAGACGACTGATCTCTAGATCGGTTTCCTTTTGATCTACGCATTGACACGCACCGGGAGTTTCGTCATGGATGGTGTGATGGTACAAATCGCCGTCAGTCTCATCTTCCACATTCATATCCTTTATAAAACTGACACCCACCTAACATTTTGGATGAAGGGTATCTATCCGACGATCCTCATCGTCCTCGTCAACTTTGGGAAGGCTCATCTCGACAACGAGTTCGGTTACAATGGTGACGGTCTGGCCATGCAGCGACAAGAGGCGACCAGTGTCGAAACGGGTCTGGAAACAAGCCGTATCAGTCGGGTTTACGATCTCAATGGAATGTTCATCGCTCAGGACCAGTCTCGTGATGAAGCGGAAGAAAGTCGATTTCAGGAGGTTGATATATCGGACAGGAAGGACCCGGCAATTTTGGTGTAGACTGCAAGTGAACAACCCACATCTGTAAACTATAGAGGTAGACCACATTCGTTTCGTTTATATTATGTAGCTATTCCGTATGTATCATTTACCATGACGTTCACTCGATGTCGAACGCACTCAGCTGGGTTGAGATGCAGATACTGACGCCTACGCAATGTAGACGAGGCCTTCTTCGACTACAGACTAGAACACAATTGGGTCAAGTAGTGAGAGGGGACAACAGTGAATTGACGCTCCTCATTGGCACGGTACGAATACAAAACAGCTGTGAATATACAATGCGTACAAGTATTTGGGCCTCATGCCACTGACTAAGGAACCTCTACGTTCGTGAATGCTCCCCCATCTTCGGCTGCTTATGCCGAATCGTGGGCTTCCTCTTCGCCCAGATCTTGCTTCGGTTCACCGTTAACGTAAGGAACGTTGAGCGACACAGACTTTCGCAACTTCACTTGGTCGGGTTCCGGGTCCATTATAGAGTGGCGCCCAGAATTCTGCCCGTCGACAATGTTTCTTCGAGCACCTATCAGGATGGGGTTGTCGGATATTAAGTCTGTTTCGAAATGAGTCTTGCCGAAGTTGACGAGGACGATGAGAATGGTTGGATAGATTCCCTACAAATCGAGCACGTAACAGTGAAAGGAAAAGAAAAGAAAAACGCAAAGGGTGAGACGAAGGTTATATGAATTGACGATTTAAACTGGATGAATGCCGCACCGCAATCTGAGGCATGATGCCGTCCATAACCAAGAATCCGGCCGCTGAGAACGACACAATGAAAAGGAATGACACCTATGTGAAGGTATCAGGCATCGGATGAGTCTATACGTTCAGTACAGGGTCTTGAAGAACAACTAAAGAGTCCTACCCATATGAAGCAATAGAGAACACCGGACTCAACGAGAAGAGCCATCAACTTCTCGGCTCTAGTTTTCTTACTTGAATGGTCGAAGAGCTTGGCGAGAGACTTGCTATGCCACCTGGCGTGATTTAAGTATGAAGATGGACAATTCACCCACGTAAGTGCAAACATAAGCCTATGGCTCCTTGATCAAGCAGACAATGAAAGGTGGGGACGTACCAGGCTTTGAACGACACAATGGACGTGGCCCATACATTCGTGGCAGCGCTAAGCGACCAAATGAGTAAATCCCCAATGTGGGAAGTTATAAAACCTTCGGTGTCAATGGAGGGCCCATGTTGAGAGGCGACTGTCTTCATGTCAGAGGCTGCAATCACGATTGCGGACACTATATGTGAAAATTTGCGTGCAGGGCCAGAGAGCTATGAGTGGGTTTATAGCGAAGAAAGTGTGGATGGAGCATACCTATGGTTGCGAGAAAACATACGATAGGAACATATAGAACGGCGCGTCTCCTGTGGCAAAGGAGCCAGACTCGCCATACTACAATGGCGTCTGAGAGTATGTACTAAGATATGGCCATCAGCAACTAGAGGAGTTGAAAGAAATAAGTGTAGACGTTACATTCATAATGGGCAGGTACGTGACAGCTTGTATGAGAGCAAGGCTCAACCGCCCGTTTATTAGCCCCGTCCCACTGTATACACCCGCCACTGAGAATTCTTCAGGATCCCGGTCATACGTAACCACAGTAATGACAATGTGAGCGGTTGAGACCGCGTACATCGTGAGCGTGACCGCCGCCTTAGCTAGGTTTCCCTTTGTGAAATTTCCAGAGGATCTATCGATCAAGTTATCCAAGAATAAGTAACTGAGTGATGTCTGTCGCCCGTAGGGCTAGTACGATTCGTACTTAGACGTACAACACTGTATAAGTAGAAAAAATGATCAAGATCGTAAAGATGCCTATGTTTAACCAGAAAGTGACAGCAACCATGGCGAGGTCAGTCATACATGTTGTAACAGGTTTTGACGTATCGGATGACGGACTGACCATAGAAGAACGCAGCCAGCATCAGCGTACCGACGGCGAGGTCCAGCATAGTTAGACGTCACAGTCGAATCTAGAAGTGGGAGGAGTTCTAGTGGTAGTAGAAGAGACCCTGAAGGATGTGGGAACAGCGATGAGAACCGGATGGATACTTTTATACTTGAGAGTCTCGCACTCTGCCATCAACGCTTCGATTGTTCATCAAAATCCTGATGCTGGAGGCATCCAGGTTTGAGAGCCATTCGACCAAAGTCAGACTTGATCTCAAGTGCAGGTCCACAATTGGTAGAAAGGAATCATGGGAGAAGCAGTCATGTGCCGAAGATGACGCTGATTAGCAAGTCCGTACACTGCCTGTGCAGTTACAGTACTTACACAAACACGAACATCTAAGCCCTATCTAAGTATAAGGCTAACCAAGACCCAAATGGATGCACTCATTCATGATTCGTAAGTGAAAGAAGAAAGATAGTGCACAACGTTCAACAAGGAGGAAGCGGAACAAGGTCGTTGAAAGCAGTTCGGGAAACAAGCAAGAGGCAAGGGCCAAGGCGGCAAGAATTTTGAGAGACGCATCGGGAGAACCCGGGAAGGAAGAAGCTGGTAACGCCACACTGCGGTGTTGCATGTGCCACACACTGGATGGCAATTACGGTGTTTAGAACGGTCCTAACCGGCCTAACCACCCAGGCGAGCTTTCTGAAGCTCTGTGAGAGAGGTTTTCACGACTATGTGTGCCCAGGATCTGCGCGTATATGGTAGGTTCAGGATGCCTAGATAGCTACCCATCGACACGACGATCGCAGATTAAAATTTCTTCGAACCACTCGCGTCCATTTCGGGTACACCATATGTTATACAACAATTTGTATGTTCAGTTCAATACACCGAGGACCGTCACAATACAGTAAAGGCTATCAGACTATCAAGCAAGTAAAAGAGCAGTAGGTTAATCGTAGATGGACGCTATTCAAATACACGATTGTAAATAGCATAAATAGATACGGCCGCGTAGATCTTCTCGTGTTCATTGCGAGTCTATATCAAGTGAGCAGCAAAGAGCAGATAGGCCACGGAAATCAGCCACCACGTCCACAACCCCAAACGACTACGAAGCTCCGACACCAGCCAATACCTTGAACACATCATTCTGCCTCTCCCTGAACGCCCTCAACTTCGTCATCCCCAACGCCAGCGCATTAATCCGATTCGCAAATGCCACCGCTCGCCCCTCCGTGCTCCTCCTCCCACTCCCTCCCCCACCCCCCGCCCCATCCCTCGGCGGTCTCGAATTATGATGCCCCACGCCTCTCTCCAAGATCTCTCTGACCCTGTCGATACGAGGTTCCGGAAGCTCCGTCTTGCCTGCCTCGAGTAATCGAACAACTTCCGTCGTGTCCTCCTCCTCGACCATGTGTGCGGTCCGACCGATGTCTGCGAACTCGCGGACGAAAGGTCGGATCTCTGCGGGCGCGGCCTCGATCTTCATCTCTTGTCCCAACACGCCGATCAGCGTACCCTCTTCTGTGACGTTCGTAGTCGACATACGAAGGATGGAAAGTGCGACGGAGGCGTAGTAAGCGCGGGGAGGGTCTGTCCGAAGGAGTGAACGGAGGGAAGGCGTCGCTTCTAGGACATCGCCGAGCGCAGCGTACAGTGTTTCACGGATGAGTTCGATAGCGGGAGAGTTAGCGCCCAGGATAGAGGGCGTGCGGTCACGATGGTGAGAGCCTTCGTGCTGGGGGTATTGATGAGATGACGAGCTACTGGGCCCTGCATACGAAGGGCCTTGCGGAATCGAAGGGACAGGGAACGAGGGGCTAGGAGGACCGAGATGAGATCCATAGGTAGGGCTCTGAGGTGGATCTTGCGATGGGAAGGTGTGCATGCCGGGGGCGGGTGAAGGCGGTAGAGAGCCGGAGAAAGACGAAGTCGGAGAAGGAGTGTACATGGGTGGTGGAACGAAGGAGGCCTTCGCCTTGACTGATCCTCCTCCGTCTGTGTCTATAGCCGCCTGCAAGTCGCCACCGTATCGTTCCTGGAACGATCGTCGTTGACTAATTTCGATAGCGACTGCCCTTAGGTCGGCGGATATACGGTTCAGGTTCTGAGAGATGGAAGAAGCGGGAGAGGAGGAAGAGTAGGTCGGTGAAGATGGTGGGACAGTGATAGGTGGGAGACCGCATATGATGCGGGCGAGGTCATGTTGGTGTTCGGGAAGAAGTGCTTGGATGTCTGGAACAGCTTGTGACCAGATCTCAAGAAAGGAGGTGAAGGCGGGTGGACAGTTGTCTAGCGACAAATCCATTTGGGGTACGGGTTCACCTCCGCTGTGTTTCGCATTCTTGCGAGGGAGAGGAACGGACGGAGGGTTGGTGGTGCACCGAAGTGCAGCAAAGTAGAGACACAGGGCGGGCCCTAAATAAAGTGTAGACAACATTGGTCAATAATTCGGTTCAAAAATTAGAGATGGCAGAATTTGAATTAAATGGATCAAGCTGATACTCGAAAAGGTCATGAAGATGTACGAGACATCTGTGGTGCCACAAAGGCCCCCAAAGCTCTCTATGGCTGCCATGACCTTCGACATGTAGCCTGTACCTCTAAGCGGCTGTCACTCCTTGGGACAAAGAGACTGCCGAGAATGCGCACTGCACACGGCCCAAAATGACTGACCGAGTCAAGGTAGCACTCCTCGAAGACTTGTCTATTAACAAAAGAAGTGAAGGATAACACACCTGTGATCATCAGGTCGCCTTCAGCAGAGCTCAACATATCTACATCCAGCAAATGTTCCGCCTTGGCTTGAGCCAAAGATGACTTGAGATAGCTATGGAATGAATCCTGGACGTATTCCTCCAAAAGACGACCATTTGGGTCGATTGTGGATGAACGAGCCATCGACATAGAGTGTGTAGGGTATAAAAGGTCGGGTTATTGAGATATTCAAGCTTAGACTGGTGTAGACTGCGGCCAAGCTAAGAGTATGATGTGGGTGTAGGGAAGAAGAAAAAGTAAGTCGATCGGCTTTGGACTCCTCAGCAGGCTCAATATATATTGGTTACGTCATCCCAGAAGTAAACAATATTGCTGTGCTCGGAAGCGCCTTTCGCCGAGCTTTCACTACTCCGACCATGCTGTGTTCAAGCTCCGAACATGGCGATGCTGTCTTTCTCTTCCTCTTGTCTTCATCCTCGGCCCCAGGGAAACGGCCAGTGTCAGTCAGTGCCCCCTCCAGTATGACTCGATTAATCCCTTATATACAGACCCGCGTGTCGCACGACCACCGCAAAACTCGGCATACTGTCGAGATGACTCCTCACAGACTCTTGGCTACGTCTGTTGCGTGGCTTCCTTTTGCTAAGGCTATGTGCCGAGAAAATAACAAAACCCAATTTTCCGAAGTCTCCTATCGACGATCTCTGTCTCAGTTGAAGCAAGGCGACCAAGTGTGTATTCATGACCTGGTCTTCTGGCTGTCGAATTCGACAAACACCCCCGGAAAACAGAGCTCTCATTGCCAACCACGACCATTCACCGTATGTTATCAGCCTTTCGCAGCCTTCTGTTCAAGTTGTGCTCTTTTGTCAAATGCTAACTTCGACGGACTAGATTCTTTGTACCTATCGCATAAAGTATGTCCCGAGACAGTGTTTGTTAGCCTTCCACAACCCAGCTTGGGGCGCTTTTTTCTTCACTCAGGAGGTTGGTATAATTACCATGGTAAGTTATCTCACCCGCTAGTCAGATGTGCGCTTACAGTCTCTTCCGGTGGACATCTACGTTGCTCTCACGTTTGCACTTCGCCGACCAGGTTGTGTCCTGCTCATGCGCTCATGCTTGATAGAGAGGTTTATTTTCTGCTTCTGTTTGATTGATACGACCGTCGTACGTTGCCTGTCGTTTATGCTTATAACGATCAACTGCGGTATGAGAGGACGTCTCTGAGTAGGCATCTGCCATTCCTTCATCAATCGTGCTCGGCTCGAAGGGGCTGCTCATTTGCCTCGTATGCATTGCACCGAGACCAGTGCTGCTCTCGTGGGAGAGTAGTTTCTCTGTTTCGGTGAACTGGATACAAGACGGAGAAATTTCTTCCATCAGTCATGATATTACCCTGTCATGATGGACGGGCTTTTCGGTAGATGAGGCGCACATACCGATATATATGTGCGTTGATTGTATACCTATCTATTGCGTTCTTCATAATCTCCATCTCTTCGCAGTTTGCCCCCATTCCCAGTGCAGTATGCTAGACCTCGCTGTCGGAGTCCTACTTTCTGCTATGTTCTTCTTTGGTGAGCCTCAGGTTCTTTCTGTCGTGAAATCTCGAATGTGAAAGCTCATATTTTCCCGTTTCTTCTGCTTGTCGTCGTCATGCATGGGCTCAGGAATCTTCACGATCCTGATCACCTTCTCAGCCTGTAGCGTTCTGTACGCTTTCACTGTCATAAGAATTATTATCAAATATTCTCAAAGCACCTGACATTTTGGTATCGACAGGTCGTCCTGGAATTTCACGCGAGGAAATTTGTGCAAAACCGCCCTCACACTAACGATGTACGCAGTCTCAACGGCCCACATCGCCACGCTTCTCGCCTTGTACGATCGAGACCCTCACGCACTCTCAGTGGCAACGGTACTTAACGATTCAGATGAATTATCTCATCCCCAAGGTTCCAGGCTAGTGGTAGTTGCGCTATACTTGCCCATCATCAATGTGAGTAGTGCTTTTGCTGCGTATCTCTTGCGGATTCTGGCTGGTCTGATAACTTCGTGTTTAGTACATACTATCCGATGCCGTTGTGGTGTGGAGAGCATGGATCCTTTGTTCTCGAACACGATTTATCTTGTACATCCCCGTTGCATCTCTCGCGGCCAGTATCGGTACGTCTTTCCTTCTGCGTTTTACGTAGTGGCCTACAACCCTTGTTTCGATCACTTCAGTCGCAGCCATTGTGATCGCAGCCTACGACATCAAGACTATGGTATTCTCCACCAACGCGATCGAAAAAGTTCACAGTTTCGGAGGCGTCGATAAAGGAGATGTCGTAGTTTACGTGCTCAGTGCGGCAACAAATATCTGGACCACAGTTATGGTGGCGGTCAAGGCCTGGTACGTTTCTCTTTGGATATGACAAATATCTACTTAGTTCTTAACTACCCTCAGGATTTATCGTAAAAACTCGGGGACTTTGTTGGATCAAACACACAAGACGAGCAATGCGGGGAAACTGATGGTCCTGCTTGTTGAATCCGGCGCGATGTACTCTCTCGTTTGGGTAAGAGTCTCCAATTTGCGCTGGGACGGAGATGCAACACAAACACAGAAACTCTTTTGTGTAATGTCAGATTATATTCTTATCAGTAATGAGTACCTCCGGCGCGGGTTTTTTGATCATGGCCGGAATCATGCCTCAGATCGCGGTTCGTCACTGTCACTGCTTTTCAGTTTTCACTTGTGTATTATATTCTGCTGTACATCACCCTACTCACATAATACACACACACAGGGAATTTACCCAACCGCTCTCATCGTCCTTGTCAGCTTTGGAAGGACCCACCATAGCGAAAGAACTGTAGCGCGCCATGAGCCGAAAATCCGTACTCAGCCTAAACATGGTGCTCTTGATGTTTCGCCATCTGGGGCTCAGCCCATCCAGGGGATACATGAAGAGCAGAAGCTTTCATTGAAAGGTGGAGGAAGATATTCGGATCTAGAGTCTGGCGAGGTTAGAGTGAATTTGCGGAGTTTTGATTCAGAGGCCATAGTAGGCACCGCCACGGTTGGAGATTTGGTTGAGAGCCAGTAGAACTCGCTGAACATCAGGCTCCAAATACGAAAAATGGCGCTGTTCTGGAGTGGAATCGCAATTCACTTTGTTAGCAGTATGTTTGAATGTTATAGAAGGTTCCAGGGATGTCCTTTGAGAGTTTGCTCACTGTCTTTCAAAGATGCCAACTATGGACGAAGTAAAAGGGGAGCCCGTGGTAAATATTTCCGGAGGATGTATTTTATTATCTTTGGAAGTACCTAATCACTTGAGAGCGTAACGACCGACAGGACTCTTACTTATTCTCGGCAGGTATCGGGCCACAGTGGCGTCAGAACGAATCTCTGTATCACGTGTCGCAACAAAGGTGAGGTGCCAGCTTGTGTTGGCCTTCACACCTCTTTCCCATCTCCAGTGGTTGGCAGACCTCGGCCTGAAGTTTCGTTGCTCTGTGAGTGAAATCCATGCCCTTACTGAGCATGGCTTTTATCGACAGCTTCACCCAGAGTCTCACAATGGTAACTTCACCATCCGACCTTAATCCGACCCTTCGCGCATCGACTTTGCCATTATTATCTTTCTTCTTAGCACAGATGCCATCTGTGGCTTGTGTTTTCACACATAAAGTCTCTCAGCCGACACCGCGTAGGCGCCACGGCTTTCTTTGCTTCGTATGGCGAGCTTTGGAAGAGCGACGTGTATATGAAGATTACGCACGTATACTGCCAATAATCAGGAACTTACCTAGCCATCCTCACCCTCCTCGCGAGCTTCAACAAGCTTGCTTCGAGGGTCACTTCGTCTCCTACGCCGCACGATGTGGATTCAACTTGGAGGACATCGTCAATAATCATGCCGATATTGACACACTGACAGTTATAGATACAATTTGGCTTGAAACGTGATGCCGGTCAGAAAGCTCTAGCCGCGAGAATCTTCCATTGGTTGCGAGTGAGATGGGAGTTGAGGAGATAAATCTGTGTACGTCGGTCGATTGATTGTCAGAATTGGGACATTTCTGACGGTCTCCTTTGTTTCACATCGTGATGAACAAGATATCAGCCTGTAGTAGGGGTATATGAGCAATACAGGGGCCTCAGGCTCTCGATCCGGTTTCCCCTGATACTCTAGCCTCCTCAACTTGTGTCTTTACCCTCTTCTCGAGATGTTAGATCCTAACGTTGGTACATTCTTACTGGCGACGTTCTTCTTCGGCGAGTACTTTATCAAAATGTTCTTTCTAGTGCTTGACTGACGTTAGACACCGTCATCGCCTCATAGGTGCCTTCACTATTCTGATCATATTTTCTACGTACACCACATTGTAGGCCTAACATCCATAATGCTTCCATAATCTGCGTCTTGCCTTTCTACTGAATTTTATGGATGTTTCTAGAGCTTCCGGAATTCGTGAAACAGGAAATATTGTTAAAACTGCACTCACTCTCGCAATGTACACGATATGTGCCACACATCTTGGACTTCTTTTGTCCTGGTATGGCGCCGAAAGCTTCCAGGACGAGATTTTCACGCTGCGCAAGCAAATGCTCATGATCCTTCCTGTCGTCAATGTATGTCAGCATCTCAAATTTGCGCAGCTAGCCTGGGTTTGACCATGTTTGCAATGTCCCATATCTTCCCCCCACCGGGCTTGCAGTATATCATCTCTGATGCAGTCGTTGTATGGCGCTGCTGGATTTTATGGGACAGGAAGTGGAGAATTCTGATCATACCTATCGTTCTTTTCACAGCCACAATTAGTATGCTCCTCCTGATTCGCTCCTCATAGGTAGTTGTGATAAGTCATCTAACTTAGCCTGTTACTACCCTAGTTGTGGCCGTAGCACTGCTAGTATTCGAAATCAGAATCACAGCATCTTCTCCCACAGCATTAGATCAAGATAGCAACTACAGTTGTGTCGCACTGGAAGATATGATTATCTGGAGCTTGACGCTTGCCACGAATGTTTGGACGACTTCATTGGTTGCTTATAGAGCCTGGTAACTGTTTGTGCACTGCATATCTCATGACATAGATCTGGCTGACATCCCTCGGAGGCGATACCGATGCTCTATCGGGACTGTACTTCGTGTAGGCAGTAAGAAGACCCAGGCTGAGAGAATTATGGCTATCCTGGTGGAATCGGGAATACTTTATTCTTTGATTTGGGTAACATCATCCTTGTTCGTCCACACATACGATCTTGAATTGAATGTTCAACTTTTATTACTTGTTTATTGCGACTAGATGACATTTCTTATAGCCGGAGCTCGCTCGGTCATAGGCGCAGAAGTCCTAAACGGCATAATGCCTCACATTGCTGTCAGTTTTTCCTTATCTTAACCGTCCCCTATTCATCTGTTCGATAAATAAACTTATGTTATACAATTATCCCTGGCAATAGGGCATCTATCCAACCATTCTTATAGTGCTTGTCAGCTTCGGCAAAACTCAGTTCCAGCACTGCACTGCCTACACCAATGACACCAATGAGCATGTTCGTGCACCAGGAAGAGGTGCCTCCATGCCCCAAGGCTACGCGGATGTCGTTGATATACAAGGGCCAGTCGGATATTACGGACAGGAAGACAATAGCGAAGCATTGGAGGAGAGAGGCACTCTAGAGGAATCGATTCACGATAAGAAACAAGGAATAGATGCCATGGTATAGATGACGAAGTAGTGACAGGGGCAAAACAAGGAAGCCTGTGGTGAATATTCCCGAATGATGCTCTTGACCACCATCGTTGACTTGATTTTGGGTGAAGGCTTTGAAAACTGTGTACGTATTTATATAATTACTTGAGAGCACAACAGAAGTGCTGGCCGACAGGGCTCTTCTTCTTGACAAGTTGTGGGCCACAGTGGCGTCAGAACAAACCACTTTATCACGTGTCTCTCGCTTTGAGTCCAACGAACAGCGAAGTGCCAGCGTTTGCGTTGACCTTCACACCATTTCTTTCCCATCTCGAGCGGCGGGTCGACGTCAGCTTGAAATCTCACTGCGCTGTGGGTGAAACTCATACTCTGGGTGAACATGGTTTCTATCGACGGTTTCACCCAGAGTCTCACAGTGACCTCACCGTCCGACCCATCGCGCGTCGACTTTGCCGCCATCGTCTTTCCTCTGCACAGGTAGCTCTTTCGCATGCATTACACGGAAGCGACTTGAACTTCGTGGATCTATGCGGCTTTTGTACGTTGATGTCTTATCAGAATATTAAGTGCGCGATGTCATCTTTGGCTTGTGTTTTCACACCGTGGCATACATCGTCTCAGTCGACACCGCGCAGCTACTACCGCGACGTTCTTTGCTTTGGATGGCAGGCTTTGAGGAAGCGGCGCTTATATGAAGATTGAAGTGTGGTAGGGAATGCGCTCTTCTTTCTGACTGAAGCCCCTCGCCAGAACACATTCAGGTAGGATCTAACTGCGTCGCTATCATGCTGAGCATATTCATGGCAGCAGCTCTGCTGTCTACGTTCTTCTTCGGTCAGTAGAAAAGATACTTCCTCACGCTTTTGCTCGGTAGTGATGCTTGACTATATCTATAGGAGTATTCACTGTCCTTATTCTGTGTTCAACATACAGCGTCTTGTATGCTCTCAACGTCATATGCACCTGCCGTGCTAGACCATTACTCACCAAGATTAACCTATGCAGATCGGCAAGAATTTACTCTCGGGGAAACCTACCGAAAGTCCTTGTGACCCTAACAATGTACGCAATCTCTTGTGCACACCTCGGAATCGGGTTGCGAACGTTCGATCTGAGTGGCGGAGCCGCACAACCAACGGCGTTGAGGCAGGCCTGGATGTACTTACCCATAGTCAACGTATGTCAATTTAGTCATATTCCTATGTGCGTATTGACATATGTGCATAATAAAAGTATATTCTGTCGGATGCTGTAGTCGTATGGCGATGTTGGTTGCTGTGGGGTCGTAGGTCTCGGATACTCGTCGTTCCTATCCTTCTGCTCATGGGCAACGTTGGTGAGTGTTAGTTGTATCAACAGTCCGGTATCCATTCTCTGACTCGATTCTGTAGCCGCCGCAATATCCATCGCAGTGTGTGATGTCAAAACCGTTGTCTTCTCGCCGACGTTCTCCGACGAGTCGAGCAGTACCGTCGGGTTTTATTCAGGCGACACGACAGTGTGGTCTTTGTCTCTCGGGACAAATGTATGGGCTACTTTATGTAATGGTTGCGTATAAGGCGTGGTAAGTATCTGCATACTTCATAGTTCACCGTTATTGTGAACACGGAGCCATGCACTTACACATACTTGTATCGAAGGCAGCACCGTCGTCATCTATTTCACGGAGGAACGCGAAGGACTCAAGCTGAGAAGTTGATGGCTCTGCTCGTTGAATCCGGAACTCTGTACTGCATGATTTGGGTGAGTATCGAACTAGTCTTACATCTTCATAGTTACTAAAGGTCATATTTGTTCCGTGCCTTAGGTCGTATTTTTGATTCCAGCTGTGGATACTGGTTACAACGGTAATCTGTTCATGAGCGCCGTCATGCCACAGATCGCAGTGAGCACATTTCTTTTGCTACACTTCCCCCGGTTGCTTGTACAACGCACGATTACTTGTGCTCTGGTGGTGTGCACTTACATGGTCTATAGGGCATCTATCCTACTGTCCTCGTCGTCCTCGTAAACTTCGGGAAGACTCAGTTCGAGAGCAATTTTGCGTACGAAGGCAATAGCCCAGGCACCACGGAAACCTCAAGACAACGCCGCAGCGGTATGCTCGAAGTAGTCAGGATGGGTAGGTCATTTATTGCAAGGGATGTCGAAAGCGACGATGGTGAGGTGGGAGGCGAAGGTGAGAGCTCTGTGCACGAGATCGAGGAAGAGAAGAGATCGGTCTGTACGGTGTGAACTAAGGTTTTGGATTAGTTTTTTGCTGTTGTACGATACATTATGTGTATTGACAAGACTGTGGATGAGTGAAGGACATTAGCAGTGCATGTAATCCGTAATGTCGAACACGCGCCGATGTATCATCCTCTCCTCTCTGAGCAGCCTCATAGAGTATTTCGGTAGCACCAGTCACGCTAATATAAGCTGGTATTAGTCCGTGATGTGGTCATGTAGATACACAACCAAGCTAGCATAGACAAGGATAAGGTTGACTTGAGGTTGGCTCTGGATAGAGACGGGAGAAACGGAATGGCGGTATTAGGAAAGTTCGGATGCGGGCACCATCGACACGTGGCTTGTCGGAGATCGGGTCGCCATACCTGTGAGCTCGCCACACCGCTCCTCGCTTCCTACCACCATCTTCTCCTCTGTCCCCATTCTTCGAATTCTTGTATTCTTCCCATAAAACCCAACGCAATATGGCATCAAAAAAGAGCGATGTTAAAGTGCTTAAGGGTCAAGAAGGTACGCCAGTGACTCTTGTTATATTCACTGTCAAAAACCGACCTCATCTTTCAACGCATATATCCAGCCGAAGACCGCGTCAAGCAATACATCAAACGCGTATGCCTTCTCCTTTCACCTTGTTGACAACCATTATGCACCTTATATCTGACCAACGCGGTCACTTTCGTGCCGTGAACTTATTAGATGAATCGCCCCTTCGGCGCCGTCGACGTTTCTGCGAATCTGAAGGGTTCAGTCCCTAAGACGGCTACCCAGAAGATCTTGTTGGCATTAGCGGACAAGGGAGATGTTACGCAGAAAGTGTATGGTGAGTCGCTTGCTTGATTATCCAAGTGGACGTGTACGGCAGAATCTGTGGCTCGGATGCTGTGGTCCCAAAGGTGTGGTGTGCTCAGTGAGGTGCATATATGCACCTATATGGTTGAGGCTCGATATATGCGTTTCGTTTTCTTCGCGAAGAGACTCTTTTCTACCTTTACGGGTGGTGAGCTGATAAACTATATGTTGATTTCGTAGGCAAAACGACGTTCTTCGTAGCCAACCAGTCCACCATACCTTCCATACCTGTTGAAACACTCGCCACCCTCGAAGAAGAATGCAAAGCGCTCGATGAATCAAATAAGGTGCTTTCGGTGGAGGTCAAGGGTCTTTCTAATGGTAAGCTCCTCATATTCTTCCGATACCCACGGTTTGGGGAGCGAGCACGACTGCGAAGAGTGCGTGGTGATTCTGATGTGGCGTATACAGAACTTGCGAAGTTAAAGAGTACACCTACGGACGAGGAACTAGGCAAGGAACTGCAGGCTGCAGAAGAAAGCGTACGCCCCTCCACCCTACCTTTCGGGCCTGTGCGTTGACCACGCATTTCCTTAATAGGCTGCAAAGCTGCAGTCCCACCTGCTCCCATTACGCTCTGGGACACCGCTCGTCTCCGCTGCTGAACTGAAGGAGATAGATCAGGAATGGACGAAGTGGAGGGCTGAGTGGGTTAGGAGGAGGAAAGTCTGGAAGACGTACGTTTCCTCGCTGTCTCTTGGCTCTCTTGTCCGCCCTCGCTTTCTTGCATCCGCCCTCTCTGTTGTCGATCTCGCAGCTTCTCCAACCTCTGGGAAACGCTCTTTCATGGATTCTGACCGAATGACCAACTTGTCGAACGCTGTCTAGCTTCTGATCGAGCCGTCTCACTGGGTTCTGCTGTCTCTTTGCATGTTCGAGTCTCTTCGTCATTCTGGACGCCGTCTCTTGAATCGCTTCTCGTCTCGTCTCTGCTCCCTGCCTTGCATCGAGTTCGCACATTCGCTAACTAACATTGCCTTTTTCATACAAATCGACATCACTCATACCTGTATTAATCGTCTCCGTCGCTTCGTATCCCCGGTCGCCATTCCTGTAGATTATGGGCTCTCATATCGGATAGCCTCGACACGAGCTCTGCGTCCGAACTGCTGGAAGATCTGGGCGTGGAGCAGGACACAGCGGAACATGTAGCAGTTGAAAGGGGAAGCCTGTGCGCTGTTGGTGCTGCTATAGGGCGTCGGTAGGAGTTGGTTGTAGTCGTCCGGGCCCGGGTGATGTGGGGATGTTCATGTTCGGACAATGTCCGATGTAGGTACGGGCTCGAACTTTGGAAGAAGGGGACGCTTGAAGAGGAAGGAAGTATCGATAATTCTGTATAATACTAGCATATGACTTTCGTCTCTTCGCAACGGTCTGACTGTATCCTCTGTTAACTATGCTGTAACCTGTTACTCAACCCATAATGATGTATCCTATCCCGCTTCGTGCTCCCTGGTACATGTTGTATGGGTATGCCCTAAGGAACTCCCTCCTTAAGTTCAGACTGCAAGCGACTTGGACCAGAGCATTTGGGCCACATACGAGTCTGTTCCTCAGCATGATGTGGCGTAGTGGTTTGTTTAGATCCGAGTTTTTCACGTGCATCCTTCCGCCTCCGATCCGTCATTCGTGCTACTCATCCTCCGTTCCCCGCAACCTCCTCCCGAATTTTGTGTTCTTGTCTCCGACCCCAGTCGGTCCGAATACTCTTCGTCTGATTCTTAAGGACCTGCTCTGGGCGCACCATCTCTTTTAACCCATCTAGCCGTTCTGCATTGCTGAGTCTTGCAACTTACAAGTAGTCTAGAGACTAGGATCCATTCTCGAATGAGTCCAGATGTCTCGACCACGACATTTTCCTCCTATGGTTGGACTTCGAACCGATACACGAATATCGGTTCTAGCACTTTCGGGCCGTCTACGTCGTCGTCGCCCACAAGTTCGCATCAACTGTCACAGGATCGCGGTACCGCATCCTTATACGCATCCACATCCGCGTCGACATCGACATCTACAAGCAAACCAGCAGACCAAGCAGGTAGCTCTGGTCATGAGAGAGAAGGTGGAGAGGGAAAGCCAAGTGGAAAGGGGAAGGAGAAGATCAAAGACTTCAACCATTTCGTACGCTCGGGAGTCGCGGGTGGAATTGCTGGGTGCGTGGTGCGTATTGCTTGTCGACTTGGGCTCGTTCGAAGTGGCGTGTATGGTCATTGAATCTCTTCGATTTATTGGTTGGTGGTTCAACGGATGTAGGCCAAGACGGTCGTTGCGCCTCTAGATAGAGTCAAGATTTTGTTTCAAGCATCGAATCCTGATTTTCAAAAGTATGCTGGTACGTGCACTACAACCCGATGTTCATTGTCATAATCGAAAGAATTCCTAGATGTCTTCCGTCTATTTCATCTCTTCATTCCTCTTCTACCTCCATATTCGTCCAATTCATCCGACCCTGCTCGCTCCTACTCGCCTCCACACCCCTACACCTTCCCTACGTATCTGCTTCTCCGACACCATTCTCCTTCACCTATCCTAGACATCGGATATTGAATAATGAATAATATATAGGCTCATGGTCTGGTGCACTTCGCGCTGGCGCCGAGATATATAATTCTTCTGGTGTGCGTGGGCTCTTGCAAGGCCATTCGGCGACACTGCTGCGTGTCTTTCCCTACGCTGCGGTGAAGTTCGTGGCGTATGACCAGGTTCATGACGTGCGTCCTCTCTTCCTTGGTCGTACCACCTCGAACTGCATGGCATTCGTGTTTGATGAGAGCAAGGCTGACGTCTAACGTTCTCTTATGTCTTATGGGAACATACGACTCGTTTTGTAGACCCTCATGCCAACTCCTGCGCATGAGACGAATTTTCGACGGTTCTCAGCTGGAGCTATCTCCGGTAAGTTTTCCACCATTTGTGTACCAACTACGTGGTGCCCCCTCTCACTAACCTACTCTCCGATTCCTCCGTTCGTTCACGCCTACTCGTCAAATTTTCAACATACTAATTTGGCACATCCTACGCCACACGCCACACATAGGCGCCATCTCCGTCTTTCTCACATATCCCCTTGAGCTCATCCGTGTAAGGATGGCGTTCGCCACCACGCCTGCTTTCGCAGCCGATCTGGTCTCCGCTGGACGACGAAGGCCGTCTTTTATCAGCGTCGCACGACATATATATTCGGAGGGCGCGCTACCGACCGCCTCCGCATCCACTTCCACACATTCATCGGCATTATCGTCTTCACAGTTCACACACACCAATCATGTACCACAACCTCCCGCACCAACGGCCGCAGCATCAATACAACCGACTCGCCGTATCTTCCACACCTTTCCCCTCCTGAAATTTTATCGAGGATTCACACCTTCGCTCGTAGGCATGATACCCTACGCCGGGACGTCATTCCTTGCCTGGGGATTTCTCCGAGCTCATTTCCTCCCACCACCACCGTCTTCTCCCGGTGACGGCGGTATCAAAGATAAGAACACCCGAGCGAAACCCAAACCACTCACAGACCTCGCCATCGGCGCCGTCTCCGGCGCGCTCGCCCAAACCGTATCTTATCCCTTCGAAGTCGTCAGGCGTCGAATGCAAGTAGGCGGGCTACGGAGTCCGGAGCGATGGCTTGGGTGGCGCGAAACTATTGTTGACGTGTATAAGAAGGCGAAGGCGGAGAATGCTGGGAAGAGCGGGTGGTGGAGGAGAGCGGGGTGGAGGGGTTTCTATGTGGGGTTGGGGATTGGGTATTTGAAGGTGGTGCCGATGAATGCGGTCAGTTTTGCGGTTTGGGTGGGGATGAAGAGGGTGTTGGATGTGTAGATGTGGGGATAGAAGAGGTTGGATTGTTTGTTGATGTGGAGAGTGGTGTTGTAGGATTCGTTGGACGAAGGCTAGCTTTACGGTGCTTTGCACCGTCGCAAGAAATTGACATTCTATGCAAGCAACCACCGTCAAAGGTGCCTGTGCCAACTTGACTTTCGACTGGACAGCTTGCCCAAATTCATGCACAAGGTACGGGTCGTTTCGCGAAGACCACGAACGCAGAACGCGTCGAGAGCGCGTCGAGACGCGTCGTCCATGCGCGGCAGGTCCTCCCCACGTCGGACTGAACCGCCGGACATGCCCCGGAATGACCTCATTCCATGCGGAGAACACGTCGCGGACCGATGTTCCCCGGACTCGCCCCGGACCAGCCCCGGATTTCCTTGTGGTGCGCAGAGATTCCTGGCCCACAAAAAGTCGGACGAGCAATGGTTTCCCCGGTCTCTCTTTCTCATCCTTCACCACATCCATCATCATCGAGAGATCTGCTCATCGTGTACGACGATGGCCGCGCAACTTTCTATACCGATCTATACGTCGCTCGATAAGCTGTATAACGATCTGGGCACCGCTGCTAACCATGCGTATGTGTTCCCTCTTTGGTGTCTCTACGGGTTGACTGGTTGGGTGACTGATGTGCTTTAAACATTCTTCTTATTCATTTATTGGGATAGTACGCGATGGAATAATCTCGCCCAGGAATTTGAGAAGCGATACGGCCGCAAGCCGAAGTACATTGCTCGTGCACCCGGTCGTGTAAAGTACGTTCATCTGTCATGCATCACCTCATGTTTGGAGGACATTTCCCTCGAAATCTTCGCACATTTGGGTCTGTGGGCTGCAGGCAAATCATTTGCTGAATTACGGCAGACTGCCATGAAGGTCTACGGTGTGTGGAGATATACTGTTAGCCCCTGTCCCTACACTGCTCACCGTGTAAGTAATCTCCGGTACACCCAGAATCATGCTGAAGACTGTGATAAATCGAAAATGATCTCGATCGAGTTCAACTATGCTGTAGCACTTTTGACCTAGTGTTATGGATCCATAACACACTGTTTCGTGTGTAAACCAGTGGCCGGTGGGCCACACTTGCACCAGCGGTTGTATCGTGTGGTCTGTGCATCCTGGATGTGCCAGGTTCATAGGACTTTTCTATGTCCAGATCAGTGCTTCATATAACTCGTGCATACGCACTGTGCCAATGGGCTTTCGACCGCTTGACGTGGCCACCTGGAGCATGTATGTAACGCCACACTGCACAGGCTCAGTAATCTCTAGGCCTCTTTCCTCCTAAACTCTTTCCTTGGCGCCTCCCCTCATGTCTAATACTTCTTCATCTTCCTAGCCTGATAGGCGAACATATTGACTACGCCCTCTTCGGCGTCTTCCCCGCCGCCATCGAACCCGACATCCTCATCGCATGTGCCCCCCACCCTCCCCACAACTCCCCACACCCCTCCGGCACCACAACCCCCGCAGCATCCGTCAACGCACAGAACTTGTACGAGAAATACACGCCCACGTCTTTTGTACCGATCAGGAGGAAGTCGCTCGTTACTGCACTCGAGAAGGCGGCCGAAGGTGGGCCGACGGACGAGGAGGTGCATGTGGAGGAGTGGCATATGGATATTGATAAGAAGGAGTTGAGGTGGGAGAGTTATGTTAAGGCGGGGTATTATGTGAGTGCTGGTTATTCTGTGCAATATCAGGGGTGATATTGGTATCTTGGTCGTCGTCACAAGAGCTCCTTCCCCTCTTCTGGTTCTCTTATAACAATACCAGCTACACACTTCGTCATGATATTGACAATCCACATCTTTTTACCTCCAGGGCGTTCTCAACCGCTTCTTTGACCCCACTTCACTCTCCCCCTCTGCCCTCCCCGTACCCGTGGATCTCCTCGTAACAGGCACCGTCCCCGCCGCATCCGGTCTCTCGTCCTCGGCTGCCATGGTCGTAGCCTCGACTCTCGCTTTCCTTGCGGTTAACGATAAGTTGGAGGGACTGACGAAGGGTCAGTTGGTCGAGATGGCGATGGAGAATGAGCAGAGGGTGGGCGTTAATAGTGGAGGGTGAGTGTCATGTTTTACGGAATATCCTCTTCCTTAAGGGTCCCTTCCATCGGTTTGGATGTTGTAAGGAATTGCGCTGACCAGCTTCTGCCTGATCTCTTTTTTACGCATGCGTGGCGTTTGCTGGTGTGGCGTGTGGTACCAACCCATTCCGACACATTCACTCTGATGCTCTACAATTATATCCTCCTTCTCCTTGTCTTTCTCTCCACAATACAGAATGGACCAAGCTGCCTCTGTCATCTCGACCCCCGCATCTGCCCTTTACGTAACCTTCTACCCCAAACTCGCCGCCTCCCTCGTCCCTCTCCCCGGTTCCGCCCCTTCCACCACAACCAGCACCGCAAACGCCTCCTCACTCCCCCCCAAAGCCGTCTTCATCATCGCAAACTCCCTCGTCACGTCCGAAAAGGCTGTCTCCGCAAAATGGCGCTACAACCTCCGCGTCGTCGAAACCCTCGTCGCCGCGCGCGTCCTGGCACACAAACTCGGGCTTCCGATCGGACCGAAGGAGAGGATCACGTTGAGGGAGGTCGTGGGCCGGGTGGGCGGGGAGCCGGAGGGTGGATGGGGAGAGGGAGGGGAGGGAGAGGTGCAGTATAAGAAGGCTTTGGAGAGGATGGTTGGAGAAAGCGAGGTGTTGAAGAGGCAGGGCGGAGCGGAGGGGCAGGAGCAAGAAGGAGTGACGAGGGAGGAGATGGTTGAGATGAGCGGGTTGGACGAGAAGACGTTCAAGGAGGTTTATCTGGACCGGATCGAAGTCGAGGCGACGTATTTCCAGCTTTATAAGCGCGCGAAACACGTCTTCACGGAGGCGTTACGGGTGCTCGAGTTCAGAGACGTATGTCTCTCCGCGACGGCATCCGCCTCCTCGTCAGAAGAAACACTCGTCAGTCTCGGAAACCTGATGAAGTCATCGCAAACTTCCTGCTCATCGCTCTACGAATGTTCGTGCACTGAACTCGACGCGTTGACCGCACTCGCCGTCAAATCGGGGGCTTATGGGTCGAGACTGACGGGTGCGGGCTGGGGCGGGTGTACGGTTAGTCTCGTAAGGGAAGATAAAGTGGACGGATTTGTGAAGGCGCTGTTGGCTGGGTGTGAGGGGTATAAAGAGTTTAGGGGTGAGGGCGGGAAGGTGAAAGAGGGCTTGGAGGCGAGGTGGGGAGAGGTTGTGTTTGCGACGAAGCCGAGCAGTGGGGCATGTGGTGAGTGGTTTTTCCGCCGAACGATCCTCCATCTTTTCCACTGATTTCTGTCCTTTTCTTGCGCAGTGTATAAGTTTGAAGAATGAACGTAACTAAGGAATTGGCGATCGTCGTGGAGCACGGGTAAACCCACATTTGATATCGATTTATATCTCATGATTATCGTTGTTGTAAGTTGTAGTCTATGTGCACAATGTGTGTACTACATGTGTATAACTCCCTGTCAATGGGTTTGTCATTAGAAATTTAACCACTTCATCAAGTTTGTGTCCAATGTCTTGAGAGAAACAGGCAGACACTTCGTACTACCAAGTGAAACTTAATCCTACGACTGCTCTTCCTGTTCGAGTTGAACGCCACCCTGCAAAGGACACGAAGAAGCGATCGAGCCGGGCCGCGGGCGTGTCGCGTGTCGGAGTCTATCGGAGCCCTAAATCGGGCAAGGAAGGTTTCGTATAAGTACGGTTGTCTTTTTCTCAACTTTTTCTTCACCGTCCTTGAGCTTCAGACGCCATCCTAGCACCTACAGTCTTTACCCCTTTGACAGAATAATCTCATGCGCGAGCAACCCGGCATTGCTCTGACCATACCCGATTTTCTTTTTCTCGTGTCCCGCTAGTGGTTCGTACGGTGTCCATCTGGTCCATCGATACACATCGACGTCACTTGTTTTTGAATTTCGAAAAATAAAACGCGGAAAATAAATAGATGTGATATAATCACGAACTTGAATCAAACTACGGCTCATATATTTATAATACGTCATTTCCTCAGCTGGACCACACTGTTCCTTCCTTCCGTCTGCCAGTATGCTCGGTCTTTGCTATCGGGAATCAAACCATCAGTCGACTCCGAGTCCCTGAAACGAATCGCACCGTTTATCGCAATAATACTTCCATAATACACGAGTGGCCGAGGCCGACCGGTTAGGGGGACGGATTAGTAGTGCCAGTTTGGTCCCAGTGGTCCTTAAAATGCTTTATCTTCGTCTTACTATAACTTTGACCCGTGCGCAATGGACCCACCGGGGACGGAATGGACGCTGCACGAGGATTCAGATGCGAGGGCGCTCAGAATGTGACGATATACACTGCTCCTATGTAACTCAACTGACGATGTTCATCTGCTTGTAAGTTGTTAGGAGTTGTGAGGCTGTGCACATGTCCTAGTCAGAACTTGAACCTTGAATTGGTAGAACTCACCGGTCCAACGTAAGTAATCTCACGCAGAAACGCACGAGAGTGATTTACGAGCTAGATTGGGGACTTGGAGGATGCAACGCCGCAGGCATAATTAGTTAATGCATGTCTCGGTGTGCGAGCAGTCAGTCCGATTGGGGTTCCCTGTGTGTTTATGGTGAGGACTGAGGCGGTCTATCGTCGGTTTAGACTTATGTGGTGCTGCAGATACCACACACCTCTTGCCCACTCCATGAACAGCTTTCTCTATTTAAAGTTAATCTGCGGGATCCGTTTAGGAGAATGGCTTGATCAGCAAAATTGCTTGATCAGCGAGAGGCTAAGTTAATTACGGTCTGGAGTGGGAGAGCTTTGAACTCGGAATGAGAGCTTACTGAGCAGGAGCGGGAGAGGGGGCTGTACTAAACAGCCACAAGTCGCAGATCCTTCTAAGTTCGCCGTGCAGTGGCAGTGTCTCGATGTGGTCGATGGACGATATATGGAATCGACTTCCCATTTCTTAGATGGGTGTAGACACTGAGTGAAGACGAGTGTGGCAGTGGGACAGTGATGGTGCCCCCGGCGTTGACCTCTCCGATGATATAATGGTGGACTGCATGTTATTAGTTGCAGTCCCCAGTATTTGTCGGGGCGGTTCGGAGACCTTCAAGGCACTTCGCTGACGCACGAAGCAAAAGTGGTCAGTACTAATACTTAGTGTGCACAGATTGGATACGTCGCAGATGCTGGCTGACGTGTCGTCGGAGAATAGCGGGCTCGGTGTAGTAAATAGGAAAAGATCAGAGCTTTCGTGTTCGTCTACTCTTCACGGCTGCCACGCAAGCGCTCAAACATTCCTGGTCAAAGCGGCACGACGACGTCCACGTACCGTCTAATTCGTCTTCCAGGATCCCCCTATCCAACTTATAACCGCCAAGGACAGCATCGTAAATGTACATTGGTACAGCGTCCGAAGTCCGACACCGACGGGCCGTCGGGTAAAGGGACGACAATCACAGGCTAGCCCGAAACAAGGACGGTGGTTGGTAGGACCCCCGAAAACCCCCTCAGAGGTCTGTTCCGCCCTCTGATCTTGGGCCCCGCGTAGTCGCCGGCTCTGTGAGCTGCCCTCGTCCCCGCGCTCGGAACATACCTGTGTCCCAGGTCGATTTGGGCCCCGCGTCTTGGAATATACATCGAAAAATCCTCATAAATAGTGAATTTATTCGAGCACCGCTGGTTTCATTAGGCGAGCTTGAAAATCTTCAACTTAACCTCAACTTAACCTCAACTTACCCTAACCTAGCCTAATCAAGTCTGTCACAGTCTCGTATCGCTGATTCCGAGCCATACCGGTTCGAACAAGCAGTTTTCGGCTGCAGGGAAAGCTAGGTTGCAAAAAAATTAGGTCCGGACTAGGTCAGTTTATGGTGAGGTTAGGTTATGTTGAGGTTAGGGTGAGGTCAAGATCGAGCTTGGGGTCGCCTTCGTCCCCGCGACGGGAACAGACCTCGGCTGAAACCACTCTCGTCCCCGCGAAAAAATCATACATCTGGCCAGAATTTCCCGTCCCCGTCCCCGCGAAAATTTCGGACCGCGGCGCTGACGCGCCGCCTTCGTCCCCGCACAAAAATCAGACCTCATAGGGAGTTTTCGGGGGTCCTTGGTTGGTGCTCTCGAGAGTCGAAGCGCAGCATTCATCAAGGATCGGCCCATCGCGAGTGAGATTTTGTGTAAAGCACCATCGCATCAGACCTTCCGCATGCCGCCGCTCCGGGTTTGGTCAGCGTCAAAGGCCCGAGTCGATTTCTGTCCAAACTTACACCGTAAAGGCTGACTTATCCCCAGAATAGGGTCAGTTGTGGGCTGAAGATGCGGGTGGTGCAGATTGCCGCGCGGTTCGTCATCGCGGCAGGTCGAAACAGGAGGAGAGTAGAAAGGACTGAGTCCATTCGGCTTGCTCAGCCATAACCCATCCGTTTTCCTCTTCCTCTCCGACCACAACGAACACGAACGAACACATACCCACAGCACACGACAGAAACAGACTCACGACACCTTAACTGAAAAGACGATGTCCTCCGCCGAAGACGAGCCCCACGACGCCGAGCAAGGCACGACCCTCATTCACAACAAAAAACGCAGGGTGCAGAGGGCATGTGATGTCTGCAGACGCAAGAAGAGTACGTCCTCGCGAGTTTTCCTTCTCGAGTTCTTAACTGACAAACGTACAATGACAAAGTACGATGTATGTATCGCTCTGCTCGACCTACGTTCCTTCCAAGGCCTAGTCCAGCTGACTTTGGACGATAGGCGATGGCGCACAAATGCCGAGCACTAGATGCTCAAATTGTATTGCATATAACTACGATTGCACATATATGGAGGCTGCCAAGGTACGTCTATCACTTCCAATAGCTGCCTTCATGTCTTGACGGTGTTGTAGAAACGCGGTCCACCGAAAGGGTGCGTGGCGGGTGGAACACTGGAACACTGGAATACTGATAGGTGACCTCATAGGTATGTTGAAACCCTCGAGATGCGGCTGGAGAAGATGGAGGGTCTGCTGTCACGGGTACGTCCTCCACAATATCCGTTTCTTGTTCCAAGTTTCTCCAACTATTCCCCGTGTGGCCCTTAGCTCTGCCCCGATGCCGATTTCTCCAAAGAGCTAGGCATGACGATCGACAAGTCCAAATGGTTCCCCGAACTCCAACGTCACGGCTCAGGCTCAACATCTCAAATTCTATCTTCACACGGCGGCGGCGCTTCACCAAGCTCAATGACAGACCCCGGTGCGGTTGCCTCTCCTCCTGCCGCCAACGACGACGAGCTCCAGTCGAGCGATGACGAGTTTCTGGGACAGAGCGCCCTGCTCTCCGAATCGATGAAGAACATGCATCTCCATCCTATGTTGCAGAAACGGTTCCTCGGGAAATCGAGCGGTGCGAAGCTCGTGATGGCAGCTATTGATCTCAAGTCAGAATATTCGATGAAAGACATGGATCTTCATGCGATCGTGGGTACGAAGAGGCCCGAGTTTTGGACGGTGTTACCTGTGAGTTGCCCCAAACATAATTTTGATTTATTTTTGTGTTACTCTACCGTGTTTTCGAGTGTGAAACACGAATGTCCTGATCCATCTAATTACATCGCAGTGGGAACGCTCATGCATGGACACCCGCCACCCCCGCCTCGAATTCCCCGATCCCGACCTGCTCGCCTCCCTCATCGACATCTACTTCGAACACGTCAACCCATTCTCCGCCCTCCTCCACGCCCCATCCTTCCGGCGCTCCGTCGACGATGGCCTACACCTCCGCGACGACGGGTTCGGACAGGTCACACTGATGTTGTGTGCGATTGCGGCGAGGTTTAGCGATGATCCGAGAGTGCTGTTGGACGGAGGACATGATCAGAGTTTGCATTCGGCGGGGTGGAAGTGGTTCTCACAGGTGGAGGTTACGAGGCGGTCGTTGTTGACGCCGCCGTGTCTGTATGATTTACAGATTTATTGTGTGAGTCTCGGTTTCCCGCTCTTGTCCTGGTCTCACGCGGAGTTCTGAAACTCGGCTCATACGTGGTTTTGTGTTGGTAGCTTGCGATACTTTTCTTGCAAGGATCCTCTGTACAACACGTATGTTGGACCATGACAGGCGTCGGGATCAGAATCGCACAGGATGTAGGTGCGCATCGGAGGAAGGTGTATAATACGAAACCAACCGCGGAGGACGAGCTTTGGAAGCGTGCGTTCTGGTGAGTCTTGACTTTTTTCTTAAGTACCCCACTACTGCAGCCTGGTGCTCGCTAATACACGTGTTTGAACGCGAAGGTACCTCGTAACACAAGATAGGATGATGAGCTCCGGTATGGGGCGGCCGTGCGCTATTCAGGTATGTCTATCTCCTCTTTCAATGCGTAGCCCCTATCATGGTCACGTGCCTATTCTAACCACCATCTCTTCCTCATCATCGTTACCTCTCAACAGGAAGAAGAGTAAGTGTCTCCCTCCTTACCGCCAATCCCCTTCCGCTCGCCCTTTCTTCATTCGAGATGCTCGCGACATATACTCAAACCGCACGAATGGCTATACGGTTAAATATATAACCATTCATTCTACATAGCTTCGACCTCGATGTGCCTATCGCGTGCGACGACGAGTATTGGGACGATCCGGATCCGGAGAAGGCGTTCAAGCAGCCGCCTGGGAAGCCGTCGAATATGGACTTTATCATTTCGTTGTTGAAGTTGGTGCAGATTATGGCGTTTGCGTTGAGGACTATCGTGAGTGCAATGTGCTTATGTTGGACCCTTCAGAGCTCTTCGACATCTCGACATGTCTTCTACCTTGACGGAGGATTGCTTTGTCGTCCTCGAGATACTGCACTTGATATTGGCTGACTAGACGAGTGGCTGACTGTGTTGTTGTCGTGACGTTATATAGTACGCGATCAACAAGTCGAAGGTCCTCCTTGGGTTCGTGGGTTCAGAGTGGGAACAGCACATCGTCGCGGAGCTTGATTCGGCGTTGAACAAATGGATAGATTCCATTCCTGAGCATCGTAAGCCTCCTCTCTCTTATTCCACTTTCACCTTCACATCGCTCCACACCTCCACCCACCGCTCACTTCACTCACCCACTACTGCACACAGTCCATTGGGACCCCTCCCGCGAAGATCCCACCTTCTTCCGGCAATCCGCTGTGCTCTACTGCACCTACTACCACGTACAAATCCTCGTCCATCGACCCTTCATCCCCTCACCCCGCAAACCGTCGCCGCTCTCGTTCCCTTCGCTCGCGATATGCACGAATGCGGCGAGGTCGTGTAGTCATGTCGTCGAGGTCGGGCTGAGGAGGAATTTGCCGATGCCGGTGGGGTATTTCCAGGTGCGTTTTGTTCAGCTTAGGTTTCTGTTTATTGTTGTTGCACCCGGTGCTGATCAGTGCGCTTTGACGTGTCATGTACGGTAGATCCCGGCGTTTGTGGCGGGGATCGTATTGTTGTTGAGTATATGGGGAGTCAAGAGGAGTGGGGTGAGCATCGATCCGGGGAAGGAGATGCAGGATGTGCATAAGTGTATGCAGGCACTCAAGGTGGCTGAGAAACGGTTCGTCGTTCTGTGAATTGATCGCGTACACGATTTTTTTAACCCATGAAATATTCCAGATGGCACGCTGCCGGGAGGTTATGGTACGTGCTTTCTTTTTTCAATGTTAAGATTTCGTCTTGCGCGTTGGCTAAATAATTCTTCATAAACAGGGATATCCTCTTCGAACTTGCCTCCCTCAGCGACCTCCCACTACCCGCACCCAGCCCAGGCTCCGCCAAACGTCAACGCGACTCCGACAGCCCTGCCCCCTCCCTCTTCCAGCAGCAAACCTCACCCTCCGTCCTATCCCCTCTCAGCCCTCATTTCAAACCCATGGCCGCCGGCACTGGCTCCGAGACTACCGTCCCTTCTGACACGAGCTCACGACAATACGCCGGTTCGAAGCGAGTCCCCAAATCTCACAAACAGAGAGAATCTTCGTCTTCCAGGTCGAGCTCTGTCGGACCAGGCATCCAACCGATTCCACCGCCGAATGTTCAACATCGGTCTCAACAGCAAACGCCACCGCTACCGCACCAGACCCCCTCTTCGACGTCGGGATTTCCGTACGCTACTCTCCCGATGCATAGCGATGAGTTGAGAACGGTACCCGCGGGAATGAATACCGCGTATGCGGGCTTCGCTAGGCCCTCTATCGATCCCGTGACGGGGAACTGGTCTCTCCCTGGAACGCCTACGCAACATACGGCCAACGTCGCAGGACCCTCGCCACGAGCTAATGGTGGCGGCGATGGGGGCGTGTCGTTGTTGAACGGGAGGTCGTTCACGTATCCGTTCGGGTTTGGACCACCACCTTCGGGTTCTTCGGGGGCGAACGACCCGATGCTCAGCCAGGAAGCTACGGAGATGGGGCTTAGAGGTGGGTTTACGGATTTCGGTGGGGGTTTGAATGGGGGAGGAGGCGGCGCTGGGAATGGGGTTGGGTTTTTCGGGTCGGGGGCGAGTAATATGTTTGGATTCGATTCGCCCATGTCGGATGAGTCTCGTCAGGGTGGTCAAGGTGCGCAGCCGATGATGAGCATCACGGATACTGGGACGGGTGCTGGCGCTGGAGGGTATGCAGATCTGATGCAGGGGTTGGTTGGCGGGTCTGGCCATGGCGGTATTGGAGGCTCGGGGGCAGGACAGACGCCGTCGAGAGTTGGGTCTGGCCAGGAGACCGCTCAGGCGGAGTTGGAGGATATGATGAAGATGTGGTCGAGCATGCCTGCTGGGTTTGAGTACGTCCACTTCTCTCCTTCGGTTTTATATAACTGCCAAGAGATCTAAGCTAATTCGGCGGTGTCCTCTCATGGAAGGTTGGAGGACTGGGATACATATATGACGAATTTCTCGGGTATGAGCCAGTTCCCCATGCAAGGGACTAGTTCAGACACAGGCCCGTCTCCTCAAAGTTGAATAGGTATTAGGTGCAGTAACAGCACGCAGTAGAAGTCCCTTCTTAGCTAGTAGATCGCTTGAAGCCCGTTGTAGCATCCGTCTCCTTATCTTGTTATTGATTGTTTTCCTTTGCTGTCCCATCTGGTATATAACTTACCTTCACACTGTATTAATTTACTCTCCCTCCTCGCTTGCTCATCGTTCGCTTTCTGTCTGTCTGTCACCCTGGTCCCCGACGCCAAGGTCAGCGCTAGAACGCTTCACTCACATTCTATCTTTTCAGGTCTTGTCGGTATACGCTTTTCCTGATTTTGTATCCTTTGATTCAATACCATGCTTGATTTGCGTCGAGCCGTAAACAGTACCTACAGGACGTATTTGCGTCGATGCTTTATTCGTTCACAGCCTTCGCCAATCAATATACACCATTCAGCCTTTCACTTCAATACGATACTGAAGCCTCTGAATCGTTCACACCAGGCGGGACGGAGCCCCTTTCACCATGGACTCGACCTTCCTTCCTACACGAACGTGCTAGGGCGGCCCGTGGTGTACTCATGCTTCCAACATGTTGGAACCGTTCTCGTGCTCAAACTTTCTCATAATAGGTCTCATCTTCTGTTTCTTTCATATTTCCCGCGTACTATCTGCACTGACATCCAGGCACGCAAGGCCCGGGCGACGTTCTGAAGGTGCAGATGTGGAGAACATCATGAGCAGGTGGGCCTTTCTTCACCTCATGCGTCCTATATATACTCATTTTCGAGTCTCATAAAAGCAGGGGGTTCGATTTCGATGAACGGCCCCAGAGGATCCATCTCCGAAGTCAGACACCATGTGGACTCTAGGGCGACAAGTACTGATCCTGTGTAGCCTTGGGCTGCTGGCTCGAGCGAGCTTGTTCGACGACATCTTGTCGGCCTTGCAGAATGCGACGGACTGTGCGTCATGCCAATCTGTGTTGCTTCCTCCGCTGCAAACGTTAGCGAACCTGGGAGACGATGCTTGGGTAGGGAATATGACAGCTGTCTGTCAGACGCTGCAGGTGAGCATACATGTCATGTATCTCCATTTTCCTTCATATTTTTCTGAATAGATCCTTAGCTTGCGGACGACGATGTGTGCGCTGGAACATTCAACAGATCTGGAAGAATAATATCGCATGACCTTCGTCAGATTTCACTGAACGGGACAACTGCGGTGAAGCTCTGCGATGCTGTGTTTGGTCTTTGCCAGGTTCGGTTCCGCCTATGCTCCTGTGTCAAGTCTTTTTTGTTGACATATATTGCAATAAAGCCGCCGCTAGTCACACCCTTCAACGTTACCTTTCCGAAACCTGCTCCCACTAGCGCCACAAAGTTCATCTCCTCCGGCCGCCAGCCGTTCCAAGTCGTCCATATCTCCGACGTGCACATCGATCGGTCGTACACAGTCGGTGCAGATGCCAATTGTACGAAGAATATATGCTGTAGGAACTTTGCGGACGAGACTGGTCCTGTGTCAGAACCAGCGCAGCCGTTTGGGAACTCGCATTGCGACAGTCCGGGTATTTTGGCGCAGAGTTTAATTGAGGCTATGAATGAGATCGGAAATGATGCGCTGTTCTCGATCTTTACCGGAGATGTCGTTGAAGGTGAGTATCTTTGCCGTTTACTGAGCGAGATTTTGAAGTTGATTTGGTGATGTGGCGCCACTTCTTACTAGGTGCCACCTGGCTCGTCACCGAGAGGTTCGTGTGCGCATGAGGCGTAGACTAGATCGTTCCACCTGACGAAAAGGTTTAGGGAGGTTACGAACGATCTCGCAGATTGGAATGAGCAGATGGCGGCGTCTCTCAACCTCACTATCTTCCCGTCCATTGGTGAGCACTCGCGTTCTTACTTTCGAGCTGGCCAGGCAATTGCTAATGCCCTGGGTCTGGGTGTAGGAAATCAGTACGCCGTTATATACTCTCTACCGAGAGCGGCTTTGACTGGGTGTCTGGTTCCTATTTATAGCGACTCTGTCCCTGTCAACAGCTTCCCGCGAAACACGTCGTCAAGTGGGGTGCATGCCACAGATGACCTGTTTGTTTTCGACACCCAAAGCGCAGGGTGGGAGGTGTGTCTCATGCAAATATTCATCCTCCCTTTGTGATTTGATTATATTTATGCCTTTTGCACGATCAGAAATGGATTAACGCGACGGCCGCGGATCAAGTAGACCACAATTCTGGCTCCTACGCCATCGTTGTCCCAGGGACTAGCCTCAAGTACGGGTATCCGGTTGTTGTATTTTGCTGTCGCTGACCGTTTGGGTTAGGATCATCTCCATGAATACGCAATACTGGTACAAACAGAAGTAGGTCTTGCTTGTTATACATGTCATGCGCCATGTCTGATGAACTTCAAGCTACTGGCTTTACGACTCTGACGAGCAAATGTGCGCCTCTTTCAAATATTTTTGCTGCGCTATTCTAGTTGAGAACCACTATCTTCGCAGTTCGGACACGAACGGTCTTTTTGAGTTCATGGTCGAACAGCTTCAACAGGCTGAAGATGCGGGCCAGCGCGCATGGATAATCGGTCACATCCCGTCTGGGAAGGCAGACTTGCAGCATGATTTCGTACGTGAGATGCCATTCTCAAACAATCATCTCGCTGATGTCGAACCCACCAGTCAAACTATTACAATCAAATCGTTCAGAGGTACAAGAACACAATCGCGGCGCAATTCGCTGGGCATAGTCACAAAGTAGGTGACTGCATACTGCGCTTTCCTACTCATCAGATGGGCCACTGCATTGAGCATGCATGTTGTCTTGTATAGGATCAATTCGAGATCGCGTACTCTGATTTTGACAACCAGACTGCAGAGACGGCAGACAGCATCATCTTTATTGGCCCAGCTCTCACGCCCACAAGTACGCAAGCAGTGCTGAGTTATATCCACTTGCTAATATCATTCGATATGATAGGTGGCAATCCTGCCTTCAAGTTCTATGATGTAGACCCAGATACCTTCGAGGTTATGGATGCCAAGGTTTTCATGGGTGAGTTTTATGTTTACTCGCCGCGAGACTTTGCTTAAACATATCTTACACCTAGCCAACATTTCCGACCCAACCTTTCAGACCGCTGGTCGTAAGTCGCTCCTCGTGATACTTGGATCTGCCCCTGACACACACTCTTCATCATAGCGACTTGGGAGTTATACTACTCCGCCCGCGAGTCTTACGGAGATCTTGTTTCTGCTTTCACAAATACCACTCTCGCGCCTACCGATTCTCTCAATGCTTCTTTCTGGCACACCCTGACCGAGGTCTTCGAGTCAAATGATACTGCTTTCCAACTTTGGAACACGAGAATAAGTAGAGGCGGGGCGGTGACTCCCTGCACTGGCGACTGTGTCTCGACGACCATATGCGACATGAGGTCCGCAAGGTCCGAGAATAATTGTGTATGTCGATTGTTGGGCGTTGCATCCGTCTGAATGTACTCTGACGACTCTGCGCTAGGATGTTTCGACACCAGGGCTCGATCTAAGGCGCGACGTGAGGTCGGTCGGGAGACGTAGCGAGAGTTTCGAGTGTGAAGGTGGCAGTATCGGGGATTTGTTAGGCGGTTTTATTGATGATGTTAACAGTGACGAGGTATGTGCTATACTTCATCTTCTTTCCATCTACTGACATTCGTCCGACCAAGTCGGTTGTGAGGACAAGAGCTCTGCAGAAGCTGAACCTCGAGCGGGATATTGCTTGAAGTATTTCTCTCCGGTGCAGTATTATGAACGACCCAGCACGACAAAGTGTTCATGGTATGCGTTGTTTGTGCTTCAGATCAATGATATTGTATTCACGATGGGAAAGGCAAGCATAGAGCTACCGTGCATTTTTTCTGGAAGCTGTTCTTCAAGCTTTCAGAGCACATGATGCTGGCCTCCTTCCTTTTGCGTTGCATAGAGCCTCTTCTGCCCTGTAATGGGCACATGGGTCGTGAACCAAAATGTTACTGAATGCTCGTACTCACGCGTGCAACCTATGCATACATACACAACCGCATCCAGGTTTTATAAAGAGAATACTCTCTGATCGACATGTTCACGAGACAGGCCACCAGCGGTTCTCATGATTGGCAACACATCGCTTTGCACCGTGCTGCTTATCCTCCCCAGCACGATATCATCATGTCGCGCAGACATTTTCTCTAATATCATAGTCGCTCTTGATAATGCGGTAGATTGCGCATCTTGTCAGTCAGCGCTCTTGCTTCCTATGAAAATAGCACTGGACCTCGGAGATGACGCGTTCGCCACAACATTCACAACAATCTGCGGAACTCTACTGATATCCTCTCCTCTACGTCACATCTCGCTAACCGAGTTTATATTGGGAATATACAGCTCGCAGACGGCGAAGTGTCTGTGGAAACATACAATAACACCCCCACTCGTTGGAACCTGGGCAAGTCCGTCTCTGGTCTGTCAGGTACATTGTCCAGTGATATCTCCAGGTAATATTCGTGAGTGCTTATTGGAGGTCTCTTGATATTAGCTTGAACCTCCGGGACGGCGTTCTCGATATTTGCTGCTAACGCCAGATGATTAGGCCGAGTGGAATGACTCACAAATGAAATTTCCGACGCCGTCATGGCTCTCGACTAATTGTTTGCGAACGTGCTCCACAGCCGACGTCCTAGAAGTTCCAAGTATGGCTCTGCGGGTGTTCCCAGACCGAAACAGAGAGTGTCTGCTCCTCGATCTCTATACATATTAGAATACCAACGTGCCCTGCCTGATCCATCATATAGCACCTAATTAAGTCAGGTGATTTCACAGTTCAGACGACTATCGCTTGCGCAAATCATCAGATACACATACCAGATGCCCATCTCCTTGCAAGCACAATTTCGCATTTCGATCGTCTACCTCCGGCCCCGCCTCAGCATCCCGAACAATATCGCACACGACCTCAAACCTCGACGAATCCAGAGGCCACCTCAACGGCATCTGCACCTCTCCCCGAACACGCAGTACCACGAACCTCCTATTCGGCGCCAGAGTCCAAATCAACGCACCGCCGCCAGGAATATCCGGTGTAGGGCGAGCGATATATTGTCCAAACTTCCATTCTCGGACAGGAGAGGCCGTGTAAGAAGAAGCGTAGAGAAGGTCTCCCGCAGGGGAAGTAATGCTGAGCAATGGCTGATTTTTTGAGGCGGAGAAGATGAGACGTGGGGCCGATGGACGCTTGGAGTCGGAGGGTGGCAGGTACGACGGAACGTGTGGCGTCAGGTCGTACCAAATTGAGTGAGGGTCTTTAGAGTCAACGACGCAGAGTTTACCGCTTGCGGTGAAATGTAGCATCAAATTCTCGAAACCTGGTCGTGTGGGGTCGACATGACGTCTGATACCAGCTTCCCACAGGATCTTGTCACTGACATGTTCGCACTCTTTCGCCGTGGAGATGCAGAGTTCGGCATCGTCGCGGAAGGTTATGGTCATGCCCAGGAGGTGCAGTGACTGGCCGCGATGCAATTTGAGGTCACCACCATCGTACACGAGGATCTTGGATGGGCCAGGTTCGATGCGAAGTATACCCCAAACTTTACCCTGGATAAACTCCGGCTGCAGCCTCAACGTACCCATATCTGGTTCTTCGCTATCTGAGTTTCCGTATCTGTCATGGACGAAAGCGCCAGGACTGGCGTTGAGACACTCGGGCAACGTGCCGGAAATATCTCCACCGTAAATGACACTAGGATCGGAGACGTTGTCGAGGCACGTCCAATGGGCGATATCACTCCCGACGGGATAACCATACCCAATCGTACCTTCGCCGAGTCCATGACCTGCGCCTGGAACATAGGTAAGGTCGCGAGTGATGCGGTTGTGGGAGACGGTACCGCCGTAGTTGACCTGACGCATGTGGGGAGCCGACCAGACCGAGAGACCCTGACCGATCCCGATCTTGAGCATCGTTCCTGTGGTGACGATGGTGTTGTGGTCTACACGGGTAAAGTTGTATTTGCCGTTGACTGAGTGTGGATGTGGATTCATGAGTATGCAGCTCCGGGCATTCGAAAGCAAGAAACTCACGGTGGTCTACCATATTGATGGCGCCTTGACCAACACGACTCTTCGTGACCACGGTGTTCGAGGTAACAAGCGTTCCGGTTGTGTTGAATAACACTACAGTATCGTCAGACTAATCACGTCTCATCTGTCGAAATAAACCATACCTATGCCTCCGCGTGTAGTATCGGTGATAAGGTTCCCCGCGATCAAGCCATCTGCAGCCGCAAACGAAATGCCATCGGCAGAATGACCTTGTTCAATGTCACATCCGGCACCAGCAGGGCCAACGAAATTGTTCGTGATGCGGACATTGTGAGCACCGTCGACCGCTTGAACACAAGATCGATGTCTTGGGTTACGAATGACGCAGCGATCAAGAACCTATACTCTCCAGTAAGATTCGATGGGACGTCTCAGGCAAAGAAAAGGAAGAGTTGACCTGGTTATGCGCTTTTTGTCCACCAAGCTGAATGATACAGCCACATTTTTCGTCCCACCCATATCTCTCCTTATTACCTTCGAGGATCAAGTTGCGAATTCGAACACCAGATTTGTCCAATGCGTGGATGACATGAGGAATGCAATCCTCCTGTGCCACTAGGAGCGCCATATCATCGTGCGAAGTGGGATACCCGAGTGTCGCGATCTCTTGATATTCTTGTAGAGTAATGGTCTTGTGGATACTCCACGTCGTTCTGGCGGGTAGGTATAGAGTAGCTGAAGGACCGAGCTCGTCTAGAGCGTTCTGGATGCTTGTCGACGTATATCCATTCTCAGATGAAGGCTCCAGAATGAGATACCTATTATTACAAAAACGTCAGTCAGCGTGTAGCTAGGAGTTCTGAGTATCCTGATACCTCAGTAGAGGATACCCAGGAAGCTCCGGAGTAGGAAAATCCCCTGGAGCGTAGATGGCGCCAGCTTTAAAGCGAGCAATACGTGATTCCGACGACGAAGGACTTGGGCAGCTAACAGTATCAACAAAGTCTCTGCTTCCGCTGGACAGAGGTGGCGTCCGGGTTTGCGGACCATGTCCTAGATTGCTTCCTCCGCGTGAAGGTGATCGCGCGTGCTGGGACGGGGACTGAGGAGCAGCGAACGTTATTTGGCCCATGTATATCTTCTTCACTGTAGTATCGCGTCAGATTTATGCAAATGGATGTTACAAACTGCCACGATAGAAAGGGGTACAGCTGAGGCTGCGTACTAGGAGGCCAGCCGCAAGTTTGCGTCAAGGCTTTGAGTTCAACGTAAGTAATTACGCTCTAGGAGATAAAGTCAGAAGAATAAGAATTCTGACATCCAAGATGGACATAGAAGATTTGGGAAATACTGACTTCAAGTCAGTATAAGACGACTCAAAGATGGTGGTCAGAGGGCAAACTCCTGCGTGGTGGTTGTCCGTCTTGCGCCACACTTACGGAGACGGCCGGACGCGCAGTTTGAACCTTAAAGGGACATCCCATTGTTCTACGACAAATCACTGCCCTGCTACACTCAGGCCTGTTCAGGGTCGTGGCCCACGAACGGATGATCGCATTGGTTTCTGTATCTACTCCCATGGAGCTGAATGCTTATGCCCGGATCTGCAGATACATGGTGTCGGCCGCCGTAACTTTCTTGCAGTGAGAAATCCCAGCAATATGGGAGCTCTGCTATTACTCCGTCGCCCGAGACTCCTACGGCTCCTCTCGTCTCTGCTTTCACCAGCCCCCTCGGGTCAATGTCACCCACCGACTCTCTTGACCCCTCGTTATGGCGTGACGAGGCTGATGCAATTCAACATTTTAGGAGTGGGATACGAGTTCAAGTCGAGGAGTCAAAGTTGTGGCTTTCACGGGCGATTGACGATGTCAATCATATGTGACATGCGGGCTGCGATGTCGGAGAATAACTGCGTAAGCAACTACCTTTCTCCCTTGGGGGCTGCTCAATTCTCGCAGGTCAAACTGTCAAATGAAGCTGGTCAAGGTCAAGCTGGTCAAACTCTACCCGCACATGGGCTCGTTTGCCGAGTTGCGCCACTCTCGACCTGCTCATTCTGCCACAGACGTGCAAATTTCATCAAGAAATTCTGTATTGCATGCCCCTCTTCGTAAAAATCAGTACAAAATACGTCTAACCCGAGCACGCACAGGTCCGCTCGAAGAAAAATCCTGGACTTATCCTACCTAGTGAATACAAACTGCGTTGGACAGTTTATACAGTATGCGTCTCCCCGTGAGAACCACTCGATGATGAGGTGTTCGCGAAGTAGCGGGACTCTTGCCGACTCCACCTGCATCGCTTCGCAGAGTTTGACCTGCTCGAGTTTGACTTGACAGTTTGACCGGCCAGAATTGAGCAGCCCCTTGTCATCTCAGGTTGTGCTCAGGGTATCCACTAGCGTGACAAAGGACATCACGGCAGCTGGAACGCAAACGAAGCACGAGATTGTCAAGTCAGGTGAGAGCGACGAGGCTTGTCCCACATTGCACAACTGCGGCAGGGTGACCATCGGCGTCAGCTTGTCTCGTTGTCCCTTCCGCCCAGTCTTTGTGAGAGTGTTTAGTCAGCATGGCGTACTAATTGACTTCGATAAACCCCCAGTATGGTAGGAATTCAATAGCCTTCATTGTAAGATGGACTTCGCGGGGACCACTCGGATGATGGGTTGATGGAGACTCATTGGGCGATTGAAATCGCCGCCGGATGGGTAGTCTGCGCTACGATGGGGACGCAGCGAGTAAATATCATTGGGTAGTGGCTCATCTCAGGCCAAGTGGTCTAACGTTGACATTCGAGAACTAGGAAGCTACAAGAGAAATTCCAGCAAGCGGGCCCGAAGGGTACAATGTGTGAGCACACCCAACGACTTCGATCTTTCGTAGATTCTCGTCGAGCAGTCGCGCCGCATCCTGCACTTCTTTTGCCGCGATATAGCGGCCCACCTTGCTTCCTTATCCGTCAATAGTTAATGTCTATAAGGACTGGTTTAAGGCAAGTTGTGCAACCCTCGGTTCCAAGAACATTCACAGTGGACTCGATATGAGGACACTCCACAAGGTATGTAGCGTGTTCTGATCAAAGACCTCCATGATGCACTTTGGATGCACTCGAATGATGCCATCAAGGTCAACGCTGAATCATCCAAATGGACTTTTAGTGGTTGTTCAAATATTCTCAGCCTTCGCTGTGTCATGGCGCAAAAAATGTTGGCCGTGGGCAACGATCGGATTCGATGGGTTCCGTAATTTAGATGGGGTTTCCAAAGGTTCGAAGAGGCGCCGATATTTGAATAGATTGGCGCACATAGTATCGGGAGGCAATCGGGAGGCAATCGGGAGGCAATCGAAAGGCAATCTGGGATGGACGGTGTCATCAACTTGAAGACGCCACAAAAACGAACTCCCTGGATCATGGTTCTTACCTGTCGTCACTCTGTGTAACTTACGTCCATTATACGGGCTTAGATGCGGCCGCCGTGGCCCATGCTATTAAACTGTCAAGCAAGGTATCGTATCGAATAGTATGACGGTATGATGGGGTAAAATAACATATAGTCAAGGCTTTGTGGCACCATGGCACGCTACGCATTTAATTATAGGGATGAGTCAAAGCAAATGAATGAATATCACGAACGTCGAAAGGCTTTACCAATGACGTCTTCAATAAGCTATCTGTGCTCAATGAACCTTTGCAGGCCGCATTGAAACGAAGCGCCAGCGGATCAACCTGGGTATTGTGATCAGTAGCGACGAAACCTCACTCAAGTTCGCGTACATTCGAAAATGGCCCTCCCAGCCCAAGTCACGTCGGGCCCGTCCCTGTCCCGTTGCACCAGCGCAGTCTATCCATACCCCTGCTAGCACTGCGTTCCCGGACCGTGTCTCATCATCGAACCTCTCTCCAAGCTATCAGAGTCGTTCGGAGGTACGAACGATGACGAGCCCTGCCACGTTCCGATCCTCGATGCGCCCAACAATGCCGGTACACCATGCGCTCGAAATGCTGTATTCGTGGATGAATGTGGATGTGGAAGCGAATTGTCCATCACAGCTGTAAACGGGCCCGGGTGGAAGTGACGATGTGGAAGGTGGATCTCGTCCGAATGGTTGAAGTAAGATGGTGGTGGCGGTGATCCTGATACTGTGTCCAATGCTTCGTATAGACTGCTGCCGACAGGAAGGTTCGGCGCGCTGAATTCACTGCTAGAGGCAATGGAAGACGGTGGCGTTGAACCTAGCTGCAGCCCGTGCCTGAATCCTTGGTCGGCGTCAACGCCACTCCAAACCCTATGGTCTGCCTTCCACCCTACTCCGAGCGTGTCCATCCGCGTCCTCCAACCCATCACCACACTTTCCGCCAACTCTACACAACGCGTGGACACATGAGGGTGCCGGTTGTATGAAGTTGATATGGTCTCGTGCATCTTCTTCAACAATCCCACCATCGCCGCTAAAAGCCTGTCCGTCTCTTCGTGGAGTCTCGCCATAGCCCCCGGGTTATCCTCTGTGACGGTCTCAGGTGGAAACTCCGAGTCCCCAAATCCAGCTCTGGTTCCATCCGTTGCTACCTGTAGATCCACCAGCATCTTCATCGCGTCCACCGCAAAGAACCACACCTCATTCGGAGCGGCAGTACTCTCCCTCCGTATTCTCCTTGCCTCATCCTCTTCTGACCCCTGCCCATCGCTCTCGCCTATGACGTCCCAGCCTCTCTGCCCTGCCTCCAAGAAACGTCCTAGGAACCGCTTTGCCGACTGTATCGCTAAAGGGGCCCAATTTGCGGGGTAGCTAACACGAGAGGCATGGAGATGGGCATCGACGGTGTGTAGGAAGTCGTATACGTCGCCGGTTTGACAAGTGGAAATGAGTCGGGAGAGGACCTTGAGGCGGTAGAAGTCACAGGTCCACAGAAGGAATGGGAAACGGATGGAACAGGGACCAGGGGCACTGGCTTGATACAAGATAGATATCAGATACAATTTCCGCACAGTAAATTCATAAATATAATGGCCAAAAATTGGAGACATACCCATGAAGGTTGAATAATCTGTCTCCCATGCATCCATTCTTGACATAAACGTTTCGGAGTGTCTCGTTAATGCGTCAAGCCATCCCGCTCTATTTCCTGGCGTAAAGGCGCTCGGGCCTGGGACGTCTATACCGGAAGCAGCGATTTGAAACAGGGTACTGCGGTATATGAACACGGCGTCTCTCGAGGAAGGGCCACTGGAAGCATCTGGTGTACCGAGGATGAAAGAAAGGGGTACTTCTGGAAAGGGGGAAGGGAATGGAGGGGAAGATACGGCGGTGTGGATATTGCACCTGTTTTTGGGAGATAGAGTTGGGCGTCAGGTCGACGGTCACGAGAATTGTATAAATCACAAACTCTGTCTGCTGTGAGCACAAGGTATAATACTGTATCATCGCATCAGCGTCATCACTTGAGACTAGGTTGTGGTAGCTCTAAGGAGTCGAAGAGGACTTACCAATCTCGCCTTCTTCAACAACCTCTGCCTTTCTTGCTCCTCAATTTCTATGCCAAACACGCTCGCTTGCTTTAATACCACGACTGCCCTATCCAATCCTATCGATCTCGCCATGTTCCGCGCTAGCGCCTGCAAGCTGCATTGCGCTTCCCACAGGTGGGGAATCGAATTTGCGGAAGAACCTCCCACGATGCTCGGAAGCTCATTAGTGGTGAACGGAAACCAAAGGCTAAGGATCGAGAGGGCTTGGATGGTGTCAACGTTGAGAGTACCAGGGTTGGCGAGGAAGCATGTGAGTAAGCGAGATTGGAATGTGGGCAGTAGATGTTCAAAGATGGAGGTGGTTTGAGTGGAAATGTGTCGTGAAGCGAGGATGTAGACTGTGGAAAGCAGAAGGGCAGACTTGGGCGGCAAAGGGACGGAGAACGAGAGCCACGGCTGGTAGTAGTCTCGAAAGCTATCGACAATCGTCAGCATGCACTTGCTCCCTAGCAATCTCGCAGAGGCAGGGCACGGCTTACATCTGAAACAACTCTTCACCGAGCTTGGAGGAGACCGTACCATCCATGGACAGGTCTCGGAAGTCGGTTGAAGTATGCGCTAACTTCACGTCGTGCTCCAGAAGAGAGACCCTGCCAGCGAGACAAGAATCCTCGAAGTATCCTCCGGCAGTAGACGTGCTAGGCGAAGTCGATGTCGTAGAGCCTGTTGTACTAACAGCACTGTCGGACACGCGAGGGACCGACCGTTCTGAAGAAGCCGATGAACCGGATGGCAAGTCTTGACGAACGAGAAGGGTAGCGACAGTGGCTTCCAGGGCGACGACGCGGGCTGATAGATCACGGTATACTTGGTCTGAAGAAGCATCGTTCCTGCTCGCGATACTTCTACGATGGTCCTCTGCATTGGAGGGATGTTGTGAGTTCTGGTCGGAGTCGCGCTCTTGGTCAAGAGAAAGGAGAGCGGCTGTCTCTTCTTCGCTGTCAAAGACACAGGTCAGGTTCATCGCGCGACAGCGCTGGCAGACATGGTCGTGACCTAGATTGTATACATAATCATCGGTGTCCACAGCATGAGTCAGAGGCGAATGATTCGTGGTGATTGGTGGAAAATAGGTGGCCCACTAGGGCTTGTGTAAAGACGAACTTACCAAATCGATATTCACACTTGCATTTCTGCTTCCTACATGCGAAACACGCACGAAGAGATTTGGCTCTCTTGGACGGGAGACACGTTTGGCGAGAGGGACTGGGTCTCTTCGGGAGCCCCGAGTTCATCTTGAGTTCTAATCTATCCCGGTTGCGCTTTGTGAGCGATAACAAGGAAAACAGTTGGAAAGCAGATCTTCCACGATTACCACTCACCCGTTCTCCAAAGCTCTGCAACTCGAATCGAAGGTCCTTTGGTGGCTCGAGCGAGAGATTAAAGCGTCAAAAGACTTTGTCCCTCGACGAAGTGTAGACCTTTATTTATGGACATGCTGATGGGGCTGCGTAAACTGCATAAAGACGGAGACTACCACGTTGTTACGGTTCGGGGTAATTCTTGAAGCGAAGCGCTCTTACGATCCCGATCCATCGCTTCATAGGCAAGGAAGAGCTGGTTGGATGACTATGATCCAACTTCGAGAGCTCGGTTCGTGGGGCTCTCAGCGCTTCTGCATAGCCATCGCAGACGAAAATGGCAATCCACGGAAGACGCTTCCGAGGCCTCTTCGTGCACTATCAGCACCGGTTAAAGAAGGTTTGGGCCAAACTGTGCGGACAAGGTTGGCGACAGGGCCTCCCAGTAAATGTCGTAACTTCAATTTTCAAAAGTTGATGTGTTGTGATGAGAGCGAGAAACGCTGTTGCCGAGGAGCAAAAGTCCGATAGAACAGAGAGAGAATGAACTTCGGAGGAAAAATATCAAGCACAAGACCCAGCATAGTAGTAAGGCGACAATATCCAGAATACAATCGTCCGAGAATGAATGTGCAAATGAGATAAACATTGCCGTCGGCCGATCGTGTTCGCGGGGTTTGCCGGTTTACATAAGACGTCCAATCAGGTCGAGCAAAGGTGAAGGTGGCTGGTTTGATCATCACCGAGTGCTTCGTACACTCATGTGTTGTATTCTGCCCTGCATCTCTTCCAACTACATAAGAAGAACATATCCGTAATGATCTGCTTTACAATAGCTCCATTCAGAGAGAAACAGCAGTCACTGCTGCTTACTGGCAGGCAGTCGCAGCGGCCTCCGATCGTCCCAGTGAGGCCGAACATTCCCTCTCGTTGATAAGGATACTACTACGCTTCGTTGACTCTTCCTCTCTCTTCAGCGGATCGTTCACACCATGTTAGTGAGGCTTGGAACTCTCCCTGAATTGATCTTCACACAATCATCTCTTTAGACTCGGACACGCGATAAGTACCCCCATAAACTGGCTCATTTCAACTTGTCAAATCCGTACTGAACATCCCTCAGGCTGCGAGCTCTCAGACTGGTCATCATTCTTGAACGTAACTTTATATCGACAGACTTTTTTTGCACGTAGGCTTCCTACAGGCTTGTTGTATGTCAGAAGACTGACAGAGAGGAACCCTGCTTTGTGTTAGAGATTCCCGCTAACACTACATGAAGTCTAAGTACTGTTCGTTCAATCTGGGTTGTGACTTTAGAAGTTCGAAAGGTAATCGACTACGTGCACTTACGTTAGTGCACATCTGTACGGCCAACCCCAGACGATCCTTCTCGCTGTGATCCACGGAATACTTTTTGGCCAACGGCCATCATAGGTGGGTACGCCGGCTTTGGGTGGGTCGAATGAGTTGTACCGGGCTTCTACAGATTTGTCAAGCATCTTGCCCACAAGGATATTATATGATAGCCTGTATTAAGTACTGCACCGTCGGACACCTATGGACACCCAAAGGGACTGGCGGAAGGATCATGCCCTTCTCCGAGCGCCCGTACTTGTTGGGATAAGTACATACGCCCTCCGCATTGTCATCAGGGGTTGCGCATGAATTTATGGACTTTCCTCTTCCAGCCATAGGTGGCCACTTACCGGAGGCAGCTAGTAGCCTTTCTTCTTTGGCCCCTTACCCTCTATCTATATCGCTTCGCTTCCGATTGCTTTTTCCTCCATTCTAAATAGGTGTACAGTAATTATTCTGCGCGCTCTCTATGCCAAGAAACCTAACCTGTCATCCGGCTCAGCGCTCTCCGAAGCGGCAGATCATCAAAGTTCATCCATGCACGCTTTGCCGCCCAACGTTTTCATATCCTTTGCAACGCTCCAAGAGAGAACCTCACAATTCGTGTGTCGGTTCTTGACTTCTCCATTGATACGCTCGAAGTCGCGGTTATTCATTATCCGCAATGCGCGCTCTACCAATTCCACCTAGAAGATACGAATACCTTCAAAGCAGCTCGTAGCATTTTGTTCGAAGTTTCATCAGCGTCAGCTTTCGTACAGGCCAACGTATCCACTAACAGGGTGATTGACGCCGACTGCGATCTCCCATGTTGGTGTATAATGTGGCGATTCTGTGTAAGTGCTCAACTTACGGTAGGAGCAGTGTGCTATGCAGTGCAGCTAGATATAAGGCCCTAATCCTTAAAGCAGGGCAGGATTTCATCCGACCCACATTTTGCATCAAGATGGGAGGTTGAAAATTGGTTGAACATCATTTGCAGTAACAAAATACGACAGCAACAGATACAAACAACGGATCAATGACCACCGACAGCAAAGACGAGACTTCACCAGAGCTCGCACCCGACCGGATGCAACCCTATGTATCTGAAGACTTTTCCTTTCCCCTAGTAGTTTCACTTGTGCTCGGAATACGAGATGGCATCTTGAGGACCATCGCACTCGTATGGAGAAAGAGCCGTTGACGACAAGGCCTGCCAAGGCACCACCCTGTGATCGTCCAGCAACGCGGGTCTAGCGTGTGAGATATTGTGTCTAGTATGAGAGGTGCACAAACGTTATACATCACGGTTGTAGGTGGGCCCGAATTAAAGTAGTGAGTCGAAAGGGGGATCTAGTCTTGATGGATGAAATATGAGGGTGGCGGGAACGAAGCACCGCCCGGAACCCGAACTACTTGACGAGATGGGTTGGAGCCTTTATGAGCACCGCGAACAACAGAAATGTTCGCCTGCACAGAATTCACCACCAGAGAGAAAGGAAGCCTGCGACAGATTAGCGCTGACCATGAATCGGTGAACGAGAACCAACGGCTGAGAATAGAAAGGTCTTGGACGGTTTCGAGACCAAGAGGGCCAGGTGTGGCAAGGAAACAGGAGATATGAGACTAGTGGAATGGTGTCGGGCTGCGAGGATAGAGACCGTTAATATTCGGAGGGTAGAGTTTGATGGGAAGAGATAAAACACGGAACTAGGGTTGGTAGCTCTCTCGAAAGCTGCCGGGACCCAAAAGGATATGGTTATTCACCAGCGGTCTCGGAGAGAAAAGGCAAAATACGTACGTCTGAAGCAGTTCAGTAGCGGGCTCAGAAGGGATGATACCACCAACAGATACCCCGATAGTTGACGAACCAGCTGCATTGTGGAAGTCGTCGCATTATCGGGACCGGAAGGAAAGCTGGAATTGAACTGTACTGAGGAAGGCAGCGAGCCCGATGGCTGGTCTTCACGAGTAGGGAGAGTAGCGGCAGTGGCTTCGAGCGATACAAGACGAGCCGAAAGATCATGATGCGTTTGTTATGAAGGCGCGCCGCTTCTACGTGCGAGATTTACACAACGGTCCGCTGCGCTGGAGGGACGTTGTGCATTCTGATTGGAGTGGTGTTCTTCGTCAAGAGAAGGGAGGTCGGCTGTGACCGAGGATGCAGGCAAAGTTCATTGTGGGACAACATTGACAGATGGAGTCGAGACCCACATGAGATTGACAGTCAGCAGTGTCCATAGCATGAGTAAGAGGCCAAATTACGCGATCAAAGTTAGTGAAACTAGGTATGCCACCTCAGCTTCGCTGAAGACGGACTTACCACATCGATATTCGCGTCTGCATTCCTTTTTTTGCATGCGAGGCAGGCACGGATACTGTAGATCTCGCTCTATTAGATGGAGGGCTGGCCTCGCGGGATGGTTTGGGTCTCTTTGGAGTAGCGCGTACTCTAAGCAAGTATTCCGAGGGCACGACGTCGATCAGGGCACTTACAAAAGTATATCTTTCAGAATTGTCACTCACCTTCCTTCAGAGCTATCAGACTTCGAGCGACAGGTGTTTAAAATCATCAAGACCAGCGATTCAAGCATAAAATCAAGCCACCGAGTCTAGATCTCGACAGAGTACTTGTAAGCCTACTATTTGTGTGGCCGTGTCAACCAGACTGCATAAGCCGCATAACTTGCGAGGACTACATACCACGCCGTTGCGGTCGTTCAAGCGAGATGTTCCAAAACCTTGCGCCGTCACCCCATGGGCAAGGAAGAGTGGATTAGATGGCCTAAGATGCAACTTCGAGAGCTCGTTCGTGGAGCGTTCGGCCCCGCTGCTAGTGCTTGCCCATCAAAGACAAAAGAACGGGTCATGGTTTGGTTACGGAGATCCGTCGGAGACGTCGTTGTACACTACTGTCTCTTACGCTAGTTCGAAAAGTGATGGGTCAAGCTGTCGAAGAGAAGAGCGGCGACTGAGAGCCTCGTGATGCCGGGAATGGCGTAACTACCAGTATGTAGTCCAATATTCGAGGTGGTCTGATGCCATGACGGTAGAACTTAGCAGATGCTGTTGAACTTGACAGATAGCCCAGCATCAACACGAGAGGTAACGCAACATCGGGATAAGCCTGAGTGGTAAAATCGCCTAAGCTTGTCTGGGAGGGGAGGGAGAACGAGATGAACATACTATGTAGTCTCTTTCAGTTCAAGTTTGGTTCAAGTTCAACATTGTGCAGCCCTGTGTAGCCGCATTGTCGGCGCGGGACTTGCCGAATTACATAAGATGTACTGCGCAAACCAGTGTCGAGCAGAATCAGAGCGGAGTGGTCAAACTTGAAGCTTGAAGCTTGAATGGTGACCACTGTAATCGCCGTACAACCATGGAGCGTACTACTCGCACACCTTTCGTTTCGTATGCCTTGCTTCAACAAGGGATAGCCACTGCTGCTTGCAGGAGCCTGCTGACGCTTAGTCACACTGAACGTCTCTGCCACATCAACAGACATCAACAGTCCGACTGAGCCTCCTCCAACTAAGTAATCTCTTCCACTTGTCCTTTCTGATTCACTGTTCTGCTACTTGTCACCACAGATTATCACTGATACCATTCTTATATGTCTTTTCAAGGCTGAAGACAATACTTTCACTCAACACGAACGTGACCGGGCTTTCTGCGCTAGAATGCACAAATGCAGCCTCAATTGAAAACAGGATAAGAGGCTTATTTTCAGCGCTGAACACACCGTGCTCTCTTCCACATATAGCAAACTCGCCGTTGGACATTCCTTGAGGCGATTGACGGGCTTGCGGGGCCACTGTGGGGTCAATTCCGTTTTGGGACGTATCCTTCCTCACACTGGCATCATGCTGCATTGATACATGTCACCTGGAACCCAATCCTTTGCAGGCCCTTGCCATCCGGTGAATGCAGGTTGTTCTTGGCCACGGTGATCATTCTCCGTCCATCGCGACTAAACTCTATTGATGCTCGTATGGTGCCAGCATCAAGGTCCAACCATCACCATACGATGATGCAACGTGATGTTAATACCTATAGTGCGACGGTGAACATCCTCATGGGTGCAGCTCCGGGCTTGTTCTTTCTGCTTCGATTGTTTGCTCTCTACCCCTCATGCGCTCACTGGGTCTTGGGCAACGTTCGTCTCTGAGTCGAACTTCCAACTACGATGGACTCATAAACGCAGATATATGGTTTCAGCTGGGCGTTCACGGCCGTACTCTACGTGGATGAAGAAAAGGACGCGGATCTTGGCAAAATGCCCTTTCGCGGGTTTAGTGAGTTAATTTATCAGGCCTCGTGAACCCTGCCTGGCGACGAAACTCGAGACCGTGGTCGTCCACGTCCGGTGACGGAGATGAGCCTCGAACTCGCATGGGCATGCGTGCCAAAGAGGTATATATACAGAGAACTATCGGTCTACATTCTTCGTCTCTCGTCGAGTCACAGTTTTGCCCCAGCTCCAACTCTCCCTCACGAAAATCACTCTTCCTTTCACGCCCTCTCGTCCATCCACTATGTTCTCCACCAAGGCCTTCATCACCTTCCTCACTGCTTCGGCCACCTTCGCCTCGGCAGCATCCCTCTCCGCTCTCAAGCGCGATGCTGACAACGGCTCCTGCGCTCAACTTGAGCGCATCTGTGTCGGTGAAGTCTCGACCCAGACTTTGGACCTTTGGGCACACAACGCTTGTCTCTTCGGCGCGAGCTGTTTCGGAGGTCAGGTGCCCGTGGATGGGTTCGTCGCGAGCGCTTGGAGTAGCGACGGTGGAAATGGGACGGCGCCGGCGAGCCTGAACCTTACGAGGGTTACTACCGATGCGTTTAACTCGATCTCGACCGACGGACAATCAGTGACCCAGCAGAACTTCATCGACGGATACTACAGGTATGCGAGACTCCTGTCGACTCTCAGTCTCGTCTACAATTTGGGGAATTGTTAATCAATGGCATTTTCTATTGCCTTATAGCGCTCTTGACGCTACTGGAGGTCCTTACCCTACTGACGCTTCCATTGTCATCGATGACTTTGACCGCCTCGCCTCCTGGTACGCTTTTCTCCCCCTTTGGTTTCTGACGTTCATACTGAACGCGTCATTCCATACAGGACTGGCTTCTGTCCCGGAACTGGACAGGGTATCCCCTACCAGAACTTTGCCGACTACTACCAGTACAGTTCCTCGGTGGACTCGACCGCGTGCTAAGCGGTGGTGCGCTCAAAGCAGTTAGCTGCTGCGGTCAACGGACTTCGTCGATTACTATACCATACCCACCTTCTCTTGGATGCTCCTCGTTCTTTTGATCGTTGGGACCTACGGACATTATGACTCGACGGACCCTTACTTTGCTCTACGACTCTTCGACTCTGATTGTGTGTGGACTTTGAAGCAGTATTACTCGCGCTTCATGTCGTCATTCCCTTTCGTGATTGGTACGGTACCTGCAGATAATACACTGTCCTTTGTCTAAATACCTTGATGAACGTACGGTCTCGTATCACGCTACAAGACCTCCAAGAGTAGGAGATTAGTGTGGCGTGTACGTCACGCTACCCTAACGCCACACCAAAAGAAGCAGAACCTCGTTCTCTATCAGTAAGTATTATTTGCAGCCCTTCTTCCACGTACGGGTTGATCGCATCTAGCCCAAGAGAGAACACACCCAAGCATTCATTACGATCAGCATGATCCACTCCCTTCCTCATTCCCTAGTTCTCTTCGCCGCCTTCAACCTCTCCAGAGCCTCATGGCTCACGTCCCACTGTTCCACACAGATGGATTGATGCGAAGACGTCGAAACTGAGCAAGGTTACAAGTCTAAGTAGAGGGACAAAGGAACGCACCTCAGGGCTATTGACCCGCGCCACAAATTCCTGCAACATCGATCCTGCATCGCGTCCCTCACACGAGTCGCTCTCGCTATGCGTATGTTCTCCTGAGTGGGACAGAGGACCAAAATTTTGATTTCTGCGCCTTAGCTGCGTTCCAGGAGATGTCACGTCCTAGACAAAGTACACAAATCGATCGCAATCGGTGTCAGCTCAAAATCAGAAGACGCAGAGGAAATGACTGCTCACGCAGTTATTCTCAGACCTTGCGGCCCTCATATCGCAAACACTATTCGTCACGCAACTCCCCGTACAAGAACCCACACTCCCGCCTCTGCTCTTCCTGGTGTTCCATTCCTGGAATGCGGTTCCGTTCGAGGCGAAGACTTCAGTAAGAACATGCCAGAAGGATGCGTTGAGAGGGTCGGCCGGTGACAGTGTGGTATTGGTGAATGCGGAGACGAGTGGGCCGTAGGAGTCACGGGCGGAATAGTAGAGTTCCCAGGTCGCTGTTGAGAGGCAGCTCGAGATAAGTGAGGGATAGAATCGAAGAGAGAAGAGGAGAGTAATACTAACGGCCAGAAGTTTGGAAAGTCGGGTCGGTGATGTTGGCTATTGTCTAATTCATGAGTAACTTTCTCGGGCTAAGACCCGAAATGGCGTACCCATAAACACCTTCGCATCCAATACCTCATACGTATCCGGGTCGATATCGTACAGTTTGAACGCCGGATTACCACCTGCATACACATCACATATTGCCCGTCAGATTGCTGAGCGCTGAGAAGATGGATAGACGGACTCACTCTGTGGGGTAAGTGCAGGTCCGACGAAGATGACACTGTCCGCTGTCTTAGCAGTCTGATTATTGTAGTCAGAGTACGCGATTTGGAATTCGTCCTGCATAGATGCGGCGTGGGTCTATAAGCACTCGGGACAACCACGGTGAACGGCATCGAGTAAGAAGAACTCACCACATGGCTATGCCCCGCAAATTGGGCCGAAATAGTGTTCTTATACCTCTGGATGATTTGGTCGTAATAATTTGACTATTCAGAGTATCCCGTCAGTGAAAGATCCCTGGCCCATCAGAAAAAGACACCCTACCTGATCATGCGGAAAATCAGCCTTCCCAGATGGTATGTGTCCTATGATCCACGCTCGCTGGCCTTCCTCCTCAGCTTCCTGGAGTTGATAAACCAGGAACGCGAAGAGTCCATTCGGGTCCGGTCTGTGTGTCCAGATGCGAGTTAACTACGATGCCATTGGGTCGGATGCAGAATAGAGTCGGACGTACATTTGTTCGTCGGTATCGTAGAGCCAGTAACTGGTTCGATGTACAGTCAGATCATGCACAAGCAGAGTTGGATGGAAAACAAGGGCGGACTTCTGGATATACCAGTATTGCGTATTCATTGAGATGATTCTACGTCAATCAACAGGTTCAGTCATTCACGGTGCTCTTCATAGACAAGATATCCGTAGGACTCCTCACCGAAGATTGGTCCCCGGATGGACAACAGAATATGAACCAGAATCATGTTCTACTTGGTTCGCTGCCACTTGGCCAATGAGTCCCTACATACAAAGACCAAGAGTCTTGTTAACTTCCGGTCACGATACGGAGGACACGGTTGAAGCTGAAATAGAAACGGATGCACTAACCTCCCACCCCGCACTTTGCGTATCGAAGACAAACTGGGCGCTGGTGATGTTAGGATTAGTGGCAGAAATTTTACGTGGGAAGCTATTGACGGGGGCAGAATCACTGGTCACCGGTAGAAGAAGTCAGAAAGTCGTCGTGTCATAGGATAACATACACAAAGCGCACTGGTTTCCTGCAGGTCAGACCCATGAGCACGAGGGCAAAGTGTGCAAGGTGAAGCGTACCTAGCGCCGGGTAGATAGGCATATCTAACAACTTCGTCATCTCTTCATTCCAATCTACTAGGTCACTCATCACCTCGCTAGTGCCACGAAAACAACGTCCTTCAACCTTCTGACCCAGCTCGCTGAACACGGATCGAGCTTACCTCCGGTCAACACTCCACGTCGCCCTCTCCACCACATCCCCAGTAAAAATCGAAAATTTAGCATCTATACCAATCACATTCATGGCTCCCAACAAGCTCCGAGAGAGCGAGACGGGACTGTCGCAGTTCGTATTTCCAAACGGGCCCGCTGGGTCGCTAACCGCCACGGGGACGGACATATTAGAGACTGGATCGCGGCAGCAAATGGACTCGGAGCAGTTTCCATCAGCGCCAACCTAGACGTAGTAGAATTAGACTTCAGTATATGCAATGTATTATTACGGAGAGAGGGAGGAGGGTATGGGAGAGTATTGCGCTGAGTTTGGCCAGGGAAAGGATGTGGCGTAAATGACGTAATGGAGATGGGAGTGGCGTCAAATAGGGGCTTAGGCTGGAAAGAGCGTGAGGGTGGTGAACTTACGGTGTAAAATCTATCTATGTGGACATCTGAGATATGCAATACCTGAAAAGGTGGTCTTCCTCTCGAGATGAACTTCGTCCCCGAGGGTGCAGGCTTGGGAAAAGAGACGTGGAACGGCGTGACCGGTGGTTGCTGTATTTGAGTAGAACACAAGCGTCATCACATGCGTTGAGCGAGGGAGAAGATGGATGCAAGGTTAGCGATGCTGACCTGGCAGAGCCCAAAGACCGCATTGCAAAATTTGACCGCGGTCGTCCCATTGGGCGAAAACCCACGCAGACCATGAGAAAGGATCAATCCTGTCCTGCTGAATGTCCCCGAACAAACTTCAACGTCTGCAAGCTATGTCGAGACCCGAACATTAAAGCCGTGGTGTCCGTAGAGGATAACATGCCAGGCAACCGATTAGAATCATCAGGTATCAAGACCGTTCAGGCTCAGTGGCTCTCACCTGGAGCGCCTCACAAACTTCCGTCATCGTCACGGTGAAATTTGCATCTCCCTGATTGGCCAACGTCTGGAGCGGTGGCAAGAGCACCGATTGACAAGACGAGCAGTCCGTGGCTCCCTCGAACCCTGTGATTATGTCTGTGAACAGGTCAGCGCGACATGTATCCAAGACAATGACGATGGATAGTAGAAGAAGAGAAAAGAACTTGGAGGAACTGGGGCCCATCACGCGCAAGGGCGAGGTTGCAGGGTGTGAAAGACATTTGGTCTGTCAACCGCCTTTTATTGAACTCAAGCCGTAAGGTGACATGATAGATTGAACTGCGCGTGGGCGTGCTGATAGATATTTTGGTTATTGCACCCTCCGAGCCCCTTTCATGTCCTAGTTTTCCTTGGTCGGCACGACTCCTACGCAGGAATGCAGGGACAGATCAAGGTCCTACTAGCGTCGCCAAGAAGTTGGACATCTGTCAGATGGCTCTTCCAAACAAGGACAAGAACAGCACTTCGAAGGCAGACAATGGAGCCATTGCAAAGGTATGTATCAGAGATCAAAGCATGATATACAAAGAAATAGGGTTCGAGTAGACCATGGACGTAGCGTAGTAGAATGCGTGAAGATCATCAGTTGAATCAAGACAGAGAGAAGATTCGTCACTAGTTTCGTCGAAAGTACAAGGTCAGCATCTCATCCTACTCAATCCACGAAAGCTCCAAGCAAGACCAGAACTGTACACTCACATTACTCTCCTGCCCTTCCTTTACCCTTCTTCGGCCTACCCGGCATAACCTCATACGCATTCCTTTCGTCACTCGATGAATTCTCCAGTTGATGGACCACACCTCCACCTCCTTCTCTCGCACGCTGACCTGTGCCTCCACCACTTGCACCACCGTCTTCTCGATGTGGATGATGGTGATGATGTCCGCGATGTGACTGAGAGGGGCGAGCGCGTCCAGAGTCCGAATCCGAGTCTGATTCGGAATCTGACGAGTCTTCATCCGAAGATTCGTCGAATTTCTTGGGTTTGTGGTAAATGCAACAAACTATATAAACAAAGATGCGTCAATTCTAAGATCCTTGACAGTAAGAGCTGATAGAGAACGCACTTTTGGTCTTCTTCTTACCCATCCCCTCATTATCCACCGTATCTTCAACCCACGCAACCCTCGGCCTCGTCCCGGCCGCCCCTCTCAACCTCAACCTCCCCGCAGTAGTTCCGTCCCCACTTCCATGATCGCCCGCATCGTCGCCTGTTCCAGCACCTTCTGGGCGGGGCTGAGAGTCAGTTACGAGCATTGTACGAGATCCGTCGCCTGGGGCTGAAGTGGATGGACCGCCTCGAGTCGCTGGGTAGGCCATCGTGTGCGACAGGGGGCTCGTGTAGGAGATCAAGGATGGATCCCCTCTTGCTTATTGTTCAGTTAGAGGACGACGACAGGGTTATTCTTCAGCAAGCAGATGTTATGGTGGAAGCGAGGCTGGATGAGCTAGTGGGCGTTCGAGGGAAATATATATATCGCTTTCCGGTCGACGTTCTGGGTGAGGCTCGGCTGGTGGCTGACTAAATTTGTGTGGCACCAAGTGTGGCGTGTCTGGGTATGCCTTTAGCTCTCAAACACCGGGCCAAAGCCTAAGAATACAGTGACGACTTCCCGGTCATTTGAGAAGAGAAGTAAAAACTATGATACAATGCTACGCAATACAGTTACACGGCCCTCAAGGCTCATACATATAGATTCATTGGCTCTCGTGTACGGACTCAACGTCTCGAGCCTCCTTGGCATGTAGAGCACAATCTCACGAACTACTTCGTACCGTCTATACATCGGGATTCATCACAGATGAACTGATATGGTACTCCCTTGGCGTAATCCACAGAGAAATTTCACGAACCGCCTGAAATCAGCGAATCTTTAGTTGTGGCCCATCAATGTCGCGATGATGATACGTACCGGAAAGCCTCGGAGGGCTACCCACTCTTGATTTTAGTTTCGGAATCGTTGGCGTAGCATCAGCCGGGTGACTCGAGGTCTCAGTCGACGACGGACGGAGCGAACTAGACGCAGGCTTCCTCGTCGTAGACGGAGAGGCCGAAGAAGAAGGAATAGGAGGAGCGTTTGCCACAATCGCGTTTTTGATGGCCTTGTCGAACCGATGGTTTGCTACCCACGACATCCATAAGTACATGGATAGCACTCCGAATAAGCCAGACACAAGACGAGAAGTGAGGATATTGAACGAACCATAAGCCTCCGAAGCATCCCAAAGCATCACACCACCCATCGACGAATACTTGTTCTGCGCATCGGTGGCGTACTTCGCAAGGGTGGTGTTATCGACGTAACCTGTCCCTGCAGCGTCGGAGCTAGCGGGTGCGCCGATGTATACTTTGACGTCTTTGTTGAAGGATTTGGTCTTTGCCCAGGTGTCCCTATAATATGTACAAGACATTAGCGGCAGAGTTCAGGTTGAATTAACTCGTAGACTGACCACGTATCGAAGTTGTATTCCTGTACAAGCAGATACGTTAGTTCATGACTTCCTAGGCGATGATGTCATGCTCTTACACTAGGCTGGTCAAGACCGCAGTAATTATTGTCTGTGATAAAACAAAAAAAATACGATGGTCAGCGCCAACGAGCGTCAAGTGGGGAGTTCAACGTACAGAATTGGACATAAACAGCATCGAAGGACGCTTCGTTAAGGGCATCGCCAATATACGCGTCAGGATAGCTGTAAAAATGGATATCAGTGCCATCTGTAGCGTGGATTGAGTGGAGAACTGAGGTGAACTTACGGGCATTGAGGCGCCGCCGTGATATAGTACCTAAATGAGGCCCAGTCAGCTTTCCCCACAGGCAAGGCGAGTGCACAAAGCAACATACTGCTTCGAGTCGCCTTTTGCTTTTGCCCGAATTTCGTTCACGAACGCAGCATAATGTGCTGCGGTTCCACTCTCGATGTCTAGGTCAACCCTGCACCATATCGACCAGCCATCAGCGATCATATTTGGGCCATACGAAAAAGACCTATGATGCCAAAAAGATGAAGAGCGATCGACGTGCCCGTCTAGCACCGCATCTCCCAAAGGTCTAACGTCGCCATTCCCACCCAAAAAATCATCCCAGATCGTATCCGCAAATGTCGTTGCCTCAGCATCCGAGGAGAATCCGACCTTGCCAGTAGCGCCTCCGAGACTCAACTATGGGGAATCCATGGATTAACATACGTATTGCGACATCGGAAGAGAAGAGTATGGCGTACCGTGACGATCTTCCCGTTCTTTTGGCATGTTTCGATTTGGGATGCCAGAGCTGAACAATCCGCGAGGTCGGTACCTGTGAAGACTGGATCTCCTGAATTGCTGCACGCCTGTGTTGCATGAATATTTCTAATGAGCTGCATATCCACCTTCCGAGGAGTTCCTTGGATATGAAAGACGTACGTCGGCAAAGTCGATTACAGGTTGGCCGCCCTTGCCCTCAAAGATGTACCTGTGTGGCGAGATGTATGGGCTTAGCGCCGAGGCCCAGAGTGTTTGGGTGTCGAAGGAAGGGAGAGCAGGGTTATTTACGCACAGGAAAGCTAGGATCACGTTGTCTATCACATCGTCTTCGCAGTATGTCGACAGCGATGCTTGTGAACCAGAGGAGTCTTGTCCCCAATAGCTGTTATCCGCCGCAAAAAGTATCAGTCGAACGTTCATTTGGGTGTGAGCGTGCGAGTACGCACACTGCAAGCTACATTGTTCAGAGGCATCAGTCAATAAAATTAAAGATACGATGAGGTATACGATGCTCACATTGTCGTTCCTGGAAATATTATACGTCCCTGAGACAGACCGTACAAACCCCATAGCTAATGTGAAGAATAGCAGCGAAGAAATAATCGTTGAATGCATGAAGGATACCATATCGACGACAAGCGCGAGCAACACCAATGACAATATGCCAGGGAGCGTGGAGGATCGAAAGAACCCTAGCTTTTCACCAGCTCATACTTCCCACTTTATATGCATCCAGTTCACCATTCACTTCCATCCACTCACACTTCGAAGTCCACATCATCACCACGGTTTCTCAACCTTATGGAAACAAAGCATACGCCAACCCAGCCGCAACCCCTTTCCTAATCATGACGCCAACGCATTGACCCATCGACGCTGCACTGGTGAGAAGCACATCGACAGGGCAGACTCGCCAGTCCACCAAATCGCGAATCGCGAGAGATATCTCCGATTGCGCGTAATGTGCTGGCCTATGGTCTCCATCTAGACCACGTCGTATCACGCCGAACATACTCAAAATGTACTCTTCAGCCGGTTTTAGACCAGGAAAGGGCCATGAAACACGCAAATTCCTCGGTGACCGTGTTTTGAGTTGTACTGAGCATATTGCCTGGCCTGAGAATACGTGGCAGACAGTCGTTGCATGTGTTGTACACACAGGTACGGCACAGGTAGTGGCATGACCGAGACCAAGACCAACATTGACACGGTAGCACGCATGAACGCAAACCAGGGTAGAGCAGGATCAAGGTACGGCAGCGAGGCACAGAGCAGTGGTATGTTCGCTGCATTGTACAGAGGGGGTTTGGATGGCCGGATGAAGATGAGCTGGCAAATAGACAAGGTGAGAAATGTCACAGGTGATTGAGGAAGAACTATGGGAAAACCGCAGGGAGCGTGCCGCCTGCTCCGGGGAACAGCAGCTGATCTAGATGAGCTTTGAGAAACATCGCGGTCAACCCTCCGGAACTCGAACTTGGACTGAGTATGAGGACAGATGAGGACGCGACATTGTGCTGGTAAGGCTCTGGCTTGATGCGAAGGGGCAAGAAGGCGCTTCACATTACCGCTAACGCAACGAGCATAGGTTTGACAAGAATTTGATGAACGCAGACCAGGACGTTGAGTATTGAGCGCAGATGTGCAGAGTGATCGCACGGTCATGATCACCTACTTAGTCGACAGAGATGATGGATGAAGGAGTGTCAGATCACATTGACACTGAATCTTGCGCTGGCGTTATGGAACGTGAGCAGAATTTCAGAACATCGTTCCAATACCAGAGCAAGTATGTGATGACTGCGTGAGAGATAGTTCAACATGGTTGACCGACAACAGCGAGATGAAAATTGGCCATGGCTGTGTTCCGCGATCTGGTCGGTCCAGGTGGAGGCGGATTTAAGGATGAACTCGCCAAGGGGATAGATATGCTCAAAATACCGAAGATGCGGGTGATGTCCAGAGAAAATCACCTAGGTCACCCAGAGACGGCCAAAAGAAAGTCGTCGTGCGAGCTTGCTTGCAACGAGCGGAAGGAGACATCGGAGATGTGCGGACAGAGCAATATTGAGGTAATCTTATCATTCTCAAAAAGATAAGATCAAGATCTAACACAAGATATGGAACGAAACGCAGAGCGGCTGCACAGCAGACCGAATAATGGTAGAGGTAGGAAGAGATGGACGACGATCGGTGCAATGAACCGGATGGAAGAGGATCATGAAAGCGCGTGACGTAGGGATACAGATACAAAGTGAGTTAGTTATACAGATAGGTCGTGAAGTATGCTAGGATTGTCCAACCGAAGGACCCTGATCACGACAAATGAAAGCGAAGGACGAAGATAAGAGGAAGACCGGAATTGGCTTGGTCATGTCCAGAACGAACAAACGGGGACGGGTTGAAGAAGATGCAATGCGACGAAAACGAGGATAGCGTGGATTATAGGTGGGGAATGCGGTTGGAGGGGTATTGGGATGGACTAGAAGGTCTCTATTCTCAGGTCATGACACAGTAGCGAGTGCACCCAGTTATGCGTAGAATGTGCTGAAAAATATAGGTGCTGATCGTCAACAACGTGAATTGTGATAGGAGAAAAGAGGAGAAAGTACTCACCCCATGGGAGTCGTGCATATCGGCTTGAAGTCTGGTCGGCCGGAGTCAACAAAGTGCTCGAGCACGTCTTCCCAGTCATCACGGATGTCCCAAGCGATCGATGCCGGAGGATCTACTTCGACGGGCATGACCTGGTTGATGCCGTCGCACTGAATGAGAACGACGCAGCAGCCAATGCCACCATTTCGTCTGCAGCGATCTTCACGGCGTTGGATGTCAGCGGCGACAAGGGGGTCCTGGCTCGTGACAAAGGTTCTGGGTACGATATGCGTCCCGCTGACAGCGAACCTATACAAAGAGCGCAGGGTCAGTTCTGAGTATCGAAACAGCATGTCGAGTCCATCATTGAAACATACTGTCGGTGAGAGTCTCCTGTCGGTCGATAGGTGAGCTCTATGAGGAGCGCGTTTTGCCGGATGTTTGAAGGTAGGCGCTTGAGCTGGAGCGCCTGGAAGCCACACCATTGGAGAAGGTTTTGGTGGAAAGAGGTGAACTTGCGGAGCATCTTAGAGAGGTTCTGATCGCCATAGTCGACAGATCTCGGCTGCTGCTTCATAGCAGCTACTTGTGCGACGGTATGTTTGCAGATGGCTTTGTGAGATGGCCAGTGGATCTTCTGGCATTCTTGTGACTGTGGCACGAGTATGAGCGTGGAGTTGAACCATCAGGGAGAAAGATAAGACGTACACAGTAGTTGGTGGTCATCTATACGAGATGTATGCAAACCGATCAGCGCAAAGTTTGTTGATGCGAAGAAACATTGTGAAACGTACGCAGCCACCGCAAAGACGAAACTGCTTGATGGCGGGTTGCTCGATGGCGCCACATTGATCGCACATCCGAGTAGCCCTTTGTCTAACCACGTGAGGAGGGGGTGTGTAGTAGTTTGCGGCAGCGGGAGAAGCGTAGTAAGTCATGGCGGTAGAGTTTGGTGTTGTCGGAAGTATCGACAGGAGGAGATCTCAGTCTTGGGATATTGTGTTGAGCACTGGCCATTGTTCGACGTTTATATAGATGAAAGCTGGAGTGCAACACCTATCTTTGGAGAACCCGTTGGATCTTCGGTGCGTTTGCACGAAGATGTGATCTCGTTGGAAGACAAAAGTGTCGGCCCATCGCTGTCTCAGGCTTGTCGGGCGAACGCGTGTTACCACCCGTTCTTTTTGTCTTGTCCGTCGTCAACCTGAAAATATTGGGAAGAGTGGAGATTCCACGAATATGCCAGACAATAAAGCAAGAAAGAGAGTTCCCGACGCGTGAGCGGTGCAAACACAAAAAGGAGTGAGGCCAGGACGACTTCCTTTCCGGATTAGGCAAATATGAAGAAGTAAGCGCCTGTTTAATTCTCTCCCAACCACTCGGCGCAGCGTTGACTGGATGAGCTTGACGGTAGCCTCTATCAACTTGAGACAATACTCGGTCTTGATCGCCTTTGTCTATGGCTGCCCTTCCATTCTGTAGGCTCCTCAAAATGTATCTGAGCGCGCAATATCTCCCGGGACGACTTACTCCATCAGTGCGGCGAGGAATCTGCTCGAGCAACCATTGCCAATCCTGGGACAGGCGGCGTCCATGTGATGCTTACGAACGTCGAAGTCAATTATAACGGTGCAAGCTTGATGAAAGCAAGATGTCGTCAAAGGGAGAATGGTAACGAAAGACCTTTGTCTCGCCGACTCATTTTCGGTGGTCTTCTCTTCTCACATTGGGTCCGCTCTTCCGTCCATGGAAAAAATCGTGTACATATGACCCATATGGTTGGTTTTGCTCCAGATGCATACGTATACAAGGACTAGACTCCACGCATGCAGCTTCTGTGGCCCCTGACCGCGACGTTTCTGATCGCCCTGGGTCCTTGCTTTGTTTGAGTGGAACGGCGTAGGTTCAAGGTCGGAGAAGAAAGCAACGTCAGAAGCTTGAACCCGAAGAAGAACGTGAAGATTGTGTGGTTGAAGCTTCTCGATATTATCCAACGCGGTACGAAGGCGGCTTTGTTGTAGCTGCCTCACGCCCTAGATGACGTTGAATTACTCGTAGCATCGTCCTCGTTCCCGCTAGCTTCTAGATGCAGGATCGGCGAGACAAGCTGAGCCCAGAGCATACCAATCATCCTTTTCACAAGTCGTACCCCGCTTTGCTGAGCGCTCATTAGCCATGTTTGGACGGCGGCCTACGACAATTAGCACATAAATTGGAATAGAGGGTCATCAAAGGAGGCAGAATCACTACATCTCAACAAGTAGTTGAGCCTAAAAGTCTTACGTCTTGGCTGTTGCGGGGGGATTGGGTGAGAATCGAGCCAGTCTGAGACAATCTGTGGTCGGACCAAAGTCATCATGTTCGTGTCTCGACACGAGGCGTTTCGGAGCTTGGAAACGCCACAGTGCCACACCTAAACTCCAACGAAGAGCGAGAGCCGCACCAGCCTAGTACCGATACAGTAGATGATTAAACAGGACTATACACCACGAAACTGAACAGTCACGACGCGCAGCCAGCAATGAGAGCGATGAGATGGGCGATGGTCAAATGTGGTGGAGGCTCCTTTCTTGATGTCAGCAAGGCTCCCGAGGATATGAGGCGTTTCGATATACAAGGGACTTGACTGGATGTGCAGAAGAATCTCGCGGGACGCAGTGAAGAGAAGCATTTGGGCCCTACGCTCGCCCTTATGGAGTATAGCCAGGAATGTTGAAGGCGGTAAAGGAGAAGCACATACTTGCAACACGCCAGCGCTCCAGTTCTACGAGTTGTTTGGTTCTGTTTTCCACAAGGGGACAGCGTGAGCGCCACCGTGCGCCACTCGACTTGGACTTGAACCTGGACTTCTGCCGTCTCCCCTGCCTCGAGCTCCTCCTCTCTAGCGGCGAATAACGCTTATATGTGGCTAGTACTGTGTTTAATGATAGCTGTCTTAATCTCTTGGCCATATATTGTGCCGGCGTGTGGGGCCGCTAATGTCGACGCGTCTCTTGCACCAGCGACTGCGAATCGGATGTGTCGTACCCCTGGTTCTAGAGGAGAAGACGCGGAGGACTTGAATATAATGAGATGTTGCGCATCGAGCATAACGCCTCTTCAAGAAGTGTCTTTCGCTGGTTCCAAGCTACTTGCGCGGAACATACTGGTCTTCCGACGTCCCGCCTGTTCTATAACGTCTATATTGCACTGGCCTGAGCCTGCCATGATCTATCAGGACTGGCTTCCGCTCGAAGAATTTGCCCCCAAGGCAAGATAAACATATATGGTTCGTTGAGTCCATGTTATTTCCGAACCTTCCTCCATCTTAATCGTCGTTCCACGGGCCGCATCTAAGGGCGGGAGGTTTGGATTCTAGACTATCGTTCGATTCAGTGGACAGTTACACAGGCGCACACGCTCCTGAGGATACCTTGCATCCATAAAAAGATCGTATACCTGTGTGGATCACTGAGAGACGTCTTCCAACACCGCGCCTTGGTCGTGAAAGGAGTGGCGTCGGCGAGCGCGCCCTGCGTATGCCCGGAGACAGGTAAGCTGTTCCTCGGTTCGATTGCGTTTCAGTTGATGAAACCTTGAACCAGAGTCGCTCTAACCTTTTGAGTCTCAGGGCACGTCCTTGAATACCTCATACACGCATAGTTTAGACTGCCTCGCTGTGTGGCGCCGTACCCAAAACTTGTCTCAAATACACGATCTCGGATATGTGCCTCGACAACATACCTAGGAGCGTCTTATATCAGGGATCCGCTGCATTCGCTGCTTCTTCGTTTCCGTTGTTCTCCCGTTGAGCATGCCCGAGGATGGAAATTGATCAAGTATACTGCACATTTACTCACCCCTTCAGCAACGAATAGACCGGGAGTGATACTTGTGAAGGGTGAGGCATCTTTCCCTGTCGTGGGACCTTCTGTATACATCAAATATTACCTTCACTTAGAGAAGTGTGTATCTGCTTCCTGGAAAGAGGTCACGGTCGTTTGCAGTAGTCGATGAGATTGTGACTTCGGCCGTGGCTTTCATCCTTCCTTCCATGCCTGCTGCGTCGCTCATTCATAAGCATGTTGATGCAGTACCGCACCACTCACGGTCTTACTAACTCTCTTCCCATGCCTACCGTAGGCCTCCTAACTTCAAGCCAGCTTGCGCTCAGAGTCAACGAGGCACTGGCACGATGTTGAACCTCGGTGTGGCGTCATGATCTAGAGCCGTCGGGACCGAGTCGAGTGGCGTCAGGAGGGTAGCTTAATCAGCTGTTATCTGATTAACGTCCGTCGGCCTCCATCTCGCAGTCCATTTTCGATTTTCGATCTTCGTCAATAAAAGTCATCATCCAACTTGCAGTTGAACTGTAGGTATCCCTGTAGCCTCGTCGACCCTTCACTATCCTGAACCCATCACACTCGTCATGGACCCACTTATTTCTCAGCATTTCCTTTCGCTTCCTCGTCCGGATGTCTTACAGCCCTCTCAAGCGGGTGTGGTCGATACCACTACTCTTGCCGCGCACGATTTCGACGTCGATACCCGAACAGGATTTATGCCCCCTGAAGCCCCGCTTCAGCGCTTGCCGGAGCAATGGCAGTCATGGGAGGTCTTACTCGACTCGGCGCAGGCGCAAAGACTGAAACTGGGGCGGGATGAAACAACGACGTACGAAGATATGGTTAAATCGGAGTCATGGCGTATCCGTGTCCGACAGGTACGTCTTAGTTGGATTCGGACCTACGCTTAAGCTTATATCAAGCGCTGCGTAGCTTTCGGAGTTATCTACCTCGGACCTGAACAGCTCAGAACAACTCCTTCGAAGAGCACATCATGTCCTCGCATGGATCATGCATTTCTACATCCATACCTTATCCCCCGACTCCGACGTTCGCATCCCTTCCTCCATCACCATCCCCCTCCTTACGATATGCGCACAACTTCAACTCCCACCCGTTCTTACCTACTCCGACGACGTCCTCTACAACTGGGCGCTTAAGGAGCATACGCCACCCGGAACTTTGCCCAATCTAGATAACATTCGGTGCCTCACTCTTTTCACCGGAACGAAGGACGAGGAGGAGTTTTACCTCTCCAGCGCGCGCATCGAGCTTCGTGGCGTCGAAGCTCTCGACCTCATGCGAGCTACCATGGACGAACTCTTCGTGGGCGACAGTATCGCCCTCCGTCGTATCGTACGCTACCTTCGCTCGCTAGCAACGGTGATCGACGACCTCTCCAGAGTCCTCCTTACTGTCCGCGATGGGTGCTCGCCCGACGTCTTCTACCGCGACATCCGGCCTTGGTTCGCGGGCCACGACTCCGGGAAACAAAAGTGGCACTTCGAAGGCCTGGAGGATCACCCAGAGCTCACGTATCCCACCGAGCTCTCTGGACCCAGCGCAGGCCAGAGCTCCCTCGTCCATGCTATCGATATTTTCCTAGGCGTCGATGAGTACTCGCATTCCGACTCCCTCACGGGTCATTACGGGTCGAAGCCCTCGGTGGCGGCGTCTGGGTCGGAGCAGAAGAAGCTTGCGTTCCTGGAGAGAATGCAGCTGTACATGCCCCGCCACCATCGTAATTTCCTTCGTCATCTGTCCTCTGACCCTCGCCCGCTCCGGGAGGCAGTAGAGCGCAGCAGTGGGCGCGTTGGACAGGAGCTCCGCGAGGCTTATAACGCTACCGTCCGGTCGATGAAGGCGTTTCGGGACGCTCACATGAAAATCGTGGCTTTGTATATCATCGGACCTTCGAGGAGGTTCAACGTTCCTGGACAAGACACGAAGACTACGCCCCCAGCAACCACTATTGAGGATGATGGGACGGCAGTGCTCAAGGGCACGGGTGGAACTGACTTGGTCAGGTTCTTGAAAGGCGTGCGGGATAGGACGGCTGGTGCAATTATTGAGAAGCGACCCGGCTCGAGCTCGAGCTCGTCATCTTCCACCTAAATCGCTCATGACATCATATGGATGCTTTGGACTTGTAGAATTATTCTTATCTGCCTTACATTATCGACACTGCTACGCATCCATCCTATCCGTTTCGTGGGTAGCATCAGAACATCACTGCTGTATTTCACTCGCCTTCTTTAGGCTTTGCACCCTGTGTGCAGTACAGTTGAAATAGTAGATCTATATCGCTCGACCCTTTCGTCGGCCCTACGTCCGAGCTCGAGTCAATCATCCTCAGGCTCGACAGGGCTTTATCGTGCGTATAAATATGGGTGCGTTTTCGTGCTCCTCTTATCTCTTTCTGCCATCTATTGTCATCATGTCTTCCGGTTACGTTGCTGAAGTCGCGCAAAAGGGTTTTGGAGAGGGGACAAACGAGTTGTACGACAAGTAAGCCCAGTGTTGGTCCTCGCCGCTTCTTGTACTTACTGTAACATGACTTGTCTTGTTGTCGCCTTGCTCTGGTAGAGCTCGTCCAAGCTACTCACATCAAGTGATCTCTTACATCCGAGAGTGCATCACCAATCCCGAACCATTCACTATTGTCGAGTGCGTTCGCCCTTTGATTGTCCTCAAATATCTCCATCGACTTGCTAACCATCCACTTCTCGTCCTCGCCACACTGCGCCACATCATGTTCTGTATTAACTTCATAACAGAATCGGTTCCGGGACAGGCCTATTCACCCGATCCCTTCTCTCTCATGGAGCCTTTTCTTCCTCCGTCAAAGAATTGAAAGCAGTCGAGCCCAGCGCGGGCATGCGCAACTTCTTCGTGAAGTCGACCGTCGAGACGGATCCTGGGAAGCGAGTGAGTGTGCAGGAGGGAACTTTCGATAATACGGGGATTGAGGATGGGGCTGCGGATTTGATAGTCATGGCTCAGGTATGTTATTTATATCGTCAATATCTATTTCTGCGCTCGGCGCTGGGGATAGGTTGGGACCAGAGCAGACGAACTGTGGAAGGGAATGAGTGGTGTTGAGGATGAGAGTCCCGCTGATCAAGCTAATTCGGTCAGGCTTTCCATTGGTGCGCGAATGCTATACATGAAGCCACGGCAAAGGAGTTCGCTAGGATATTAAAGCCGGGTGGGATAGTGGTTATGGTCTGGAACAGAGAGGACTCGTACGTCGACAGACCTTATACCTTCGTATATTATGCCTGCTAATCCCTCCGCCTCTTTCTACCGTTGCATGGATCCAGAGACACCGCCGCTTGGGTCGCCCAAATCCGTGATCTCGTAGATAGCCACGCCACTCAAGACCAAATGACATCGCGCTCTGGCAACTGGAAAACCTTCTTCACCACGCCGACGTACTCCCAACTCTTCGAATCCCCCATCGACAAGGAAGGATGGCCATTCAGCCTTCCTGCGACGGTAGGACTTGCGATTGAGCGAGCGATGAGCAAGAGTCCGTTAGCTGTACAGAGTGACGAGGGTAAGAAGAAGGCGGAAGACATCTTAAAGGAGATTCTGAAGAGAGGGGATGGCCTGAAGTGGAGCGACGAGGAGATGGGGGTGTTTGAGTATCCGTACAGAACTGAAGTTGTAGTTCTGAGGCAGAAAGAGCGTACATCGTAACGGGAGTATACAAGAAAGGCTTGAGGTTTTCTTTCGGGAGGACAGAACTCGCATGGGGGTCGCATTGCCGTGAAACAGTGCAGATTCGAGCTCATCACCATGCGACTTTGCTCTGCACAGCTAATATTCAATTCAACCATTGTTGTGGGGGTGGCTATTTATGAATCTACCCCAGGTATTCATGGGACAGATGTGTCATTCAGGGCCTGATATTTTGAAGACCCGTCGGATGTTTCGATCCATCGGAGCTCCATGAAATCTCGATCGGGAACATCGTATTTATACTGACAAGGCGCGGGTGCATTTTCTTTCGCTGCGTCTGCCTCCCCTCATACATCACACCGCAAGTATGTCTTCGGGATACATTGCAGACATCGCTAAAACCGGATTTGGAGAAGGTACGAATGAGCTATATGATAGGTGCGTTACTTCTCGCATAGTGTTTTTTCTTGATCAAGTATTTTGGTGCCACATCGTACCCACAGCTGATGTCATCCTCATCAGAGCACGTCCAAGCTATCAACCCTCAGTGATTGCACACATTCGCGAATGCATCACGAACCCCGAACCTCTTACTATTGTCGAGTGAGATGCACATTCACTGTGTCCTTCTCCCACAGTTCATTGGATCTGTTCTTACACCAGTTCTTACGCCACACTACTCTAGAATCGGCTCCGGTACAGGCATCTTCACTCGCGCTCTTCTGTCCCACCCCGGGTTTTCCAACTCTGTAAAGGAGCTGAAGGCCGTTGAACCCAGCGACGGCATGCGTAACTTTTTCCTCAAGTCGACGGTCGAGACGGATCCCGAAAACAGGGTAAACGTGAGGGATGGGACATTCGATAAGACCGGCATCGAGGACGGGGTTGCAGACATGATCGTTATGGCTCAGGTAAGTCTGTTTCTACACTGTTGACACTAATCAGTGCAACTCTCTAGAGTTCAGAGTTGAGCTCTGCGAAGCTAGTCGGAAGGCGTTGGGTAATCATGTATAGCTCACGAATGACCCTTCTCCAGGCTTTTCACTGGTGTGCAGAATCTATCCATGAAGCGACAGCCAAAGAATTTTCCAGGATCTTGAAGCCAGGCGGGATAATCGTCATGATATGGAACACAGAGGATACGTACGTCAGAAACTTTGTTATTTTCCGCTCAGTCACTCAGATGCGGTCCATAGTGACACCGCAGCTTGGCTCTCCCAGGTCAAGACCCTAGTCGATAGCTATGCTACTCCAGATCAAATGGTTTTCCGCTCAAGCCTCAACAAAAACTTCTTCTTTACTCCGACCTACACTCAACTCTTCGAAGCTCCTACGCATACAGAATTGCCATTTGTCCTTCCAGGAACCATCGATATTGCAGTCCAGAGGTCGTTGAGCAAGAGTCCTTTGGCTTCGCAGAACGACGGAGAGAGGAAGAAGGCGGAGGAGGTTCTGATGGGGATTGTACGGAACGGAGAGGGGATGGTGTGGATTGACGAAGAGAAGGGAGTGTTTGAGTACCCTTACAAAACACTGTCAGTGATCGTGAAGCAGAAGGACGCTGAGCTTGGATCGTGATAGAGCTCTTTGCGGCGAATGAGGCTTCATAGATTATGCCAGTTTCAGTAGGTTGGTCCTCCATTGTATCGAGACGGGCACCCTTCTGGACCATGAAGCTGACCGTGGCTTGTAGGACTATTTTTGTCAACTCGTTTGGGCAGAATGAACTAAATATACACCTTCAGCTGGGGAAACGGACTCATGATAAAACGGGACGCCATATTTTCGTATACGCTGAAGGCATTCTGATCCCAGGGTTGTATATAAAAGGACGCACTGCGTTTCCGAGTCTGCACTGTTCTTTCCCGTCAGTCCATTATGTCTTCCGGATATATAGCTAAAGTCGCGAAGAAAGGCTTCGGCGAGGGCACCAATGAGCTCTACGACAAGTTCGTCACCCCACACCCTTCGACGTCGTCGTGCTTGAAATAACTTTGTCCTCTAGAGCTCGTCCAAGCTATCAAGCCCCTGTAATCTCCTATATTCGCGACTGCATCAGGACGGCTGATCCATTCAGCATCGTCGAGTCAGCTCTCCGTTTCTTCGTTCGTCTTGCGAGCTAGCCGATACTCATACCACACGGTAACAGAATCGGGTCGGGCACGGGCATCTTCACTCGTGCCATGCTCTCACACCCGTCGTTCGCCAACTCCGTCAAGGAGGTTAAAGCGGTTGAGCCTAGTGAAGGCATGCGGGACTTTTTCATCAAATCTACCGTTGAAACGGACCTAAAAACCAGGGTAAGTGTAAGAGAGGGCACGTTCGATAACACCGGCGTCGAGGGTGGAGTTGCGGACATGATTGTCATGGCACAGGTAGGTGTTGACTTGCCCCTGGTCTCGATGCGCGATTAGTGATCCGCACATATTAAGAGTCTTGGATGCGTATGATACTGATATGTTCACGAACAGGCGTTCCATTGGTGTGCTGATGGTATTCACGAGGCGACGGCTCAAGAATTTGCAAGAATTCTGAAGCCGGGAGGTATATGTGTAATGCTCTGGAATCGAGTGGATAGGTGCGTCAGCTTGTCCTTCTTACCCGCAAATGACACGATCCCACAGGAACACATAAATACTAATGTCAGCAACCTCACCTTGTTTTAACTACGCACAGTATCTGCCCTGCCTGGCTCTCCCAAGTTAACGAGGTAGTCGAAACCTATAAGACGCCCGACCAGATGTCATCCCGCACCGAGCAATGGAGGAACTTCTTCAATACACCAATCTACTCACAATTGTTTGAATCGCCGACCATAAAAGAAGAGTGGCCTAGCGTTCTGCCTGTAACAAAGGAAGTCGTTATCCAACGGACGATGAGCGCGAGTATGTTGGCCGTACAGACCGACCAGACGAAAAGGCAGGTCAAGGCGAAATTGGATGAGATACTGGAGAGGGGAGAGGAGACGAAGTGGATCGACGAGGGGAACGGGGTCTTCGAGAGTCCATATAAGACACTGGTGGCTGTTGCTAGGAAGAAAGGGGTTGAGTCGTTGTAAGTACCAATTGGTCGGACAGTAGATGTCGTTACCACATATGAACTTGCGTAACGCTACATTCACCTAGAATGAGAATGTGTATCTTCGTCAAGGAAGACCTCATTCCGAGCAGGCGCATACGCCGTGTTCATTGGGGCATATTCGTCGCATTTTAAAACGTCGTTGGAGCTTGATTAGTGGAGGCTCGAATATAACGACAGGGTCGCTACAGATATGCCCTGTAATTCTCATTCGCTTTAGCCAGCAACATCTTCTGCGCCTCAACCCAGTCGGCATCCGGCCCATCTTCCCATTGCCACCGCCACAATTTGAGCACTTCGTCTCCCCACCTTTTCGTCCACTCCGACTTTGTCACTACCGTCCCGTCGCCGTTGAAAACAGCTAAATTGGTGCTCTTTCCGGAGGCATTAGAGGCCGTGCTCGGGCCATCTATATCTATTCCCTCGAATTCGTATAATTGACCAACTTTGCGGGTGGCGTTGACGACGCCATTAGCAAAGGGCCTTCGGATGGAGTCGTAAATCTCGAGGGCTTCAAATATTCGCGAGTGAGTGACTTGAGGCTGTGTTAGCAGGCGCCCGAGAATATAGGCATCCTGTTTGCGCCGTATGAGTACAGGCCACTGTGGTGGAACCAGCATGTAAGCCGGGGCATACCTCCATCGCTTGCCCTGCTCCTGCACCGAAGTGGGTTTCCATGGCATGAGCCTTGAGAACATGATTAGAGATCGGAGGAACTCGAAGTGAGGGGTGGAGGTTTACACTGTCACCTAGAATTGCGACGGGCCCATGCGTATACCGGGGCATTCTCCCGTGAATGTGTATCGCCCATTTTGAAGCTGAATCAACGCTCTATACGTCCGACAGATGGTCAGGAAAGTCCTTCACGCAACACGATAATGGATTCATACATCTAATAGTGCCTGTACCTCTGGCTCCCATCCCGAGTATGCCTCTTTCATTTCCTCGACAGTGGCCTCTTGCACCCATTTTCCTGGGTATATCAGATGTTTCTCTGCGCCTTGGGGGATGGTAACAAAGGCAACAACGTTGATGAGTTGCCCGCGGGAAATTGGATAAACTGCAAGATGCTGGAAACGGCATCGTTGATGTGCGTCAGTGGATGGAGGAGCGGTATACAAGGAGGAAAAAGAGACAAGACCTTTCCTATGCCACAGTACTGATAAATGAGGACGGTAAGCATCCTTTGCAGAACCATCGAGATTATAAACCTGGACCCACAAATGTCAATTCTTTGGACGCTCTGTGATCCTTCCAAATCTCCTCCAACCTCTCCCGCCTGATTAAGCTCCTATACGCGACGGTACCGCTCCACCTAGCCACCGTCCTCGCTCTCAACTCTCCTTCGGCATCGGACATGTTGAGCGGAGAATACATGGTCTGACACACGGCTGACCTGATGCCGTCTGCTCCGATGAGTACGTCGGCATATGCAGTCCTTCCGTCGGCGAAGTGAAGTGTCAGGGGAGGAGTGGCTTCACCTGTACCAGTAGCTGGATGGGTCGACGAGTACGTGTAGGACGTGAGTCGCGACGAGGTGTGTACTTGGCATAGAGAAGAGTCTGGAAGAGCAGACTTCAAAGCCTCGAGAAGGGTGGAGCGGTGGATAAGGATGGTCCGCACTGTGAGAATGAAAATTGAATAGGTGAGTTGGTCCGCGAGAAATCTCTGCCAAATATTATTCTAGGCAGTATTTCGGGATGTGGGAGGCGGTACCCACCTGGTGTGAAGAAAGTGAAGAACGTATATCCGTCAGCCTCGTCGCTCTTCCTGAAGGTGAAGTGCGGGGCTGCTCAAACGTCGCGAAGGACTATCAGCAAGAGACAATACCGTCCAGAATTTAAGACGAATACACACCCTCCTCTTCCGATCTGCCCTCGTCCGCCTCCATCCCGAGCTCGCCCTTGAGCATATCCATGACACCTAGTCTCCTCAATAGCGTATGCGTTCTGGGCCATACACTGATACCAGCACCAACAGTCGCCAGCGTCGACTGAGCTTCGTATATGTCGACAGCAATAGGGCATGTAGGATTATTGTACCGCGCGAGAGTAACAGCGAGGGCGAGACCACCAGGTCCGCCTCCACTATCGACGAAGCAATATCACATTATGAGTATAGACTGTAAGTGAAACAATGAGAATTGCGTACCATATAGCGACGCGAAATTTGGCCCTGGATGGAAAGTCCGAGCTCTCTTGTTCGTTGGTTTCACTCATAGCAGTCTACGGTATCGAAGGAGGGTATGATACTCGCGTCTACGGTACCTCAGACTCGTGAGTATATGTAGAACGGAATAGTGAACGAGACTGATTTTGGAGGATCGACGCAGATCTATGTATAGACAGGTGAAGGGCCGCAGTGGGAGTCTTCAGTAGACCTTGCGTCATCAATGCAATCTCTGGATCCTGCGGGAAGCCGATGGAGTTTTGTTGTTGCATCAGCCTAAACAATCATCTGAGAACAGAACGAAAAAAAGATGGAAGCGGAGGGAGACTGAAGGAAACTCTCGGCCACTCTTTTTGAGTCAAGAATGATCATTAGTGCGTTACAGCTCTGGTTACGGACAAGGACGACTAGACATCATTTCACCTCTCCTGAGGAGCCCAGCGATGCGGAAACTGGATCCGCTTCGTCTGCCTACCCTCACTATCCTGAGCATCAAGTATCCTGAAGCCGCATATCGCTCGATGGGCCGCCCAATCACTGCAAAAAAAGGTCAGACCATGTTCTCAGAGCCAATTGGGAGCGCAAGCGAGAGAATGTACTCACACTTTCTGACATGCCCTACTGCAGTATAGTACTTCCCTGCAGCCCTTGCAGCACTTACTGCCTTTGCGCCTGCACCCGTACTTCCTCGTACTACAGGACCCGTAGAAAGCGACCTGATTCTCAAGCCGTTCGAAGAACCACCAATGATTATCGGGGGTCGCTCTATCTTCCAAGGTGTCCACCAGGATTTCGACATCTGCAGAGGGATCATCTCGATCACCGAAGGCGCTCTCGAGTAGGCGGAGCATGAGTCGAGCTCGGGGCAGCTCCATGTGCAGTACTGAAAGTAGGGACGTGCTATGCCTCGTAATAGTGTTCAGGGTGGAGAAGAAATAGGTGAGCTTGACTATTTGGATGTGCCACAGCCGGTCTACGTCAGTTTAGGGCCATTATATGTAAGACAATCGGACATACAAGCCATTTTCGACGTAGGCACAGAAGTGTACGCGATCAGACCTAGTTCTAGTGCGTCGAACAAGCCCTGACGTGCCCAGAGCCTGACCAAGCGAGCAGACCTTTCGGGATAATGGTCCAGACTATAACTCAAGAAGCTACTGAGGGTGGTCATAGTACGAGAAAGGACGTTGGAGGATTCTAAATCCCAGCGGCCGGGTCCGTCAAGTGTGGCCTCCTGTATCGCAGACTCGAATACGCTGGTCCAGAGATCGTAGTGCCATAAGCATGCATCCACGAAATCGCCAAAGTACATCTCGTCACCCATATACGGTTCACCGCCACCATCCTTGAAGAAGATTGCGTTTCCGTGCGCGTCGCCATGAACACGCTCGAGGAAACGTATAGCCTCAGCAGTGCTCTCGAAGTCTCTCTGAATGATACGGAGATGCGAGGCAAACTTCGAATAGAAGGCGACAGAGGATCCTCCGGTGGCCTGGAGAATACTGCTGAATTGTTTTGTCAGGCAATCCGGGCCCATTAATCGGCGGAATTCGTCGAAAAGATTCGCGAGAGCGCCGAAGTCGGCAGTGTACGTGGCGTGTAACCAGGCGCGTACACCGAGAGCAATAGAAAGGTCCAATGGCTGACAGAAACCCTAATATAACGAGGAGATCGAGGTCTAGTCTATTCAACATGGCACAGAGACATTAGATGGTGTGACATACTGATGCCATCATAGGGTCCAGTTGCAATACTGTCTTCAGAAGACTGATAATGAGCACTCTCTCATGCACATGAACATCATGGGCATGAAGTGTCATTTGTGGCTCGGTCCAAAGCTAGACATTGAAGATAAAGAGGGTCAAGGCAATGCAGTCGGCGAGGATGACGTACGCGTGTTATCATGCTCCTCCAATATTTCCTGACAATGCCCAAGATCACTTGGTCAGTAGCCTCCGGCAGTCCACTCGAGTGCATCAATGTTGAAGCAATCATGGATAACGGTTGATAGTACGTTGCATGCATCGTCTCCATCTGGCTACAACAATCAGGGTAGCATTCTCGACGTCATGCATAGACGACTCACGAACTCGGGCGTCTTCATATGAGCGGGCCGATTCGGTGGGTAATCATACGCTTTACAGATACCAGCGACGCACTGACACAATCGATCGACGACGCCTGCGCGAACAAGCTGATTCCAGGTAGAACTGGGGCCTCCCCTGATGATGCCGTCTACAGCACGCAGCGCTGGTGTCATGTCCTGCGTATTGCGAAATGAGGCGGCTGCCATGGGATGAAGAGATCTATGAGAGGCTTACCTCAATGCCATCTCCCCACCGAGTCCGCGCTCGTGAGTCTGGCTGTAGGTCGAAGATGGCGACCACGCGTTTCGGACTGGAACCGACAAGCCGTTTCCATTTCTCGTCTAAGTGGGACGAGTAAAGAAGAAGCTCGAATGGCTCCGTAGTCGATGGTGAGACATATCCTGAATGCATTTCCCAAGTTGACAGAAAGAGACGACGTTGTTTTCTTCAAGTATGATTGATTACCTTGCTTAGCAAGGTCTTTCCAACCCCCGTAATTGTGGCGCGTGTTGAGGAGCAAATAAGGCCAAACAGCGTGGCGAATGTGGCGCCCATGTTACAGTCAATTACCCCGTGGTGGGCCAGTACCCCGTAATGGGTCACCTACTGTTTACGGCGAGGGCTGGCATTGAAAGGCCAAGAATGTTATGATATCATGCTCCAAAGCTTCGAATGGGAGCACAACCCCACCATATGAGGGCTTCGAGCGCCCGCATTTGGAAGGTGACCCATTACGAGGTACAGTCGATACGCTCATACGGCATACGATCGGGGCGGGCCGGCGTCTATTCCTTATTAGGATATATTCCCTATGAGAGATCATCAGTACGAGATAAGATATGACCTAATTGAGAATATATGATGGGCCACCGGGCCACAATGAATCAACCAGTCTGCATATTGACAAGCATGGCCTACAATATTACAAGGGCTCAAAATATCTGAACAGATGACTGTAGCTCTATCTCCTGAAGCTCGTCATGAAAAGCCCTAAGCATCTTTGCGAGGTCCAAAGCAAGAGTACCTTCTGCCTCTTGCATGCACACCCTCTCCAACTGCCTACACATTCCCATCACCTCAACCCGACTGTGAAAATCACGTAGTGCGTCATCCTCAACGTCCTCAGTTTCAACAATAGCTCCACTCTCCACCGCCATCTCATACTGAACCGCTGCAACAATCTCCTTTTCTCCACCCGGGAACTCCTGCGTGTCAGCATTCTCCCGCTCAGCCGGTGGATCGAGTAGGTCTTCGAGGGTGGGAATGTCATGGTCGAAGATGCGATGACGATCATGGAGAGTTTGAACAGTGGCCATCAGCTCTGACTCAAGCTGCAAAAGCTGGGGAAGAGCAGTTGATGCTGTAGGCTGAGGGATGGCAGATGGGGATAGAGTCGTAGAAGGAATGCTGAAAGGGATAGCTGCAAGGGCTTCGACAGCTTCGACAGCTTTGGTGTGATTGTTCTCGCAAAGGAAGACCGCGTTGAATGCAGGCTGCCAATGCGATGAGACATACCCATTGCCGAGAACATCTTGCAGAGCTTCTTCAGCCTCTGGAAGTGTTATCTTGCCAGAAGCAAGTTCGTGCACAGCATCCCAAGCATCTAACTCCAGCTTCTGAGCATCGTCCAGCTCAGAATCGGAATCAGAGTCGGTGCTGGCATGAGTGGCTGCGGTTCTATTGGATATTAAATTGACACTAATGCAATGAATAAATAAATAAAGTTGCGTACGATAGAATCTTTGTATGATCCCAGCAATGCTTAATTGTCAGCTCCGACACAGCGTCCCATGCCTTGTTTGCCATCCGCATCGCTTCAAGAATATCAATCTTGTAGATATCCTCCGCACCCGCTTCATCCAACTCGATTGCCCGTGTGCATAGCTGGCGGCGATAATGAGCCTTGAAACACCGGATGATGCCTGCGTCGAGAGGCTGAACGTGAGATGTCATGTTCGGCTCGAATGGTTCTAGTCGGATGTTATGAGGAACGTATGGAATGGTGTGCCCAGAGAAGTTGTCGATCAAGAGAAGGACTTCACGGTTTTGATTCTTCATATCCTGATCAAGACCACGAATAAACCTATAAAGGACAGGTTATCGGAGTCCCAAGGAACGTCAATAAATCAGAGAAATAGCATACTCATCAAATAAGTCTGCCTTCATCCATGCCTTCTTATTGTGCCGATAATAAAGACCGAGTGACTGCGGGTCCCTGTGCTTGAAGCAGCGAGGGTTCTTGTACCGACCGATAAAGAAGATGGGAAATTTCTCCGTTCCGAGCGCATTGCAGAGAAAACCAAGTGTGATGCGGAATTTGTCCTTCTTTTTGCCACTCATTTGGGCAGTGGATAGGCCACGGTCGGGTGGTGCACTACAGTGCACTCATAACATCAGAGAAAGCAAAGAAATGGCCATTGCCCATGATCAAGTCACTTACAACGGAAAGAATGCTGTCTCATCAAAATTGAGGATGTCCCTCGGATGATACTTCTTGCATAACGCAGAGATGCGAGCACGTTCCCGTTCCACAGCTTCAAGATCAACCGACCCAGCCTCTCCATGACGGCGATGGTCCTTCAAACCATATGCTTTGCAAAACGACTGAACCCATCGGCCAGCAGGCAATCTCTGATTCTCTGGGACCTGCATTTCCTCCTCAAACTTCTCCCGCACCGTACGAAGCATGTGCGAATTCACCACTTCACCTCTCGCCAACATATGATTCACCCAAAGAACCAAACAGCGCTCAACACCGGGATGAGTGACAACACGAAGACACTTTCCTGACAACGCTGTGGGATTCGAGGATGCACGAGCCTCTAACTGAGGACGACGGGCAAGATTCTTTGAGAGAGCACTCTGAGTGAAAACCAACGCGCCCTCCTCACGATTCGCAAAATAACGAACAACATCATCCTGCCTAATCGCCACATGCTCATCCATCCAGGAGAATACCGAGAGCCAATCGGAGAGAGTGAGATTGTTACGATGTGGTTTTTGGGTAGCGGACTGAGCAGATGATCGTGGAGCATTCTTCTCGCACCTTGGCTGTGAGGCTGGGTTTGTGCTCGCAATTGGAGTCTGGGAGCGTTCCCGAGGCTTGCGAACAGGTTCAGAGCCAAGTGTGGTGGTGGAAAGGGGAAGCAATGGAGCCATAGTGAGTTGTAGGCAGACAGCGGTACAGTAGAGAAGTGGGGGGAGAAGAGAATCACACTATGCTGGTGTGCATTCTCTTATAGCATGTCGTGCATTGGCCATTCACAAGCAGCGTGTGTGCAGACACACACGCACAGGCCACAGAGCGGCAGTCGAAGCGTCCCGGATCGATCTCGGGATCACTTCATCATGAAGCGTGCCTGGGATCGAGATCTGATCGAGATTCCTTTGGAGCGTAATTCGCCGAAAATCGGAATATTTTATTCTGTATCGGCGTATTCCTTATGAGCGTATCGACTGTACTGGCCCACCACGGGGTAATTGACTGTAGCGCCTCCGTCAGCAAATTAGTGGCCGGAATACTTGACCATTCGACGCCACACATGGTTGATGGCTCGACGCGATCCTCGAGAACCTGACACAACCGCACCTAGAATATCTATGGGGAATATCTCTACCGTGAGTCTTGACTAGAGTTGTCGAGGTTGCGACGGGCCTCAAGGGTTACTTCGCTCACGACTGTTGAGGAGAGTTTCGAGAATTGTGGCGCGTCGTGAGCGGTCGCAGAGCATGTGTGGCACATATTTTACGATGAACATCGCGTCCCGTGGGTGTTCACACAAATAATTGCGAGCTTATGAGACACTATCTTGCACAAGCTGTTGCTGTTGCCCATACTGGGGTTTTTTTTATGATTGGTGTGCTTTTTACTGGTCACTCGTGGAGAAAAGATCAAATGACTTTATATTGGCAGCCTGGCTGGTAGTTACGGTGTGGTACAATATATAAGGACCGCAACAAACAGCCTATGTAAGAGGTTGGGGTCTTGGTCTTGAGGTATTCGCGCCTGAGAGAACGGTACCCGCCTGCCCGTCGAGGGTGCGGATGGTATTCCAAGAGGTACGAAGGTTACAAGTAAGATACAGAGTACATACGAGAGTCCATGAATATATATACGAGATCTGGCTTGTTTGCCAGGAGCAAACAAGCGCGCGTGATAAGATAAGATCGATCGCCCGGATACAGCAACGCGGAAGTGGCGCTTAGGATAGATGTGGCCCACTCATGTTGAGTGCCACACCGTATCCCTAGCCGCCCCTTACACTCTCCCCTACTGAGCCGAACTACGGCTCACTTAGGATGGCGGCGCGGGTCCAGGAGGGCCAGGGGGAGGAGGACCGAATGGAGGTGAGGGTGGAAATGATGATGGGTCGGCCTCCGCCTGGGCTCCTGATTGAGGACCTAGTGCAGCCCCAGCGGGACCAAACTGACCAAACGAGTATATCGTTGGGTGAGTTGGTGCCGGCTGAGGCACTGCCGAAGAGAGAGGGGCTCCTGCATTTTGCGGAGCCGCGGGGATACCACTACCACTCGGTTGGGGCCACTGGTTAGGGCCCGACGGAGGGTATGCGTAGGATTGCGAACTTTGTTCGCGCGGCCAGCCCTGATAGTACGGGTAGGATGGTTGAGGGGCGGGAGCCGGGTAAGTGAATCCACCAGCTGGTGGAACATTACCCTGACTCCCGGGCTGTTGCGCGAACGACGTAAGCTGGCCCCATTGAGTCGATGTTGACCCATATGGAGCCCACTGCTGCTGCTGCACAGGCTGTTGCCATGTGAGAGTCGGTTGTGGGGGCTGCCATTGCTGCTGCTGCTGTGGCGGTTGAGGCCACTGCTGAGGTTGATGTGCGGGAGGCTGCATTTGAGCCTCACTCGCAGGTGATCTAGGAGGCGGAGGTTGCATTTGAACCTCAGCGGCGGATTGAGAGAACCAGGAAGCCGAAGGTTGGGCTTCCTGGGCAAGGCCACGATCACGGGCTTGAGCCCACGTTTCCTCAAGGCTCGCCCGGTTGGGAGCCTGAGGAAAGTCGGCGTCGGAGAGTCCGGGTCGACCAAGAAGGTTGTTGCGTCGAGTACGAGCCCATCTTTCGAGCTCGTGCAACTGTCCGGCTGATGTTATTACCAGCCGGAGATGACGCAACATCGCTCTCTCGTTGCCAATGAGAGAGTGATCAAGACGCGGAGTGGTGGTTCCAGTTGGAACCACCGATTGAAGAGAATGGTAAGCCCATTGGGCTTCCAGGTTTCCGGGAACAGAGGCCACGGTCATGGTGTATCGTCGGAATGCGTTTGCATCCTGACGTGCCACGAGCATGTCCTCTGGGCTGTTCGAAGCAGCCCCCGGAGCGATCGACTCGAGCCACCGATATTGGCGGACCCAGCGAAGATCGATCTCACCACTGATGATGAGAGCGCCTTGCGGCATGGTCACACCGGGGTGATTCCAGTACTCTGCCCATTCTCTATCGCTCGCGTTAGAGCCCGGTTGAGGCAGGGCAGGAGGAGGAGCCCGGCTGCGTTGAGCTCGGGGCCTCGGGAGATCAGCGATGGTCCTTGTCGCAGATTGCGACTCGGACCTTGCATTGGGAGCGGAGCCCTCAGTTCGCGACTTCTTTTGCCGCGAAGGAGCTCCCACTTCACCAGAGGAGGAAGCGTGCCGGGGTGCACGCAGGTCTCTTTGAGATGACCATTGGAGGAAGCGTCGCTGCCCCAATGACAGTCTCTCTGGTTGTACACATCGGAGGTTATTATCCTCCATGATCAATCGTCGAGTCGCGGAGTCATTGCCTCCCTCGCTCGCGATGATCACTTCTTCATAGTCCCTCTCACTACGAAGGGAGCCGCGTGTCCAATCCCGCTCGCCTTGTTGTCCTTCTTCGTCGTCACGCTTGCGCTTACCGCTCGTGTCAGACGAAGAGGAAGGAGCGGGATTAGGGGCGGCGGGAGCATTTGCAGGCGGAGGCATTCTTGCCATCAGCTCGGCCTCTCGTCTAGACCTGTTTTGTCTTTGACGAGAGCGCCTAGCGCGCCTGCGTCCAGAGTCCGTAGATCCTGGCATGCCTGGGGTAGTCATCCATCCCAGGCCTGCCAACACCTCGTTATCCGGGCCGGAACCTTCTCCTTCGTCATCAGAGTCGTCGATCCTTGTGAGACGCGACGGCCCTGCTGTCGGAGGAGAGCGTGGTGGGAGACGAACAACAGGAGCATTTGGCCCTGCTGTTGTTGAGGAGGATGTGGTGGGGGCAATTGCTCCCGCTCCTTCGGCTTCATGGACTTGCTTGTCCATGTCCTCATCCTGCTCTTCGGTGACCACGGGATCTGTTGACCCCGAGTCTTTTGGTGGAGCGAAGCTATGGGCCCCTTTCGGGTAGCCCTCATAGGAATCGTCGGAGTCAGAGAACGCGGCGTCAGGATGGTTTATCCTGCGCTCTTTGTCGTACTCCCTCCTCAGGCTGTCATACGCGGGCCTCATCCACGAGAGGTCGTGCTGGAGCCTGTCCGACTGTTCCTGCAGCTCGCGATTGCGAGCTGCAAGCCTCCGTGAATCAGCGAGGGATTCCTCGAGCCGAGAGGATACCTCGTTGACCCTCTTATGGAGGGCTTTCAACTCCTCGTCGTTTTTGGACGCCAGTTTAGCCGATTGGCTAACCTGGGCGCTTTTCCTTTTGTTAGACTCCTCGAGTCTACGCAGGTCTTCACGGATTCTCCCGTAATCCTGTTCCTGCGTCGCGGAGGCTCCCAGTTGAGCCTTCAACGCGCTGACTCGCCCCGAAAGGTTGGAGTTCTGCTCCGTCAGGGATTGAACCTGCTGGCGGAGCTGACGCAACTCTCCTTCCGTTATATCACGTTGGTCCGATTGACCGCTGCGATACCCTTCCTCGCGTCCCTCTGCTCGGGACTGCTGGAGAAGGTTACTTTGATGAGCTTGACGATCCCGGGTGGCGTCGTCAACCCCATCAGAGTGGGAGAGGTGGTGGTGGTCGAGATGGCAGACATATTGTCTGCACATCTCGCAGTACGTTCCCGGGTGCATTATTATCTGCAACCGTTCGTGGTACTGCAAGTTGGAGTTACTGGGGTCCCAGTTGGGACCACCAGTGCTGTTTACAGTACCCTCAATTTGAGGGTACGTTCTGGGCGGTGGAGGAGGCGGAGACGGCGGAAGGGCAGGCAGCGACGACAGATCCATGCCTGAGGCTTCTGCAGTTGCAGAAGCCTGACGGCTTGTCATTGCTTCCAATGGGTAGGTGGCGACTGGCGCCTCGACTACCACATCGTCTACCTCCATCGCCGTCGTCACGGCGTCTTCCTCGGGAACGGGAGGGAGAGGTGTCGATGCAGACAACTCACCTAAGCGGTTTGCCTGCTCGATGTCCTCCTGAGTGACTGGGAGGGGATCAGAAAGATCCCCGGATGTTTCTGTTAACGAATCCGAGTCGTCAGTATACTCGCCCCAGTTTTCGAGGAGGTTTATGTGGATGAACTCTGAGAGTATCTTTTGATACCCCGATTCATCCAACGCACCTGCGATGGGAGACTCCGTTGAGTCTCCCGGAGTCAATTTTGACTCCGTGGGTTGTTTTGGGTCCTTTGACGGTTCGGCCATTGCGTGGAAGGGAGAGAAGATGGGGGTTTGGAAGACGGAACGCGGTCAACTGCACCAGCGTCTTTTCAGACGCGCTGCACAGCTGGCCACGTGCTCGCTTAAGTCCGTCTTCGGAGATCTGATCTTGGCCGAGCGTGCCTTTTTCGGCGCTTCTTCGGCTATCAGATCCCGATCCTCCCTTACTCGACGCGTCTTGGCGTCGACAACCTTAAATCAAAGCGGAACCGGGTACAGAGGGCTCGCGCGGTAGTTCAGTGGCGGAGGCCACGCCACGCAGAGCCAGGTAGTCTCGTAGCAATTCAGTGTGACGAACCCGGTCAAGGCTCGTCCACTCTACATTACCCGTAGATAGTGTACCAATGAAACGAATTTTTTGTCCGTCCCATGAGTGCCCGACGAGAGATGTGAAATACACCTCATCGCGATCGGGCTGTCCGAAATCGTAGGCCGCTGCTAAATCCCTACTGGGAAATATATCATCGCTGCTTGCGATGTGCGGCCTGACAAGGTTCATATGGAACCGAGGGTGAATTCGTCGCTTGACGAGTTCATCCGGCAATTTTAGTTCACATACAGATTCTTTGGGCCACACTTTAGTGATTGGATATGGCCCAACGAATTTAGGGAGCAATTTATGCGCCCTTCCTTTCGGAAGATTCAGATTTTTGGTATTCAAATAGACGAGTTGTCCCTTTGAATACTCTGGTGCATCACGGCGTTTTTTATTAGCGTAGTAGGTCTGATTGACCCGACTTTCGATAATAGCGTCGTGAGCCCGTTGTAAATTGGCTCGAGCCTTTTCCGCAAAGTAATTAACCCCGCGGTATGGACTCTCCCCTACAGGAGTGGCCATCCATTTCGGCAAGTACCCATAATTAAGCTCGAAGGGAGCATAACCAGTACTTGCTGAGACACTGGAATTCATGGCGAACTCTACCATAGGGAGCCAATCGGCCCAATCTGTTTGAGTGGGCTCGACCATGGTCCGGAGCATTTTCGATATCGTTTGTATCGCACGCTCGGACGCACCATCTGTTTGAGGGTGGAACGAAGTAGACATGAGAAGCTTTGTTCCGGCGAGTCTATGTAGCTCTTTCCAGAACGCCGCAGTGAATTTAGTGTCGCGATCGGACACTATGGACAATGGGAAACCGTGCAGTCGCACGATCTCCCAGAGGTACAGCTCTGCGAGCTCGATAGTCGTGACCTTCGTGGTTACTGGTATTAAGTGAACCATGGAGGTCTTCCGGTCTATGACTACCCACAGGTAATCATATCCGCTCGACTTCGGGAACGGGCCAACGAAATCCATAGCTATGGATTCCCAAGGCTGGTTTGGTACAGGCAAGGAGTGGAGAAGACCCGCTGGTTTTTGCGGCGCGGTCTTAGACATTTGACAAGTCTCGCAAGATGCGCAAAACTTGTCGACTGTCGTCCCCAGACCTGGCCACCAAAAATGATGACGGAGGTAAGCCGACGTCTTGTCGGCTCCCAGGTGACCTACGACCTTATGAGCAGTCGCAATTGCGAGCTCTCTAAGCGTCCTGTCTTTGTGCTTCCCAATAGGAAGGCACAACACCTTCTCGAGTTGAGAAGTATAGGTCCACAAGCGTCCGGAACCCTGATCATATTCGAAGCTTGAATAATGGTCAGGATTCCCAACGATCTTCGCGAAGAAATTATCCTCAGCATATTGCGAGGACAATTTCCCAAGCCACCCATCATACTCACTCTGTATTTCTGCAGGTAAGTTTGATGGTGGAGGAGAACCGTTAAGTTCATCCTCCAGTCGATATAGCTTTTCCGCAGAGGTGGTTTTCACCTTCTGAGCCACAGGCGTCTCCGCATATTCCTCGAGCTTGACGACCTCTTCGTCGCGGGGCTCTTGAGGACGCTGAAACGCCTTCTCTGCGACCAACTGAGGGTACCTTGACTCCTCAGTGGTCTTCTTCCGATTCGTCCTCAACTGCATAGCTCGAATTTCGAGCGAGCGTTGGGGCATCAAGTCGTCCCCATTGGGATCGAGCTTAATATCCATATTGGCATAATCAGACTCGTCAAGAGTTCCTTCGACTCTCTTGTAATAACGCGAAAAACAGTCGGCGACTTTGTTAAGTCGCCCTTTGACATATTTTATCGTAGCGTTATAGGGTTGCAAGAATTCTGACCAGCGCGTTTGACGCGGAGTCAGGTTCTTCTGTGAGTCGAAGAACTCAAGGGCCTTGTGGTCAGTCACTATTGTGAACTGCCGTCCGAGCAGTTTATCGGACCACTTTGCAAGGGCCTCAATCATTGCGAGAGTCTCCTGCTCGTAGGTCCGGTAATTTCTCTGCGCCGCAGAGAATCGTTTGGACATGAAACCAGCAGGACGGCAATTTTGCCAGTCCTCTCCTTGTCCATATACAGCACCGACGCCATAAATGGAGGCGTCGCAAACGACCCATATTGGCTCGTTTGACTTGGGATCTATGGGCTTGAGGATAGGGTACTTACATGCCATCTCACGTATCATACGGAAACAATGGTCGTGTATGGGTCGCCAAAGAAATTCACGCCCGTTTCGTACCATACCCGAGAGCACAGACGAGTACATTGACACGTCAGGCATAAAGCTCGAAAGGTATTGGACTAGCCCTAGGAACCGTTGGACCTCATTGTAGGTTTTCGGTGTGGGCCAGTTCCTGACCTTGGACATTTTGTCCGAGTCGGCGTGGATTCCTCGTTCGTCTATGACGTGACCGAGACAATCCATTCGCTTGGAATAGAAATCGCATTTCGATGCGATGAGGTAGAGCTGGTTCTGGCGCAGTTTGTCCAGAACGAGCCCTATATGCCTCTGATGATCATCTTTCGAGTTCGAGAAGATGAAGATATCGTCCATGTATACATGAACGAAATCACCTATGTATTCTCTAAATACATGGGTCATCAGACGTTGGAATGTAGCCGGAGCATTACAATCGCCCTGTTGCATTGTAGTGCTCACAAACGTGCCATAGATGGTGGCAAACGCTGTTTTCCACACATCTTCCGGCATAATTCGTATCTGCTCGTAAGCATCGCTCATGTCTATCTTTGAGCGATACTTAGCAGCAGCTACGTCCATCCGGATCTGATCTTGATCCGGGAATGGAGTGATATCCTTCCATGTATTGTCGTTCCGTTTACGACAATCTATAACGGTACGTAGGTTACCGTTTTTCTTGGGGATACATAACATAGGCGCGGCTTGGTTGGTGGTCCTTTCGATCCACCAGCCGGCTTTTGTGTATCGGATGATCTTATCCCTCAATTGGGTTTTAAGAACATCTGGACATCGAGGAAGGTGGTATTTTTCCACCTTACTCTCATCCATTAGAGGTATGCGATGGTTTATCGCCCTCATCGGAGGTAGGGTCAAGGGAACTTCGCATATAACATCCTTCGCAGACTCATACCAAGCCTTACGAAGGATGTCGATCTCTGCGTCGTTCTCCTCCTTCTCGGCTGCTTCAATTCGAGCTGCCTTCAGATTGAGATAACGTCGGGCTTGACGTTGTTCGTCTTTCGGGATGTACCTATCAGGTACATGTTCCGAACTGTGTACAGTAGGGAACGACTTCTCTTCTATTGATGAGAGGTCGACCTTAGGCTTACTACGGCTGTAAGCCTTCATCTTCCGAATTTTATCGGGGTCCTTCTGTGGTTGTGGTGGCTCTGCTGATTCCACCACTTCCTCCCCTACTCGAGCGGCCTCAGCATTTGCCAAGGTCGCGCGAGGGATTCATTCCTCATCCGGAACCTCCTCAACGCTCACATTTCGGTTCCCGAAAACGCGATGCTGAGGAGGAGAGACAGACGGAGGAGGGACAGTAGGCGGGGCGGCCACATCGGACGCTAGAATCTCCTCGGTTGATAGAGATTGAGGATGTTTATTAACATCCTTCATGGTGTGTACGCGTGCCACCGGGGGTTTATCCCGGGCGTACAATGCGGCCTCGTCAACTTGACGGCGGAACGTACGTCGCTGACGACGCACGACCCTCTCTTGTTCGAGAGTCAATGCCGGGTAAGTCTGGCCGTCAATTTCTACTGCTTTTTTGCCAAAGTCAAGTATGACTTTGTGCTGCAGTAGGAACGGGGTTCCCAGAATCGCATCATAATAGTCGATGTTAGCGACATCATAATACGCCTCAAATGAGGAGGTACCCATCTTGGCCAAGGCATGCGTACCATAGTTTATGGTCGACTTACTGCCAACTGTACCCAGTTGGAGAGTCATTGGCTCATCCAGCTCGACAAGTGGGGTCTTCGACACAACTGCAACATCAGGACTGATGGCGTTGGTCGTACTCCCAGAGTCGAAGAGCGTGTAGCACTTCAACCCTGCGATATCGATTTCTACAGCCAGTACGATGGCCTCGCGTTTGCCTCGTACTGGTTGTTTGCCACTCTTGACGATCTTGGCGTCATACACCCACGTAGGACGGTATTCCTCCTTGTTGGTGCGCTCACGCGAGGGGTTCATCGCCATCATAGATACTGAGGGCTGCTCGTGAGATTCGCTGTTCGTAGCAGCAACCTCCGCTGCTACTTCTGCCAGCAAATCTTCAGCGGTATGCAGCCGCTCATTCCTATTCTGGCGCTGACGTCGCTTCTTCTGCCTGCGACGCTCGCGGAGGATAGAATCGGCAACCTTGCTACTCCTTTCGTTGAGCTTATTGCCAACGGGAGGAGGAGGGGGTAAGTTTACCACCGGGGGCTCATCAGTCAACAAGTTGTTGACCTCTCGAGCTGCCCGACTGATTCCTTCCTTTATTAACATGCCCAAACCATCTTGGTCGGACATGTCATCCTTCTGGGCTTCAATCACCGTGAGAGCCATCCTCAGGGCACTTTGCCATCCGAGGGAGTATGCCTCACCCAGGGTCGGCACATTACCAGGCTGTCCTTCAAATGAAGAGACAGTTCCGTCCGTTGTGTCGTCAGCCTGCTCGACCACGAACGACCGCATTGGGCGTTCTGGTGTGGGAGCGCGACTTGGAGGAGGAGACTCCTCGCCCTCAGAGCGCTGGAGTGATTCCTCCACCTCCATTTCGCTATTAAAGCTCGTGTCGCCATCAGGCACGAACTCTACGCGGGCTTCGACAAAATCGCCTGATTCGAAGTCATATTCGCCTTCAGAATCGTCGAAACGACGATTAGTTACTCGCAGTCTCATTGACTGCCCTATCGTCGCCGTTTCGTCGTTCTCGTCTCCTTCAGAGTCTGACGAATCGACAGTTATCGCAGAATCAGAGACATTTGCCTCTGTTTCCTCGCCACAACCCCCACGGAGCCTCATGGCTCCCACTCGGGGGTTATCATCATCACTATCAGTTTCCACATCGGAGGTGTCTTCGCCTGGTGATCCTTCATCACCAGAGCGGTCGGTGTAGTCTCCTGCACCGTTCTCCGAGTCGGAATATTCGACAAATGGGGTACCCTCTGGTAGAGTGTCCTCATTTGTAGTTCTTGGGACATGACCGTCAGTCGGACGGTCATTCTCTTGTTCATCGTTGCTTCGGTCATCGACCGGACGCTGCGCATATAAGCGGCGCTTTTTGTTAGCCCCGTCCCTTTGCTTATCCTTGTCATCCTTCTGAGGGCAATCTCTGCCCCAGTGCCCCAGCTTGCCACAATTGTAGCACGCGTTCGGGTCGCTGGGCCGTTGTGTTTGCCCTCCTTGAGGACGAGAGGCAGCCGGACGAGGAGTAGAGTCCGTCCTACGTGGAGTAGAGTCCCGTGGGTTAGAGTCCCTCGGGGTCCTACTCCTCGTGTGGTCTCTTTGGGGTCTGGTTGACCCCGACGGATTATGGTGATTCGTAGGCCTTGACGTCGGCCTACTAGAGGAGGGTCTATTATTAGAGGGATTATTATCCCTGCTAATAATTTTGAGAGATGAAGACCTTGTCTTCGTTTTTCTCTCATCTTCTGCTTCGAAGTTGGATGCGAGTGTGTATCCACGCTCGCACCATTTAGCGGCATCGAGGAGCTCCGCCATTGTGGAGTCCTCGGGGGTTACCCTCTGCTGGAGTATCGCCTGTCGGCGTAACTTCGACGGCAGTTGATAAAAGAACTTACATTTGAGTGAGTATGCGTCTGGCATACTCCTCAAACGTTCTGCTGCGGTCAACAGACGGTCGTAGAATCCTCCGACCGTGTCTTTCGCTGACCACTTGCAGTTCTCGTATTGCTCGTTAGCAACACGAGCACTTGATGTATGGATGAAGCGCCGGTATAAGGCGCTCACCATACTCTCAAATGTTTGGTGACGGGTAAATCCCCTGATACTGTCGTATTCCTGGTTGAACCAGGTCTGCGCAGTACCCTTAAGGACTTGCCCTAGAGCAAGAATACGTTCTTGCTCCATCTCATCACTCTGACCACAAAGTTTGTACATCCGGAGCTGGCGGATGAATTTCATCATAAAGGTATGAAATCCATCCGGATCGTCAGCTCCAGAGTATTGCGCGACCTCAATTTTGAGGTTCTTTGCGAACGCTACTCCCGCGGAGTTTGTCACTTCATTGTCGAGGTGATGATGGATCATCTCGATTATGAGCTGTAGCTCATGATCCTGATGATCCCATCCTGCTGGTCTCGAAGTACTCACTTGAGACGCTGCACTACCTGCCTGCACTGGCCTGGTAGCAGAATACGACGAAGGGGGAATATAGTCCGAATCAGCATAAGCACTAGCTCCAGTATTTGGAACTCGTGCGCTGATTGAGGGTCCAGGGTCCTCGTCTTGATAACGAGGACCGTCAGCAAACCTCACCTCTTCCCGGCGTGTTACTGGGGTTCGTATTATCGAACGCAGAGGCGTAGGGGTCGTAGGAGGAGCAGGGCCATTAATCCTCCTGAAGTTACGTACCCGTATACGGTACTCTTCTTCAGGTTCACCCTGCCACTGATGGGGATCAGGTCTGTAAGGACCGTTAGATCCTTCCCCAGTTGCCTCTCCGGCTCGCTCAGCTTGTTGCCTTGCGAGCCTGTGTGCTTCGAGCTCTTCTTGAGCTCGGCGATGTTCAGCGGCCGCGTCTTCAGCCAGCTGTCGCTGCTGTTCTGCGGCCTCTTGTTCTTCACGCTCCACACGAGCGTGAACAGGTCCAGTCCTTCGCCGGTAATCGGCGTCGGACTCACCCTCTAGTCTCTCAAACGGATTGACATCTTCTGATGTCTCCCGTTGAGTCATAATTGCTCTGGACTTACCTTTGTCCACTCGCGCCTCTGCATCCTTATTGGATGAGGATGAGGGCATCGGATTACTATGCGGGACCCTTTTACTAGGTGTTCGAGTCCCGCTTTTAGAGTATATATCTGCCAATTCGGCAGATACCAAAGGTTCCGAAAATCGAAACCGCCCGTCTTGCTCGAAGGCGGTTTCAATTTCCACCAGGTTATCGATGATAGCCTGGCTCTCGTCCATTATACGAGTGCGCATCTCTCCCTGCTCTTGCAGGAATCGACGCGTTTTCTCGTCATAGTCGGAGTAAGCTTCCCTTGTGGACGCATGAAGCGCCGACAACCCGGTAGCCACTTTCCGAGCCGCCCTCAATTTCTGCTCGACGGTTTCGACGAGAGGGTCATTGGAGGGGGCCATAGACGATTGTCTATCCATCCCTTCATTCTGAAGGGATTGTTGATCATCGGAGAGCCTTCGTTGGGCTCTCCCTGCAGAGGCTGCGCCACTCGTTGTGGCGCCTTGACTCACCTGTTGAGTTTGACGGTGACGCTGCTCCGGTTGAGCTTCTTCGTCATCGTCATCGGAATTTTTGAGGTCGGGCGTCGGGGTTCGGGAATGGGTCCCATTGTTGGATGGAGAGGGGGCTGTAAAAGGAGGGGCGGAAAGGGGGGATGATGGTCGTTGGTCGAGAGCGTCGGTCTGCTCATCGCCGGACTCGCGGTCTGTCGACTCTTGCGAGTCGTGGGAGCCATCATCGGCGCCGCGAGTCACTGCCCTGGTCCTCGGCCTCTTGCCTGCTCCACCACCCCTTGCACCGCCGCCTCGCGTGTTCGAGGAGGACGGATCACCAGATCCTCCTCCGCGATTTCCTCCACGGCCTCGGGAGCTCATGGAAGATATTGGGGATATTGGTTGGAATAAAAAGTACGCACAGTAGATAGATCTTGCGGACGTTCAAAAAGTGTAAGAGGTTGGGGTCTTGGTCTTGAGGTATTCGCGCCTGAGAGAACGGTACCCGCCTGCCCGTCGAGGGTGCGGATGGTATTCCAAGAGGTACGAAGGTTACAAGTAAGATACAGAGTACATACGAGAGTCCATGAATATATATACGAGATCTGGCTTGTTTGCCAGGAGCAAACAAGCGCGCGTGATAAGATAAGATCGATCGCCCGGATACAGCAACGCGGAAGTGGCGCTTAGGATAGATGTGGCCCACTCATGTTGAGTGCCACACCGTATCCCTAGCCGCCCCTTACAGCCTATCACATACCATACCCTCCAACCATCAATATATGCTATAAAGAGAAACTCATTTGGGCTCGAGAAACACCGAAAGCACCGTGAAAACGTACGACACACAACGAAATATCGACCGGTAGATGAGAACACTACAGCGAGAGAGGAACGTGAGTACATAAGTCATTGAGTTACAAATACTGAGTGACGCACCTGGACCCTCCTCGCAGGCCTGAATGCTGGAAGAGAGTATGGTAAAACTCGGACCATACTTTATATTATCACCCTACAACTCCGTGCACTTTCTACCTCGTCCGTAGCAATCAAGTAACAGTGAGTTCTTCTTGAAAAGATTCTTGCTCCTGGGTGAAGAATAGCGGGTGAGTATATGGGAAGGCATTTGAGAGCGGGAGTGAGAGGGGAGATCTAAGGCAAAGGGCGGGAATGGCGCAGAGCTGAGAGTGCGAGAAGGTGGACCGGCGTTGGGAGAGGATGAGAGGATGGTGCGAGAGGGAAGCGAGCGAGAGGGGAGGGAGCGAGAGGGGAGGGAGCGAGAGGGGAGGGAGCGAGAGGGGAGGGAGCGAGAGGGGAGGGAGCGAGAAGGAGGGGACGAGAGGGGCGCGAGCCAGCGGCCTTATGTAGCTCGAGTGCAATGGCGCACGGACCATGTCTGACGTTTGACGTCATCGCGTTGAGCTCGGGCGACGAGAGAGTCACATAGTGAGAGAGGTGAAGGCGAGATTGAGGGGAGAGAAAGGGAGAGAGGACAGAGAGTGCGGTTAGTTGAAAATAGGGGCAAAGCTCGGAGGACGAGAAACCTATTTTTAGAGCGCGGTTCCTCGGAAGTGCGGACTGTAGACGAACTTCGACGACTCCCGACTCGACGACATCCCGAGCTCGTTCTTCTGACCGGAGGACTGCTGGCTGGAAGAGGGAGCCTGGATCCTCAATCCGTCGCCAGTGCTTGCAAAGAGGTGGTATAAGTACGAGTGTCGGGCGATTGGCAGCTCCGGTGAGCCGGAAGCAATCCGGAATAGCCGGCCAGAGTTGTGCAATTTCGCCCGATGACTGGCATGCGAGGCCATACTTATCCTCACATTGTCTGAAGCAGTTTGGAATCTTGGTAACCACATAAATTGGAATGCAATCTGGGCAGGACCTGATGTGAGTTGTTTGTTTTATGAAGCCGTGTGGTGCATGGAATTTACAGTGAGCATTCTTCGTGGACACGACACCACACGACTGTCAAAACCTCCGCGTCAACTCGCAAGATTTGGTACCTTCGAGAAAACCTTCGAGCATTATATTGTTGACGACTCTAGATGCAAATTTCCTAGGAATGTGAGGGCATATATTAGCACTACAATGTAAGGTAGGGGTCATGGTTGGCACACGTCGCCAATTGAGACTCGCCGCCACGACTCACGCTAAACGTCGCCGGTGGGTCGCGTGGGGCCACGTTCTCGACGACTCCCGCATCACTATCTGGGCCAATGTCTTTTTCTCTGACGTCGATATCTGGGACTCTGGACGCTGATATTGTCATTTATCTAAATGTCCGCATCATGATTGATCCAGGAGGCCGTTTACGATTATGCATTGCCACTAGTGTTGGCTTTGGCCGTCACGAACCTGCGCCTTGTCCAAATCTCGAAAGCTCCCTGTGTAGTGAAGACGATACTCACGAGCCATGCCCACTGACGAACACTTCACTAACTAGCAGTCATCCCAATCGAAGCCAACTAGAGAATGAATACCAGAAAGCTTTTTCATGATGATTACCTGCTCGAACAAGTGTTCTCTAAAAAAACTAAGCAAGGTTTCCGCCGGCAGCAGCCGGCAATTCCCAAGTCGTGGGAGTTGCTGCCCGAAACGCGAACTAATCTCATTTCAGACTCCGCGCGGCCTGGACCGGAACGCCCATCATCCCAACCTCGCTCTTCCATCTTCGAGTGTCCGTCCTTGGAGTTCTGACTCTCAAACTCCTCTGGATTACAGTACTACTATGAGTGCACTCTGACTGCTGGCAAAAGTTGTATTTCCTTTGCACGCGCTCAAATCGTATGAAGGCGGTGCTTTGCACCACCAACTCGCCTTCGATCTTGTCATCCTCGACTATTGCTCGACCTGTCACCTCAACGATCTGAAATGCCCAGATGGACTCGTCTACATTGAAGCATCATGGATATGACACCCGGGCTACCTACATTCTCGGCATTTTTCTCTCTCGCCGGAACAAGGTGCTCTCCCGACTGTCATACCGTAGAGATTTTGAGAATCACCTCGATATTATTGCACCCTCCACATATCTGCACTGTCTCCCAGAAAGGCACCCTGACCAATCAAACCATCCAGAGCCGGCGCAGACTCTTCCACAGGGCCCCTGTCTCGTTGGTGTGGTGACCTCACTATGAACGCCAACGCTCGTCTTTACTTTCCACAAATGTCAACCGCGTGAAGTGCCCAGTACTATCCTCGATGGTTCCGGATACCACAATGCCAAATCTAACTGATTCCAAGTTGGGGAGCCGAGTAGAACTGGCGGCCGGTGACATGGGAGGTGCGCTGCATAGATCTCCCCGGCCCCTATTGATGCAGGTCCGTCGCTGATTCACAGTATGCTCACACGCACCCGTAGTTCCGATACTCTACCAGGTCCAACCGCACAGTACGAACCAGGTGGACAATTGTGAGAGCCTTTGCGCTCACGAATCGCACGATGTACGTATATATAAGGACAGCATATGAGGTCTACTTTCGCCATCCCTCGCAGAGTCTCATACAATCTGCTATCACCAAAGTCACCTTACCAGTCAAACTCCTCACTGTAAAAACAACGATGTTGTTCTCCATCACCTCATTCGTCGCACTTCTCGCCGCTTCCTCCACTCTCGTCGGTGGTGCTTCTCTCAAGCGTCAAAGCGGCGACAACGGCTCTTGCGCGCAGCTTGGGCGTATCTGCGCTGGTGATGTGCAGAACGACCTGTCTAACCTCTGGGCTGTCGAGTCTTGCTTATTTGCTGGGGTCTGTTTTGAGAGGAACGGATCCTCCTTGGATGGTTTCTACGGTAACCTCTGGGTGGAGCTTGGTCATACCAGTAGACCGCCTCTGACCCTATACACTCCAAGGGTGACTCAAGCTGTGAGTAACTCGATCTTTTTCACGTCGCTCGAATGTTGGTCGAGGATAGTGTCTTCCAGTTTCTTTGATGCTGACGGCGGTTGTACGTTGATAGGTCTTCAACAGTATCTCGAACAATGGGCCTGGTATCACTCAGCAGAACTTCATCGACGGATATTACGCGTTAGTGTGCCATTTCAGCATCTTGCGCTCCCATATCACCCAATAAAACTGATATCGATGGCTGCTTTTCGTTTTGTAGTGCTCTCAGCGCGACCGGTGGTCCGTACCCCGACAACGCCCTTGTCATCGGTGACTTTCATCGCATCGCTACATGGTACGTCCGTCGTTATTGAAGCGTCACCTTTTTGATGACTTGCTTTGATATCTACAGGACCGACGTCTGCGGGGCTGGTCAAGGCATCCCCTACAGCAACTTTGCTGACTACTTCCAGTACAGCGCCACCAATCCCGCGAACTTCTGTCCGTGAATATCGATTGCCGAGGGTCACTGTCAACCTCGATACTTCTAGGGATTAGCGGGGGATCCATAGCGGCGGCTCATTCTCAAGGACTTTCTTCCCCTTCATTTTTCATTCATTATCGCTCTTGAGTTCAAATCGTGTGCATTGAAGCCACGACAAGGATGGAATATTCCTGGATTCAACGAACTCTGTATATTGCCTGCAGTCGGTTATTTGGTGTTGAAGCTATCGTTCAGGATATTATCGAAGTGTTTATTCTAATTTACCAGTAGCAGTGTGTAGTTGTATTTTGAGTCCCTGGTCTCGTTGAGCGGCGATCTTTGCACTTATACCGGCCAGGTATCAGTACTAGTAAAACCAATGGCTTTCTTGACAAAATCCAGCGGCTCAAGAGACTCTACTGTTGCTCGTAACAGAGATACGGAACAAATGTAATGGAAGACTGTAAAGTCCACTCTCGGTCTTGACGAGGTTGAGACTGTCCTGGAAATTTGGATACAGCAGAGCGAAAATTGAACGTTGAACGCTGGGCTGATCGTGGGAGACATTTATCCGAAGCATGAAGTACCCCTACTTCAAGTTTTAAACTCCGCATAAACACGACTCTTACGGAACTTCCAGCATCGCCATAAGCTTACCACCCCAACATTCCTTTCAACTCCTCTGACCTTCAAGCCTGTCCTTCGTATTCTATGAATTACTTCATTCTTGACACAGCTTGGAGCTCGCTGAGCTTGCAGAAAGGGGCTGCCAGTGGTTGAGTAGCCTCGTCCCCATCACCGGTGGGCCGCGGTCTCCAACGTGTAAGTGGCACCGCTCGATCCTCTCGCCGTTCTTTCCTCTTATATCGCCCTAATACCTTGGAAAGATTCGTATATCATTGCTGCATTATGGGCTAAGGCGCCATCATCAGATATCAAGCCCCAGACGTCATTCGGACCGTATGTGTTTTCAACATTCATTCTCTCTTGCCTCCAAATGTGACCGTGGCTGTCCTGGTAAGCATACGGATCATAAGTATTGAGTCGACCACTAGGACTGCCAATTGGATGCACGTAACCAAACTCCGCTTCAAAGCAACTTGAACTGGGACCACCATCATCACAAGCTTAGTCACATATGCGCATCTGGGCATCTGGACCGGGGAGCCTGCACGATTTATTATGCTCTGGGAGTGGCTCGAGCCTACAGAATGAATCGCGACCATTCGTAGGTGCGCAGGGTCTGAGGCAGCACGACGCAACACTTGTACTCTGAGTAGCGCGCGGCTGTCACCCTCCCTGAGCGAGCTCACATTGGATCGCTTCTCCATTCTATTCGATAATATAACCTAAATCGCCTCAATGGAAGCGATACACCGCGGAGTACTTATGTCCGATTTCCAGACATCATTCGGAATACCCCCATTCCCGCCGTTTCATTCTCTGTGACCGAAAACAAGCGCTCAGCCTCGCAGTCCATTCGGAATTTGGGAGTCGCCTCGGTGTCTACTGATTCCTTTTTTCGTCTTCTCCATGCTTCTGCGGTGCTCTCGAAAATGCTTTCGGATGACCCAAGCCCTCCAGACTTGGTCCAAATACTTACGAATAGGACGAGCCCCTCTCTTGTCGGGGCGCTGTCCTTCTGGGGCCCGGCGAACGTTCGCCTTCGTTGTTCACGAGTGACAACTATACTGAATATCAAGTGATATTTTCGATAATTTTAACCCCCTTTATGCCTCATCCGACTCATCATGCATTCTCGAGCTTGATGGAACCTGTCTGGACGGTTGATGGAGGGTGCCCGTGCGTGACGGTGACCTACCCGACGCCTCTTGAAGCAGGTGAGCCAACAATTCAGAGTCCAGCCGTGCATTGTTGTGATCAGATGCTCTGTTACGCCTTGCAACACATGCCAGTCAACGCAGCAGGCTGCCATCACTGGCGAGAATTTTCAGCGTTTACAAATTATGGGATGCGTATAAAGAGAGCCTGCTTATGAGCCTCGTTTTCCTTGTCTCTCAACGAGTCACACACCGACTTCTCTAAGATCTGCTCTTGCGAAAGCCCTCTCTCATACACAGACAATACCATCACATACCAATGATCTTCTCCGCTGCCACCTTTGTCTCTGTCCTTGCTGCTGCTGCCACTCTCGTCAGTGGTGCTTCAGTCAAGCGCCAGGGCGTTGACAACGGCTCTTGTGCCCAGCTCGAAAACATATGTTCTAACAATGTTGCGAGCACTCTCCAGAATATTTGGGCGGTTGAGTCTTGCTTGTTCGCGGGTGTATGCTTCGAGAGGAACGGCACCACCTTGGATGACTTTTTGCGTGTCATGTGGGAGAGGAAGGGCAACAGCGGCAACCCCCCGGCGAGCATAAACATACCGAGGGTCCCTCAGGGTGTGAGTAGAGTCCTCTCCCTTGATTTTCTTTTTTTCTTTCTTTGCCATGTCTACAGTTGTACGAGACTGATGATGGTTGCATGTGAGTAGACCTTCAACGCTATCTCCGGCGGTCCGGTCGGGGGTGGTGGGAGTATCACTCAGCAGAACTATATCGATGGGTATTACCAGTCAGTGGCCCGTTCCAATACTGTCTCCCTCACAAGTCTCATCTCAACGGTGGATTTTTTTTAAAGCACTCTTGACGCAACCAATGGCCCGTACCCCACCAGCTCGTCCATTGTCATCAGCGACTTTCACCGTATCGCCTCCTGGTACGTCTTCTATACTATCATCCTACGACCTTTTGGACGCGAATGAGCATGGCTGACTTTACGAAACGTAGGGCCAACTTCTGCACCGGAGGGATACCTTACCAGAACTTTGCCGATTACTTCCAGTACAGCGCCAGCCGCCCCGCGAACTTCTGCCCGACTTAAACGCCGAGCGGTGGGGGTCTTCATATTCTGAGGGCTCTGCGGAATATGATATCGCCCAATGGCTCAATCATAAGGACTTTTTCTGATTCGCCTTTCATTTCTTCTCTTGTACTCGACGCTTTTTACGACAGTTGCTCTTGACTGTAACTTGAAGGGTTTGACTAGTTATGTTCTTGGTCTCTGTTGCTAGTATCGGTCCGTGATTCGTCTTTATATGATTGTACTTTTATTTCGTGTAGGATGTCGATTTAGGCTTCCGTGATAATCCATTAGGAAAACCAATTATATTTCACGATGAAGTCGAGAGGGCGAGAATTGGGGGGTGAAATGTTGGCGCAACTAATTCGAAAGCAAACTCCTCTTCAAAGCAACTCGAACGGGGACCTCCATCGTGTCGCACTTCACATAGTCATCCTCATATGTTCTTATCTTGCATATCTGGCACATGTTGCTGAACGTCGGATACCCCGTGAGGACTTCGAAAGAGCAAGGACAAGAACGATTGAAGAACGATGGTACGAAGTTGTCGTCTGCGCCACCGCCACTCGAGCAATGATCGTTCGCCGATCAATTTCAACATGACGTCATCGGCCGATCAAAGACGAGCGGGACTGCGAATCGAGCTCATACCCTTCACCACCTTCGTCGTCGTCGTCGGCGGCGGCGGCGGTTCCAGCCCAACGACATCAACAATCTTAACTTCTGTAGGAACGGAATCACTTCCTTCCAGTTTTTCATTTCCAACTCTTTGTTCTCAAACACAAGATCGGACTCACATCATACGCACCCACACCCAAAGCGTGCTCGCAGCTCGCTACTCGTTCAAATCCAAACAAATGGATAAATAAAAAATGCAATGATGCTGAGCGGGGGTGTGGTGGTCGACGAGTAATAGTGGTGGTGGCGTGCGGCGTGTAATGTCACCTATCAGAAAGGTCTCAAGGCCGATGCGACGATGCGGTGGGTTGTCCAAACCAAAGACAGAGATCGATGGAGAAAAGGTAGGTAGATAGGTAAGGTGGAGGCGAACGGTCGGGTCGTCTACATGTGTATACTAATGCCCAAGGGAGGTATCATAGCGTAGAAATGGGAAATGTCCAGGGAGAGGGGCGCCTTATGCGGTCTGGAAACAAAGAGAAAGACATCAGTATTGTGAATGTATGGACGTGGAGACGCGAAGTAGGTTCAAAAAACGGAGATTGTGATGACGATCGACGTTTGATGGAGGTGATATGATTTGTATGGCATAGAGCAACACGAGAGAAAGGAATAAAGCAAAGATAAAAACACGTACCGCCTCCTTCAAGTGGGTGATGAGGTCGTTGCGGTCCTTCTCCTTCTTAAGACCAGCGAACGCCATCTTCGTTCCAGGAATGTACTACAAAACGCGTGATAAACGACAATCAGTCTCGACGTCACACACCACAGGCGGACTGGAGGGGAATGCAATGGATGCTGCATGATGACGCGAGACGTGACGTACCTTTTTCGGGTTCTCGAGGTACTCGAAGAGAGTCTGCTCGGTCCAAGTGATACCCTTGTTCACGTTGGCGGCGGTGTAGGAGAAGCCTTCTGCCTGACCGGTCTTACGACCGAAGACACTAAATGCCACAAAGAACAACAAAGAGTAAGCACGACATTCGATTGTGGGTGCTGGCAAAGAATGACGACGCGACGCGACGAGATGAAAACGAAACGCACCCGTGGAGGTTGGGGCCGACCTTATGAGGCTCGCCAGCGCCGAGGGTGTGGCACTGTGCGCAACGGGTCTTGAAGAGACCAGCACCCTTGCCAGCATCACCTAAAGACGTCGAACATTCACGAAGCGAAGCAAAGACCAACCACGAAATCAGTGTACGCCCATTGCCCGCCCAGCTAATGTCACAACATACCAGGAGCGTAAGACATGTCTGAGAACTAAAAGGTCGTGAAGGGAAGTAGGTACGAAGGTGACGGTGGGCGGTACGCCGTGAAGAGTCGTGGAGGAGATGGTGGAGGAGGATGAAGTGGAGGAAAGCGAAGAAAAGTTGGTGACGGGTATTTAAAAAATGTGGGGGGCCCGGTTCGCTCCGGGGCAACAACCAATCGGAGCTCCTTCATTTCCCAAATGGGCAGCGTAAATTCCAGCGACGCGCGGAACGATGATCTCGGCCTTCGTCCGCGACGGGCGCGTCGTTGCATCGTCAGCGAGGCACAATTGGTGGCCAATCGGGGAGCAACGTGGCGCCGTCAGTGACCTGGAAATTCGCGGTCGCATTGTGTGGCGCAAGAACAATGCACATTGCTCATTCGTTCATCATCTTTGCTCGCTGTCGTAGACTCATCTTGAGGCCTTGGTACGCACATTTATTCATTGGAGAGGATCAGCGTGGCAGCGTCTGCAACAAGATCCGTGTATCCTGAACTCGGCGTCTCATCGGACCCCCAAATTTTCGTGTATCGATGTCAAAGCACTGGCGGCAGTGACTGAACGTCACAGGTGCCACTCCCGATTCTTTCCGCGAGTCAAGCCAACATCATATCCCGAAGTAGACGGCTGAAAGGATAGACATCTTTGTGATTGGCAGTTAGTACAGGCCGTGTCGTACATTAGTATCGATCAACAGTCCAGTTGCTACAGATCTGTAGGTATGAACGCCCAATGGGCACACTTCCATGCAGTAACCAATCCGTTCGAGCCCACCCCGATTCATTCTCCCGCCGCCAACTCCTCCTTCAACATCCCCTCTGCAACCTTCCAATCTCTCTCCGGCGCATCCCCCTCCCACTGCCACCCCCAACTCCTCTTCACCTCCTCTCCCCACTTCTCCACCCACCCCAAATCCGCCTTCGACACCTCAATCCCCTCAAACTCATACAATTCACCCAGCCTCCTCGCCGTGTTGACGATTCCATTCACGAACGGAAGTCTTATGCGTTCGTAGATTTTGAGTGCGGTGGGGAGGGTGGAGAGGGTTGTGAGTGGGTGGGTGAGGAGGCGGGCGAGGAGGTAGCCGTCCTGTGGGCATGGATGAATGTGTTAGTTAAGGGACAGTGGAAGAAGTGAGAGCGCAGAAGGTGACGGAATGTACCTCCATAGCCTGACCCGCACCCGTTCCTAGATGAGTCTCCATTGCATGGGCCTGTAGCCGCATCATGACATGATGGTCAACCGTAAGTTTCGAAGTCAAATAAAT